CACAAGAATGTGTCGATTTTATCAAACGATGCCGAGAATGTCAACGATTCAATATTGCACGAAAAGGATACCATCCTATGAAAGCCATCAATGCTCAACTTCCAGGAGAACACATAGCCATTGATCTGGCAGGTCCGCTTCCGTTGACAAAGAACAAAAACGTCCGACTACTTGTAGTTGTTGATGTTTGTACGCGATTTGTTTTCTTGCGCGCCTTGCCAAACAAAAAAGGTCTAACTGTAGCCACTGCGCTATGGGAATTATTCTGTTTGATCGGCTTTCCTAAAATACTTCAATCTGACAATGGTGGAGAATTCGTCAATACAATTACAAAACTTTTGACCACAAAAATGTGCATCGACCATCGTCTTATTACCCCTTACCACCCTCGCGGCAATGGTGTGGCCGAAAACCATGTCAAAACAGCCGTACAAATGATCAGAAAACAAGTTCTCGAGGAGGGGCATATGTGGGACGAACACCTTCCTTTCATTCAATTATCGATGAACACACGCATTGTATCACTACACAACTCATCTCCATTTTCACTCTTCTTTGCACGTCAAAACAACGGTTTCAACCACTTCTGTGATGAGAAAAACAATCCATTAACACAAGATAAACTTCTTGAACGACTTGAGTACATGACCAAAACAGTCTTTCCAGCAATCAAAGAAAATACAGAGAACACTCAAAAGAGAATGATAGAGAGGTTCAATCGTACAGTATTACTCAACGAGTTCCCCGATGGAGCCAAAGTGATGACACTTGATCCAATTCTCGGCGAAAAATTATCACCAAGATATGAAGGACCATACACAGTAGTCAACCGCAACGCGGGTGGCGCATATATCCTTAAAGATGGAACTGGCGCTATTTTAGAAAGATCATACGCACCATCTCAACTCAAACTGGTCCTTGACGACGCCGATGAATCAGACACCTATGAGGTGGAAAAAGTGGTAGCACATAGGCAACATACACATGACAGTACGAAGAAAGAATATTTCGTCAAATGGAAAAACTATTCCAACAAGCTCAACACCTGGGAACCAGAAGAGAACTTTGTTGAACGATCTTCTCTTACTTCCTACTGGAAAGATAAAGAAAACATTAATGAACAGCCAAATCCTCTGATAACAGCCGATTCCCCTGCAGATTCTGATGATGAACAAGAAGAACAACAAGACGAAGAACAACATGAAGAAGAAGAATCATTATTGCCGCCAAGGCGTAAACGCAGGCGGACCCGCAATCGAAGTAAGACATAAATTATGTCCATCCACTACATGCCTTTGAAATCCAAGAACTCATAATTCGTTCTTCAAAGGGAGAGGAAAGCTGTCGCATTTTCGTGACTGTACATTATCAAGAAGCGTACTCAGTGAGATAATTAAGGGCAGTGTCCCTTAGTATTTAAACCCTAGACTTAGTAATAAACGAACCCCCATCTTCTTTCTCACTTACTCCAAGGTACGCTATATTTTTCAGACTCAACGGAAAGGAGATGGCAATTATATCTTCTTCATCATCATCGGACGGCTCCTCATCCGATGACTCCTGCTTGTTTCTCTTTCGCTTCTTTGGTTCTTCATCCTCGGAAGTTATATCGTCATCGGAAGATACAAACTTAGAAGTATGTGTCTTCTTTAAAGCCTTGGAAGACTTAGTACGCTTGTCGACAGGTGCCTTGTTGTTACTACGTTTTATATGACCTCTATCTTGATCTTGATGACGTCCACAGTATGTTTGACCAAGTTTGGCAACACTACCACAATTAGCACCCTTAATGGTTGTGCCTTGACACTTGCGCGCAGGATCGTGGACATAACAATGCATGCCTTCATCATCTACTTCCTTCATGCATTTGCGCTTGGACTTGGTGCACTTTGCACCACAAAAGTAGTATCTCTCTACTTCCTCATCCTCATCAAGCGCCTTAAAGATCTTATTTGCATCTTTCTTGTTAAACTCCACTCCCTTCTTTGAGGAAAATGTCTCAAAGGCCTTGGTGATGAGCTCGATTGTAAGCTGAACGTACTGCATGTTTTTGGATATCAACAATATGGATTGTATTTGTGGTATGGTGGGTGTGAATAAGTTTTCAGTTTATGTGTGGTAGATTGCAGCTGCTTAGTACACTAATATAAAGAACTGCAATAAAAGATGGTTGTATAGGTATGGATGGTTGTATAGATATGGATAATTGTTGGTTGGTTACTTGATAAAGATTAAGCAAGAGGGAAGTGGACTCCTTTATTTATACTAGTTCATGGGACACTGCCACAATGGATATTAATAGCGCTTGCTTATTAGTACTGCTTGGCACTTAGTAACAAAAGAGTTTTAAAAAGGCATCTAATTGGTTAATAATGTAGTGTTCCTCGTATGACGTAGATCTTGCTTATTAAGACTGCTTGGCATTAAAGACGGGGTTTAAAAATGGTTAAGAATGTAGTATTCTTTTATGACGTAGGTTTGTACATGTGTTTATCCTCTTTGTTAAATAAAAAGGAATGCTGTAGAATAGCATAGAATAGCATCCGATCTACTACAATAATACCATGGCTTTTAATAATAGATACTGGTGCATATTAGCGTCTTGGCAGTTAATACCGTATCTTAAAGCTGACTAAATATGCCATGTATGTCTATTATTTTAAAAACCTGCAATAAGTCTACAGATTACCATTAACATCCATTTGTCGCTACGTACCTCTAAGCTCAATGGAAAGGCCGGGTTGCATTATTACTGCTTGATCCATTGGTGTGTCCTCATCAACATCAACATCACCATGAAGTTTAATACCAAGAAATTCGTTCTGGAGTTGTGCCATTGTATTTCCATCCTCCACTAGCGCACCAACATCAACATATCCCATTGGTTGCTCAACGTCGTTCTCTGTTGTCGGATACTCGAATCCTTCGCGAAGCCAAGCTGTATGAATTGGTTCTGCAGAAATCTTCAACAAAGCAACCATCTTTTTCATGTTTAAGAGTAACAAAGATAACTTCAACTGCAAATTATATGTTTGTTTCTTATCCACCAACACAGGAGTACGATTGTTGTGTTTCTCAAATGTGGAACCAAGGTCTGCAAACAGAGATTCCATCTGCGAGCGGAAACTACCAAAGGTGGTATTGTATAACGCTTCTTCCTGTGTAAGTTCCTTATTTTTCTGTTTACGGTATGGATGAGCGAAATTTTGGATTCTAAGAGTGTCAGACTCATCTATAAGCCTCCTTAAGAACTGTGGATACCCTCCATCGAGAGCAATGCAATCCATCTCATGCACTCTCTTGTCCAACTTCATCGTTAGCAGCATTGTTCCATCAGCATTGTTCTTGCAAGATGCAGATTTGGAGACAAATAAAGCCATGCCATTACAATCCATTGCTACCTGTGTGCGTAACCCTGACTTTTTCAGCTTGTAAGAGTACATATCAGCACTACTCTCACCTTTGTATGTTGCTCTTGTATCATGACCATCAAGATGCAATATAACATGCTTAAATAATGGAGGATTCTTTTCCTTTGCAGACAATAGGCGTATTTTAATTGTGGAGAACATTGTTGCAATACAGTTGGTGATGTACTTGTTGTGCAAAGTATATTCTTTCTTATAAAACACAGAGTGCATTGCATGAAAACTACTTTTTGGCATGTGTGGTTCCATTGCTTCCATAGACAGTCCTTTGACAAGATGATAGAGCATTAAAAGACCTTTCTCCACTTCTTTGTATGGACCAGGATACTTAACCTTTGGCCAAATGTCAACAAGAAAGAAGTACACTGGAATAGGACCAAGGCGTCGATTTAGGGTTTCTTTTATTTGTGGCATAAACCCGATTTCCTTGCTTACAGTACGATGGTTATTACGTGGTGTAATTGTTGGCCATCCAGCGTTAAGGAAAGTCCAATGGTCATCAAGCAGTTGTTTGAAGTGTTTTGTTAGATCCATAATAATATTTATGTATTGGATTGTCATGACGTTAACCAACAATAACAATTTTTTAAAAATGCCCATACTTAACTGCATACACAATAGCATGTAGGATGGTATCTATCATATAGCAAGCACATAGTTGAGAATACAAATATATTTTTATATTTTTTTCGGTAGCGGCCCCTTCATGTGCAGAGGATATAAAAAGGCATATAAAAAATATCCAAAGCCCAAGGAACGGAGTGTTTACTTCCATAACTGGCATATCTCTTCATAGTGGGCAACAGAACACAGAATAAAATAGCAGTAGACAGCACAAGAATTTTTAAAATGTAATCTCTCCCCTGTATTTCGCCCCAAAGATACAGTTGAGAGTACAAGTGCTTTAGATGATCACATACAAGAACTACTCTGGCGAATCTTGCAGTGAGGGTTACAGGTTAATAGTAGATGGACACATTCAAGAGTGTGGTGTGCGAAAAATAAGAAGACTTTGTTGTTTGGAGAATAGGTTGGTGTTTAGTAGGATAGTTAAACAAAAAATGTTACAATGGTTGTCTTATATGCTTGGTATCATATATACATTCTCATCCCATAGTCGCTATGGATATTGTCGAGATCTACAGAGATGTAACAAACACCATATGATAACTTGGACGTGAAAGGCCTCCAAAGTCACCTTCCTCGTCATTATCGCGCAAGTCTCCAATTGTCTCTTCCTCTTATTCCAGTTTGTTGAAACTATCAAACATGTTCGACAGTCCAGCTTTCCAATCCTTCCTGTGTGCGGTCGCGCCATCCAAGTTTACGGCTGAAGCCAACGAAGATGTCAAAAACTGTGTCGAGAATCTAGACTACGCGAAACCCAGGCACAGGAACACCATGCCGCGTAACAACAAACCTGTTGTCCTCAATTTCGGCGTAGTGATCGGGACCATACAGATCGTTTAGGTGACGTTCAATCCGATTCGTTCCATTGCCATCCCTGACGTTAAAAGCCTTGCTAAGGTCCGCCGAGCCCGTATTGTGACGTCCAAAATCCCTGATGGATGCCTAGATGAACAGTGGTCCAAGCATGATGTCAAACCGAGGATATCCTTCGTAGGCGCGGGTCAGAACGTTTCCGTGGCCGGACCCAAGAGAAGTCTTGCCGATTTTGAGGGTGTCACAATGGAAAAAGTCCAGTGTAATGGTAGTTGGGTTGCTACCGTTGAGATCTGTTGCATTGAGCGCGATTGGTTTGGTGGCGCATATAAGCTGATGACATAGTGCCGTCTCAAAGTCGTCCTCGCCGTCACAAATTCGTCGTCTGGTATCCTCAGGTAGTGGAAGCGTCATGAACAGCTCTAGAAGTGCCCTCTGGGCGGGACGGCATAAAATGCGGTATTGTGTTCCGATCCGACCGACATCCTTGCACCGATAAATGAGTCGTAGATCCAAGAAGTCCCGTTCGAAACCGACTATGCCGGTGCTGTCGAGGAACATTTGCAGGAGGGCCTTGTAGAAATCGTTCTTCCTAAACGGAGTGCGACTTTTGTTGTACGTTTCTGCGGTAAATAGGAAATCCTTGGTTCGGCGTTCCATCCATTCGTGAAGGTCGTCTAGGGAGATCGGTCCCGGAAGATCCTTGACGGCAGCTGACAGATACACAAGCTCTCGCGGCACACAGTTTGCGATTGCTGTGACCTCATCTCTGATGGCTGGTGCTGCCAGGTGACAATGCGTGTCCAGCAACTTGGAGAATACATGCTTTGATAGGGGGCCAACAAAAACCACCGACAAAAACCTATAGGTTTCCTCCAGGATCCCCATCTCGTACTTGGCGTGCGCGGTGCCTGTGAAAACCACCCGAGACCCCTTTAGCCTTCTCCCCACATGTGGTATGACATTAGAGGGACCAGCGACTTGAACTTGTCCGGCACGTAAGGCTCTTTTTCGAACAATTTTCTATGCTCGTCAACCAGCAACAGCGTCTTCCGATCCCGCGACATGAGTAGCGTCCCGAGGATTACTGACATAGCACTCCTTGATATGTTGCGTGTGCCGTCGTAGTCGTTTAAAAGCATCGCCAACTCGGCGCCGGTCAAAATATCTTTGTTGAGTGCCAGGAATCGCTTGACCACCTCCAGTGCTGACTCGTTCTCATCGTCTTTATCCAACACTCCGGCATCTGACATGTAGAGGACAGGCCATCCTTCGGCATATGCCCTTGCTGTGAGGAAATAGGAGAGGTACGACTTGCCAACACCCATCGGACTGGAAAGGACTCGTCTGTACGTAAACTCTTGGTCGCCACGCATGTCCTCCCAAAGTTTCAGCATTTGCTCAGTAACGAAAAGCCTGCGGCCTTGACCGTGACGTCCGAAATCCTTGGGGGTTTGGCCCATATGTGGTACATCGACTGAATCTCCAACTCGACAGTCACCTTTGAGGTGTGCTCGCGGCTCGGGTACAAATTCGGTGCTCGCAAGTATGTCGATCCAAGAAGGAGGCAAATCCACTAGGATTCCGTCAGATGCCGTAAATGGTTTCCAACCTTCCTCAATACGAATCCTCTTCTTCTGAGGTAAATAATGAGGATCTATTATTTGCTGAAAAAAAAGGAAAATAAGAAGTTTGTAATGTAGGGATGTTCATACAGAGTGATTTATCAAACTAGCGTTTACCTTGCTCATTCAGTCTCTTCATTGTCACAGCTAATGCATGCAACACAGACCATGATGAAATACATGCAATAAAGTCAGTAAAATGAACCAGCTTATGCTACATGATAGGGCTTGGTTAGAGAAAGCAAGGATACTGTACCTGGTGGAGATCGCTGGACAATGACGCGAATTGTGTCCTCAGGAAAAGCGGCGTCAAAGACCATCGAAAGCTTGTTGGTCGTCCTCAGTTTTTTTTCTTTGTCAAGTTGTTGAGCAAGACAGGGGTCTCGTCGTCGTCTGCATCTGGGATTGAGACGCGTCAGAGGGTGAGCTCGTCTGCATCAACATTATGAAAGCGATTGGTCTTCTTGGTCATAATGAGATCATGAAAGCGGTTGGTCTTCTTGGCCAAAATGACCTCCTTGAGGTCGCCGATGGTCTTGGTTGACTCGATCTCGACAGGGAACGCGTTGGTGGTAGCCTCTCCGTCAACAAGACAGAACAGGATCAGAGGGTTGTTGGACATGGTGTTGTGAAGCATGAAAGGAAAGTAAGTGGAAGGGGAAAGGTGAGGGTTGTAAACAGAGTGAGGGTTGCGGAGAAGGTGCGGGGTGTAGTGAAGGCGAGGGGTGAAAAAAGAGACAAAAGGATAAAAGAAGGTGTGGGGTTAAAAGGAAAAGTAAGAAGGGGTGAAAAGGGCGTAAGAACGGTGGCAAAGGCGATGAAGGTGTGGAAATGGTGACAAAAAAGAAAGAGGGTAGTGAGACAAACGGAGGAGCAGAGTCGAAATAGAGCGATGAAGAGGCGCGGGTTGTGGTAAGGGTGATGAGGTGTGGAATGGTGGGAAGAAGGAGAGAAAACAAGACAAAAGAGGGAATGATGGAAATAATAGGCTACGGAACAATGGGCGCAAAAATTGCGTCACCCAAGTGAGTAATCGTTTAGCCCGAACTTGACCCATGTATTGTTATTGTTACAGTCTATCAAATACGTAGTTTTTATTTCGCTTCTTCAGTCCACCTCAGGGCCACATCAACCACTCTCGATCTAGCGAAATCAAGGACGGCTCCTTATTGCGTATAGCGTACGAGAGCTCGCCGATCAATCTGCCAACGTTACTTGAATAGGTGAGGATCTGATGCTCACATTGGGCGGCAGCGTAAACATCCAGCAGGAAATCTCTCTCGAGCATATCCATAGGAACGCCTCGATCCCTTTCGTCGTACCACGCTTCGTTCGGCCTAGGGACGTCCAGGTACTGAAATCGGAAGTTCTTGTACTGCTCAGTAGACTTTATGACTTCGCCGTCGTCCGACATGATGTAGATGTTCGAAACCCCAGTCTCGCTCTTGTACTCCTCAGCCTTGCCCATGTAATCGGGAAACTCCAAAGGCGCTGCCTCCGAAGACTTGTCAGCGTGTCGCACATGAACAGACATGCAAGGAGTCCGGATCGGAGAATGCCGTCGAAACTGCTCTCGGAACTGATAATTGGGTCGGGTGGCGTAGTAGACCACCATAGTTCTTAACCAGAATGGGTCCTTGTCCTCAAATCCAGGCGTTTTCGTCTTGGGGTATGACTGGCCGACCATATCATAGAGGTCAGTGCCAATTGTCTGGAAATTGATGGTCGACTCGTTCCAGTTGGCGAATAGATGCTCCGGAGGGGTGTTCTTGAATGCTCGCTCCATGTCTGCTTCGGTGCATGATGTCAGAGGTATAAAGTTGCTGAGAACTTCGGGGGTCATCAGGGTCATGTTGCGGTACAGACCGAAAGAGAGACCCAGAGCTACTGTGTGCCATTTGGATCCAAATCCGTGTTCGTTGGTTGCTCCGTTGAAGAAGTTGGCACATCGGTGTTGAATAAGATCTAGTTGTGACATAAAGGCGCTACGGCGGGGGTCGTCGAATGTCGTCAATAGCTCGTATCCATCGCCTTGCATGATATCAACTATCCATCGAGACCGCCTTTGGACAAACTTGTCGACGGCATCTCCGAGTTCCGACCCTTCTCCTTGAACAATGATCCTAAAGGTGTATTCGCTGACGTCGCCGATGTGGTCCTTGGTGGTGACGATAGATCCATAAGTTTCGTCTTGGCAGCTGCCAATCGAAGCTGAGAAGTCACCGCAAATGTCGACTAAGGCAGCCTTGCTTGCTTCTGAATGGACGCAGACTGTGGCACCTCGGAGCAAGGGGCAGACAGGGGGTTTCTCGACAACTTTGAGATTCGTGTAGCCCTCGATCTTTTTGGTGATTATCAGTCGATAGAGCATGATGTTGTGTACACGGATCATCAACCCCATCCCGCAAGCAAGGGCGATTGCATAGAACAACCGTCTGAGGACCTAGAGTGATGGCAAACATCCTTATAATTAGCTCATATTTGAGGGATCATCTATTTCAATTGTGATCATCCAGTCTGGTACAGCTGCTTCTACCTTTGCATTTGATGGAAATTTCATTTCCAGGCGTCCAAGTGATGAGACGCGTGCGAAGAGATGAGACGTGTGCGAAGAGATGGGACGTGTGCAAAGAGATGAGACGTGTGCAAAGAGATGAGACACGTGTGAAGAGATGAGATGATGGAAGAAAGAACAAAAAAAAAAAAAGGAAGTAACTCGGTAACCTGTGAAAAATGCGAGCTACAGCAGAACAATAGGCGCATAAATTACGTCACCGAACTGAGTAATCGTTGCCGCAGACCAATGTACTGTACAAGTTTTGTACATCGACACAAAGCGCTATCTATCCCTTCGACCGTTGCCAGTCACAAGGATAACTTGGTAAGACCTGTTCGGGGTCTTTACAATTGTGAAGGTTAAACGCTGGGCCGAAGGAGAGAGATTGGTCGAGACTGATCGAAAAGCCATTGCTCAGCGATCAGTGCAATGTTGTGAGCTCCAACCGAGTCCCTGTTGATCCATCGACCACAGGCGAGGCAGACACAAGATCTTGAAGTCGGCTTTGCCATCCTGGAGGTCTCTCCTCGGGCAGTGCAAGCTGGGCAAACGGTCGAGGACAGATATTCATCAACCAAAACGACAATGTGGCCATGTGCTCGCGCCTACGTTAGATAGAAGATTGACGGTTATTGAATGGTCCCATAGCATAACGTTGACAATTGAGCAAGTAAATAATTGTTTGTCGCGGCATAATGACGGTACCTTCTTGGCAAAATGACTCTGTAATGTCTCATGCTTGGAAGCCAAGTTTATCCCCGTTCGAAACTTGCCGTTGCCAATAGCAATAAGACACGGCTCCGGTCCACAAAAGCGCAGGATTGCAGCCACAGCCATATCCAGTTCGGCACGAACGGCTTTCTTCTCCTCCCAGGCGGCTTTTTTCATGCGTAGTGAGCCTTCAAACTCCCGAAGCAAGGGCTCCGTAGACACTCTGACACGAACAGCATCCTCGAAATCCTCCACGGTTACTTGGCCTTTTGGGGGCAAACAACTTTCGATCTCCTGGATGGACTGTACGTCTGTCCTGGCTCCCTTTGGATCGACACCCCTCGCCCAAATTCCTCCATCGATACTCTCGCCCGGCACCACTTGAAGCTTCCTGTTTTTGACTCTCTCTCTTTCGGATCGCGCTGCAGTGGTGGGAGAGTATAAAGCTGCTCGACGTATCATTAGGTTGGTCACAGGTGGATCCCCAGGGTCTGGTGCTCCATTCCACTCACGTTCGTGCTCGATCAGACATAAAGCCGCCGTCACCAACTCCCCAGGGTCCCACCCGCGACATTGTGGTATTTTTCCCTGGAATATCCTGGCGATAGCGTCCTCATCAGGCAAGACTTTTTCGATACGCATGACTGGATCCAGGGCTCCATGTGGCTCGTGTTTGGTGTCGTAGGCGAGGACCTGCAGCTCCAAGCCGTTACTTCGAATCATATTGTTCAAAGCATAGCGTGATTTTGTACTGGGGTTGGCGGGAAACTCTGGCGGTGATTGCGTACATGGTACTCCTTCATCCCGACAGTTCGCAGCAGCTCGAAGGTAGGCCAGCTTCCTGTTACAGTAGTCCTGCAATGACCGATAACCAAACCTAGAAGGATCACCTTCCGCAAGTTCTGCCATTCTTGTCGTCCGTTTTGCGTAGGGTGTCCGTCTCAGGTCTGGTCCTCCGTCGTTGTCGTGGCCAACGGGTCTTCTTCGCCCATAGAAAAGCGTCTCAAGCACTTTTCCATAGTCCGAATCAACACAATCCGACGCCTCCGCGCGACTCAAAATCGTCTCCACGATCGTCTTGGCTGGATTGTTCCTCGCAGTTCCTCCCCATAGAATTCTCCACACTGCTCGCTCCGGTATCATCACAAACGCACCCCGAAGCTTCGGCTGAGGACAGAACACAGGTCGCTTCTCTGCAGGTAGCGAGAGTAAGTGGTCCCACCAATCCCCGAGAAAGCCCGCCTTGAACTTGTAGCATCCGTCGTCGTCGGCCGCATATTCGTCTGATCCCAGGGGCTCAGTCGTTGGAGATTCGTCTAGAGCGTCGTCGTCCTGCTGTCGTTGGGCTTCAGGAGGCACGTCTCCGTCAACGAGAGGTATGATGTCTTTGCTCCATCCCAGTTTTACCATCTACACAAAAGCGCGGGTAAGACATTGTTAGAGTACGAAAAATATTTTGACATTGCATCAAACATAACTCAAACAAGAAAGAAATAAATACCTTTCCAGTGACAGTAGACGGTAGCTTTCTGAAGTGTGTGTGGAGACATACCATCGTGGCAAGTCCAAACTCCATCTGCATGTCGCCCAGGGGGATGTCGGTAGTGTTAATGGGCGAAAAGTGGGGAATGATCGTCTTGTATCGGGCATAGACCCTCTGTGCGAGCTCTCGAGCACGGATGGACTCGGACTTCTTGCACTTTTTCTCCATTCAAGGCCAACGACATTAATCCACGGATGAACATCTGACCGGAAGCCTTGTTCATCACCAGGTCCAGCAGATCGACATTCGTCACCCCTGAGGCTCCTTGCGGGCTAAACACTGTTGTGACTTCTTCCAGTAAAAACAGCTGTATCATCCTGAACACGTGGGGACGAGCTTCATTGATCAGGCTCGTGGCCTTCTCCAGGCGGCTCGCAATGGTGTCGACTTGGTCATCAGAGATCCCGAGGGGTCGAAGGCTACGGCGCAGGCATCCTTTCAAGGAACCAACTGTCTGAGTTATCGTCGGAAAAGCAAACTTGAAAGCGTCCATAAGTTTTGGTGCTGTTGGGGTTGCATCGATGTCGCGTGGTCTCGCGAGTTTTTTCTTGGATGACGCCTTCCGTCTTTTGTTCTTCGACGAGCGGTCTGTCGACGATGACGAGGATGCTGAAGGCGAATCTTCAACAGCCTTGGGCTGCTTGTCGACGGGTCGCTTTTTTGGTTGTGACGGGGACATTGTCGACAGTTGATTATCAGAAACAGGGGTGGCTGTCGACGGATCACTGACTCTGTGGGGAGAGTACCGAACCTGATTGTCAGTGCGAGACTTGAACCTAATTAACCACAAAAAATAATAATTAGAGAGACTTAGAAACATTTCCATAACTTGTGCAAACCCGGAGACGTCAATGTGATATTGTCTTACCTGGATTTCCTCCATTTTTTACGTTTCCTGTTCCTTTTCGCTGCCTCCCGGCGAGCTCGCTGCGTTTTCGCTGTCCTGGTCCGATTTACATTCGTTTTGGGAGCCGGCTTCTTGTCCTCCATCGGTGGTGTGGATCCCATTGCCGCACGTGCCTGAGCCTCTGCAACCTTCTGGTACTCAAGATCGAGCAGTGCCCTCATGACAATCTCGTGCGCATTACAGTCTCGCTGCCCTCCCTGCTCAATCGATGTGTGCTGTTGACTGGTAAAAGGCTGAGGGTGTGGGTTCTGATCAACGGAGGATACGGCATCTTCCTGGACGCCCACAAAGGCAGATAAAGCATGCTCGAAGTCGTCAACCGTAACCGATAGCTGCGAGTCGATTCGTTTTCGTTTCTTCCGAGGGACTCTCTCGGAAAGAAGCTGGTGTCGCACTCGAACGAGAAACTCGTGGACGTACCAATGAAACGATTCGACGTCAGAGCCGGGTAGCTCCATTTCCCGAATAATCTCGCAGATCTTCTTGATCCCGAAATATGGCACTCCCCGGGTGTAGTCGTTGCCCGTCACAACAGCCGCGAGTAGTAAATGCCGCTCCGAAGGCAAATCGAGGACCTCCAAAATCGCATCCTTTTCGAAAAGAGTGAGCTCTCTTGACTTGCCGATCGGATACAACACTCTCGGCACAGCCCCGAAACAAATCAAGTCCGAATCACCGGAGACAACAATGATGTCCTGGGGATTCAGAGACTGGGCACAAAGCTTAGCAATGCAAGTATCCGACTGAAAGCGGCAGAGGCATACATGGCAGTCGTACTTTTTGATCAACTCCGCTATAACTTCTCCTTGAATTACGGTTGTTGGCTTGTAGAGATTCCTGCACCGTTTGTAAGCAGCCTTTCGACGAGATCCACCCACTACACGTGCTTGTTCGATTGCTTGGTGAAGTGCGTCGGTGCCCTTACGCAGCTTGTCGTCGCGAGCTCGGTGCTCCGCCTGTTTCTGAATGGATGGCTCTCCATCGAAGTGAAGGGTGACAGATTCGTCTTCGGGAGTACAGAACTGAGAAAGCTTCCTGTACAGTTCATCTGCAATGTGACCGAAGAACTATTTCAAGCAAACGACGACATAGCAAATGATAATTAACTAATCAAGTAAATAATCACCAGTGGACCCATGCTAAATCCCGCATTCAGTCCTCAAGAAGATTCATTACCATAACTCTCTGTTGGTCCGTGCCATCCTGTAACATCCCATCTTTGTCAACGACGACAGAGTCGGGGCTGTTGGGTCCACTCGTCACCATAGCAAGCTTATCTTTGAGACCAAAGAGCATGTTCGCACGTCTCAGAAGGTCCGCCTGGGCATCGTTCGGGTCTGGAGAGGCAGAGTCTGTCGACTCGGGTCGCTCTGGCGCATCCTCCATCTGTGGCATGTGCAGGTTGGCGGGCTCGGTGTTGCGCGTCAGCGTGGTCGTGTACTTTTGTACGACAGAGTAGGCTCGCGCCTTCATCAACCCGTAGTAGGTACCGTTCATGTCGACGTGAAATTCCTTGCCGTTCATTTTCGTCGGCGCAATGCCCGTCGCGTTCTTTATCTCTCCTGGGAGTCCGTTGACGCCCATGACTGACTGTAAAGGAAAGAATGAAGAAAAGCTCATCAGAAGATGGAAACAAACACCACATTGGGCGGACAATGTCGGCGGATTTGAAACGTGATAATACCTTAATGAAGCAGGGGCGTGAGCCGTGCGGATGTGTGCGTGTGTGTGTGTGTGTGTGTGTGTGTGTGTGTGTGTGGAGGGGTGGGGTGGAGGTCGCAGTGATTGGATGTCAGAAGTTGGTCGAATGAGTCTAATTGGTTTTTTTGTTTGTTGACAATGACGTCAGTACATTCCTTTTGGTTTAAAGGGTGGGAAGTTGGCTGCCAATCACAAAAAGTCAGCTTACTGTGGCAAGGTTTCTGGCGCGTGAGCAGTTGATCTGTTGACAGAATGAGGTAAAGTCGGCCATGGGGTTAGCGAGGTCCTGGTATTGATTGGTCATCCAAGCTGACGCCAATAGACGGAGAGCGATGCACTTACAGAAGACTAGGTGTAGCTCTGGTTTGGATCTCTGTCCTGATCAACGATGTCCACTTAGGATTCCATGAGCGAACTTGGCAAAGGTGTTGGAGTGGGAAAAGGCAGCCCAAGGACATTTTATTTGCTCCCCAGCGACGCGACGCGACAGGCGGTCTTTTTTTTTTTGGCGTGACCCTGTGCCCCTTGACCGTTCACACATTCAAAAAATTCGTGCTAGTCACATGCACCGCCATATGTTAACAATCCGAAAAGGCATTAGGGGCCTTTATTTTTTGTTCTTCATATCTGTTATTATCTTGCATTAGTATCAGAGGGGTGCTTCTCATTACTGGTTAAGCAACTACAACTACGATTTATGGAATTCTCTGAAGCAATTGCGGGCCTTTGACATACACAAGGCAACATTGCAGATCTCACAGGCTATGACTGTTTGAGTTTTTCTATCGTGGTTTTTGTCGTCGAAGACAGTGGCTCTGAAGCGACAGAACAAGCAGTTGGATTTTTGGTCGAGAATTATGGGTGAGTGGGGTCCTGGGGTGAAACGGATGGTGGGCAGATCAGAGCAATTTTTGGTAACATATATCTTCTTGGTTGGTTCTGGTTTGGTGGCTCTGTGAACTCGTGTCCGTTTGCTGTAGTCCATGTGCTGTTTGCTTTCTGCTCCCTTCCTGATCAAATCCCATGCCAACCTGAGACAGAAAGTTTTGTGAGAAAGGGATCCTTTTTGGACGACATAGATTCGATAGGCGTTGATGATGGTGGTGTCGAGAATCCAAAAAAGAGAGGCATCCACGTCCTGAACACGGCTAATTGGGTGCTGTAATATGCCCTGAACTGGTTACTGACATCGACGCCATTCATGTTGTGGTTGTAGTCATCAATCAACTTGGGGATTTTGAGTGCCGCTCTGGGCTTGCCATTGAATATTGCCCGAGCATTGGCTGCGTTAGTGCTAGTGTTGCGAGGGCAGCGTCGAATACGCTCAATGAAGTCATCATCCGTGTTGATTTTGTGGATGGTACTCAGCATGGTGACGGGTGCATTATCCATCCAAACGACGGCAAGAACTTGTTTGTCGATAACAACTCCTGTCAGGGTATTCCATTGTAGTTTCTCACTCTTACCCACTTTCAAAGTGTCAGGGAAGCAGGCTGAGTTGATGCGGGTGGTGCCACATGCGCCGATGTTGAGTCCACGTAGGTGCTTGAAAAGCGGGATGTTGGAAAATAGTTGTCCATGTAGATGTTGAATGGACGAGTCTTGTAGGGGAGTGATTTGGCGAGACGAACAACAGCGGAAGAGGTTGGAGTAAGCCCGTTTATCCTGTCTATGCCAATGATGGATTTGATGCGAGGGGTGTAGAGGAAGGAATAGGTGTATCCTGATTGACAAAGAGCGAGAATCTTGTAGCCTTCCGGGGGTAGGCTTACCCTTCATGCGTACGGTGTGAGCACTCCTTCCTGAAAAGCGAACAATCATCTCGTCGATGGACACATTGGTGGAGAGAACGTAGTAACGAGCGAAGTCGGTAGCGAGTTTGGTCGAAAGAGGTTCTACTTTTGAGAACCAATGTTGCTCAGGCTCGTTGGGGTTGGAGACACGAAAAAAACGCTTCGGTTGTTCGAAGCGGACGAGGGACATGAAGTTAGTGATGTTGTGTTGAGGACATTCAGGGAAGGTTGACCAATACTCAGAGACAGAGTTCTGCCTGAACACGCCCATGTAGACAATGATGCCGAGGAATGTGCGCAGTTCGTCAGGTGTGGTCTTTACCCATTGGCGCGATCCCTCTCCTGTGCCGGCTCCTTTTGATGCTGCATATGCGTTAGTGTTGTCTGCCAAATCCGTCAATACCGGGTCGGAGAAGAAGAGTGTGAAAATTGTCAATGGTGATAGTTCGCTGTCGAGTTGAAGTGCAAGGGGAAGGTTGGTTTGTGCTGAGCATACTGTTTTTTGGTGTTTGAAGACGTCCTTGAAGTCAGGGACGGCTGGGAGTTCTGTGGGTTCGCGGGTGACTTTCTTGACAGCCCTCTTCGCTTTCTTGACAGCCCTCTTCGCTTTCTTGACAGCCCTCTTCGCTTTCGCGAGAGCTAAGGGTGCAGGGGACACCTCCTCTCCCGCCGGTTGCTCTCTTTCTGGTGGTCGCTCTTCATCATCGGAATCATCCTCACCGGCAATCTCTCGAGTTCGGCAAATGACCGAAAACGACAACTCCTCTGTCTCCTCGGAAGTGAGTGTGCTAGTACCTTGACCGTTAGAAACGTCAAAGGAACGTAGGAACTCGAAGCATGGGTCCATGAGCAGGTTGGGCGAAGTTTTCTTTGTGAGGGAGACAGTAACGGAGGCTTTGGAGATGATGAGAGAGAAAAAAAAGGTTGAATTTGACAGCGAAGGTGGTAATGAGGCGAGCTGGGAAACGACAACCCTCGTTGTTTTCATTAGACGACACGAGACCCTTCCCAACCCGTTTTATTGGAAACCCTGATAAATTGAAAAAGAAAAATTGGAACCAATTTCGATTCTAAAACGGTTGAAGGGATACGCACTCTCTTCTTAAAACTCCCTCAACTACCACCTACCTACCCTCCACCATGCTGCCCAATAGAGGACCCCAAATCCGCCGCTCGTACGCTGCTGCTGTCGCCGAAGGGCCACTTCGTACCGAAACGAAGTCAAACTGGAAAGATGGTCGCTACTGATGAACCAAAAGGACGAGGACGGCGCCGAGGTCCAGCAGCTGCTGAAGCCACCACTCTCGCGACCAAATCCTCCACAGCAACAATCAGCCTACTACCAACACCCTTTATGTCGAAGCTACAGCTCAGAATGCCCCTGTCCCTGCGATCGCCACCAGAACTCGAACAATGTCCGACAATACCACCCCTTCCACCAAAGCGCCCACCACGACCAAGGCCCCCAAAGCTCCAAAGGCCAGTTCCACGATAAAAGGGTCAGAAGAAAGTGCTTCATAACACTGGTCAAAAGCGACGAATAAGAAAAGGTCAAAAGCGACGAGCAAGAAGTCAGTGGAATCCGCAGACACAGATGACTCGGACCCTGACACTGTCAAGTAGGTTTCTCTTTTTTGACGACCACGTTGGTCATCTGTGGCAGTAGCCAGACGTGAAGATGACATTGATGGGGGCCATCGGACTGCGAATATCTAATCATACCCTAGACCGAGTCGGCCTGCAGACAACCTTGGCGCCCGCCGAGAACTTGAGACATAAGGGGGTCTGTAGAGTAATATGACCATCGTCAGCTCTGAATGAGGAGTGGTGGAAAACCTTCATCTATGCGTCCTTCTCGATAGTCATAGGGTCCTTGATCGACCCCTTCGGTTTGTGCTTGTTGGAGATAGTCATGACATCCTTGGCCAATCTGTCGACATGGATCTTCCTAGATATTTTTTTGTGTCCTGCTGCCGATAATGATCCTGCCTGCCGTATCGTTCGGTGTTTCATTAACCTGCGCTTCCAATTCACGCCAGGCCAGCATGTGCGCGCGCATCGGTGGTGGCTTTGGGTGACTGTGCGTTCCTCTGTGGTGAATCTCCATTTTCATACGACCATGGTAGCGGATAATCACAGCAGATGCAGAACAGCGTTCCCACTCTAGGTCGTCAAGGTGCGTCGTGCATTTCCCCACCGGCGGACGAGGTATGGAGTTCCTATTCTTTCCAGTGTTGGGGAGTCGGGGCCGCTCGGAGAACTCACACTTGGGACACTTATAGACACCGAAGCAAATCTTTTCTGCAATGTTCACTCGCTCCTCGTTGTCGTTGTTGGTGTGGCAGTCCAACTTCTTCTTCTTGAGGGAGAGGAGTGTTTGAAATGTGCCGCTCTGAGCCTTGAGGATTCCAGCATGCAGGCACACCTTGACATCACAGTTCTTCCTGACAAGCGCCTTGAAAGATTGAAGAGGGAGTAGCGCCCATCCAGTAAACTTTGCACGAGAATCCTGGTCCGACGGGAGAAACTGGATTGTTTCGACAATATTGCCATTTGGAAACTCGGGGCTGCTGGGGTGATTATAGACGATGGTATCGGGCTTTGTTGGAGGTAAGTCGACTATGCTAGGAGTGGCATCCCTGGCTAAGGAGGCTGTGACCGTTTCTGCATTATCAGACTGATGGGGAGCTGAACCGTTTGTTGTAACCTGCAGTATTAAAGAGTAAAAGTTAGGCAAAACTCATCTTACAGAAAGGTGCCTATCACTGCAAAGAAAGGTAGTAATTATGATAGTTACCTTGCGCATGTCTCCCTTTTCTTCATCGGAATCAGTTTCATTGCTGCTCCGCTCGTTGGTGTAGTGATCGTTGTCGTAGTGGTACTGCTGGTCGTCGCCACAGTTGGTCTCAAAATGCGGCAAATCCTCAGCTTTATTCAACGTATCCGCGCCCATGTCACACGATGAATGAGAAGCCAAAGGAGTTGGCGTTTCCTGTGGCAACAACGAAGAGGAAGTCGTATTAGTAAAACGTAGAAAATATATGAGTGTTTCAACCCTTTAAGCATTCTTTTGCAAAATATAATTACCTGGGTGCTGGTTGAATACGTCTCTTTGACAGGCTCCGGACTACGACTAGAGCTTGGCACGGAATGAGGTGCTTTAAAAGGAATGCACTTGTGATCACAACAACGAGCCGTTAAAGAAGGAGCAAGACTCTGTACGGTAAAGACAAACGAAGTGTTAATATAATCCTCACTGTATTTCCTCGATTTGAAAGGGCCAAACAACCTGTTCTTTGTTACCCTGATGTTGCTATCTGCAAGGCGCGCATCGACGATCTTGTTTATCTCTTCACGCAAGGACTTGGCGAGAATCTTTCCAATAAGGCTGGCTAGCTGCTGTTCTTCCATTGATGGTGCCTACAATATCTTTGTGTTTGAGAATAATGAACAACTTATCCGAGCAAAAAGGTGAATTAACACCTGAATGATGTGGCTTAGATCATTTTTTATTTACTTTAGAGTTTAGAGTTAACACTGAAAAATGTAAACCCATATTTTTGTATTTGTAAGACCTTGTGTTAAAACAAAGCGCTTGGAGGGTCGACACAAGTTCTCGTTTCGGACTGAGTAGCGAGAAAGGTTGTGCAGCGCAGTACACGTCCAATTTTTCGACGTAGTGATTAATATTACAAGGATGTCACAATGACGCGAGTAGTCATTTATCGAGCACGTTGCAGAGAATGTTAGCCGCATCCTGGAGGGGAAACTAATCCATATCCGCAGAAGACGCATAGTCGAAGATGAACTGTTGGAGTCTAGGGAAGAAGTCCTGTACGAGATAGCAGCTTAACTTATTCTTCCAATCGCGCGATAAAATTTCATCAACGCTTGTCTTTCATGTTGTGTATGTTCCATCAGTCAGACTGCAGTATAAGACTTTTAATATGCTCGAGATCAAGGCAAAGGTAAAGGCGAATGGCATTCCCCAAGGCAGGGCCAGGGGGAGGGTGTGATCGTGAGTTTAAGAACAGTCTTGAGCAGTGTGTCCAATGTGGTAGGCGTTTGTTGATTCTGTTAACTTGGCCAGCGTGTAAATTTGTGTAGGTAGTCGTTGAACCTAAATCTACGTTCTCGACCGGCGTCAAGATGGCCAAGTTGCCATTGACCCTGTAGTTTTCACAAGCACATCAAGTTGGCGAGGTGGACGTGGATGGTGAAATCTTGGCCAACGGGTCGAGTTGGCTAGGTAGACACGGACGGTGAAGACTTGGCCAGAGTTTCAGGTGGTTGGATATGGAGCCTCTTAGAGCATCTTGATCAGCGTGTCGAGTTGGCTAGTTGGATGTGAACACTGTCATGTTGATTATCACGTCAAATTGGGAAGCTAGTCGTGGATCCTGACATCCACCCTGGACAGTGCGTAGCGCCAGAAAGAAACATGCACTATCAACACCTTGCAAACGAAGAACAGGCGATACACACTAGCACAGTAAAAGGTGGCGGGAGAGTACATGTGCACAGCACAGAAAGGCGACAGGACCACCCATGGACAGCAGTCAGAGCAAAAACGAGAAAAACGCGGCAACACACGCCGACAGGAGATACTTGGGAGGGCGGAGGCAACAAACAACACTGTGCTAGACCAAGACAACTCACACCATCGCTTTTGTTGATGTTCATTTTCGATGCTCTTTCAAGGGCGAGAAGGACAAGCTAGATACCAAGTCCCTTCCAACAACCAACCAGGTAGGGCTGTCTTTTGCCACTCTTGCTCCTCAATCCTAGGGCCAAACTGCTGCCTTATATATCTGTCAAAGAACCATCATCCGTGAAGTCAAAACGTAAAGGCACGACCAAATGCTCTTTCTCCTCTCCCACATGATAATAAGGTCCGGTTTGGTATTGTTTCGACGCGTTTCCAACACGCGCTATCGTTGAACAACACACTTGCACAAAACAACGTTTAAGGAGGCATCTACAGGATAAGCACTTACGCGTACCTTTCCTACTCCGTGTGAAGACCGATTTTTGTTCGTCTATGACGAATCCAGGTACGAAGGCCTCTTTTTGTCGGACGTTTAATGAATGCGAGCTCGCGCAGACGACAAGGGTCATGAGCAGTGGCCCCTCCAGACAGGAAATTTAGCAAGGTTTACCTTGGGCGTAGCGTGGTTTGCGTTTCGACGATAGCTGCTTGAACAAGGAGGACCTTTATGGTGCTGTAGTTCGTGGTCCGTTGCCTAACTCCAGCAAGTAACTGCCCTTCTCCTTGCGTTGTCAACAAAAGCACAGCCAACGTCCTGACACCTGCTCGGCCAGTACCTATGCCTGAGCCACCTTTGCTCATAACTCAGCAGTCGCGGTACAAACCACTCCCGATCCACCTCCCCTCAACTCTCGCGCAAACCTTCCAAATCAACTATATCTTTATCTCACCTGCCACCAGAACATCCAAACATGCAGCTGCATAGTGAGATTAAGGGGCTTCTTACTTTTTTCCTTTTTTTTGCTGACCATTCAATTCTCATCGAGATCACGGCCTGCATCTGCCCTTTCCCTCTTCCTTTTCGTCAGACATGTTCTTCATGCCCAACAAGCTTAACCCTCAGGGTCAAAAGTAATCACCTCTTGCTTACTTCCATCTCAATTCATCTTTACATTTCAGCTATTCAAAGTGCATCAAGTCAATACTAGATATTAATAACCTTTGTTCACATGTCTACCTACATAACCAACAAAGGCTACTGACTATTATTATCGCCCTTCCTGTGTTCGTGTCGTCCACCTACGTCCTCTACAAGCGAGGTATGTCCGTTGATGCTTAATTTTCCATTGAAAAAGTATATAAAGTCCTCGCTTTTCTGATTTCATGATGGGATAAGAGTTGACTAGTTCCGATTTTTATCGCGAATAGTTGTCCTGGAGGAGGATCCTCGCCGACATATCCCAAATACGAATGATACAAATGATCTCCTCGCCCAATTTGAAGCAGATATGGAAAAAGAGCGCAGACAACAGCAACAGCAAGAAGAACAGCCACGTTCATAGCTTAGAAAATCATCGAGTGAATAAACAAAATGATCGTGAGTTTGTGTTTATTGTCATGAAAAAAGGCTACTTGTAATTAATATGTGAAGTTCGTAAACATAAGACGTAAGGATAAGAAAAAGGTATGATATGTACAAGGGGGAAGGGAAGGCAGTGAGATATAAAATACATACTAGAAAATGTGCATAAAAATCGAAGCAACACAACCATTGTTACTAGTCAGTGTTGCTGTCTCCGCCGCCACCGCTCCAAAGTCCCTTGATCATGTGGATTAGGCCGGCCCAACTGTCCTCGCTCTGGATCGTGATCTTTTCGCTGGGAGCGAGACTAAGATCCGATGGGGCTATACCCTTGTTGTCCGTGGTGGTTCTTGACTGTGCCTCATCGTTCTCAGTCGATGGCGCTGCTCCGACAGGGGTAGAGCCAGGCGTTTTGGAGGGCTTGGCCGTCCGCTGTTGTCCTACACCTTGGAGTGTCCTAACCAGCCCTCCACCTCCAATTGATCCGCCTGGAATGCCGGTCATGGACGATGTCGATGGGAGGCCACGGTGTCCAGCTGGCGGAACAGCGCTGCCCCAGCCCCATGTACTCCTTGTACGTTGCTCGGTACTCCTTGGTGTGCCTGCTTGTGGATAAGGGTTGCCTTCGTCACCCGAAGGAGGAGGCGACGGCATATCCGCCTCGTCGAACAATGGCGAAGCCTCGTCCAAGAAACTGAGCCAGTCAGGATCGATCTCTTCATCAGAGAGACCAAGGGCCGTGGACAACGGCGAAGGTGTGCCACGTTGTGACCCGTGCGTGGCAGAAGCTGCAGATTCTGGCGAAAGTGGTGTGACATAGGGTCCTTCGGTCTGGGTCGCCATTTCGCTTCTCTGAGGAGTAGAGACGGTGACCGTTGAAGTCGTGACATCCATGGCCATTGAGGTGTCCTCCACAAAGGTCGGGAAAAGCGAAGGCCAGGCTGTGGGTGCAGAGGCCGCAAATGAGTCGCTGGCCGAGAGATAACCGAATGGTGAGGCTAATGCTTGGACCAGGTTTCCGTACGCATCGACTGTTGCTGGGGAACTAGTAGTAGTTGTGCTGACAGGCGAGACAGGGGTTTGTTGCTGCTGATGTGAGTGCGGCAGTTGTTGAGGGATGACAGACTGGGCAAGGAGGGCCTCGAGCGACTGGTTGGTGATTGCCATGGGGGAGAAGGTGTTGGAACCAGAGGTTGAAGGGGTTCTGACCACCATTCCCGAGCTATTAAAGTCCAGCAGAGTGTTCAAGGGCGTAGTGTTGTAAGATGGGTTTGTATCCGTGGGAGTAGAGAGAACCTGTGTTGTAAGGGCAATAGAGCCGTCGTCCATGACACCACAGGAAGCCAGAAGCTCGTCAATGCTGGAGACGCCAAGCAGTTCTTCGTTCGACAAGACGCGGTTGGGGTCAGAAAGTAAGGCGTCGTGAATGGTCGAGGAGCCCAGAAGCGACGCTGCGGACGAGGCACTGGTGTTGTTGTTGTTGCTGCTGCTTGTCAGGGGCGCATCCATGAGAGCCACCGTGTGAAAGGTACTGTGTTTGATTGTCTGGCTTTGGAACAAGACGTTCAGAGCGATTTGATATGCATTGTTGGGTGTCATCGAGTCTGGGCCGAGGGCCTGTTGACCAGCGTTGTGGCCTGTGAGTCCCGGGATCGAAGCCTTGAAGAAATTAAAGTCGGTGGGTCCCCCGACCAGGTCCAGCCCTGACGAGAGTGGTTTGGAAGGCGGCGGAGAGGGTAAGGATGCCATGGCACGGTCCATGGAACTCATCAATACGTTGCCGTTGCTGTTGTTATAGTTGTTGTTGCTGCCGGTGCTGCTGGCGCTGCTTGTCGAGAAAGCGCGTTGTTTGATGGGGGAAGAGAGCGACGAGGTATCGGAGACGGCGCCAGGGGAGGAGCCGCGCGAGCTGGCCGAGTCAAAGGAGCGATGTTGGTGTTGGAGGTTGTGCGGGCGCCCGCCTTGGCTCATGGACTCGACAGTCTCGGCTTCTTCCCATTGAAGGCTAACCTTGACTGGGGCATTGTTTGACTTTGAGGAGTAGTACTGGTTAGGTCTGATCTTGTGGGCGATGGCGTTTGGGTTGGGTGTGTCGACCTTTTTGATCTTTGTGCTGTTCTTCTTGCTTGTCCCGTTAGCATAGGGTCTCCATCGCAGCTTTGCGGGTAGGGCGGTCTTAGGGTCGGTGTCCATCTGGTGGAGTTGTTGTGGGGATGATGGGAAAGGAAGAATAAGAAGGGGGTATGTGTGTGTATGTGTGTGTGTAGATAAATATGTGTTGAGGAAAGAGGAAAGAGGAGGACAGGAGGAGGAGGAGGAGGAGGAGGAAGAAGAAAATAAAGTGAGTGAGAGGAGAGGAGCGTGCATGCGAGTAGATGGGTGGGATACAATGATTATCCATTCTCCTATCCAGCAAGTTGCTCACAGAGCGAGAGAGTGAGGGGAGAAAACCCCACTAAAAATACTACAGTGTCCCGGTCTGGAAAAGGAAATTTTCAATTGCTGCAAAGCAGCATCAATTATGAGCAAGGTGGGGAGAGGGGTGTTCATGAGTTCACCTTACTCACTCATCTATGCTCTCGTCGAGCTTACTCTAATACACTTCTTGGCTTATCAAAACAGTACTCGATCGACTTCGCCCCTTTTAATTGCTAATATGAACAACTAAAAGCTTGCTTGGCACTGGAGAAACTAAATATCCTGCAAACACAAACAAACCTCCTCTAGATCTCCCCCGCCTGCTCCGCCAGCCGGTAGAACAGAGACTCCTCCTTCCGTAACAGGACAGACGGCCTATCAAACTCCTCCACCCGACCCTTCTCCAATACCAAAATCTTGTCACTGTCCATCACAGTTTTAATCCGGTGTGCAATCGTCAAAATCGTCCTGTCCGCAAACTCCTTCCGAATTGTCTTCTGAATCAGCTCGTCCGTCTCCACATCAACCGCCGCCGTCGCCTCGTCCAACACCAGTATCTTGGTCTTTCTTAACAATGCACGCGCCAAGCAGATCAGAGACCTCTGGCCCACTGAAAAGTTATCGCCGTTGGATGACACCTCAAACGCTAGCCCCCCAGCCAGCCCCGATATGATTTCCTTCAAATGCGCTCGCTCCAGGGCCTCCCACAAATCAGCATCCTCTAATTCTTGAAAAGGGTCCAGGTTGTCTCGTACCGATCCAGCAAATAACGTCGGGTCCTGAGGAATGATCGCCAAATGCCTCCTCAGATCCTCCAATCCAACTGTTGATATGTCGACTCCATCAATCTCTATATAGCCCCCACACTCCTCGTCGTCTGAATCGTCCGTGTCGAGAATATCGATGAGTGCTGCGTCTGCAACGAGGGATCGACTATTATCACTCTCCTTAGCCCAATAGCTGTTGGCTGCCTCGATCAAACGGAAGAGAGCCAAAGTCAACGATGACTTGCCCGCCCCTGTCCTACCTACGATCCCGACCTTTTCTGATGGCAGAATGTCCACGGACACATTCTTGATCACCAAGTCTAGCCCTTCACGGTAGCGTGTCGAGTAATTCTTGAAACTGATGCGGCCCTCTGAAGGCCAATTAGAAGGAAGGAGAACGTCCGTTGTGTCTGGTGCCTCCGTCTTCAAGTCCGTGTATTCGATGATCCGCTCCAATCCCACCAGTTGATTCTAATACATCGATATGAAAGTCTTAGCTACAGGACAAATGGCAGAGAATCGAGGCCTTGCAAAAGTTAGCAGCATATGGAATTATTTTGGAACGAGTAATGCTTACCTGGAGGTCACAAAAGTTGCGTACAAGACTTGTTACTTCCTCTGTAATCGTCAGGGCAAAGCTCAGGGTTAGGCCTACCAGACTCGGGTCCATACTGTCCCGCTGTAGGACCGCAAAGAGAGCAGCGCACAGCAACACAACTGTGCTTAGAATCCGAAGCTGAACATCCAGCCAGCGTCGGCTGCCCATGTTGGACAAAAAGTTGTTGGACATCCTGTCAACCATGGCCGCATTCTTCTCAATGAACCGTTCTTGGATCTTCATAGCCCTGATGGTTGATACACCACCCAGAGACTCGTGGAAATGCTGGTAGACAGGTGACTTGGAGATGATATAAATCCGCGCCAGAGTCCGGGAGACGCTCAGGAAGCACTTTTCGACAAACCAGTATCCGACGAGCAGGAAGGGCAGAATCACGACAAAGGACGGTGTCGTAAATACAATAAGCAAGAGGGTACTGGCGACAGATATACCAAAGAGGCAGATGTCGATCAGCTTGTTTGGTATCCTTACATCGACCGCAAAGATGTCGGACGAGAAGCGGTTGATGATGCGGCCGACAGGAGTGGTGTCAAAGAATGCCATAGGTAATCGGAACACCTTTTCGAGAAGATGACTGTGGATCCGCTCCGAGGCCCTGATTCTTGCCACGGCAAGTCCTAGCCAGGTTATGACCATGTAAAGTAGCACATACACCAGTGTCAAGGAGGCATACACACCCAGGAACATAAACACGGACTGCGACTCGCCGTCTTCGGTTTCCTTGGAGACTTTGATCCAATGCTTCAACCACAGGCTGGTCGAGACGAGACATCCTTGAGCAAGCAGAAATAAAACGACAATTGTCGCCGTTATTCGGTATGAGCTATGGCGGTTATATGAATTTACAATATGTTAGTTGATATCTTGGATCGCGCACAACCTGTAATGACTACATGCGCGGATCAACCTCGACGGCAAATTGTTAACTTACGCTTCCTTGGCATAGTAGAGTACAACGTCAAACCCAACTTCTCCCTCCTTCATCTTTTCTGCACCGATGAGGACAGCGTTGGTGTTCCGAAGTGGCTCAGAGGGTCCCTTGGCTTCGTCGTCAGAGGTATCCTGATCTGTGACAGCCTCTCCCACAGTGCTTGGATTCTCCGAGTCATTCTCTTCTCCTGTGGCAGACACACCCTCAGCCGGAGTGTCCTTGCTCTGGCGCCTCTTGATTGTGGTATGCGACCTTCTCCTCTCCAAAACCGTGTACTCCTTGATCAAGCGGTAAAAGTCCTTTTTGGAACCCATAAGGTGTGAGTAGTCCCCTCGCTCTTGGATAGCTCCGTCCTTGATAACCACAATCTGATCCATCTCGCGAAGGTGATGAGTGCCATGAGTAACGAGGACTCGAGCCTTTTTCCCGAGCAATCCTGAAGGTCCTATAAGATTCTCCCAGAGATGATGGTCGACGTGGGCATCGACGGCGCTCAGAGGATCGTCCAAAAGGTAAATGTCGGCATCGTCGTACGCCGCACGGGCCAAAGATACGCGTTGTTTCTGGCCGCCAGAGAGATTTATCCCGCGCTCACCGATTTCTGTCATGTCACCTCCGGGAAGCATCGCAATGTCAGGCTCCAATCCACAGGCAAATAGGACGTGTCGGTACTTGGCTTCGTCGTATTCGTTCCCGAACAAGATGTTGTCCTTCAGTGTGGCATTGCAGATCCAGGCTTGCTGAGGGACATAGGCCACTAGTCCACAGAGCTCCACCTGCCCCTTCAGCTTGTACATGTCTCCAATCATCGCGGACAATAACGACGACTTGCCCTGACCAACCCGACCGACAATAGCCGTTAGACTGCCCTGCGGAACCGTGAGCTGGATCGATTGAAGGGTTGGGACCAAAATATTGTGTGGGTCGTCGTTTGTCGCTAGTAGGGCGGTCCGTTCATCTGGGTCCGGTCGAAGCTCATACTGTGATGGTGACGCCCATGAGAAAGAGGCGTTCTTGATCGAGATGACAGGGTCGAGTGGATTTCCCGGAAGGAATTCCGAACGAACAACATCGGCTTCGTTGACTTCTTCCTTGAGCAGGAACTGCTGGATTCTCCTTGTGGCGACAAGAACACCGATGGTCGAGGTGGTGGCATCTGAGAGACTGGCGATCGGTCCCTTGAGCATTGCAAACAGCGTCATTGACACGAAAACTGTCTGAGGTGTGAGAGTCCCTGGAGTGAAATTTGGTCCGCCCCAAAGAGCATAGACAGCAAAGGTAACAAGACTGATGATAAGGGAGGACGAGATAAAGATGATCGACATGAAGGCCTCAACGACTCCGATACGGCGGAGATATGCCAGCTCTTGGTTCCGGATCTCGAGGATGCGGCGTAGAAAAGCAGTTGACCAGCCGTAAAGTTTGACGATCTTCATGGACGAGAGGACTTCGGTCGTCAATCGCATCCGCTCGTCCATGGCCTTGAGCTTCCCGCTTTGAATACTCTGGAAAACACGCGCCTGCCAAGCCTGTAGGGGTAGGAGAGATAGCATAACGAGCACTCCCGCCAGCATGGACCAGCCCAGGAGGTTGTAGAGCATCTTCATGGAAATGAAGAGCGCCAGGGGGATCTCGATCCACATGGAAATGTACACGATTGCGTTCCACCATTGATCGGCGTCAACTGACATGTGGTTGGCGATTTTTCCACTGCTCGCCTCGTTCCTCGATCCTGCAGAGAGACGGAGAGCCTTGCGATAGATCATTGAGATGAGAGCTGATCGACTGGCAACGCCGAGGGTCAGCATCTGGTAGCGGTTGTAGGTGTTCAAGAGCGAAGCAAATAGGGACGCGGTAAACATGCCGAGGGCTAGAGTGACTCCGTAGGAGACTGGTTTGGACTCGTGATCCTCCAGATAACCGAGGAGCTCCTTCAACAAGACCGGTAGCGTATAGGAGAACAATACAATGGCGACGCGACTCAGTAGGACTGGTATTAACATCTCCCAACTGTTTTTGAGGACCGTCCAGAACAGCGATGGCGATGTCTCCTTTGAGGTGGTGGATGAGGATCGCTTGTGTCGCTGGAGTGCCTCGTCCCAGGCGCGTGAGAGTCGTTTGTATCCAGTGTATGCTTCAAGTGACTTTGGGAGCTGGCCTTTGATGTCTTCCGCTGTGAGGATCCGATCGAGTCCGATAGAGATGATGGGTGTGAAGAACCAGAATGTGAGGCGTGAGAGGAGGTTTGCCTTGCCATACATGCCGACATTACTTGAGCGTTGAATACGGGTGTTCCCGCGAGGCCAAGCCTCAACAATGAATCCTGTGGTCAATGCTAGGGTGAAAACGACCAGAGGTGTGACAGAGTAGTCGGTTCCTGATCCTGGATCCAGTGCTGTTTGGAGGATGGCGAGAGCGCCACAGATGGAGGTGACATAAAATGCGAATATGGCGCTACTCGATCGAATCTCGTAATGGTGCTCATATTTATTCAAAATGGCGGCAGCGACCTATCCAAAAATATTTGCTGTTAGGTTTGTGCATAATATGTTTTGTGGTGCAAAGTCACTACCATGAAAAGGGGGAGAGACTTACCCAGGCTGCTCCCATGAGTGTGCAGCTCCAGGCAGAGACGACTGGAAAGTCCTTCATGGCGAAAAACTGGTATGCCAAAGTCCAGACGGCGATGGCTGCAACGATCATAGAGATCTGGGTAGGCCAGTAAATCCAAGCTGTTCTTCCTAGGCCATGCGGTTTGGCATGATGAGTCAGATAGTGAATCCTGGCCAAGAATCCAGCGATAGCAACAGTTGCCATGCCGCAAAAGAAGACACTATGGATAATGATGGGAATCATTGACTCTTACAGTTAGATAGATAGTTCCAGTGCATATGGGTTAAATAATTGAACGATATTTACTGTTAACTGCCGTACCTGTACTCGAAGCATGGCGTCAGGTCATATCGATCCGGACTCAGAGGACCCTATGTTGGTCGTGGACCCGATTAATATGTGAGAAGGAAGGCACTTTTTCCTTTTGAACACTTTTTTTTGGTGCAGAGATATTCGATACGATTCGACCACAACCTTACCCATCCTTCGTGGTGTGTGCAGAGACCGGCCATTGTACGATCGGACCCTATGTAGGCCAAGGTGTGTCCGAGTGATTGGGCGGTAGTCTGAGGGCGGGTGCCTTGAGGTCAATGGTTGTCGCTGGAAGATAATCGTATAAATCGAAGAGGGTGATCAGGACCGAGGAGGAGAGAGGTAAAGGGAGCAAGTTGGCAAGGTGGATGGATTATTGTGTGGCCAGATCTCGAAGAAGTTGAAGAAGGAAGAGCGCAGAAGGAAGTGGAAAGCAAAGAAAGACCGAAGTACAATCGGTTTATCCAAAGGAAAAAAAAAGGTGAGTGACTGCTTATTAAACTAATAATGGGAGCTCCATGGGAAAAAGGGTAATTCGAGGCAAACTAAAGAGCGGATAAACATGGTTCATGGTTTGATTAGCTCAATTAAGTCAACGGACCGAACATAGTAGCGGGCCTCTTCGACTAGCTTCACTACCACTAGCGATATTCTTTGTCGGCTGTCTATTCGATAGTCGTGATGGGTACAGTACATGTACAAGAAAGGGTTTGTTTAAATGGAAGTTCATTCTTCCTCGCACGCGTAACAAGCCTAACATTCGCTGCTCAATAATACTAACCGGTCCTGAGTTTGGGATGATAATTCACTCTGACCACAATGGTGGGTGAAGGTTGAAGCGACTCGGAAGACAAGGGTGCCAGCCTTGCAGACCGGATGACTATCGCGACCCGAATAAGTTTCGATTCTACCGTGTCCAATTGTTGTCACCGTATCATCTGAGTGCACACCCCACAGACAGGATCTGCTGGGTGACGAAGACCCTCGCCCCTCACGACGATCGCTCTTCACTCCATCTCTTTGTCTCGTTTATCACACAACACTAAAGGAATTAAGGCAGGACACAAGAATCCATCCTCACCGTCAGGAAAAAAATAAAATGTAAGCTGCCAAAGAACGAACTGAGGAAGCTATATTCCGACAACTAACATGCGCCTGACAAGTGGAAACAAATCGAGTCTCACAGTAAAAGTGCGAACGACAAGGACTTGCAATACCTCCCATGCTCTTTTTATTTGTGTATGCACATGGGTAGTGGTCAAAAATATCCTGGTGGGTAAGGATCGCTTTCAGGGTCAGAAAGAATGCAGTGCATTACACAATCGAGGTAATCTATCCGACAACGTCTTGCAAACTTTTCACGACAGGATCCTCGTCGACAGGCCTGCTGGCAGGCTAATATGGACCTCTGGTGGCAAGCGTCACTTTGCGCCTGGCAGTCATCTTCTGTACATCCGCTGTCGCCTCTTCGGCCAAGAGGATGGTCGCCTGTAGTGGCTGTACCATTTGATACTATTGCTACGTGATGGCTACCGTTGTCTTTGATGATATCGGGAGAAAGTGGTTGGATTTGTGGGTATTGATATTGTAGGGTTGAAGCTGATTCCTGACTTATTGGGTCCGGTGTGTGATGTTGCTGCTGTGGTTGGTGAATTAGTTGTTGCCGTGGAGGTGGATGTGGATGTTGTAGCGACGATGGTGATAGCGGTGGCGGTGAGAGGCGCTCTGTCGATGTGGGGGAGGTAGAGAAGGACTCGTTTGCTTGAGGGTGAACAGGAGTAGCTGAGGGGATGGCGGGGTGTACAACGGGGAGACTAGCAAAGACGAGGCAGATGAAGTTGTAGAAGAAGTGGAGGGGAAATAGGCTCGAAGAGGACTTTATCAGGGGCGACTTACCGACAAAGAGCACAGACACACATTTGACAAGAGAAAGAAACAAGTAAAAAGGCGTCTCTCGCACCTATTAACATTGCCACGACAAGAAAAGGAGAAAACAGGAATACTCTTTGACGATGAGCAGCGATTTTTTTGTTGTTGTCCGTGTGTCTCCTTTTCCGCAACAAGCGGGACCGTCCTTTTACCCCAATTAAAGCCTTTCATGCAACGGCAACAACAGTAACAACAAGATCAAACAAAAGAAAGTAGAGACAGTCCAGCGCGATCCCAATCTGTGCTGAGCCCTCCTCCTGGAAGTATGAAGAAAATGAATGGACCAACATGTTTAGGGCAGCTGTGGATACATTTATTACAAGTATCCGTGTCACTTATCGGCGTCTGGAGAGAGCGGTCTCTGCAAGAGCTAAGATGGTCCCTACACCAGAGGTCGATAGACTAACGCTCTCGGGGATGTACCGGAAGACCTGGGGTAACAGAGCGCAGTTCTTCATGAGGACGGGTTGGCGACTAACGTGGTTCACCGCAGTCTCAACAGCTTCCTTGGCCAGTCCAACGAGACCAGGGTTAGCAGCATGAAGATTGGCGGCAAGGGTCTGGCTGAGGAAATAGGTTATGGCAAACTTGAAGACAAAGTAGGAAAGTCCAGAAGTAGTCTTTCGGGAAAGGAGACCGGATGGCTGGGTCTGGTCGTGCTTGTGCAAGCGTGATCGGTCAACGTTGAAGAGTTGGGAGAGGAGGGTAGGGATGACAAACAGGGTTCCATAGTATGCGAAAAATGGCTTCAAGAAGTTGGGCCAATTGGTCAAAAGGTTTAAGCAAGAGAACCATCCCTCTCCGTGCTATATGTTACGTGAGCGAGCAAAAGGAGAAGTGGGTTAGTAATAACTTCAAGTGCTTTTAGTTCCGGAGAGGTATAAGGTATGCAAAAGAGATGCAGGGTGCATGAAATAGAGGGAAGGGGAGAGAGAGAGAGAGAGAGAGCAAGGTACCTGGCTGCTCTGAGCGAATGCCGATGAGAGAAAAACTGTCAGCTCGAGAAGGAGGGTGATCCAGACAAAACCCAGACTGTTTGAGCCCAGATCATGCAACGTTTGCCACTTGTTGGATGTGCAGGAAGCACAGTTCGCGAAACGGTGCTTGATCATGCTACAGACTTTGTCGCAAAGACTCACATGCTCCTTCTCGCCATCCTGGCCGTGACGGCAATAGCGGCTGTGACGATGGTGATCGCTATCCTCGTCTGCTTGGGAATGATAGGACCCGCCATGGACGCTCTTGCCCTTGTTGCCCGACACGGCTCCAACAACGTCTTCTATAACGTTAACAACGCTAGAGGTCAAATCCTTGGAGGCCCGCCTTATGGTCGCCTGTCCAGACTGCAACTTTTCGTGGAGGGTATGTTCCAGCGAGATTGCAAGCTCCTTTGCGTCATGGATATCGGTTTGTAGGTCTCCCATGAAGTTGCGGACCAGGTGCTCCGACAATGGATCCTCAGCACTCTCAGAGTCGGAACCACGTCCAAATCTATTCCATCAAAGGAATGCCATTGTCAGCCGACTAATAGCAACCGCTGGTGTACGGTCCAAAAATGATCAACGTTAGAAAAAAGAACAAGAGCTTGTTGACTCACTTGGAATTGCTAGTTGCAGTAACATGCATGGTCGATTTTTTGGGTGATGAGCGCCTTGAGCGAGTTCGAACACCCCCATCAGAGCTATCGTCGTCATCACCCTCGGCGGCGGAGGAAAGGCTAGGTAGACGGCTACTATCGTTTGAGCGGCGACTGCTCGCTCTTGGACTCTCCTCGCGGAGAAGATCACGAAGAGATGGATCACTGGTGCCATGTTTGATAACATGTTGTCTGGAGACAGTGACAAAAAGCAGACAACATGTCAGTTAGTTGATAGTTTCTCAACGCAATAATGGTACCGTATGAGGAGAGAGTCATTACCTAATTCTTTCGACGAGTTCTTCTCGAACGCCTCCAGAGGAAATGCCCAGACTGGAGGCCAGCTCTATTGTGGAGGTAACATCAAACGTGTTAGTAGGTAATACTGCATAGAGCTGTGGCAGTTATAATTCACCACAGACGTACCCTTGAGCTCATGCTTGCGACGTTTTGAAAGTGCACTTGACATTTGGTTGTTTTTTAATTTAGAGGAGGAGGGGTGGACGAGAGACGGCGAGAAGGAGTTATGAGAATTAAGAGATGTTGTAAACGGCAGAAAGAGAGGGGTGAGGGGTGGGGGAAGAGGATGAAAAAAACGGTTAAGACAACAAGGCGGCATGAGTTCGTGTCAGTTTGTTGTTAGTGGTTGGTGGAAGGGTTTTTTTTCTTGTGTGGATGAGACCCGGGCGAGAAGAGAGCGAGACAGATCAAGAGAGAATGCGACCCAGAAACACGCTAAAATTGGCCAGGTCAGCGCGAAACAGGATAAGGTCAGCGATGTCATATCTGTCTCTCTCTCTCTCTCCTCTCTCCTCTCTACTACACACAACGTCTTCGTCTTTGTTGTGTTCATGGATGGGTTACGAGTGAGTACAGTATGTACGTGGCCATGCACTCATAATGAATGAAAGGCGACGACTATGGGGTTTATTTGGCACACAGGGCGACGACTACGCCTAATCATGCATTTGCCACCAAAAAGTCAACTCGAAGGTGTCAGTCACGTGTATTCGGTCAAAAGTAGGGTCTCTCAAAAACAAGTCTACAGCTCCTTGTTCTGCTCTTCATTTCAAGTTCAAACAGGAACAACAGCAAACAGCAATCCGTTCGCGCGATTCTTGGCAGACCATGGACGAATTCGACTCGCTCACTGACGTATGTTGCCACTCCTATTGCGCACACAAAGGTCATATCTGAACCCAGCTATGTGAACGTTGAGTGGATTGCCACACCAGGAACACAGTTCACAATCGAATCTAACACCAAGAAACCAACAACAATGCACGCATCCGTCGTCTTGTTTTCCGCCACCATTAGGGCGTCTTCTTTGTCCCTCCATCGACTACCGGGAAGACAACAGGAAATAGTAAAACAAAGTCAGGGAAAGTAGTACAATGGGGTAAGATCCTAGTCACCAGTGTCCGTGCTGGCACCCATTCTCAGAGGACCAAGGTTGGCACCTAACTGTCCTTACATTACACCAATCAATGTGATATAGACCACTTCAAGCGGGATGGCTTCCAACAACTCAAGGATGTCAGTGAGTCAATAGAAGCTATGGAGATCAGGCATGATCTTTTCAACCGGGAGTGGGAGCTGATGACTGGGAGGATCGAGAATGTCATGCGGAATATGAACACTGTGGTTTTATCGGCCATCTACAACTTTGTCCACAACGCCTACTCTCGTCAGTCCAGCAAGTATGTGTGTATGCCATGCAAGGTCTTGTTGTTTTGTTGACAAGCAAAATTTCAGGACTATTTTCTAGTGCACATGTGGAGGAAGCGCCTATTAATTATGCGCATCTTGCTTTTTACAGCGCCGCAATGCCATTCTTAGAGCTGCCCACAGGATTGATCTTTGCAGGAATCAATGTCCCGGATCATGACCTTCTCTTTCAGCAGATCGCCCAGACAATATCATCTTCAGTACCACCCTCATCAGGACCTCTGGAAGCAGAGGATATGGAGCCGGACCACAATAAAACAGCTTCTGCCAGCTCCGCGAGTCATGTTGTTATCCTGCAGTCAAAGGATTGCACCAATCTGAAAAGTGCCCAAAAGTCCATGATCGAGCAGTTCCTTGGGCTAGGAATTGCAGGAGCCACCAACCCATTGGAGGTATTTCGACTCTTGTTTGGACCTCGTCTTGCTAATACAGTGCTCCATGGAAAGGACGCGTCGTTATTGTAATTCGGTTGTTTACACCTTCTCCCTTGACAACTCTTTTGACTAGGGTGGAACGAGGCTGCAGAACTACGATATGCTTGTCCTGGAACGATGGTACCAGTCATTATGCGAATCCGACGACGGTGCGGGCGAGGAAAGGAAACAGCCGACGTTGGTCGTTATCCTGCAGGACTTTGAAAGTTTCGATTACGACACCCTCCAGGACTTTATCACGATCTGCAGCAACTACCAGGACAGAATACCGTTTGTCTTGCTGATGGGATTGGCGACTTCAATTGATGCGCTTCACCAGGGGTTGCCCAAGGCAGTGCTGAGTAGACTGCAAACCAGGAAGTTCCAAATGCAGCAGTCGTCCGAGTGTCTGACAGCGATTATCGAGGACTTGTTTATCCATGCTAACGTGGGATTAATGGTCGGGTCGCTACCTCTCAAACAATTGATCGATCAGTTCATCCACTACAATTTTTCTGTGGGGGGGTTTATCTCCAATCTGAAGGTAGGTGCATTTCTGGAATGACTGTTGGACGGACCTGTAGACTGGATAGATGGACCTATATACTGACGTGGTTTGCTTTCTGTTTGCATGTATAGTACATTGTAATGCATCACTTTTACGCCAACCCATTGAGTATCCTATGTGACCGGTCACTCACAGCACAGAGCAAGGCACTGGATCTTTTAACGTCAGGGCACTTTGATCACCTTCGAATGCTTCCTTCCTTTCAACAGTAAGATAGCAACTTCATCCGCCGACAAAGTGCTAATTTATACCGCCCATGATATCTCATTACTTGAACGTTCTCTTTTTAACAGTGGCTTCTTACTTTGGGTACGCTAGATACGTGGAAGGCAAGTTGGAGGGTGACCCACAGGAAGCGGAGATGTTGATCTTGGACGACGAGTTCTTGGTGCAGCAGATTCCGGATTTGGTTCAGGGCCTGTGCGAATATCATCAAAACTTTGGGATGATCTTTGACTTTTTGTGGTTCCTTCAGACCCGGTTCTCGATTTCATTGCTCAAGAAACCCAAGCGAGCACTCTACTTTATGGCGCTCGAGGGCAGTCTTATCAACTCGAGTCACATCCCGTTCTTGCAAAGTCTTGTCCGGTAAACGTTATGTTCTTTACAACTCTCACATGGCATGTATCTTGCTGATGACAATGGCCTAACGTCATAATTGGACTTGTTTCTTTTTGTATAATAGAAAACTGGACTCGAACAATATGATGATATTTGTTGAAGATTGGCTGCAGCTCTTCAAAGAGTCGCCACGATGTGTACCAAAGGAATCGACGGCGCTGGAGAATGCCATGGACAGAGAACTGATTGTGGTGCAGAGTATTCGGGACCGGATGGGAGCTCTCTTGGACATCGTCAGCGAGGATTCTGTCACCAGCAGCAGTGAGGTTGAGGACAATGGTGAGGAGGCAGAAGAATCCTCCAAGACGTTGAGTGGAGGATTTGTGAAGAAGCGGAAACTGGTCAGTTTGAATGTGTACGCACACGAGACTGATGGTCGACAGACCAGGATTGCAAAGAAGACGCGTGAGACTACCAGGATACCCAAGGGCGCTTTAGGAGCATACACGTTACTAGTTAAGGAGATTGACGAGACCATTTCACGACTCTTCAGGTATCTTTCTTCACGCGGTCCGGATGTTTACGTGTCCACCTTAAGTACTGACGTTGTATAACCAGGTTGTGCTAAGATTGACATGATTCGTGTTTCTTTTTTTGTAGAACATACTTGGTGTGCCACACAACCATGCCATTGAACGAGATTTATTACTACTCACAAATCGCCATTCAGCAAAAGGTACAACAACAAATTCTTGTGCCATTTTTTTAAACTTTTGAGTAAACCATTTAGATACCGTACTAAACTTCACCCATTTTTATCTCAACCATCTATAGGCGTTCTTGCCACAGCCACGCGCTTCGATTCAGACGGCATTGGGTCAACCAGAGGTGTATCTGAACTGCGACTGTTGCCGCCCACCTTCTGGGAGCGCAGGCCAGAGCCTGGCGGACATGGTCCTCCCAACGCAGCACGACACCTGCATTCTCTACAAACTATATGTGGAATGTGGGCGGATGATTAATATGTACGACTGGTTCACGGCCTTTGGGATGATCCTTGAGCGTGGAGAGCAGCCTGGTGGTGTGGAGGAACCGCTGGCCAAGAAACGAGCAGGAGCCAAGGGCAGCCGTACTGGATCGAAAGCCAAGACCAAGGCGAGCAAGCTGGACCAGAAGGAGGTGCAGGCAAGGTTCATTAGTGGGGTGGCCGAGCTGCAGTTTATGGGGTTCATCAAGTCGACCACTCGGAAGACGGATCATGTCATGCGACTCACTTGGGGAAATATCTAAAGTCCGTTAATACATTCGCTTTTTCCATATTGCATTTAGTTTTATTTGTTCATTAGTTTGCTAAGCAGTGCAAAAAGGAGGGTGGCAGAGTACGGTTCATTGACGCTTTTTTACATGGCAAGAGTACCACGAGTACGACGCATGCCGGGGAGTTGCTGTTGACCCTCGATGTGCATGTCAGTCATATCAAACGCCGTGCTGGCCCAAGGAGCAGCGACAGGCATGGCGGCCATGGCATTAGGGTCCTCATGCAGGGGTTGTCCGACTTTGAGTTCCATATGCTTGATTGGATCGAGGACACAGAGACCGTCCTGGTCAAATATGACACGGGATGTGCGGTTATAATGACCCTGGTTCTTCTTGCGCTCGTTATCGGCTTTAGTTTTCGCATCGGGTTTGACCTTGCTGGTGACAAAGGAGGTTGCAGAATCGATGAGAGCCCCAAAGGTGTTCTTGCCGGTTCTGATGCGTGTGTCCCTTATGGAAGTGGCGAGGGTCTTATCGCCCGAGGTGAGGGCTTCTTTGATCTGAGTCTCGAGTGCGCTGGCAATGGACTTTTTGACAATTGTCCTGATGAAGGGCTGGGCAAAGGCGTACAACGCACTAGTATGAAAGTAAATGCAAAGGTTAGTGAAAAAACAAAAATAGTGACAAGCGGGCTAAATAATGAAGTGAGGGTGAGAAGGACTTACGGGTGCTCGGAGTGGCGCATCTTGATAGAAAGTGAGTGGATCTTGACTTTGACGTTGTCAATGGTAACAAGAGAAGGAATCTCAGTTTCGGGGGTCTTACGACCCACGACCTTGACGTCCATACCCTTTCTATGGATCAAGATGTCCGCAATACCATGGTCCTTAAACTTGAACCCTTCCTTGGTGCGGACAAAGTAGTCGACATCGCGGATATTGGCCTCCAGACCCTTGATGATCATGTTGAAGTCATGCTTGTCGGCATCCTTGGACCGGTCGTTCTTGTTGGCACCGCGGGGGACCATCCGGAACTGGTTGTTCATATTGACCTCAAACAGGCGAGGAAGGAGGTCGGTGCTGGTGAGGATTATGTTGTCAAACATGAGGTCGACCTTCATATCAGAGTACTCGATGCGCGGGATGGGGATGAAGTGGAAGGACTCGAGCATTGCCGGCATGAAGACATAGCGGAAGTCGTCAAACAGGTGAGGCTTGAACTTGAGCTTCCCGCGACTAACAGATGGTTAGAAACGAGAGAAGGAAGTACTGTTTTAGTCAACATGCACAATCGACAGTATTTCACAGGAAAATGATAGTTCGCATCCACAGCATACCTGTCGTAGAAGAGGTGTGTGGCAAACTTTTGAAAGTTAGCGGCAACCTCCTGGGCCCTGGGGTCGGTGTTAAGTTTCTCAAGGAAGATCTGGCCTTCGTTAAGGACAGCGTCTGTATCGGCCTTGTACTTGACATTGAGGAGGGCACGGCCGTTGTCGATGAGGGCCCCGGCATCAGAATTAATGTACTGCGAGGTCATATAGTTGGGCTCACGGACGGCTCTGGTCATAAACACGGACATGTCGTTGGCAAATTGGTTCAACTCGGGGTCGGCCCTGGTCATTGCCCACATGTTTTGGATATGGGAAATGATAGGATCGAGACCATACCCCTGGGCCCAACGCTGGAGAATTACTTTGAACTCGAGAATCGCCGCCTCCATATTTGGATCTGAGCAAAAACGAAGAGTACAATGGTTAGTAAGACTTTTCAAAGCTGAAATTAACGTGATGAGGAGCAAAGGGCGATTGAAAATATACCTTGAATGACCTTGGTGGCTTCAGTAGTAATATTGCCGGCGGGTTTCTGAGCACGCTGGCGCCAAGTACCGAACAAGTTCATGATCGAGTCGATAGTACTCTGGTACTGGGGGTCAGCCTGGATCTGACCAACAATAACCTTGAGACGCTCAATCAAATAGCGGCGCCTCTCGGCGGGCAGCTTGGAGTTAGCATAGACCCTGGCGTCTTCTTGAGCTTGAGTGGCATGCGCCTGGGCGCTGGCTTTGAACTCGTTGGTCTGCTGAGCAAGGTGCTTTTTCATCTCGGTAGCTCGCATCTGGGCATAATCCTTAGAGGAGTTCGACTGGTCGGTAATGTTCTCAAAGGTCTCACTGGCGGTGTTGATGGGATCCTCTTGCGCGCTACCAATGACATTTTGAACGTTGTCATTGGCCATTTGAATCCTGTCCTGGAGCTTGGATTCACCAGTCCGGGCGGCTTCGGCGGCGTTGGCGGAGATCACGTTAGTTTTTGCGGAAAGTTTATCGCCGGCCATGGAGGCAGTCTGGGCGAGCTTTTCGGCACTGTCGCTAAAGATCTCCTTGGCGAGCACGAAGAGTTCTTGGAGGATGTTTCGGAAGTCAGCGTTGGTGGTGACCAGCTTGGCAACGGCGACCATGCTATCGAGAGTCTCCTTGCCCTCCTTCTTGGCCTTTCGGGAGCTGACGCCAACACTCATGTCGGGGGCTTGAACATTCTGAGCGCCGACAGAGTCTGAGACCTGGGTGCAATGGTAGATAAAGTTCTGGAAAAGCTCTTGCTCGTTCTTCTCGTAGACGATCCCTCGGGTGGTTCGCATGAGCTCCTGGAAATCCTTGTAGAGGGACTGGCCGTCTGCTGAGAGCATGTGGGCACGAGACTCGAGGGAGGTGGAGGACTGGGCCATGGCGAGGAAGTTGTCGATCTGGTCGTTGGTGGGCAGACGGCCCTTGACCAGTGCTTGAAGGCACTCGAAGAGCTTGAACTTTTGGTTGCGGTCGACTTCTTTGAGCTGCTGGGGGATGTTGGCACCGCTGTCCGGGATGGGAACGTCGCGGAATGAGGACTGGCCTTCGGGGGCGTAGGTGGACATTACTTTACGAAAGGGATAGGGTTGGCTGGCGACGGTGAGCGAGAGAGGAATGGGAGGTTGGGTTGTGGAAAGGGTGTTATGCTAATGTGTAGGGTGTAAAAGATGATCAGTCGGCGAGAATGAGTTGGAGCTCCGGGCTCGTCGCGACTTTAAATACGCGCGCAAATGACACCCGCTGTCCATCTCTCTCTCTCTCTCTCTCTCTCTCATTTTTTGCTCATTTCTGGGTCATTTTCGCGACAGCAAAAATCAACTGTTGACATCATAATGAATTATTGAAGACCTGATGATCCTGTCACTGCAGAGCTTGTCCAAGACAGCAGTTGGCTGGGTTCCAGTATTTTAATTTTGCCATTTCCCACAAAAAATGAATGACATGCAGGTTTATGCAGGTCCAATGCACCTTTATCGAATGTATTGCGGCCTACCTTGAAATGGGAGGTTGGTGCGGTAGCTGCTGTTGCGGTGGGTGGGAGCGAGGAGCGAGGGCGATGGTGATAGGTAAAGAGGAAGGGTGTGACGGGAGGGTTTGAACGGTGAGAGTTAGAGCAGGAAAATGATCCCTTCTCATGACTCTTTAGTACCTCTTTTTTTTCGGGAGGTCAATTGAATCCCTCGTTCTGTTTTTCCAAGACACACTACAACGGTTGTTGCCAGACTCGTTTGTCTTGCTTGAACGACCATTGATTACGATGAAAGCGGTACGTAAGGCACAGGTTGTCGCCACCTGGTATGAGCTGGAATATGCGTGCCATACCTTGTTCTTTCAGATTTCGTAAAGTATCTTTTTTTTGCTTCTTTCTTTGCTTCTTTTTGTGATGTAACGTTTCATATTCCAATCTCACGAAAATAGCAAAAAAAATATGAAACGAATAACAAACAAATGGTGTGAGTGAGAAAAGCAACTCGAAATTTAATGGTGGGTTATCTATGCGTTGTTGAAAGTGCTGGTGGCAAGGGTGAGAATAGAGAAGAGAAGTGAGAGAATTAAAAGTGGATGGGCTTGTCATGGGTGGCCATGGCAGCCTCCTTGAAAGCCTCAGAGAGGGTAGGGTGGGCGTGGCAAGTGCGGGCAATATCCTCGGACGATGCGCCATACTCCATGGCCAAGACACCCTCAGCAATCATCTCTCCGGCGTTGGGTCCCATGATGTGGATTCCGAGAATACGGTCAGTCTCCTTGTCGGAGATCATCTTGACCATACCCTCAAAATCAGCGTTGGTGCGGGCGCGGGAGTTGGCGGCAAAGGGGAAGGTGCCGATGTTATAGGCGACGCCAGACTTCTTAACCTCATCCTCAGACTTTCCGCACCAGGCGACCTCGGGATGAGTGTAGATGACCGAGGGGATAACGTCGTAGTTGACGTGGCCGTGGCCTCCGTTAATGTACTCGACAGCGGCAATACCCTCCTCTTCAGCCTTGTGTGCCAACATGGCTCCGTAGGTGACATCTCCAATGCAGCGAATGTTGGGAACAGAGGTACGGAACTCCGAGTCGATGGGGATACGTCCACGCTCATCGACCTGGATGCCGACGTTCTCGAGTCCGAGGCCCTCAGTGTAGGGCTTGCGACCGATCGAAACCAAGACAACATCAGCCTCCAACTAATTTGCAGCAAAATAATTGTTGGTCAATAAACACGCATAACGCCATAACACAGAACGTAATTACAAAACGAAAGAAGCTACTTACAGTCTCGGCATTGCCACCCTTGGCAGCCTCGACTTTGACACCGACACGGCCGTCAGCAAGCTGCTCGGTTCCGATAACCTTGGTGCTCAACTTGAACTTGAAGCCCTGCTTGGAGAGAGTGCGGTGGAAAGCCTTACTATAGATAGAGAAGAAAGACAATTCGGTCGCTTGAGTAACCGATGACACGCGTGTCCTTAGGATTGTTTCGATAGCATATCAAACATGTCGTCGATGACAACTATTGCAGACTTACGCCATGTCACTGTCCATGCCGGCGCCGACGGCGCCGAGGTACTCAACAACGGTGACCTCGGCTCCGAGACGCTGCCAGACAGATCCCAACTCGAGGCCAATGACGCCAGCACCAATGACGACCATCTTCTTAGGGACCTCCTGGAGATCCAAAGCACCGGTCGAAGTGACAATCTTCTTCTCATCAATCTCAATTCCTGGGAAGCCCGAGGGGACGGATCCAGTGGCGATCAAAATGTTCTTGGCCTTCAAGGTCGAGACGGTGCCATCGTTGCCGGTGACCTCGATCTCGTTGGCGTTCAGGAACTTTCCAGTTCCCTTGTGGTAGGCGACCTTGTTCTTCTTGAACAAGCCCTCGATACCTTTGGTCAAGCCAGTGACGGCGGTCGCCTTTGCCTTCAACATGACGGGGAGGTTCAATGCAACGCTGCCGACTATTTATGTCGATTAGACAACAGTACAATTTTGAAACGGTTAATTCTCTTCAGCATAGGCGATCAAAAATAATAACCCGCTTAATTGACCTCGGGACAGATATTATCTGCTCCTGAAAGGTGCAAAATCCGTTTGTGTCGCCACCCTCAGCTAAGAAGAGCAAGAATAATGCCGATTGTGTATAAACTTGCCATCGATACCGCGCGCCTTGAGGTCGTGCTGGGTCTGGTGGTAGATGTGAGAGTTGTTCAACATGGCCTTGGAGGGAATGCATCCGACGTTCAAGCAGGTACCGCCGAGAGCGCCGCGCTTCTCAACACAGGCAGTCTATACAATACATGAATGCTAAGTATGGTGAGTGTCTCCTTCTACCGATGATGACGTTCGTCCGTGTAATTGCTTGCTGTCACCACCTGCGATCTAGTTGATAGCCATGGCCAGATCAAACACAACAAGATACAACAAAAGGGCCGTGAGTCCCAATATTTTGCATCCTTCCTTTCGTTACCTTGAGACCGAGCTGGGCAGCCTTGATGGCAGCGACATATCCTCCAGGGCCTCCTCCGATGACGAGCAAGTCCAACTCCTCTGTTGTTCAGGCAGTTATTACAAAAAGAAAACGATTAGTATTGAGTTTGTAGATTTGGGTTTTGAGCAGATTTGCAATAATATTTCTCACGGTAACCCGTCACCCTTCCCGTCACACCCCAACAAAAGCGATTGGATGGACGCGCTCATTCCTTATTATTGTTGTAGCCTTTGTTTCTTCTATGCGTTGATGGTTCCTTGTTCCTGGTCCCTGGTTCTCTGAAGGCGTATTACTTACCAGTGGCAGTAGAGTAGAGTCTGGGCATGGAGGTGAAGGCAGGGGCACGGAGAGTGCGCACATGGCGAGTGGCGATCTATGTCGTATTGATTCCGGAAGGAAGAGTGAGTGAGCGAGTAAGAGATCATGTGAAGAGTGCAAGTAAAAGTAAGGTTGGAAGGTTGGGAGGAGAGAGAGGATACCTGTGCGAGGGGGGTCTTGCTGGAGGCCAGGCGAAGCATGGTTGTGAATGTATGGGTAGATGGGAGGGGAGAGTGGTGATGTAGGGAAGAAGAAGAAAGGAAAAGAAAAAAAGTGCGCAAAGAGAGAGGGTGAAAGAAAAATAGAGGAGAGATAAGGCGGGTGATGATGTGGTGGAGTATGAAAAATTATATATGAGAAAAGAAATTCGAAAGATATCAGTGTATTGTGCTGGTGATGGGAAATAAAATAAGGAGCAGTTGTTGCTGTGATCCAGGATACAAGCTTGCCTTTTTATGTGTTTTTTTGTACCATTCTTAGCAATGGTTGCCCGTTGGGGATCTCAGCTTCACACCCTGCCCTTCCCGCGAGCAAAAACTGTTGGAGCACCGTCATTCGTTGTGCTATTCCACCGAGTCAGTCGCCTCAAAAAAACCCCATATTGAGTTCCCTCAATTGAGCACTGCACCCCATTCGACACATACAGTACGGAATGAGAGTGGTCCGTCCTCTTCCTCTCCTCGTCCCTTTCTCCACAACCTTCATGTGTGCTGGGGATCAACAATCAAAAGAGACAACTGCGCTCTGCCGGATTCACCCATTTGGGGAGTCCATTTTGCCCGCCGCCATTTCGCCCCGAATGTGTAACATCATCGTATTTGTAAGCATCGCATGTCCTGCGCAAGCAAGAGATCAAAAAAATGTCCGAGATTTGTCTTCTTGTTTCCTCTTTTGAGCGTTGCTGACAACAGGATACCCACATACATGTTTTCTGTTGTCAGCACCGGTTGGAGAATTACCCTTTGCCACCAAAAATATGTATTGATCAACCATCGACGTTGGCACGCATTACCCATATGATATCACTCATCAATCGCTCATGGGACCCTCAACGCCCTGCCATCGGTAGCCAATGGCAACAAGTATTTTACCTACGATCACTTCGACGCGCCTAGATAGTTACTGCATCTGTATACTACAATTCTTAAGCGCGGAGCGCTGGTTGACTTGTCTACTACCAAAGCACAAATAGGCCGGATACCTCTTTGTCCTCCTAAATGCAGTTTGTCGTACATGCCTCTAATGTAAGAACAAACCGGATATCGTCTTCTCTTTCTCCCGCGGATTGAAGAGTTGACTCGACTCCTGACGAGGACTGGACTCGTTGTCATAGATAAACTGAGGAGCATGGAATTGCCGCGCGCCTTTTTAATTGCAAAGCTAATAATGAAACTGCCTTCTTTCACTCAACTGGCACTGTAGTCTTTTGGAGAATTCGGATGAGAGAATCACTGAGAAACTATTTTCAAAAGCATTTATTCCTGGCTCTCCGTTTCCTTTACTCCTCATTCATGACTCTATTTTTTGAGGGCTGTGCAAGATCAAATTAGAAACATCTCCATCTGCTTCCTGTCTGTTTATATCACCGAACAAAAACATGTATACGGCCTGCGCCATGAGAGGCCTAAAATGTAATCGATTGCGGTTGAAGGGATGGATAAGAGAGGGTTGATGTTGTTGATGTTGTTTGTGTTGTCAAGGTGATGATAGTCAAGGACGAATACGACAGAGCGAATCGAGAACGAAGGGGGAGTGTGGACGGCGACAGAAAAGGAAGGAAAAGGAAGTAAAAAAAAAAAAAAAAGGCAGTGCAAAAGAGAAGTAGGCCCATTGGACGGCGGACAAAAAGACGAAGACAAAGAAGACAAAGGGCGCATGGCCATGCTCGCTCTGGACCGCGCCCTGTCGACCCTTCTCTGTGCCGTCTTGCATGTCAACTCAATCGTCAACACACTGACCCCTCTGACCTTTTCCCTTTGTTGTTCGACCCTCCCTTCCTCCTTCGCCCTCGTTCAGAGAGCAAAAGAAACCTGCTGGTCTTGTCCCTTTTCTGTTTTACTCTGTTTTCCTCTGTTTCCTCTGCTTTCCTCTGTTTCCCTATTCTTTCCTCCCTTTCACCTTTTTCTCATTCATTCACTCCTTCCTTCGTCCTTATCCCCTCTTCCCATTCTCATTCATAACCGTTTTCTCCTCTTTTCCATCAACTCAACCCACCCGCCTTCTTTTCGTCTCCTTTTTCATACCCAGCCTAGCCTCCACCTCCTCTCTTAAAACAGGAAGCGCGTCTATACTGCACCGCTTCCTTCAAACATTCATACAAGAGTAAAGACCCTACGGACTCTATCTTTAATCCTCTCCTCGCCTCCCCATCCTCTCAACCACCCTCGACCACTCTCAACTCTCAGCCATCATCACCTTCTCTCCTACCCCACCTACCCTCCACAATCCGCTTCTTTCATATCATACCCTATCGTCCTCACATTGCATACGCACTCAATGCGCCTCATTCTAAGAACACTTGTGGTCTTTGCCCTAGCCGGCGCTCATATCCAGAGAGCTTTCGGACAACAAACATCCTCAAATCCGGAGGCCACAACAACCAACGCGTTCATAACGGCAACACCCAAAGCTTCCCCAACAGGACAGCCTAGCGGTTCGTCCCCACTTCCCATCGGAGGGGTGGTGTATGCGTTTGATGGTACACACCTGTTCATTCTAGGACAGGCGAAAGGCGTGACTCAGTTCTTTACGTTGGACTTGAGCTTACCTTGGTCAGAAAACAAGCCAGCCTGGACGCCGCGCACACTACCTCCAGAGGGTGTGATAGGGTTAGCCGGCGGTCTTTCCCCTGACATGCGTTTCCTTGTAACGTCGAACGGTGATAGCAATCTTTTCAGCACCTACGAGTACGTAGACGCTGCGTCGCAACCGTGGATTACGCTAATCCAGAATCAGCCCTTAGTCAGCGTCCCTGGGCCCGTATTGGCTACCGACTTCTCTCTTCAAAGAGTGTACATGTACCTTCGTGACGCGAAAAATAATACTGGTAGAATCCACGTATATACTCCTGCGGATCCACATTCGTTAAAAGAAAATACTGCTTCGAACCCACTCAACGTTACACCTTCGGCAGTTTCCTGGTCCAACCATATCAACAGCGTCCTCATGACCTATAGCACACAGGGCAACAAGTCTCTGGAAGTCGGTACATTTTCATTTGGCGATACAACGCTTAAGCCTTTCGTGGCCACTGGGAGTCCCCTCGACAGGACAGGTCACTGCTTTGTTCCAAGTAAGCTTTCACCAACCCTTGTCGCTTTCGCACTTCCGAATAATGCGATGATAAATAGTGCTAACAGAGACGGTTGTATATGTTGCTTTCGAAATAGACACCAACGGATCGACTTTCTACGTCGTTGGAGGTATCACCACGCCTTCAAATATCTCCAGCGAGGTTATTTCCTTCGATGTCAACAATGGGACTTGGACTCAACTTACCCAACTCCCCAATACTGGTCGAACAAAAATGGCCTGTGCTGTACAGAAGGACACGCTTGTCATCTGGGGAGGTAAACACCAACAGTGCCCATCATTGACAGGACATGCAGTATCTGTAGTCATCTGCTTTCGTTGGCACGGAGAGTGACATGAACGCATCAAATGGTTAACGTTTTTTTTATGAACTGTAATAGGATTTACTGATGCTTTGGAGAGTATTGTCTCAGACGGCACCCCGTTATTGCTTGATATCACAAAAAATGTATGGATCCATGATTTTGGGAACTCAACCCAGACTGGACCTGGTTCTAGTCCGACCCTTCCAACCGAAAAGAAAGGTCAGTCCAATCTAGGAGCCATTATTGGAGGAATCGTTGGCGGTCTGGCAGTAGTCGCACTGGTGGCTGGGTTCTTTGTCTTTAGACGGAGAAGGGTACGCAATACGAAATCTGGGGCCCAGGTGCTTCCTAGAGGCGCACCACCTCCGCCGTCGTTGAGTGGGAAGAGTGCCGGCGGACAAGTCAATGTGCCCATGAATGAGTACACCACCATTAGCTCTCCATTTGTTGCTGATGACAACACGAGTTATCGGATATCGACAGGGGCCCCACCGCTGTACGGTGCTCCTGCGCTTCAGCCTGTCAGTGCGCCGTTGTCGAACCAGAACCAGAACCAGAACCAGAACGGATCGTTTCTTTCCCAGCCAGTGCAGCCTTATTCGATGCCCTTCCAGGCGCCCCCGATTCCTGTGCGGCCTTTGTCAGGATCTCCGAAGGGACCGACGATCGAGTCTCCGTTTGAGGTGGGGACAGAGTCGAGTGCGCACCATCCATTGTTGTCAGGATTGTCTGCTGGGCCAGTATCGGGTAGTATTGGTGGTGGTGGTGGAGATGGGCATTATCCTGTATCTGCTTCTGGACCAGGAGGAGCGCTTTCTCCGTCGATGGATGCGGCGTCGATGGATGCGGTGTCGGTGGACTTGATTCCGTGTGAGGCGAGTGAGGCGGGAGACCATGATCACTCGAGGTCGAACTCGATTGTGTTGAACCGAGCGGGTCCTCTTGTTCAGATTGGGTCATTGAGTGGGCCAGTGCGGGGAAAGAGCGTCAGCCAGGGCCCAAGCCAGGGCCCAAGCCAGAGCCATATCAACGGTCATAGCAATGGCCAGGGCAATGACAAGGCAGAGCTGGTTGAGGATGGGGTGGACGGTCGACGCGACTCTACGGAGACTCTTGAATACTTGGAGATCTTGTAGTCAATCAATTGTACAAAAAAATAATAATTTATTCTGGCCTGGCAGCAGGTCACCTGCTTTTGTTGACCTCTTGCACCTCTTGTCCTTGTTCTTGTTCTTGTTCTTGTTCTTTGTCCCATTCACATCACACTCGCATCACTCTCACTCTCACACAGCAACCCCATTACTCCTTAAACTCTTGTTCACCTCATACGAGTCATTATCGCTCTTTTCGTCACCAAAACCTTCATCTTGCACCCATCGCTCATATTCATATTCATATTCATTCCTCACATTCACAAACACACCCTTACACAAACACACACACACCCCTTACACAAACACACACTCATCCTCTTTTAACACCTGGTCTCATCCTCCTCTCCTTCAACTGATAACCAACCCAACTGGACAAACAAAACACACAGAAATAACCAGGAGAACAAGAGCGACAGGGACCGGATATGAACAGGAACGGCAACGCCAACAGCCTGCCTTTCCACTTTGGCACAACCTCCTCCAGTCAATCACGCACCACCAGGCCACCTCTCCTCTCCAGCAACTCCTCCACCTCCATCCCCGCCGCCATATCCAGACGCATCAGCCCCCTCAAGTTCCTCCTCCTCCTCGCCCTCTGTGCCTTCTCCCTCCTCGTCCTCTCCCGCCCCTTCTCCTCTACCTCTACCGACAATGGCCACCCTATTACCTCTACCGATGATGAACCCCAAGCAGATAGAAAGGACTCTACACCACCAGACCAACAACTAGAACGAGAACTTTTCGTCCAACAGATCCTTGACTCGCGCAAATCTGCCTACAGCTTCGATGACTTTACCGAACAAGGGCTTCTCCTGCCCCAGAACGAACACCTCCTGCCAGCAACGGCCATTCTCCTGGGCTGGAAACGCATCGACACCCTCAAGATGCTTGTCAGCTACCTTGTCCGATACCCTTACATCAAGGAGATCATTATCTGGAACAACAACAAGGACATCCAACTCTCCAAACGGGACTTTGAGCTTGATTCCAATGGTACTGGTGGTGCTGGCTTTGGTCCCTTGCCGGAACTGCAGGTGTACAATGCGGCCGAGAACCTGCGCGACTTTGCAAAGTACATGTCGTGCTCACTCGCAAAGTACGAGTACTGCTACTTTCAGGATGACGACTGGCTCAACACTCACATGGATGCACTCTACACCAACTTTTTGACCAGTCCTAATCTGATCCACACCAACACCCTACCGTTGATTCAAATGGAGCACCGCCGCTGGACCTTCACCAACGAAGGTATTTTTTTTTCTTTTTGTTTTGTTTTATTTGTTTGTGTTAGGCCTTGGAGTGTGAATGGGGGAAAGGAAGGGGACAACGGGAGGTTGGTGCTGGCTTTGTAGGTTTGTATATAACCTGGTAGGGGGAATGTGGGACTTGATTGGTTCGGAGTCCTGAGCGCACAAGTCCAAAAAAATGTAAGAAAGAAGGCCAACGATAAAAAGAAGGGGTTTAAAAAAGACGTCAAGAGACAGAAGGAAGGAGACAGAAAAGACGGGGGGAGACGGAAAGAGACGAAAGACGACGAAGATGAAGAAGAAGACGAAGGGACAGCGGTCATCATGGCCACCGTTCTCTACAAGGCAGTTTAAGCGAGCGAAAGAAAGAAACACAGAAAAGACAGGAAATTAAGCTCAAAGGGAAAAAAGAAAAGGCTAGTAGATGAGTAGATGAAGGCAAAGCCTAGTAAAGAGCAATCTGCCTGACCAAAGAAAGAGGAAGAAAGAAGGGGAAGGAGGGGTGTCGGTCATCCCTTGGACACGGTCTCCCAAAAATCACACCCTGAGGAACGGAAGGACAGTGACGACGAACCGTGCCCTCTGTCTCTCAATTCTTGTTTACTCACTCACAGTCTTCATACTTCTCAATAGATTACAACATGCACGCAGGATTCTCGTGGATGGGAACAGGATCGTACCTGCCCAGGGAAAAGGCAAGGCGCCTGCTCGAACAGCGAGGAAACACAACTCTCGCCAAGGACCGCTTCAAGGTCATCGACATGTACTTCTCTATCTGGACCAACCAGTACCCATACCAATTAGTCAACTACCTTACCCCTCTCGACCAAAAGAACGATTGGGGTACCGATCGTGTCAGCGACCACTGGAGCGTCGTCTTCAGGAACATGGTAACCGTCTCTTTTTCCCTTTCTTTTGTTGTCCGAACATTGCAATTCGCTCTCTTCACTTTTTTCTTGCTGCCCTCCACGGAGTACACACTCATATATTTCCCCTTTTCTTGCTGTTCAATTGAATATAGTTGGATGCAGCGGATAGACTGTACTCGATATTGTTGACAAACTTTGAAGTGACCAACAAGGACCCTTTTGCAAGGCAAGAAGAGGAGCCATACATTAGAGATCGCCACACCAGGTATACCGCCTCTCTACTATTACTGATTGGAAATGAAGTACACTGACTGCGAAAGAATTGCATACGTTTGAAAAGAATGCTTACATAATACCTTGTATTGCAATCGTTGGTCCTCAATGTTACAAAATAGATCACCGTGCTTCAATGACAAGTGCTTGTTTATGACGAGCTTGGATCCTTTCCCAGACCCGAAGGAGGTGGTTTTCAAGGGCGATTTGCGGACAATTGACGAGCAGGATGCAAAGTTCTTGGAGCTGGACTACCCCACGGCCGAGTTCTGGAAGACGTTTGCATATGTACATGCGGTTGACAATGACCCGTATACGTGCTGGAACAGTTTCAAGGCACCACAGGCTGGCGACTCGTTTGGCCTTCGGTTTGTAAAGCCTACGACGTTGAACCAGTTGACAATCACGTCGTCCAAAGCCCTGACTGGCCTTGAGGGCCAGATCACCGTCCTCGCCTCCGATCACCGTGGCATTCACTGGGTAAATATGTATATATTTGCCCTTGTATATTTCATCACTGTGCCACCTTTCTGTCTCTACATATCTGCATATGAAACTAACATACATCCAACATGCATTGAATTATTGAATTGAATGGGATCGACGCTACCTACTCTAGTCGACGTGCCAGCACACTACACGGTTCCCGTTTCCACACACGATGACGCTGGACATTTCGTGTCCGTCGACGTTGCAGTTACCTGAGGGGGCACTTCACCAGATCAAGGTCGAGTTGGATGTTGACCTTGAAAAGTCACTGGAGATCTGCGGGATGGATGCTGGTGGCATGGTCCTTTAGATGGGTTAAAGGTTGAATGCCTCTGTTTAGTAAAATGATAGCTCCAGAACTGTTTCGAGGAGGGAAGAGTAGCTGTGGATCGCAATGGCCTTATCCCACCCACGTCCCCAGGCTCTTGCCGTTCTTTTCGAACCAGTCACATTCACACTTTGAATAGACTTTGCCTGAAAAGAGTGGAAAAGAGCAGCATAAACGACAAGAGAAACAACGCTTTCCTCTCCTTCATTCCCACTCCCTCCACTGACTGCATCGCCACTCCATACTCTCATAGTCTCTTGCAGCGTTGTTCATCACTTCTCTTCCCCCCGCTCATTCTTTCTCTCATCGTCTTTATTTATTCAAACGAAATGACTCTCAAGGAATATACCTTCTGCTACTACGTGTCCGGCCATGGTACTTTTTTTTTTTTTTTTTTTTTTTTTACAACTTACTCCTCAAGAGAACTAAAGATAGACTAAGGAAGAACTCCTTCGTCTTTCAACGACTCGTCCCTTGTCTGCTCACTATCGACGCTATTATCCTATCCTCGGCGAAAAGTTCAATAGCTTCTATTCAACCAACCAACAACCCAACTGACCAAGTCTCTCTCTCTCACACACTCTCTTTCGCTCTCTATCTCTCTCGCTCGCTCGCTTGCATTTCATTCCATTCCATTCCATGCATTCCATCAACGCACGCATACACATGACTTTTGTCAAAAAACAGGATTCGGCCATGCAACGAGGGTTAACCAGATCATCACAGAGCTTCTCAAGTCAACAACAGTCGGCTCACCTATCAATTCAACAACATCAGTAGCAGCAGCGGCAACACCAAAAACAACTGGCACACGGATAACAACATCAACGACAACGACCGTCACCACGACCGTGACGAAAAGGTCGCGACACAAGATCTACGTCGTGTCGGATGCACCCCAGTTCATCTTCCAGGATGTGATCGATTTAGGGGCTGAATATCGTAACGCCAGAGTTGATGCAGGAGTTGTCCAACCGTTGGTAACAATGCACATGGTTTTTTTTCCGTCCTGATATAATCCCTTGGTTGTATGATCCAGTCTCGGCCTTTTAATCTGGATGGGATGATGGTCGACGCTTACCCCCTATTTTTATCTTTTATTTTCAATCGACAAAAGGCATACTCAGTCGATCGTCAAAAAACGATTGAGGGGGTCAAGTCGTTTCTGGCGAGAAGAGACGACATGATCAAGTTTGAGGTCAATTGGCTAAAGCAGGTCGGCGCCCACTGTGTCCTTACCGATGCACCCTTCCTGCCCTGGTAATCATGACCTTAAAGAAGGATATGGGTTTATTATCTATTTGGGCACAGACCCGGCTGGGACTAAAAAGGACTTACCCCCAACCATCGTCATTTCTCTATATTTAAAAATAGTGCTGCAGCTAACGCGATAGGGATCCCGGCATGCCTCATCACCAATTTCACGTTCGACGAGGTCTATCGGTATCTGAGAGAGGGCGACCCAATGGACAAGGACGTGATTGCCTGTGCGGACGCAGCGCTGGAAGACTACAAGAAGGCAACGCTCTTGTTGCGGTTACCAGGGTCGATCGACATTCCATCCTTTGAGAACGAGATCAAGTTATTGGAGGCCGATCACTTCCACCATCTTCACAGGGACATTTTTCTCGTACCAAAACAGCCCAATGCCACCACTCAAAGAAATGAAATATCGAACGGCAATCTTCCTTTATCTATGGCTAAAAACAGTAACGGCGGCAACGGTAGAAGCATTACACGGCGTCTGCAATCGTTTGGCGCAGAGGGGAGAACAATGAGCAATGGGCGGGACACGCTTATGGAGGAAGACACAGACTTGAAGTCACCCAGCCCACATCGTGTCGACATTCACAACCTGCCATCCAGTTCGCTCACGCCAGTTCGGAGTCGGCAGCAGCTTTCGATCAACACTGCATTCACGAAACCAAAGGGCCTGACGCGGATAGCGATCGATGTCCCTATGGTAGTCCGTAAAGCGATTAATACTCGAGACGATGTGTTGAAGGCGCTCGGGGTGGACGAGGAGACGATCCGGACCAAGAAAATGGTCTTGGTCTCGTTTGGTGGTCAGCGGTTGAAGCAAGGGTGGGGGAATCCGTTGCCGGACGGCTGGATTGGCGTGATCTGCGGGTTACCGGTCTCGCATGAGCTACCCGCTGGATTCTATCGGAGTCCGCATGGAGTCTATGTCCCTGACCTGACCCACGCCGCCGACATTGTCATTGGAAAACTGGTATGTTTTTATTCTTTATCATTTTGTTTGTGGTGTAACGTTGCTTTATGCCAAATAATTATATCGACACATTCTATTGTTGTCAAATGATTAGGGGTACGGGACGTGCTCAGAGTGCATAGCGCACGATACGGCGCTAATATACGTTTCTCGACCACAATTCATTGAGGAGCATGGTTTAATCAGGATGATGATCAAGCATGGACTGCCTGTGGAGATGACTGCCGAAGAGTTTGAAACAGGGCTATGGCAGAGATCGATCTTGGAGGCGGACCGGCTGACGCAGGAGGAAAAAGCAGGACGCATACAGTTCATGGAAGAGCGTGCAGCCGCAGCAGCTGCACTTACGAGCGGATGCGGTAGTCGTCTTGGAGAGAGCAACGGTGGCGGCAAGGATAACGGAGTGCTAGCGTCTACATCGCCTAGAGAAGGACCTATGATCCGTCGGAAGCGGTCGTTAAGTTTTAGTACTCATCAGTTCCGGGCTTCCAAGGCTCGGTCGCTGGCCGAGTCTGTGAACATGGCAGAACAGGCACGCGGAGGACCCATCTCTCCGCATGGCGAGGATGAAGACAACCCACCGTTGTTATCGCCTGCTCGATCTCGACGGTCTATCTCGATTTCCACATTGTCGTCTGCGACCCTACCGTCCAAGAACCATTCGAGTAACGTCAAAGAGTCGGAGATGATGGAGGAGTTGAGTCACTTGGAGGTCGGTGGTGATGACGATGACGATGACCGTGATGGCTGTGTTCAAGGAATTGGTGGCGGGGTGTCGTCGGGGAGTGGGTGGTTTGAGCGAAGGATACCGCATAACGGCGGTGAGGTCTGTGCGCGACTTGTGGAGGAGTACATGCAGCACTGGGATCAATACTCTTCCGCCGTGTAGCACATGTTGGTGTCTAGCTGACTGATTTTGATAGCGACGTTTTTTCTGTTGTTCATTTATTTTATCTCATTAGTTTTCTGTAGGAAAATAAGGAATGACGCTTTTACTTCTTGTCAATATTCTCGCATACAGGAACATCATCTCCTTTGAAAATGTATGTGCCCATGGTTGACAAAACGGTTCTCGAGCATTTCAGCTGAGTGCAGAGTCAGTCGAATGCCTCTTAGACCCCTTCTCCAGTGATGCCGCTGACGCCTTGAATCCGCCAGGCGAATCCAGCGTAATCTTTGGCAAAGTCAAGGAGTGGATAGGAAGAGAGTGAAGGGTGGTGGAGGATGTGGGTCGTTAGGTCGGATGTGTGAGTTGGCTGCCTTTTCGCGGCCGTGCACCAGGTGATGAATGATGGTTGTTTTCCCTGCGTCGTAGCAACTGAGGAAGGCTATTGAGGTTAGATCTAGTGGAGGAAAAGAGAGATGAAATTGTGTTGTGGAACTAAGCGTTGATAGCGATGCGACCATGGTATCTGCGCATCTTTGTTGATGAGAGAAAAAGAGAGAGAGAGAGAGAGAGAGAGAGAGAGAGAGAGGAGGGAAAGGAGAAAGGAGAAAGAGAGGAAGGAAGGAAGAAAGTAGAGTTGGGGACGATGAGACGAGTTGACTTTCCTCGCCCGGCGCAATAGTTAACACGTATCATTTCTTCATTTGCGTAATGTTATTTTCACTAGTGTTTTATTGTAAAGTGGTCAATGAGGAGAAAGAAAGGCATTTAAGAGGGAAGGTGGACCCAGCGGGCTTGGCCTTCAGACAGGACACGAGAAGTTGCCTTGAGTGAGCGACCCATAGAACTAACAGGTCGACCCCGCTTCGAGGAAGTCCATAGCGTCTGAGTACACGACGATAGAGTCGTCCGATCTTGCTGGACCGTGTCGAGGTCGGTGTACTTTGTGACACAGTCAAAGACGTTACAGAGGACATACTTAAGAGAATTGTACTTTCTAAAGGCGCTCTTCTCATTGGCATGCCACATGTCCCAGGTATCCTTGTTTGCATAGGATGGATCCCATTTTGCGACGCGCGGCATGTCGAACGTGGGCGGGAAGGTGATGTTTTGAGAGAACTCGTTCCGAATGTATTTGATCGAGGTCTGTTCGTCCTTGGTGAGGTTAGGTGTTCCCGTGATTGCACAGTCGAGCTTTTGGAGACCCCTGCAGACCCAGGGCGTGTCGAGGATGTCTGTGTATGGGATTTGAAGTCCTGGGCCGACACAGCTCTTGAGTTTGGTGCAACCGGTGAGAAGAAGGCCTAGTTGAGAGACATTTTCGGACTCGTTCGTGAATTCCAATATCTCAATCTGGGCGCAGTGTTTAGCAATGATCGCCAAGGTCTCAGAGTAGACGGTGTAGAGGTTAGCTTCCGCCAGATTCGGGAGGATCGAGAGCAGACCGTTGAGGCGTTGAGCGGTCGGAAAGGCATCTTTGGCGAGACGGATGGATTTGAGAGTCGGGAAGGATGGCTCGATTTTGTAGTTGACTTCTGCTTCCTCAACGGGGTCATGGACTTTTTTGAGTTGAAGCTCTTGGAGGACTGGGAAGGTGCGCAGGAGGTCGAAGAGATTTCTGTAGCCACTGATGAGTTGGAGGTTGAGTCTTGTAACAAAGTTGAGGCGGATGTTAATGTTGCTGAGCATGGTTGGGGGACAGTCCCATCGGGCGACGTGAAGCTCTCGCAGAGATGGTGCTTGTTCCTGTGCTGACGTTGGTACTGTTCTATCCAGAACGGCTTCGGTCACAGCCGTGTTCCCGCGTCTGGCGCCATTGTTGTCCGGACTGATTTTTCCAATTGACAGCATCGCCAGGCTAGGGAAGCTGGTAAAGATGGCTTTCAGGTGACGAGGTTGAGTTGGTGCCACAATGTCGAGCAGTCGAAGATTCGGCATCCTTTCAGTCCCATCACTGTCGCTTGACACACCTCCTATAATTTCCTTCCCTCCATCCACAGTTTTTGATCCGTGAGCTTTGGCAACGACCTCGACCAGTGCATCAAACCCTTCAGGAGACTTGTCATAATGCCAGAGCATCTCCAGATGCGGCAGCGTCGTCGGGAGACTGACCAAAAAATCCGCCGTCTTTTCAACGCCGATTCGGACCGCCCGCAGTCGTCGACGTGACGCGAGAGTGGCCTTCAGAAACTCGCCCGAGACCATAAAGGTATCCTCGTGGAACCCAAAGGGTCCCATATCCAGTTCCTGAAGCTGCGGGTTGTTGAGGACCAATTGCCAGCAAGACCGGGCGAGTGTGACCATATGGAGTTTGCTGTCTTCGGTGTCGTGTTCCTGAGAGAAGAGACAAGGATGGACCCCCATGAGGGATGGCTCGAGCTCCTGTTGGTTTCTACGGAGGGTTGCTGATAGGGCTGTAAGGTAAGGGGTTTCAGGAGAGTCTGTGCGGTCGAGGCGTTTGAGGAATGTGAGGACTGGGTCGAGGAAACCGAGCCGAAGGACTGTGATGCCTTCACAGGGTAGGATCTCCCTGTCAGACATGGGACTATGTGTGACGACGTCGATCGAGGAAGTCGACGAGGACGAATGCGCCCTTGTTTGGTCCTCGATCTGCTGTCTCCGTACTCTCTGAGCAATTACCCTAGCACGCAAACACAACTCGACTGTATGAGGTCGTCGAATGATCAGTCTCCTTATATGATGGCCATACTTCACAAACAGATCCAGCAGCCTTTCAGGTACCCGCTCGACCAGCCGGGCGATATGTTCCTGCGGGTGATAAAAACTCGGGACGGGGTCAGTGAAATCTGTGAGAAGTCTCCTCCAGGACCGTCGGGAGTCGTCTATGGTCCTCCAGAGGTGAACGATGAAGATGGAGTTCCAGAGGGTGTTGACTTGGAGACATGCGACGAGATCGTAGGTGTTGAGGTGCGGTGCAAGTAGATGCAACACATCTGGGACATGTGCGATTGTCATTTTCTTGGAATGGAACAGATGAGGGTGATGAACGAGAAGAAGTTGAAGAGACAAGAAATAAAACGCGATTCCGGTCGCGTAGTACAAATTAATAAAAGAAATAAAAGGAAATCCGCAGGGTGTGAGTCAACGCTGCATAGACATGGCTGTTTACTGCGGGAGAAGGTCAAAGCAAAAAATGAGCACGAAGGATGCTGCGGCTGTGGAGGCGTAAAAGGTTTAATATGATTACAGGCTAATATTACTTCTACGCGGAGACGATGGTGGGCATGGCAAGGTCAGAGTCGCCATCGGTGACAATCTTGACAAACACATCCTCGAGAGTCGTCTGACTCAGACCCCAGTCCTCGATCGCAGGAAACTGCCCAGGCCGCGATAACAGCCCAAAGATGGTCGACAACTGACCACGCTCCTGGTGACCATAGCCACGGCGACCTGCCAAGGTATTCTGGCGCTGGTCCTGGTCCTGGTGCTGTTGGTCCTGGAAGTCAAACTCAAAGGTGGTGGCGTTGGTGAACTTGTCAATACGTTTATATTGCAAACCAGCCAAGATCTGACGCTCGACGCTCTGGCATGCCTCCTCCAGACGACCGGGCTTGGAGCTGACGTTGAGACGGAATCCAGATCCGTAGAGCTCCTTCAGGTGAAGACTGGTGCCGATACATCTCAGCCGTCCGCTGGTCATAATCGCGATCTTGTCCGAAAGAATATCAGCCTCCTCCATCGAGTGCGTGGTCAAGACAAGAGTGCGGCCGACTTTGACACGGTTGACAATATCCCAGATCACACGACGGACGTGAGGGTCCAGACCAGTCGAAGGCTCATCCAAGAAGATAACGCGGTTGTCGCCCAACAGTGCAATGGCGATCGAAACACGACGTTTCTCACCACCACTAAGGCCCTTGACCTGACGATCGCGGAACGTTGTCAAGGAGACCGAAGCAACGGCATACTCGACGGCTTGCTTCTCGAGGCTTGGGGGGATACCACGGAGACGAGCATAGAACAAAAGGTGGTCGGCAACAGTAAGATCACCCCAAAGGATATCGTGCTGGGGACAGACACCGATGCGAGCATGAACGGTTGAAATATCAGTACGAATGTTGGCGCCGGCAACATGGGCAGTTCCAGAGGTGGGGCTGTAAAGACCCGTCAAGAGATGGATCATGGTCGACTTTCCGGCACCGTTGGGACCCAAAAGACCGAGGACAGTGTTGGTCTCGACACCAAAGGACATGCCCTTCAAGGCAGCCTCGACCTTGCCACGGTAGCAGTGGTAGAGGTTGTTGATGATCAGAGGGGTGGTGGCGGGGTCGTACTTTGTCTGGACACGCTCGCGCTCTGAATAGACATCGGCATCACCTCCCTCCAAAACATCGTCGTTGTGAGAGGGGGAGTTGTGGTGAGCAGCCAGGCGGGACTCAGGGTCAGCCGAGGCGTTGTTCTTCTTGAAAAAGGACGAGATTGGGAAATGCCAGGGTTTCTGAACACCGTACTCTGAGGGAGCAACCGCATCAATGTAGCTAACAGGGATGGAATGGTGGAATTGCATGTTAGAATAGTATATAAGGCAGATGGAGTAAAAACCTCTCCTGCAGGCGGTTTCGAAACAAAAGGGATGACTTACAAGGTCAAGAGGAGGGCAAGGAAACTCTCGCCGATGAGGATCATGACACAGAAGAACAAATTCTTGCCGGGTGCAAAATCTGCCCAGGCCAAAGGGACCATGCCGTTGATTCTACTAGCATGAGAAATTCCTTCGCTCAAGATGTTAAAGAAAGCAAAGTTGGGGTGGATGAACCAAGCAGTGGGGATGCCGTTTGTGAAAATCGTATCGGCGGCAGCACCCATCATGCAGGAGATGGCGACAAAGAAGTAGACGATCAGGGTGGCACGACGAGTCTTTGAGAAGAGCGAACCCAAGAGGAAGGAAAGGGTAGTTTGGACGTGGGCCCAAAGGATAAGGATGACGAGGAGGATAACGGGGTTGGTACGCATAATGACTTGGGACGAGATAGCGGCGCAGGCCAAGCAGAAAAAGAGCGAGAGGATCAGTTGCATCGTCAGGAATTCGACGTAGTGGGCAATGTAGTATGACGAGTTCTTCAGTCCGTTCTATGAAAGGGGAGCAGGGTTTAAAACGATTGATTAGAAAATATGTATAAAAGACAGTTGAGAAGCAGATTACATAACACAAAGAAAGTCAAATTGAGCATACCATGGCCATCATCATACGGTGACGGTCCTCCTTCTCCTGGACAAGGATAGAGACAAAAGTGGGCATCAAGAAGCAGAGGGCAAAGGGGAACAGGCGGAGTGAGAGCTGGTTCAAGATGAAGCCGTTCGAGATGGTATTGTCGTACTCGAAGGGAAGAGTACGGAGACCCTGGGAGATGGAGTACTTTCCGGAGAACTTTGTCTTGACGATCGCGTTTGTAAACTGGGTGATGGTGATCATCTGGCGGAGACCCGAGGGGACAGAGAGGTAGTTCTGATTGTCCGAAGGGCCTTGTCCAAACTGCATAGTAGCCTTTAACTTGCCTGACGCGGTGTCGACGGTATCAAAGTGAAGGGCGCCAAAGGGCATTTCCTTGTAGTCCATGTATCCGTCCTTGCCGGCCAATTTCTTGACTATTTCGGCAATGACATCATCCGCAGTGGCCTGGTCCTTGAGAGTCGTGAACACTTGAGGGGTGAAGATCTTGACAGGAATGTACGAGGAGTTGGGGTCAGTCGTATTTCTGCGGTAGGTCTGAGAGGAGGCAAAGCGGATGGGGATAGAGCCCAAGAGTCCCGATCCAGCGTTACTGCCAGGCCCTGCGGTGGTGTTGACAGAGTAGACGATGCTGGCATTGGTTGGGGGCCAGACCTGAGACTCGAACTTGGGCGTCAGCTTTGGCGAGGATCCGATGGCCTGGGCTACTTGTGCGTCGGAGGTGGTGATGTATAGTGTCTGATTGACGCCGATGAAATTGAAAAAGGCGAGGGTGCCCTGATTGACGTCCTGGTTGTCATTCTTGCGCCATGCGTCTTCAGTCTCGGGCAGGTCAAACCATCCATTCACTGGCGAAGGAGTGTAGAAACTATAGTGAAGAATTGAAGATGTTGTTGAGAGATGGTTTTGTGGAGCAAAAGGGAAAAAAGAGACACTGTCGGCGCAGTATGAATCTTACCTGTCCGGTTGAGCAGCTCCAGCAACAGTGGTGTTCTCGTAGGGAGCCTTCCTTGGGAAAGACTCTCCGAACCAACGAACACAAGGGAGAGGATCGGTGTAGCGACTGGACCACAAGCTGGTGGGGTACCACGCTGCAGGGACCCTCTTGCTACCATTAGGGTCAACGGGAATTTTTCCGATTTCAAACGACCTACTCGTCGTAGGATCAGCGTCGTTGGCACAGAAGGCTGCGATATTGGACCCTTTGCCGAGACCTCCACCTGTATTGCTGATGAGGGAAAAGAGTAGGCAGAGGACAACTAACAACACGGGCCAGATGACGAGACAGCAGATGTTGGAGCTGCGCTGACGGCTGTGGTAGGAGAGTGCACGGCGTGCCAAGGCACGGAACTGGAAGCGAGCAGTCGGGGTCACGTTCGAGAAATCGACCGCTGGAGGGAGAGGGTCGTGTTCATGAAGGTGGGGGTCACTGTTGTTGAACTTGGGGTCGTTGAGGTGCTCCATGGGGATGTGTGTATGATGGTCGCCAGGGTGGGCGTAGACAAGAGCATTGGAAGAAGAGTTGTCAGAGAGGCGGTTGTGGGGGTTGTGGGGGCCACCTGCAGGGGCAGGAACACCCTTTTTTGTCTTTTTGAACATTTCGCGCAGATCTGAGGAAGGAGGGGTATATTTATATCTTTGGGTAGGAGGACCGGTATTAGTGGGGGGGAGGGGAGGGGGTACGAGTAAAGGATAAGGATAGGATGGAGAGTATCTTACAAGGGGAAGGAGTGGGTGGAGGATAAAAGGAAGGTTGTTATTAGTCCTTGCGAAGAGTAAAGAAAGGTTGAGAGGGGTGGGGTGGAGTAGAGAAGAGCGAGGAAGAAAGAAAAAGGAGGAGAGGAGGTCTGTTATATAGAAAGGTGAGCAATGAAGACGACGTAGAGCAAGGAGGAGGAGAGCGTATGAATCAATGAGTGATTCAATAATGTCTGTGGCTGTATCGTTTTTCATAACCGATCGTACCTAAACCGAAATAGAGATCGTTTCAGTCGGTGATGGTGCCTGAAGTGCCTATTACGCCCTCAGCTGAAGTCAAAGCAAATTTGAGTTTGGGAAATGCTTTGAGACCCGAAACAGCCGCCGCATACTCATCAATAGGAAAGCGAGAGAGGAGAACCTTCTTTCTTTTCTCATCCGCAAAAGTGGAATACAAAATGCAGAGCCACAGCCGATCCCTGGGAATCCAAAAAAAATGAAAAGAGAAGAACAACGCCCTCAGTACCCTCACTGGATCCCTTCTCGCCTTCCAGTCTTCCATGATCGACTTGATACATCATCATTAGTCTACCACCACACACCCCTACATATTCAAACTCCCACCCAGCATCCACTCCATCAATTGGCTTGGCATGTCATGGATCGAATGCGACAAATTCCAAAGTCCCTTCTTCCGTCACAACTGTGACGACCGCTGTTGTTGTTGTCGTTCATCCCAGAAATAACAAAGAAAAGCCCTAACTAGGAATAGAGGTCTATTGTCTCACAAAAGCCATCGTCTCGGTCATTGAAAAGAAGACATCCTCCTTGACGACTTTGATTTCTCATCCTTCTCGCTTTGTTCGTGTTCCATCCCACCAGAGAAGCAGAGCGATGCTTATGTTTTCTGTCTGCCAGATTGCTGCTGCTAAGGCATAGAAAAGTATGTGGATGTGAAGTTAATAGGCAACAATTGCAACGAGTGGTTGAACTTGAATATACCCTTTCGTAGTATATGAATGGAAATACGTGAACTGTGGATGTTGTCCGACAACGTTTTGCTCGTCGGGCTTTCCGTTGTCGCTCTCAGTCCTTTCTTTTTTTGCCTCTTCCCCTCCTCAAATACACCTTTTTTCTCTTGGCAATTGCCAAGAAAAACACGTTCACTTAGTATTCCTGCCTGAGCCCGACTTTTATTAAAAAAAAATCGACGCTTCCCTAGTCTTATGTATCCACCTCTACCAAGCAAACCATATTTTTTTTTTTTTTTTTTTTTTTTTTTTTTTTCGCCATCTACAAAAAAATGCTAAGGATCTCCCTTTTCTATTTTCCATGGGAAACGAACACAAAAAAAAAAAAAAAAAAAAAGGAGCAGTCATAAAAAAACGTGTGCAACGTCTCAATGATGACTATCCGGAAACGAATAGCAGACAATTCCGTTTTTGTTGACCCATCCTCCGCTTGTTCCCCATCCTCTTCCCGTGGAAGGTAATTGCAAAGGTTGGGCAATAATAATTCATAGCACATGATTGACATAATGAACCTTCCCACAGATGAATAAAATAGAAAAGACGTCTAAAAGAATGCATCAAAGTTGTTTCGGGGTACTGGAGAGACAAGAACTTTAATAAGGACTAGAAAGCTAACATTCAAAATATTAGAGAAAAGGACATATCATTTCTAAAGGTCGCCGTAGCTAAGGATTTGACGTCCACGTCCACGCGCTTGAGCAACGGCTGCCCGAGGGTCTGCGCCGACAGGTGGGTAGACAGCAGTGACAGGCTTGGGTGGCAGCTTGGGTGAGCGAGGACGAGGCGGAAGGTGGTGGATCGGTCTCGAAGTCGTTGACTCAGGTGTCATCAAACCCTGGGAAGAGGCCGAAGAGGTTGACGTAGCCAGTGAAGGACGACGAGCTCCATCACGAGTCGGCAGTGGCGACATCGTACCGGCCTCTGAACCAGAGCCCCTTTGGTAGTATATCGGGAACTCCTCCCTAAAGACTCTAACAAGAGCTCCGTCCACCGTCGATCCGTTCATCATTTCCAGTGCCCGCTGTGCTGCATCCAGTCTGGTGTATGTCACAAAAGCAATATTCTTGCCCTCGACCAGGTTTGCCTCCTCGATCTCGCCGTATGGTCCGAATGCAGTCAGTAACACTGTGACTGACGTCGAGTCTGCGAGTCCTTCGACGCGAATCTTGCTAAAAAGAGGCGGCAGTTCCTGATGTCGGATGGTCGAGGTGTGTGTGTCAAGGTGGGGGTAGCAATCCTGCTCAAAGTCCCTTGCGCTGTCTCTCCGCTTGAAGAAATCAGGCCCTTGATCTCTGTATGGACTGACCGAGCGTGATCGGGATCTGAAGCCGCTTCGTCTGCCAGGTGAAGGTGAGCGTGAACACGAATTTGAGCGGAAACGAGGACGATGGTTTTCATAGTCTCCAGCATGCCGTCCAAAGTCTCCGTGGCTGTCCATCCTGCGCTTCCTGTGTTCCTGGCTGCCTGATTGGTCCGTCAAGGGGTGCGTCCTGCTACATACATGGAATCATAAAAGACCACAAATATAAGCGAGGGTCTTTTTGTTTGTGATAAAAACGCACGTAGCGTTGAGGGAGAGAAAAAAAGGGATGTGGGAGGCGTGGACTTACGCGTTGGTCTGATAGTCGGCAATGGTGTCGGGGGATTGGTGACGGACGGCTTGAAGTGATTGCCCATGTGCGGTTTGCGCGATCCCTTCGCGACTATCTGTGCTTCCACTCCAGCGACGTCCATTTGCTCCAGGTCGGCCGTTGGGGCTGTCCGTTTGAACCGTGGGGTCGTTTCTTGGTGATGGGATAGGTGTAGGGGGGGTTGCTGTTGTCGCGTGGTTGCTGTCGGATGTATGGTGGTGGTGGCCAGGAGTGGAGGTGTAAGGAGGTGAGGCCATTGAGCTGATAGAAGGATTCCTACCGCGACCAGAGTAAGACGGGTTATCCTATTCAAGTTGTTAAAAAACAAGCATAGAGCAGTAAGAAGTTGGATCTATTTCCTATACGAACATGTTGGTGCACGGGAACACCCCACTTTGTCCTTTGGTGTTCGTTCGGTGTCAACAATTACAACAATATCAGCAATTATCGCGAAAACATCAATAATAATAGACAACAACGATCGCAACCACAATAGCGGCCATTACAACAACAACAACAACAACAACAACAACAACAACAACAACGGCAAGTGGCAAACATGGTAACAGTCCTTACAACAACAAATGCAAGTGGAAACCATGATAACAGCAATTACAACAACAACGGTAGCTGGCAACCTTAATAATAGCCATTACAACAACAACAACAACAACAACAACAACGGCAAGTGGCAACCATGATAACAGCTATAGCTACATGAACCTGAGTAATAACCAACGTGACAAATGTCAAGACGAACGACAAACAAGGGAACAAGGGAACAAGGGGCATACCAACTTTTCAGAGCTATCACCAGTGTTGCTTCCATGCAGGTGCAACTGTGATGCAGCAGAACTGCGGATTGCCATGGACGACCGCTTTAGCTTCTTTTCCATTCCTGCTCCTGTCCCTACTCCTGTTCCTGTTTCTACTCCTGTTCCTGTTCTTGCTCCTGCTCCTGCTCCTGCTCCTGAAACCTTTTGCACACGAGGCCTCTTTGCTGGAGGTTCATGGCGAATGGAGTTGCTATTACTAGCACTGTCTTGGCGCGACTGAGTGGGAATGGGTACTGCTGTTGGCAGAGTGGATTTCGGTTTGGGTAAGTTGACTCCTGCGAGGGCAAAGATGTCGACGGAGCGGTGGTCCTTGGCCCGCGACGCCTCCTTGAGTTCTTTTTCCTAGTGAGAATGACACGACACGTATACAGTTAGAACGACTGGAACGATAAGGAAGATAGTAATAACAATAACAAACATGTGTGTGTGTGTGTGTGTGTGTGTGTGTGTGTGTGTGTATGTGTGTATGTATGTTGAGCAAGTTGAATTCGATGAAGATACCTTCTTCATCTGTTGGATGAGTGCGAACTTTTGCTGCAGTTTGTTGTCCATGGTGGCTGCCTTGTTGGTAGTTGGTAGGTGAGTAGGTGGTAGGTGATAAGTAGTTGTTTTATTGTTATTTTTCGAACTGCGCTCGGTTGGGATGGGTATGGAGGAGAGAAGGCTATTATTGAAGTGGTTGGTTGTTGTTTGATTGCTTGTTTGCTTGTTTGCTTGGTTGTGCGAGTGCGTGTGCGTGTGCGTGTACAGTGGGTGAGTGCGACGAGTGTTGACGATGGTTGTCGTTGTTGCTATTGTTGCTGCGACAGTTGTTGCTGAGTGAAGAAGGGGTGAAGAAGGAGCGAAGAAGGGATAAGGAGTCAAAGTTGTTGAGAAGGAGCGAGCACAATCACGCCTTGTAACACCCCGAAGGATCACGTGTACCAGCAACCTTGACCTTGACCAGCGAACGAATCGAACGAAAAAGACAATACACGAAACGAACCCCTAACCCCTTCTCTTTCGCTCTTATCCAAAGCGACAGAACACGCAGGACAAGAACAGGACACAAGGGACCGCTCTCAGGAAAACAACAGCAACAACAGACATGCGCTGCCCATCTCTAATCACCATACTGCCCATCCTGGTCGCTCTCATCCTCGCACCCACTGCAACCCACGCAAACACAGAAAAAGTCATCTTCACCGTCAACTATTCGTCACAAAAAGAGAAAACAACGACAACACCAGCAACAGCTCATGTCGAAAAGAATACCAACAAGGGATATCGCGGCATCATTGACCCCTCCTCATGGTAAATACGACGTATCAATTGGGGGACACGTAACTAGAAAAACGAAAGAAAGAAAGGGTCAACTGTACTAAACACTGAGTAACTATCGTATCGACGACATACATCGTAACATCATAGGAAGACACTCACCTCGCCGCATACAATCATTCGCGCCGATACAATCCTTCCTTCCTTCTACGAAAACGACGTGACAATTGCCTCGCAAAGGACGCGTCAACATTCAGGATCGTCATCATTGAGCGACAGTCAACTCGTCAACGAAGAGGCCTATGGTGTTGACCTGCAGAACAGACAGTTCATCTGGTATATCCTGAAGGACCTCGACAATAAAGCTTCCTTCGAACTGAGGATATCCTACCCTGCTACCGTAAGTCGATTGAAAATCCTCCTCAGTGTTAACTACAGTGTGTTAGTCAAAAAAAAAAAAAAAAAAAAAAAGTCGAATATCAACCGCTGACATTTTCTTGTTGTTTTCTGATGAATAGTCGCCGGCTGACTTTGACATGTCGGTTTGGACATTGGAAGAGGCTCAGGAGCGGTTGCCAACAAGCATTGATCTTCTCGACCACTTTCCCCAGGTATGCGCGTCTGGAACTGTTGGCACTCGCATGGGAAAAGAAGCTGTTTCAATGTCACGCAAGGAAACAAGATTGTTTCGATAAGTTTTATATATACTCACGCCTGCTTCATACCTTTAATTAGAACACGATGTTTGCAAGGATCAAGGCGACTTACACAGGAGTATCCTACCTATCAAACGGAATGTCACCTAGTCCAGAGACACTTCCTGTGCCTTTCAACCTAGTGCTGGAGCGACTTTACTTTATGATCCCATACCAAGCTCTGAAGCTCGCTGCTGTGATTGCAGTGGTGGTCGTGGGTGGATTAGGATATGTTGTTCCTCGAGTTCATTGTGCGTTGATTGAGATATCTGCCCAAGGCTCAAAAAGCAAAAAAGCGGAATAAATAAGATCATTGCACAATTCGAAACCAACTCATGACTGGCGTGATTTTTCAGCTATAAAAGAGACCTTTCAGCTTTTCTTTTTCTTTCCTTTCTTCCTTTCTTCCTCTCTTCCTCTCTTCCCTCCACCTCTCTCTCCTTCCTGGACCAACTAACACACAGTACTTCATTTCTTCCTTCCTTCTTTCCACTTCCTTCTCGTCTTTCTTGGACGGACCAACCAACACTCCACACATCCCCATGAATGAAAACAAAACCCCTACTAGCATCGGACAGATATTCGACATTGTCGAAATCCTCGACTTGGTCGGACTCTTTCTTTCGCCGCCGGACCTCCTCAACTGTTGTCAAGTCTCCCATCACTGGAACATCCTCCTCACTCCTCGACTGTGGGAGACCATCGATGACTCTCGACACTCTTGGTCCAAAATCCTGGAACACTACGACGCCGATGAGGGCAAGGCAGCGGGTCACGACGAGCTTTGGGCTCGAAGAATTTTCGCAAAGTATGGACGACATATCAGGAACTTGTCCCTCAGCTGGCGAATCCTTATCGACGCTGCCAACGATGCGCTCTGCAGCAACCTTCGGTCATTCCACATCACAAACGTACGCGACAAGTTGACACGAAAGGAAAAGCTGGAAAAGAAGCTGGAAAAGGAGCTGGCAAACCAACAAGCCCAAACCAACGACCCATGGCGTCCAGCTGTCACAGGCCCGCTCCTTTCACCTGAGTTTGAGGGAGCGCTTCAACCAAGCGACGTCGCATACAGGCCCAAAGACTTGCAGGAACGGGACTGGATCACGGCCCAGAACTTTTGGATCCTGACACGGCGCAACACACGACTTTTATCGTTGACACTGAGCCACGGCCTTCGTGAGCTTTGCGAGGTCGTATCGGACGATTATATTCAGGATGTAGTGGCCGGCCTACTAGAGCTACGGTATCTGGTGAATAGTTTTGAGTTCGGCGACCCATATGTCCTGATAACTCGACTCCGCCATCTGGACACCCTTTGTACAGCAAAGTGGAGTCAACTGGAGCCATCAAGTACCGTCGGAAACCTCAAGACGCTGACGATACAGGAGCGGATCACCACTCGCGAACTTGTCGTCTTGCTCAGACACCTCCCTAGTCTGGAAAGTCTGTCAGTCAGGTCTTTGACCAGGCTCACCGAAGAGGAAGCAGCAACAGCAGCAACTATCAAGGACAGTATCCCTAGTCAACTTCGACGGCTTTTCTTTTCGGGATTCGAGCGAGCAAGCCATATAGGCAACGACTCTAGGCTGGCGGATGCGGTCCTTCCCTGGATGCCCTACCTGGAGCATATCGAGTTCTACCATGTCATCCGAGAGAGTGCCTTCTCTATTCTCAGGCATTGCAGGCAGCTCAGGTCTATTGTGCAGACCAAGGATCACTTTTCATTGTTTGCCAAACTCGGAAAGGATGCTGGACTTCAGTACAAGACATTTGCCGAGTTTCTGTGCGACGGCGCCCACCTCCGCATCTTATCTGGACCCCGTCAGGTGGTAGATGTCGACGACATTGTCGAACATCCGTGGACTTGCGACCATTTAGAGTCTTTCCACTGTCAGGTAGGCCGAGTGGAGCGACTGCTTGAGAAGGAAGAGGACATCTTGGATAGACTGTCAAGCAAAGACCATGACGCAAGGCTCTCGGCTGAGGAGCAAGAAGTGGCACAAAAGTACGCTCAGTCTGTTAATCAGCATCGTCACGTCTATGAGCGACTGGCTTCCCTCACACACCTGACGAGACTGGATCTCAGCTACGAGCTGAGAACTGTGAGGCTCGCCTATGAGGACAGGCACATCAAGTCTACTCAGTCTACCAGAGACCGCACGCTTATGCTTGATTGCCTGGAGCTTACTCTCAAGTCCGGTCTTAGTCTTTTGGCACCGTTGGTCAACCTGGAGATGTTTGGGTTCTTGGGGATTGACCATAGGATTGACAAGCCTGAGCTGGAGTGGATGGCGGCCAGTTGGCGACGATTGAAGACCATGCGTGGGCTGACAGACGACCACGAACCCCAGTCGGCACATGACAGGAGGAAATCTGCGCTGAGGGTGTACATGATGCAGCTGCGGCCCGATGTTATTCACGAATCCATTATTCCTGCGCACGACTAGATCCAAAAGCAGCAAGTGACCCTGGAAATCAAAGAGTCGAAGAATAAATTGTATGCACTTCTGTTTGCCCCTGTTCTCTTTTTCTGTCACCTTTTTCTCGTCCATTTCCTTCTTTATATCCATCTCGCCGTTTCTTTATCCTTCTTCTTCGCTCCTAACAAGCATGTCATCTGTACACACTTCCTCTGCATGTCAAAGGGTTTTATCGATACAAGAGCTTGCTGACTCTGTTGCCTCCTACCTAGCCCCGTCAGACCTGTTCCGGTGTGTTCAAGTGCACTCGTCATGGAACCTCACCCTCATCCCATCCCTCTGGAATACCATCGACGACAGTCTGTATCGCTGGCCAGAATTCATCGACGAGCACAACCCGCATCTGCCCAAGGAAGTCAAGGACCCGCAGGACTGGATGCTCGCTGTCTTTAAAAAGTACGGCCATCACATCAGGCACCTCCGAATAAGCTTCTTGGTCACCATCGAAGCCGCCTTCGCCAGCACCCACTGCGTCCATCTTCAATCCTTGGGCATCCTCTTCAACCAAAAATTGACAAAGGCTGAAATCCGCGAATCCAGTCGGATGCAGAGTCTCAGGGGCGGACTCAGCTGGCCAGAGAGGCAAAAGCTAGGAGAAGCTGGACCGTTTGAGGCACCAGAGTTTGAAGGAGCTATCATTCCGGCCCAGATCTTGTTCCGTATAAAGTCGGTGCAAAGGACAGACTGGATCACCTTCCAACGCTCTTGGCTCTTGGTGAGGCGGAATCGATCTCTGATGGCTCTCAAAATCGGGCAATCCCTCCTCACACTGGGCCGCATCAGTTCGCCAACAGTTTTCATCGACCTTCTCGCCGCCTTGCCAAACCTCGGAACATTTGAACACAACCTTCACTGCCTGGACGGATACCAACTTTTGGTGCGACTTGCGCACCTTCACTCCTTCTCCTCGATGTATTATCACGTTCCGGAAGCATTAGATCACCGAAAGACATACAAAAACATTCGCAGCTTCGGTAGACCCCACGCCATATCTCAGCTGCACGTTGCATGGATCCTCAAAGACTTTCCAAATCTTGAATGCCTGGCTTTAGGGTGGATCGACACGACGCAACCAAGCGATCCGGAGGCGTTCAGGATCATCGGGAATTCGCCTTTGAAATTGAGAGAACTACGTGTCGCCTCCGCCAATGAACACAGGGAACTTAACATTTGGGTCGAGATCATTTCACTCTGTCCGGAGCTACGCCGGTTCGTCGCCAATAACCTCACCAGACAGGTTGTCGACACTCTTGTCCAACACTCCAGGAAGTTGGTTGAGCTACGACAGAACCGCGACGACACTCCAATCGTATCTATTCAGTATTGGACTCAGACATTGAATGGCCTCTTGGAATCGTGTCCCGACCTCAAGATCCTCGACTGCATTAATTGCGCTGTCCAAGTTCCAGACTGGGAAGATGAAGTTTGGGTGTGCGCAGGACTCGAAACCTTTCGCTGTCAGATTGTTGGATTTGATCGACTGAGTAAGGAGGAGGAAAGGGTCCTGGAGGACATTGCCGAGACGAGGAAGGCGCACCAGCTACTTTCTTTTGGTGGAGGAAGGAGACAACCGGTTGGGAAGGAGTTGCGGTGTCTAGAGCAACATTACAGGATGTACGATCGACTTTCAGCTCTGACCTCGCTAAGAGTCATTGATCTAGGAGGAGGCTATCGGGATGACATGCTACTGTTGGACGACAACGCTCCATTTTATGAGGTCGATGGGTATGAGTATCTGAGGTATGGAGGACCGATGGAGAATTCGATGGAGCTCTCTCTTTCGTCAGGACTGAGTCGACTTGCGACACTGAGGCGTATTGAGGTGTTTGGGTTTGAGGGTGTTGACCACCGAATTGGCAAGGCGGAGTTGAAGTGGATGGCGACGAGCTGGCCACGGTTGAGGGAGATGCGAGGGTTGCATGTTGATACGTTGCCGTATATCGAGTTTGACCTGCACAAGGCGGTGCTGAGGAAGTACATGAGGGTACTTCGACCAGAGGTCAAACAGTTGGGCTATGGGTGTCGGAAGGACGACGGCACAGAGGACGAGCCTCCTTTACTGGGGCCGAGGACTATCAGGCCGTGGGCCACTGTTGCACCTTCCTCGCCGACAGTTGCAGTTGCGCCGCGTCGACAGCGTAGCAAGGCATTATGTTGCTTTGTTCAGTGATTCATTTTCATAAACATTAATAAACATAGTTATTTAATTCTCTCTCCCTCTCTCTCCCTCTCTCTTTTCCAACTCTTTTCTTTATTTTTCCCCCGAACCATTCATACGCGCCAAGGGCCTGCACGCTCTAATGATGTCGACTGCACACCCCTCCATCCCACTCACAAGGGACCTCCCAGGAGAGATCATCAGCCTTGTCGGATTTTTCCTCGACCCAGAGCATCTCTTTGTTAGCATCCAACTCTCGCGGAGATGGAATGACTTTCTCGTGCCCCGACTCTGGAGACACCTGAATGACTCCAGTGACAACTGGCCACAGATGCTGAAGCAAATACCAACAGTAACGACAGCAACGACAACGACAAAGGCAACAGAGACATGGGTAGAGGCCGATGGCTGGTGGCTTCGGGACTTGTTTGTCAAGTACGGCCATCATATCAGGTCGTTGGACGTGTCCAGCCCAGCGTTGATTGCCGCCATCAGCAGCGCAGGAACTTGCACTGGGCTGCAATCATTCAAGGTATGGTCCGTACGTAACCGGGGCGGAGGCTGGTACACGCCAACATGGATCAGTCGGGACTCCGACCAACAGCAACAGCCGTTCGCACCTCTGGAAGCACCCGGACCTTTGGTCTCGCCTGTTTTTGAGGGCCACATCCTGCCAAATCCAGCAGCTCACCCAGCTAAGGAGGATGCGTTGGAGTACTGGAACCTAGCGCAGCATGTCTGGCTGATTGTCCGACAGAACGTGGGGCTGCAACGTCTGACGCTGGGCAAGGACATCTCGCAACTGGCGGTCGTCTCTGCGGACTTTATTCACGACACCCTTTCGCCACTGCAGAACCTGGAAGAATTCGAATTCTCTCCGCCGGAACTTGACCTTGACAGATATCTGAGCATGCTACCCAAGCTGCAGTCATTTATCTCGGATCAGGGACCCATCGACTCTGGGGATCTCTTACGACCCTACAGTCAGCTCTTGAATCTCAGTCTTCACTTAACGAGGATGGCCTGTCCACGATTATTCTCCCTCCTAAAGAACCTTCCAGGCCTCGTCTCATTAAGGATTGGAAGATTCGATGACTGCGGTTGGTCTGTCGACCGGGTGAAGGAGTTTCTGGGGGACGCGCCCATCAACCTGCAAGATCTTTATTTCGGCCGTTACCAATGGCGGAACTACCGTGATCATGAGGTAGCGACACTCTTGATCCCCACGCTGACTCGGTTGACCACGATTGTCGTTCTGAGAGAGAACTCGGAGACTGCCAGGGCTGTAGGGTTGTATTGCAGGCACTTGCAAGTGTTTCGACAGGCCACAGACGAGACCTCGCTTCATCCAGTCAATGGGTATCCGATGGTACCTAACGCCTTGTGCGGGATTATAGAGTCATGTCCGGACCTTGAGGAATTGGACGCCATCAGTCACAAATTTGAAGCGCAGAGACTGTTGGAGTGTCAGTGGGCGAGCTCGAGGCTGATTGTGTTCCGCGTCCAGATCATTGGGGTCGAACGTTTGACCGCAGAGCAGCAAGATGTGATGGATACTCTTGTTGGTTCAGGACGACTACGACTCGACAACAGTACGGACTTGCAAGAGGATTTACTGTCGGAGGACGAGCGTGGAGCAGTGAGCCAACTACAGCGTAGTCGACTACAACAGCAGGAGATCCTTAGCCGGATGAGTCACCAATGGATATCTCTCACAACGCTCTGCTTCGGACTCGAGTACAGGAGACGTGCCTCGTATCATCTTGATGTGCCTCCTCACTATGAAGGCGATGACGGTGAATACCTCGGATATGGCGAGCCTATCCCTAACACGTTGGAGCTGTCTTTGGAGTCCGGACTAGATCGACTTTCGACGTTGAATGATCTGGAGATGTTTGGGTTTGAGGGATTGGACCATCGCATTGGGAAGGCTGAACTCGAGTGGATGGCTGTGAGCTGGCCAAGGATTAAGATCATGCCTGGACTGCGGGGGTACTAGCTCCCTTCTGTTGAGGTTGACTAGCATACGAAGAAGTTGCAGGAGTATTTCCATACGCTGAGGCCGGAAGTGGTCCATGCCACCAAGAAGATCTCTCTGGGTCTGGGATCGTATCAGTCACTTTCTTCTGGAATAAGTAATGCAAAGTGAGTTGATGGCATAGTTGATCTGCCTTGAGACGCCACCAAGGATTCGATGGGATTTGGTGGCGCTGTTTCAGGATCTTTGGATAAGACAATTGAGAAAAAAAAATGCAGTCCAGCGGTTCACAACGGTGGCAGATGGCCTCTTTCCTTCTTTCCTTTCTACCTCCCTTCTTCATTTCACAGCAGCATTGATACCTACAACAATAACAACAATACCCCGTTGCTCAAAACAATTCAACGACAAAGAGAAAAGCAGATATGAGAACTGGTATCTTTCAGTGACTAGTTCTGGGGACCATGGTGGTCATTGACACAACATGCAAAGCTGTAGCACTCCCAGCAGCAAAGTGCCATACTCATACATCCTGCCCACCCCCCCATCCATCGACGGCCCAACCCACTCTTACCTCCCAACATCACCACTACCACCACTGCTACATTTTCAACAACATCTCCCTCGTCAATGACAAGATCTTCTCCAAGTACTTCATCATCAGCTACGGCTTTAACAAACCTCGAGATCATGGAAAGGCCAGCACCTGAGGTGGTAATGTACGATGAGCATAGGGTTATTCGGTTTAGTGCCAGAACGGAGAAGCAGTTACGGATCCTGTTGGAGAATGAAATCGAATGGGGGTTGGATTATTTCACGCATCATAAGCAGATTGGAGGATTTGTCGACGCTCGGATCTCGCCTGCGAATTACCAACAGTTGAAAAAAACAGGAGCCCAGTTGGAGTATGAGGTGTTGATTGAGAATGTGCAACAATTGTTGAGTAGTGGAGACAAGGATGAGGATGGGAATGTGCTTGTGAATGCAGGAGAAGATTGGTTTGTCGGGTATCATTTGTACAGGGACCATTTGGAGTGGATGGAAGCACAGATCAGGAATCACAGCACGGTTGCTCGATCTTTTAGTGCTGGCAAGTCCTTTGAAGGGAGGTACCAGGCCGGAGTCAAGATCGGAACCGGACCCAACCACGTTGTCCTCCATGGTAATTCTATTGTATACTTTATGCACTCTTGCCTGGCAGTGGCAATTGCTTTTGCTGTTGCTGTTGTATAGCTGCAAAGCGATGTCTTTTTTTTTGGTGTACATTATAGGCCTGCAACATAGTCGCGAGTGGATGACGGAATCGGCGGTAGAGTACCTGATCTGCCAATTGCTGACAGGGACAGACGGAGACCATAGTCCTCTCGTTCCATTTTTTCTAAAACGCATAGTCAATCGCAATTGGAACTTTCATTGGAACGATACAACAGACGACATGTCGTCAACGGACCCATGCGCGCGTCCAACTACAGTGGCCCCTTTGCGTTCTCGACACCCGAGGCAACCAACATTGCCCGATACCTCAAAAGCCTACCCGACGTGGCCACTTATAGTAAGTTTCCCTTTTCGCTCCTGTCTATGCTTCTGGTAAATTGAACTATCCGCTCCTTTTGTTAAATTTCAGTCCAACTTTCCGGTTTTCCACCGATAGTGGACATTCATGCATACGGCCAGTTAATCTTGACACCTTACGGATTCACAGGAAAACTTCCCCCAAGCTACGACTCGTATCTAAAACCTCTCGCTGATGGAACTGTCAAAGCCCTAGCAGCAGTCCACGGGACACAATTCAAGGCAGGGGACATCTATCATTCAATCTATCCGGCTTCAGGATCGTCGATCGATTATGCGATGGAGGAGGTCCGTGTCCCGGTGCCGTTTGGGTTTGAGTTGAGGAATACCGGGCTGTTTGGGCTCACGTTGCCAGCGGATCAGATCTTACCCTCGGGCCAGGAGACTTGGGCGGCCTTTACGTATATCTTGGATAACTTGAAAGACTTGAAGTAAAATTACGAGGGTGAGGGTGTATATACTTTGTGTGCATGTCTTTTGGTGTGTGTTAAATGGCGAACAATTAGGCACAGCAACAACGACTAACGGGGAAAATGTGTGGCTTGCAAATAGGATTTATGATATTCCAAAAGGACAAGACACCCTTTCCATTCGCTTCCTATCTTTCTTCTTTTCTTCTCACTTTTCCGCCGCCTCTTCGCCAAACAACCACGCAAGACAAGAACGATGTCATCAGGTCAGGATCCGCCAACTCATGGCACCACCTTGTGGGTCCCAGAAATCATGACTCATATCGGCGCATACCTCACACCGCCAGACCTCCGCTCCGCAGTGTGTGTCTGTCAACACTGGAACCAAACCTACATCCCTCTACTCTGGCATCACATCAACGACTCGCTCTACAGCTGGCCTGACCTAGCCTTAAGGATATCCCCTACTCCGGACTCCAACAACGAACAACAGCAGTGGGAGGAAACAGACAGGATACGGAGGACGTTTGAAAAGTATGGGTGCCATATTCGGCAACTATTCTTGAGTAAAAGGGAGCTGCTTGCGATTGTCTCTGCGGTGGCGATGGTGGCCGGTGCTAAAGGAGGGCTTTCTTCGTGCACGCAACTGCAGGATCTGGAGGTCTCCTTAGTCAACATTATATCGCCCAAGGAACAAGCCGAAAGCTATCGGATAATGGCTCTCACTCAGGAGGAACGGGCAGCCGAGCGAGAACAAGCACAAGCAATGGGTATGCCTTCCGTCCTCTCACCCGTCCTGGAGGGCGTCTTTGAAGCGAGAATAGGGCCCTTCCAGAGTGTCACCAAACTGATCAAGGATTGGGAGTCGAACCAGCACTTCTGGTTACTGGTACGTCAGAACCGACAGGGGATCCGGTCATTGAGTATGAGCTGGAGTACCATGGGATCCTGTAGAATTGCGGATCACAACTTCTTGTACGAAACGCTTGGTGGGATGAAGCAGTTGAGGGTGTTGAAGAATGAGATGGTGGTGTTGGAGCTGAACAGGTTGTTGAGATCGGTGCCGATGCTGGAGAAATACTCGACTTCGAGCCACCTTATTGGAAGTGGATGGATGGCACTAAATGGTGATGGTGGTGGTGGTGGTGGTGGTGGTGGTACTCAATCTATGAACCTCAAAGCGCTGGAGATCCGGGGTCCGATGGAGAGCGATAAGGTGGGCGAGCTTTTGGAACGGTTTCCGGATCTGGATCGACTGAATCTTGGACGACTCATTACTTCAGACACAGAGACAACAACAGCAACAAGAGCGGGGCCATTGACTGGAGGCGGAGGAGAATCAGGACAGGATAATACTGCAATGGTGGAGCAGGGCCGTCTCAAGAGTCGGTTGAAGGTACTGGAGATTGATCTACCGAGCTTACCAAGGTCGACCGTCAACGTCCTGCTGGATGCGATACGTTTAGTACCGCACTTGACGACCCTGTCGATCAAGGAGCTGGATATGGAGACGGCGACTGCGATCGGACGAAGCTGTGAGTTTCTGGAGACATTTTCTCTATGGATCAAGGTGGAGCCCAACCCGGCGACCCGGGAACAACCGGGAACGATCAAGCTTAACGCGTTGAATGTCATTCTACAGTCATGTTCTCGTTTGAAACGGGCGGATGCGAGTTGGTGCATGATTGCGGCTGACGACCTTTTGGATAACCAACCAGCATGGATATGTCAGAACTTGGAACTGCTGCGGTGTCGGATAGTTGGGTTTTATTATCTGACGAACGAGGAACAGGAGACCATTCAGATGATTAAAGGACCAGACTTTGTTGGGTGCCAGGAGTCCGACTATGAGCGACGGGTCTTGCAGTTTGCCAATCGGCGTCAGGAGCAGTACAAGGCAGTGTATGAGAGGATTGCGGGTCTGAGGCGCCTTGTGACACTGGACCTTGCTTCGGGATACAGATATCAGCCTTTTCTTAGCCTTCGCCAACGGATAGAGACCAGGAGGAATGTGAATGCGCTTGAGGTGTCTCTCTCGGTGGGGTTGGAGCAGCTGTCGACGCTTGGATGTCTTGAGGAGTTTGGGTTTGAAGGGTTGGAGAGTGGTGTTGGTGAGAATGAACTGGGGTGGATGGTGAAGAGTTGGCCTCGGTTGAAGGTGGTGAGGGGTCTTCAGGGGCGGGCGCTGGACTCTGTTGCAACTCGACAGAGGAAGGCTCAGCTGCGACAATCGCTGCGAGAAAGGAAGGCGTCGATTGTTCAGAAATGAATTGAACGCTCCTTAAAATTGGTGTGTACAGTGCGCTCCATCACACAAAAATGGTTATATCTCTTCTTTCTCGCGTTATTATCTCCACTTTACTTTTCCTCCACTCGGCCGCTCATATGCAACTGGTCTCCCAACAACAACGACAACAGCAGCAGCAACAACAGCAACACCAGCAACACCAGCCAGCAAGGACCATATTCCACATCCAGGAATTAGGCTCCGTCGTCGGGAGTTACCTCACCCCGCCCCAGCTCCTCTCCTGTGTCCAAGTCTCCTCCCTCTGGCACTCTGTCTTCTCCCCGTCCCTCTGGCACACCATCGACGACAACCTCTACTCCTGGAAGCATTACCTCGAAAAACATGACTCCGAGGAGGAGGTCGAGACCGGCGGACATGACACCCGCTGGGTGATGGACATCTTTGCCAAGTATGGAAACCACATTCGAGAGCTCACCATCAGCTGGAAGGTGCTCATCTCGGCTGCTTATGAAGGTGGTGCTTGTACAAAGCTGGTCTCATTGAGAATTTATGCGCTGTTCTATGAGACCAAGCGGGAAAAGTTGGAGAAGCGCGGGATCCCTGTGGGGAGGTCGTATGCAGTCAAGCCGGGGCCTTTTCTCTCACCTATTTTCGAAGGAGGTACAGTCTTGAAGGAGACCTGGTCCAATGGCCGGTCTGAACGACAGCAGCGGATTGACTGGCTGGTCGTGCAGCAGTACTGGTTGCTCCTACGACAGAACTTGGGCCTGCGTTCCTTGGACCTTAGGAGGATGCCGCAGTGGATGGGTGGGCTTGCACAGGAGGCCTTCTTTTATGAAACCGTGGGCATGTTGGACAGACTGGTCGATGTGGCGATGGATGATTTTGAGGTCGACCTGAATGTGTTGTTTAACGCGCAGCCAAAGTTGCTGCGGTTCAGGACGTTTCTCAATCTCAACAATCGACACACGCTCACGACTTTGTTCTCGGGCCTGCGATTGGTCGAGTGCAAGGGATACATGTCCCCTCTGAGCATGGCGACTTTGCTAGAACGGCTTCCGGGACTGGAGGAGATACGCCTTTACTCGTTCCTCCCCGAAAGATCGTCGTTACCAGCGACCACCCTATCAGCCCAGGTCGAGGAATTGAAGGCCTTCATCGACTCTGCATCCTCCTCACCCAGCAACCTACAGACATTCTTCCTCGAGAGAACCAAGCAAGGAGCGGCTGCCGAGATCTTGAAGGTCTTCTTACCCTGGTGGCCCAACCTGAAAAGACTCTCTGTGACAGGACTGACGCGGGAGATTGCATTGACGGCCATCAGGTCCTGTCCTGTTCTAGAACATGTGAGCGAGTCAAAGGACCCGACAAGCATCTTCCCTGACCATCAGACCCAAACCGACCACAACATCCCAACCCTCCTTCTCAAATCCTGTCCTCAACTGCGAGTTATCAATGGGATCAAACTGACGATTGATATCCGATCAGATCCCCATGCTGCTAAGGGCTGGGTCTGTCCACAGCTGACGACTCTTCGCTGTCAGATCATTGGACTTCCACGTCTGACAGAGCAGGAACGGAATGCACTGGATACCCAAAACTTAACCTCCTTATCCCTATCACTACCAGCTTCCTTCAAGGACAACCTCGGCTTTACAGGAGAGGAAGAAGAACCAGAGGCTATAGAATCAAGGACCAAAATCCAAGCATTCCAAAGACTCCACCACCAAATCTACAACCAACTCGCACAACTAACAAACCTCCGCCGCCTCGTCCTTGGATTCGAGTTCCGCGACTTCCACAGACTGTTCCTCTACTCACAGGGATTGAACCTCGTCTGGAACTATGACGACCCTGTCCCGGGCACACTTGAGTTCTCGCTGGCTTCAGGACTGGACCGGTTGGCAACGTTGAAGAATTTGGAAGAGTTTGGGTTTGAGGGACTGAATCATCGGATTGGGAGGTTGGAAATTGAATGGATGGCGGTCAATTGGCCTCGGTTGAGACTCCTTCGCGGGGTGTCGGACGACAAGACTTCTGGTAGAGCATATGCCAAGCAGAAGCAACTCCTTCGCGAGCACATGCAATCCCTTCGACCAGACATCGCCTTTGAATAAAGACACATTGAATGCCAAAAAAAAAATTTATTTATTCTGTAAAAATGAGTTGGGTTTGTATGTGCGTGTGTGTGGTAATAATGTTTTGTTTTTGATGCTTTTTTTTTTGGTCTAATAATGCATGCTATGCTAATTCTGTCTTTTCCTCTTCTTCCCTTCTTATACAGCGTTGGACTCGGGAACCAAGGGCTGCATCACATCGAAAGATCCAGTGCCTCCATCGACGACCTTGCCCATCACAATGCGGGCAGAGGGCGACTCCAGACTATCATAGTCTCCATGAAGAGTGGCTTGGGTCAAGAAGTGACACGTACGCTCGAACGACATCTTCAAGAAGGGCGACGTTGAGGACTCGATACCCATACGGTTGAATGGCTTGAATCCACTCTCGAAAGTCTATATTACGAGGCAGATTAATTCATTACACAATTAGTATCAGTTCATTTTTATATGCAACAATCATCAACACAAATATTGGGCTGTTCCACAAAACAAAAACAAGCAAGAATGCTTACCATGTAGTCGGCAATGATGGTCAAGTGGCGACGGTCGACATCGATACCGTAGGCACCGAAAACTCCGCTGATTTCCTGAATGATGGCCATGCGGGCAGCCTCAACACCATACGTCCTCAAGATGGCGCCAATGTCGTTGGAGTAGATCGAGTTGACGTCAATCAAGTCGGCGTACTCCCAGATACCCTTCAAGTTCACACCCTCGGTGGCAACCTGGGGGGTGCCCTTCTCGTCCTCCGACATGAAAACGCGTTCGATACCCTTGATCTCGTGGAGAATGCAGGTAGGGGCAACAGCGCTGACAAGGTTGACCATCAACAGCTTTTTGGTATCGGCGGGGAATTGCATCTCGATCTCGCACCACGATCCCTGCTCAGTATCGAACGAGTAGTTCTTGACATAGGGGCTCGTGGCCAAGATGCGATCCTCACGCTCGCGGCGGTTCTCGGCGTTCTTCTTCTCGCGAACGGCAGCCTGCTTCGACTCGCGGGCCTGACGCTTGCGCTTGTCAGCCTCATCCTCGACCTCATCCTCGCTATCGGCGCTCTCGTCCGAATCGACATCCGAATCCTCACCATCGAGCTCCTTCTGGGCCTTGTCGGCAGACTTGATCACCTCCTCATCATCCGAGTCGGGCTCATCATACGAAGCCTGCTGCTTGGAGCGCTTGGAAGACTTTTCTGCCGAGGCATCACCATCCAGGCCCTCGTTGTCACTATCCTCTGCATCGTCATCGCTGTCCTCGGCACCGTTGGCCTTGGAGGCATCAACGTCATCGGATCCGGAAGAGCCGACCTTCTTGCCCTTGCCAATATCGTCGGGGCTGGTACCCTTAGTCTTGCGGGCAGCGCGGAAGCGGCGGATATCCTTCAAGATGGCGCTCTCGAGCTTCTTGACAAACTGGGACTCAATGACCGACTCGACATCCTCGGCCGACACTCCGTACTCGGAAAGGTACTCGTCCTCGCGGAAGAGGTTCAAGCGGATGGCAAAGACCTTGTAGCGCCTGAAATTGGTGTCGGCAGACTTGGAGATCAGACGCTCAGTGACCTGGACGTTATCGATCAATTGGGCAAGAGTGAGGCGGGAAGTATCCTGGCAGAACGACTGGAGCTGGCTCTCGGTGACACCGGGCTTGATGTTCAAGGTCATGGTGGGGGTCTTGAGCTTGGTCGAGGCAGTCATGACGATCTCACGAAGACGGGGAATACCGAGTGTAACGTTCTTGGCTCCGAATCCGGCGAAATGGAAAGTGTTGAGCGTCATCTGGGTCGAGGGCTCACCAACACCCTGGGCGGCAAGCAAACCAACAGCCTCACCGGGCTCGACAAGCGAGTTCATGTAGCGGAGGTACATCATGGCTTTGAACTTTCTCTTGTCCAGGCCCTTGTAACGCTCGGAGGTCTTGTTGACAGTGCCGTCGGTGCTCTGAATGATGCCATCGGGGTTCTTGTCGACATAGTCGTTCAACTTCTTCTCAAAGGCCTCGCTGACGGCTCCGACATAGGAGCTGGGCGAGTACAAGCTGAGGGTGGGGTCGTACTTGTGGGGCTTGCGGGCAACGCGTCTGTTGTGGTTGAGGGCCTCCTCCTGGTCGAGCAAGGGAAGGACCTGAGCAGGTCTGTACTTGGCAATGAGGGCCAACGAGTTCTCGGCACTGAACTTGAACTGGTTGATGTGGGCCTGCTTGATGACATCGAGCGAATCCTCACCATAGTGGAACTGCAAGATCGAACCATCCGAGTCGCGGACAGTCTGGTCATAGCCGACCTTAAGACCCTCCAAGTGCTTGATCAAACATCTCTGCAAGTATCCAGAACGCGAGGTCTTGACGGCGGTATCAATAAGTCCCTCTCTTCCGGCCATGCAATGGAAGTAGTACTCCTGGGGACGGATACCGGTCAAGAAACGACCAGCAATGTAACCTCCAGCACGTGCAGACGAATCGAAGGGAGCGAACGAAGGAAGCGACTTTCCGGAGACCATGATGGGCACACGGCGACCCTCCAACTCTTGCTGACCGAGAGCGCAGGAAATCTGGGTAACGTTGACATACGATCCCTTGGCACCAGACACTGTCATAGCCTGCATGTTGTTGTGGGGGAACTTCTTCAACTATAACCGTTCGCAATGTCAAGTACAACAAGGATTAGTAGATGGACAAACGATAATATGGCGTCTCTTAGAGTAGGAAATACCAAAAAAAAAAAAAAAAACCTTACCAAGCCGTTGGGGATACAGGCGTTCTGAACAGAGGTGGTGAGCTCGTTGACAGTCGACTTCATCGTGGCATCCAAACCAGCCAACTGCTCGTCAGAGCGCAAGACGACCTCGAGCTTGCCCTTAAAGTCCTTCTGGAGCTTCTTGCTGCCCTTCAGCTGGTCAACAGTGCACTCCATCTTGGCGTACTTGAGCTGAGCCTTGGTACCGATTTCCTTGCCTCCGTTCTGGAGGTCACGGCGCCATTTGTCACCCTCGGGGGTGAGGAGCAGATCATCCATACGACAGGTGAAGGCCCAACGCTGGGTCCAGCGGGTGAAGAGACGGCCAAAGATACTGAGCAACTTGCCTGCAATGTCTCCTCCGTAGATCTCATAACAGCTGTGAACCAGACCGAACGACTTTGCTCCGAATTGGGCCTTATCGAGGACTCCCGTCACAAGAACACCGTCCATGATCTGAACAATCGACTCCTCCTCTCCTCCTTTGCCAAAGTACTGAGCCTTGACCTGGGCACCTGCGGTCATGTTAAGTGGGGGGCGGCCGATGGTCAAGTTGTGGAGAATGGCGGTGATGACATCCTTTCCAGTCCAGAGGGGAACGGGCTTCCAGATGGAGGGAGGGAGGGTCAAGATCCTGCCGTTGCCAGTGTTATCGATCTCGGGGCGAAGGGAACCGTAGAGCAAGTGCTGGTACTCCTCACGGTCAAAGAAGGAGCCGCGGAGGGTCATCCAGACACCAGCGACGACGTGATCCTGAATCAAACCACGAAGAGGGGCACCTGAGGTGGGAACCAAGTACTGTGAGTCGGTGTTGGCGATCAACTTTGCCTCGGCTCTGGCGATCTCGTTCTGGGGGAAATGGACGTTCATTTCGTCTCCATCGAAATCGGCGTTGTAGGTGTTACAGTTGGCGTAGTGCATACGAATGGTGCGCTCACCAGGCAGGATACGGGCTTTGTGGGCCATGATCGAGGGCTTGTGGAGGGTAGGCTGACGGTTCAGAAGCAAGAGATCGCCGTTGCGGAGATGGCGGTAGACCTTCTTGTTGGTGGGCTGGGTGCGAGTAGGGTAAGGGGACGTGGTCGAGACACCGCTGTGGTTATCCTGAGGGGTCAAGAGCTGGTTGGCAAGAGCAATCCTGGACTCCATCGAGAGGTTGGCAAGGGAGGAAAGGGCGCCATCCTCGTGCTGGACGTAGGCTGCACCGGGCCACTTGGAAGGACCGTTGATGACAGCGCGTCTCATCTCTTTGACGTTGTAGTGGGTGACGGGCTCGGGGTAGGTGAGCTTGGTGGCGAAAACAGGAGGGATACCGATTTCGTTGGTCTCGATGTTGACGTCGGGCGAGATGACGGAACGGGCAGCGTAGTTGACACGCTTACCCATCATATGCTTACGGAACAGACCCTCCTTCTTTTCCAGGCCCTGGCGAATACCTGCGGGAGGCAACTTGCCACCGCGCATGATCGTGGGGTTCTTGGTCGAGTCAATGAGCGAGTTGACATCGTGCTGGAGCTGGATCCAGGCGTCGATCAAGTACTTGAAGGAGTTGGACTTTGTAGCCTTGGCGGGGTCAGCCTTGTCGGTCTTTTCGGTGTTGGTCAGGTCGCGGATGCGCTCGCAGGTGTTGAGAATCTTGCCCAAGTGCTCGTTCTGGGGGTTCTCGAACAGCTTGTCGCCCATGACGGAGGCGGGACGGAAACGGGTGGGGGCGACGGGGAGGATCTCGATGAAGAAGATGGAGGCAGAGACCTTGCCGTTGAACTTCTTTGCCATCTGAGGACCGTTGGTGCCATAGAGGAGGGTGCACATCTGCTGCTCGACGGTAAAGAGACGCTGGAGAGTGTTCTGGATGTGAAGGGATGTCAAGAACTTGTTGTTGTCCTTGATGTCCATGACTTCATCGTCGTCGCTGTCAACAATGTTCCTTGACTTTTTGGTCTTGGTCTCCTTGTCCTTCTTGGCGGTCTTCTTGGCCTTCTTCTTGTCTCCATCTGACTCTGAGGACATTTGAGCATCGTCATCTTCATCCTCCTCCTCGTCCTCGGTGTGTTCCGAGGCAGAGTCGGAATCGCTGGCGACGGCCTTCTTGACGGCAGTCAAGATGTTAGCCTCCCGGCGTCCTTGGGCTGTGTTATAGAGTTTCTGCTTGTTGGTCAAGGGCTTCTCGAAGATCTTTGCGAATCCATCCTTGCGGTACGAAGGCGAGAAACTATTTCAAGGTATTGTGATGATTTGGGTTAGTTTACAGATTCGATGAAGCTCCTTCCGAACGCAACAAAAGATCGAGAATAATAATGACAAGCATATAGAAGGATCTCTTACGCAAAACAGTTCTCGCACTTCTTCTTGGCGGTAGCGCGGCGGTAAAAGTCGGCAATGACACACTTGCGCTCGTCGTTGACAAGGGTGGTCTTGTAGTCCTCGTGGCCGTAAACGGCCTTCTTCAGGCTCTTTTGAACAAAGGCATCCAGGTTGGCGATGTATTCGTCCTCTGTCAAGATCGAGTCCTCGCCATCGATTTCCATAGCGTCCTTGCTTCTACCTTTCTTGATCGAAACGGGGATGCTGTCGATCTCCTTTGACTCCAAGAAGCGTCCCTTGTTCAACAACTGCAGCTTGGCGATGAAGCGGTGTGTCTATTTCGCGGTTGTTACAAGTAAGAGTGAGATATCAGTCCTCTGTGTCACATACACACACGCACACTCGCAGTGATTAATAGATCAAAGTACTGGAGGTAACACGAATGAAGCAAAGCAACAACGCACCTCACTCCTGGACATCCTGAACTGGTGGCAGAACAAACAGGCGGAGCGGAGGACCTGGTACATCTGAGGGAAGAACATGGGGTTGTAGACGGGACATGGCAGCACGATATGTCCAAAATGTCCAGGACAGGCAAAGTGATCCAACGAGCAAGTCGCGCAACTATGAGCGAGCGGGATGTTGAATAATAGGTGGTCAGTCGATTGCTTCATATGTATATGTTATTGGTGCTGGTGGTGCGGAGTAGATCCGGCTGTGCCTGGTGCTCAATTGCTTTCGACAAATTGATACAACTGCACAACTGCATACACATACAGATAGATCGGATCTATCCTCTCCCATACACCAACACAGCATTGCAAACTATAGTAAGCAAAGACTAACAACAACTTACATGTGCTGCTTAGAGAAAGGTCCGAGGGCAGGGTCATAGAGACCGCCCTTGGTGGGGTGGTTGAGGTTGTCAAACAGAACAGGGTTGACAATCTGCTTGACAGAGATCTGCTTGACCTCCTCGGGATCGTAGAACGAGAAGGCGACCGAGGTCACCTCCGATCCGTTTGGCCGTGCAATATTCATTCCTGGTTTAATGTATTGTTGTTAATGAAAGGGAGGGAGGGGAATGAACAAAGAACGACGCCACTATTGTCCTGTTGTGCTCTCTTTTTTGTTGAAGGGGTAGAAAAGGGAGAAATAAAGCAAAAAAAAAAAAAAAAAAAAAAAAAAAAAAGAGGGCAAAAGGAGGGAGGCGGGGAGGAGGAGGGGGGTGCTTCTTCTTTCTCCTTTGATGGTGTCCTTTGGGTGTCGTTGATATCCTGAAGGGATGCGAGGCCAACAAGGGTTTTGAAGAAAGAAGTACAGGTGAAGAGAGAGGAGGGGGTAAAGAAAAAAAAAAAGTTGGTGTAGCAACAATAGGCAAAGAAAGTCATAAAAAAAAAGCGCATGCATTTGTTTACGGTGTGTGGCTTGGTGCTATTAACAGTCACCGGTGTAAATTCTATTAATTGAACACTCTCCCTCCATTGTTCGTTCTCAGATCAACGCGACTTGGCCACGGAGTATCCGCTTCACCATCGCCACCGCCTCGCTCGGCTAATAAGATACATTATCGTTGCAACAGTGCATAAGTGAGAGTTAGTCGCCAATATACGCTTATCATTAAACAGACATTGTCTATTCGATAACCAAACAAACCCCCTTCTCTCTAGACAAACCTCAATACGTGCACCAACGGGGGAAGACGACGAGGCTTCCTGTTGACCTGAATGTGTCTGGCTCTGACTGACTTGTCCACCCGACCCTGAAATAAGAGATTTGTAAAAGATTCTCCACCCAACCTGCTGCTTCTCGTTGTGCTCAGGATCAACCCAGTAACAATACCACTTGTGTGCCTGAATCGTATCAAACGACGCCTCTTCACCATCGTCGTCCATCGACATATCATCATAATCATCATCATCCCTGACGCCCGTCTTTCTGAACCCAAAACTTGCGATATATGTGCAACGGGTGTGGCATGCGTCACAGGCAAGCACCTTTGGCGTCTCAGTGGCTCTCCATCCAAATAGTGACAGAATCAACAACTTTGTCTCTGCCTCTCCTGCAAACAACCCTGCCAACTTCTCAACTTCTTCCACCGTCTAGATCAGTTGGAAGAAACAAAAACCAAGTTAGATTAGACACTAATAACAACAGGCCGGTTAAAGGGCAAGCCAAGAGCGTTCAAAAAAAAACTTACAAGAGGGTGGCGGGTGCTCTCGATGAGAGGATCGTCCTTCATTTTTTCCAGTTCCTTTGCTCGATCCACAAACTCTTTTCTCGCATGCGAATGCGACAAAACCGGAAACTTGTATATGCTGTCTATTGATCGTCAATGTGAGTTTGAGTCGCATGTTAGTGATTTTCGTACATGCGCTTCTGCAGTGGACACGTCGTGCAAGTCTTAATAGGTGATTGCAATGTACCATCGCACGGGTGTGTCTTCCATGGACATCCGTCTACATGGTTCGAGGTGAGCATCGCATGGAACTGTGGACCTAAGGCTGAAAGTCGAAAACAAGAGTGGGTGAAATTAGTCGTCTTTGAACATAATCACATCCTTCAGGATAGACAAAGTTTTCTCAGAACAAACAAAGAGAGCATACACTCAGCATCCAGATCTGGAAGGGTATCGTCAAGGTCAAAGTCGTCTGTGGTATGACTGTTCTCAGCATCCTGTGACGAGTTGTCTGTTGATGGGGATGGCTTTTCCTCGATCTGGTCTATCCTGACAATGACAACGCCGCCACATCCTCCACAGCACTCGAGTCGGTCGTCGCCCTTGTTGATCCAGCCCCGTTTTGCGCACTCGACAGCATTGACCAGCTTGGGTTTGTCGAACCAGGTTGAAGGCTTGAATGTTTCGAGTCGTTCGTGGAACTGGTCCCTAGACCAGGGGAGATATCTCATTCTGGTTGATCCTGCAGAATCCACGCGTTTGTTCAATTGTGGTCGTGCGGCTGTTTCTGCTACTGATGCCGTTGTTGTTGTTATTGCTGTAGCATCGTCTGTGGCGGTTGATGGAGATTCTGCTAATGCAGAAGCGCGTGATGTGGGTGCACTGGCGGCAATTGATGCGGCGATAGAGTCCTGGAGGGTTGGACGCGCACCAGTCAGTCTAGATAGTTTGTCGAGGACGGCAGGTCTGGGTGGGAGGAAGACGCGTTTCTTGAGGCTGGCATGCTGTTTGGCAAGAAGAGCTGTTGCTTCAGCGGGTATTATGGTTGCCTCCTTGGGTTGAAAGACCGGAGGGATGCCTTCAGCGTCGGACGAGTGCTGTTGCTGTTTCTTTGAAGGGTGAGCAAAGAGGGAGTTGAGCAGGGCGAGTGATTCGTCGAGTTTCCTCTTTGAGTCGGTGTTTGTTATTGATGATGCCATTATGGGGGATGGGAGATGGTTGAGTGTGTGCCTGGGATGATTTCCTGTCCTGTCCTGGCCGTGGTGTTCTCTTGTCTTGCAGCGTGTCTGTGCTTCTGCTTCGTGTAGTCCTGAGGGTCAGCTTGAGTGATGAAACTAAAGAACACAACAACAGTGAGCAAGATGTCAAAAGCATAAGATGGGGGAGGAGGCTTTCGATTGTCAATTAGAGAGAGCGTGCGAAGTTAAATGTATGAGACCCCACAGAGTGCGTGTGCAATTAGAGATCTCGACTTGCAAAATCAAATACCCGGTTGCGCTCCTTTGAGCCTCATCTCCACCTCCTCCCCTTTTCTCTTTCCCCATTTCCCTCTCTCTCTCCCTCTCTCTCTCTCTTCTCCAACAAACCCAACAAACAACCCCTTCGACAGACACCACACAAGATGGACCACGTCGAGAAACTCTCAGACCTCAACCGAGAGAACCTGCAATATGACAAGTCAAACTCAATCGCCATCATCATCGGACTCGCCTTCATGGTCATCTTCCGCTTCATCGGCTACCTCGCCTCAAGACCACCCAAGGTCTCCGCCATCGGAAAACAGGGCTTCTGTCTCGTCGTCCTCGGTGATATCGGACACAGCCCCCGGATGCTCCTCCACGCCAGGAGTGCAGTGAACGCCGGTTACAAGGTCGATGTCATTGGCTACAACGGTACGTTGGGCAGTTGAAGGGAGACATTTGAATTAGCCACGTTTATTTGTATTAGAATATATCCAAATGGATGGGCACCATGGTTTGAAGGCAAGGCAATACTGTTCAACAACCTTCACATTTCATTAACACACGCACCATGAACAACAACAACCACAATAGGATCGCGCTTGCCAGAGGATTTGGAGTCGAACCCCTCGATCCACTTTCACTACTTGACCGAACTTCCCCGTGTGTCCGAGAGCTTGCCCCGCGTTTTGTACTACCTTTTTGCTCCGATCAAGGCCACCTTCCTCGCCTGGCAGCTTTTCTATGTTGCCATGTTCAGAGTCGCCGCCCCTGAGGTCTATGTTATTCAGGTATGCTGTTGTTTCTTGCGTGTTCTTTTGATGCTGTTCGTCATTGTTCGTCGTTGTTCGATGTTCGATCTGTTTATCTTGTTTGTGTCTGTCAAGAGAGCAAAATCTTCTTTTTTATGTCCATGAATTATTCAGCATTTGAATCTGGTTGGCAACTGAACTTAATGCAATGAGAGACCTTTACCTTTTTCTCGATGCCACCAAGGGACTCTATCTACTGTCCCTCCTTAACAAAGAACAAATAGTAATATTCCAACACTAACCCATCCCATCAATCAATGGTGACATGATCATACAACCCCATAGAACCCTCCATCGATCCCTACGCTCCATGTCATGCAGATCGTCAACTGGCTCAAGCAGCGTCACCTCGTCATCGACTGGCACAACTACGGCTCAACCGTCGTCGCGCACCGTCTCGGCCAACACAGCATCTTTACCAAGTTCGTTGCTCTTTATGAAAAGGTCTGGGGATACAAGGCTACTATCCATATCACCGTCAGCCGTGCCATGGCTCGCGAGCTATTGTACAAGTTTGAAAAGAGAGGAAAGATTACCACCCTGTACGATCGTGCCCCTGAGCATTTCCGTCAGTTGACCGTTGACGAGGTTCACAACGTAAGTTGATCTGCTTTATTTTCTTCTTTGAATCGACCCTTTTTTTTTGTTTTTGGAGGCGGCAACGATCGGAGGGATGGTGAAAACAAAGGATAGAGAGAATACACGACACATCGCAAAACTTCCTGTCAGTTCAGATGAATTGAGGAAAAAAATTCTTCACTGGCTCACCTCTTGAACACTTCTTACACAATGATAACTAACATCACGATGGTTTGTCCTACAACGAATAGTTCCACGAGGAGTTGAAGCTGGAAACATTGGTCAAGAAGCAAACATTGAACAGCGACTTTTTACCCAAGATTGGAGCCAACCAGACCTTGTTGACAGAAAAGAAGACTGCCTCTGGACCTGCAACCTTCCGTGCCGACCGCCCCGTTTTGATCGTTTCGAGCACCAGCTGGACTGCCGACGAGGACTTTCAAATCTTGTTGGATGCTGCCAAGCAGTACGACGACTTGGCCAAGTTGGAGAACGGCAACAAAGCTGGCTCGATCTACCGCAAGCTGTTGTTTGTGATCACAGGAAAGGGACCCCAGAAGCAGCACTATGAGGAGGTTATTAGTAAGATGGCCCTGGAGAACGTTGCGTTTGTTACCACTTGGCTCAGTGCTGAGGACTACCCTCTTTTGCTCGGTAAGGACTATGCACAATGGTGCTATTCTGCCGTTTTTTAACTTTTTTCTTTTTCTTTTTCGCACACGTCTGTTGGTTTCTGATGTTCTCCCTCGAGAATGTTAAAAGGGATATGCTATTGGTGTACCTAACTGGGATTGGATTCATTTCTGATATTCTTTTTTTTTTTTGTCTTTTCTTTTCAGGCTCCGCGGATTTGGGTGTGTCATTACACACGTCAACGTCTGGGGTCGATCTCCCCATGAAGGTGGTCGACATGTTTGGATGTGCCCTCCCCGTCACCGCATACAAGTACCCGACCCTCTCAGAAATCGTCGTCGCAAAGTCCAATGGCCTCGTCTTTGAGAATGCTGGAGAGTTGAAGTCGCAGTTTGCTCATCTCTTCAAGAACTTTCCTCTTGACAAGCCCGAGACCCAGACCCAATTGGAGGGTATGCGTCGTGTGTTGAGAAACTCGTTCCAGTTGACCCGCTGGAGCGAGAACTGGAACGAGATGTTGTTGCCATTGTTGAAGAACTTGGACAAGACCTGGGGGGATTCGCAAATGTTTGCGGAGCGACCTGTTTACACCCTCAACCCTCATGATACTCCCGCTCCCCTGGAGGATGACCTCGAGGACGACGATGAACTGTTGGACGACAATTAAGTTGTTGTTTTTTTCATTTGGAACTGGATCGTTGGGGGGGGAGGAGGTGTACCCCGTTTTTGATACATGAGAAGGAATTTGAGGGTGGGAGGATTGAGCAACATAGATACGTACTTTTTTCATAATACTATTATTTTTCATTATTTTTTACATGCCAGAACAAGAGTAGGTTTGTTTGATAAATCCAGGCGGGAACTGCTCTTCATCTGAGAAAAAGAAAACAAGTATCCGTTCATTTTGCGGTTGGAAGTGGGTACCGTCGATGCTTGATATCTGGCTTCAACTTTCTTATATACCGGTTCAAACGCTCCGTCGGGATATCTCGCTCCAGACAATGCAACCTCACCGGCTGCAACCCCCTCATCTCCTTCAGTCTAGGCCAAGCTTCTACCATCCACTCCAACTCTTCATGTCCTATCCTATGGTTACATCCCTCGAAACCAAACACTTCGAGTTTCTTTAGCGTTTTCAACTTGTCCAATCCTGAAGCCAGTGTGAGTTCGAGAGTGTCGGGGAGTGGGCCTCCATAATCGACGTATCGTTTTGCACCCACTTTGTAATATGGCTTACTCCTCCCGTATACTGCATTGATCTTGCGGTATTCCATGCCTATATCCAAGACCTTGAGGTTTGTCAATTGAGCGAGGCGGGCGAAAAGGAGGGGTTGTTGGACGACATGGCCAAAGTCATAGATGTCTTGGGCTTCTTTTTGGTCTGGAGTCAAGGGTTGGTCGATCATGACGTTGATGAGTGCCTGGCGATAGGAGAACTCTTGGTCTGCGTCGGCGAGGCGGGAGATGCCTCTGATCTGGCAGCGGAGGTGTTCGAGAGTCTTTGTGCAGGGCCAGGTTGGGAGATAAGAGATGAGGTAGTTGGTTTGGAGGATGTGTTGGATGGCGTCGATGGATTTCAAGTTTGGGCAGGACTCGAGGAGGATGGCGATGGTGTTGTCGGTAGTTCTCATGTGGTAGCTGGGGTGGATGGACGAGGAGGTGACCAGTTGCTTGAAGGATTCGAAGGACCGGCAGTGTACGGGAATAGCAGATGCTGTACAAGGGCCCAAATGAGAGAGCGTCAGTTCTTTGAGGTTGGGTAACCAGGGCAGGATAGAAGTTGCGATGTAATCGTCAGCAGTTTTGGAAGAGTCGAGCAAGAAATGGAGCCCCGTCAGTCGACTCTTAGTATCACCCATGATCGGGCCAGGGCGTACGGAAAAGTCGACAAAGTTCCAGCCGATGTAGAGTTGGTCAAGGTTGGGGAGATGCTTGAGGAGGAGGAAGAGGCTGCGTGGCGAGAGTTTGCCCTTCAGCTGGAGTGTTTGGAGCTGCGGCATGGACTTTGATAGAGCACCTCCGTTGAGGAGAGCGAAGTGGTCAACGAAATGGTGCAGCTGCGGCATCCTGTCCAGAAGGTGTTCCAGGTCCAGAGGTTGATAATAGTTCTCGAGGTATGTCAATCGAGGACAAGATGCCAGCATATCATAAAACTCCTCCGTTAGATCCTTCATCCGTCCTATCGACGTATCCAGTCGAAGTCTTTGTAGAGTCGATCTGTTGTTGTAAACCAACATCCAGAACCGCTGGAAGGTAATCCAATCCTGTTGACTCCAAAACCATGCCGAATGAATAATAGGCCTAAACGGACCCGCAAACAACGGCGACAACAACGGTTCAACTCGATCCCAGGTTGACTGATTCCGCCAAGCCGTGTTAAAACAAGTCTGCTCCAAGAACCTCGCTGACCGATTAGCTCCAAAGATCTTTAACGACTGCAGCTCTGTACAACTTCCGTCCCCGACGTCACTGGCAGCAGAGACGGCATTATTGAAGAGCGCCCATCGAACAGTCAAGTGTCGAATCAGTCCACCATGCTTGTGAAGGACGGCTCGAATGAAGTCCTCAGTCCAGTCGCCAGGGTTCCATCGCTTGCCGGGGAGGAGGTGGGTGAAGATTTCGGGCCAGGCACAGGTGTTGTCGTCGAGGGAGTTGTACAGGAGGGGGAGGAGGGTGTTGTGCCAGAGTCTTGAGACGCGGATACAGGTCGAGAGGGAGGGTGGGTCGAGAAAGGCGCCGATGTGGGATATTAGTTCTGGGATGTACTGTATCTCTGGTCCTTGTTGTTTCCTTCGTGGCATTATGTCGATATGAAAGAGGCGAAGGTGGGAGATGAGAGGAGGGAAAGAGAATGAAAATGTTGGAAGAAAAAAAAAGGAAGTGAGAAAAAGGGACAAATAAGACATGTTTGTCGTTACTCACCCTTCTTCCTTTCTCCCCCCCCCCCCCTTTTTTACTTTGCTCCCTTATGCCTAATCAATCTGAACGAACGACACACAAAATGTAACAAACAACCCCTTCACCAGACTTGCTCCAATTGCATCGACGCCATCTTGTTGACAGCTGTATCTTCGCTCTCGCCAGAAGGCAAAGACACCATAGGCACCAACACTCTCATGCTTCACCTCAGGACGCAACTTTTGAAGATGCCTCCTCAAAAGTGCGTTGTGCTCATCGAACCGGATCCGGGGAAATGTTCCAATTCTTTGCCATCCAATCCAACTCCTTCGTCTCTATCTGAAGATCAAAGCCTTCAAACCCAAAATACCCCAACTCCTTCAGACCCGATAACTTGCCCAAACCCAGACGTCAATGAGTACGCCGGCATATGAGAAAGAGCGACGTTGTTCACCTTTACTTTGTAGCAATAGAAAGAGGTCATTAAGAGCAGAGTGGTAGTTGAGCGGGGAAAGTAAAAGATTATGCTTTATTACAAGTACACACATGAGAAAAATGAAAAGAAATGGCAAGCTACCGGGGTATGAGGGTGAAGGAATGACGTGAATAGGAGAACAAATCCTCCACGCGAAGGGATGCAAAGGTTGTCGGTATCTCTACTCAAAGATGATAAAATGTACAAATGACAGAGAAAAAAGAAGTATTAACATTGGTGTTGGCTCTGTGCAGGCTCTGTGCAACAATAGCAAAAGGCAAAGGAAACAAAAAAAAATGCATTGGTCTAGTGCTGTCGCGACTTGGGTCGGAGAGTGGCCTTGGTGCCGGAGCTGATCAAGGTAGGGGTGCTGGACCAGGGGTCGCGGGAGAGCGGCATCAGGCTGTCGAGGACATCGATCCGAGAGAATGATCTTGCAGCGAGGGTAGCAGCAATGTTGCGGAGGTGAACGGTCGTCCCATGGCTTTGAGGAGACGCGGCTGTCTCGATCTCGGGGAGTTGGGTGTATCCTTCGTGTTGTCGGGGCATGATTGTAATACTGGAGTGGAGGAGAAGGCTTGAAGGGAAATGGTCTTGTTGCCTGCAGGAAAGGAGTTAATGTTGGTGTTGCCGTTGTTGTGGTGCTCTTGGTGTCAGTCGCTAGATGCCTTGAGATGCTCTTGGCTGTTGTTGGTTGCTATTGCTGTTGAGTGAAGAAGGGTAAAAGGCACCCAAATGTCCCTTTTATATGATGGAGTACTCGGATCTCTCAGTCTCAGCTGCTTATGTGAGGAAGATCTTCAATTGACAACAACGAGAATGACGACAGACTGCATACACAAAACGTTATTTTTCAAGCAGCGCTCCCTTCTCCCTGCTCTTACTCTCTTTGCCTTTACCTTTTCCCTTCTTCCCCAGGTGCAAGGGGAACCTTTTGCTCACAAAGCCAAAAAAGACTTTCAGGGCAACGGCGGCGTGTTGATGGATGACAAATTGACACTTCTCCCTTTTTTGTTAATTTCGCATTGAGCGCGCAGTCAAGATTAAAGTAGAGGGGGTATTTGTCAGGAAAGAGACAACGGTACCCAAGGAAACAAAACTGGCACATGCATCAGCCAACCAACCCCCCTACCCTCTGAGTCTTGGATGGCGCAACCTCTGCGAGAACAGATGCGCTTGTTTTTATTATCACAGTTCCGTAGGCAAAGGGAGGGAGTAAAAGTACCTCTGCAAGCATCGCTCAGGTGCACTTTTTCGATCGACCACCTCCTGTCGGATCCATGGCTTCAGTCTAGACAAGTACTCCTTCAGATCATTTACCCTAGGGTCCTCATACCCCTCAAACACAGTAAACTCTTCCAGGCCACCAACGACTCGAATGGAGGGAAGGTTATTGACCATCCATTCCAACTCGGCCTCGTTTATGCGATGATCGACCCCTTCAAAGTCCAGCACCTCAAGTCGGCGGAGGGTAGAGAGACGGTCGAGTCCTGATTCGAGAGAGAGTTCTAAGGTATTCGGAATCGGACCATTGCCTGCGTAGTACAATCGACCGCCAATCGTAAACCTAGTGGTAGGATCCAGGGGCTCTAACCAGCATTCGATGTACTCGAATCCGAGGTAGAGAGCACGGAGATGGACCAAGGTAGATAGTTGCGCATAGACCTTTTGATGTTGTTCCTGGCAACGCCTATGTTTCTCTTTCGTTTCTTCTCGTCGCCTCACATCAACCTCCTGGCTGTTACCTTTAAAGATCGCTTCCTCGTCACTCGTCAGTCGACCAAGGCCCACGATTTGGCAACGCAAGTACTCGATACGCCGACAGGCCCAAGGATGCTCTGCAAGGTAATCGGCTTCGATCTTGTGCTGAATCCCATCAAAGATCTTGAGGTTCGGACACCTCTCCAACAGGATTCCCATAGCATTGACCTCAAAGCGCAGATCGTGGTTTGAATGAAGCGATCCGCCATCCCAGATCTGAGCAAACTTTTCCAGTCCTGGGCAATGGATCGCCAATGCTGTTGCGACTGCTGTGTCGAGGCTGTTGAGGGTGACCTCTGTCAAGTGCGGAAGGAAAGGAATGATGTGTGTTGCCAACTGGTCCATCCGAGCGCCGGGAGGGAAGACGTTGACAAAGTGTAACCCAGAGAGTGGATGGAAAGGGCTGTTGTTGCTCAAATGATCCTTGGCCTGTTGAAGAGTCCAATTCTCGCTAAAGTCGATCGGCGTCCAAAGACAAAGCTGTTGGAGGTTGGGAAAGGTCCTCAAAAGATCATACACATTTGAGGCTTTGATTCGCTCGCCAACAATGGCAGTCCGTACTTGCGGGAATACGGTGGTATTGCAGAGAGGCTGGCTTGTGGTCGAACCATGGCTGTAGAGATCCGTGTGTTTCCAGTAGATCGTATCGACATTCGGCAGTACATCCAGAACAGCGGGGATGGCCATGTTGGGTAGATGGACGCTGAGTTGTCGTAGAGACTTGCTCAGCCGTTGGTAGACTCTAGTCAAGAACGAGGTCGAAAAGAGAGGTGACTTGGATTGGAGCTTCCAGGAGAGTTGTAAGGTGACCAGCCCCTGGTTCTGGAGGACCAAGACCCAGAACCACTGTGCACATATCCAATCGAGTTTGGCACGATGACCTGACCTGGGGAACCCAGGGTCTACAATCCCCTCGAGGATAAGTGACACCAACCCTGTCGATTCCGAGACGGTCTCCCAAGCTGTGGTGGCGGCGTTGTTGTTGCTTGGGAGTGACAAGTGATCGACTCGAATCGTTCTGGTGTCCCACAGGCTAAGCAGCCAAAGGGATTGTAGGTGTGTGCAAGTGCCGCTCTTGGCAGCGGCATTGTTGAGGAAGGTGTGGGAGATGGTCAAGTGTCGGATATGTCGGCCATACTTGACAAAGACGTCTTCTATCCAGATTCTGCTGTTAGTATTTGGTGTGTTGGTTTGGCGTTCGAGGCAGTCAGAGTCGTGGTCGGGGTACTGTTTGGCGAGGGACTTAAGGAGTGTGGGCCAGGCGTATTTGGTATCATCAATGACTCGCCAGAGCAAAGGGATGAATATCTCGTTCCATTGGCGGCAGACTTGGACACAGATGAGGAGGTGAGGAGGCCTAAGGTTCTCGCCAATGTTCCATGTTAGCTCTGGCAACTTCCACACCTTTTGCGCTGCCTGGTTCATGTGTGTGAGAGGAGGGGGAGGAAGAAGGAGTAATTAAACGAATGTGAATGTGAATGTGTCAAGAACAAGAAGTGGGAACGAGTAGGAAAGGAAGAAAGAGGTGAAAATACAGCTTTTGGCGCTGCTCCTTTCTTTCATTTGGTCGCACGAATTGACGCCAAATTATGAGCTCGGTCCAGTCTCTGTACTTTAACATAGCATGTCATGGTCAAAAGGAGGGAGTGCGCATGGTGGCAAAGTAGTTAGTCAAGCTGCGGCGTTTTTTTTTTCAACCGTGAAGACAACGCGTCGAATTCTTCTCAAAGCATACACCAACCAAGCATCCATCCCTCCAAATAAACCACCATGGTTATTCTTCGAGCGATTAACTGGTTGATTTGATGCGATACACACTTTGTATACTACGATGTGTATATGGAGTACCATTGGCATCGTGTTTTTTTGTTACAATAAAAGCTTTTTATTTTATTTTCGTACACAATTTATTTCTCTAACAAACAGCATAGAGAAGTCATTCGGAAGTAAAGGGGATTACAGACCAAACTCTTCAGTACACCATGGAACCTGGCTCTGCACAACAATTTTCGCTGCTCTTCACAGCTTATACGGAAGAAAATAAAACTAGATATTAATGAAGGGGATTCTTTCCATCCTCACCATCATTGACAACCTCTTCCTTCCTAACAAACTCTCCAACAACCGCTCGCCAGCAGCGCGTGGGTCCATGGTCGCTCCGGGCATAGGTATCAAAATCACGTGAGCCTGATAATTTGATCATTATTCCCGGGATCACATGATTGCGACTCCGAAGTACTGATAGTTTAAGTATACTCTAAAATTCAAGTTTTCATCGAGCTTCTGTGGCGCAATTGGCTAGCGCGTCTGACTGTTAATCAGGAGGTTGGTGGTTCAAGCCCACCCAGGAGCGATTCTTTTTTGCCTTTTGTGTCCTGGCGGGAATGAGCAAACGATGGACAGACACGTTGTTTTCATGAGTCGCGCTCATTCACTAGATCTTAGTTTTATCTTTTGTGTTAGCATCGATTTTGAAGAGAGCATCTCCCTTTTTTCTTTCTTTTCTTTCGACTTCTTCCTCGACAAACGACAAATAACGCCTCAGCATCTGCCTCTCTCAACAAGACGACATACTTTTCCGCTCAGAACAAGACAGCTATGGGCGGAGGATTCTCGAGACAGAAACAACCCACGAGTCCTCTCCTACTCCTACATACAATCCACAAAAAACCAATCAAAGTTGTCATGTTTGGACTCGACGACAGCGGCAGAGAGGAACTGATCCCCCGTTTTGGACTTGGAAAGGATCCAACACCCACGATCCCATGCATCGGCATCAATATCCAGGCCATCGACCTCAACAACCAATTGGTATTCTACTGTTGGGATATCCACGACACGTCGAGGAGGAGTAGATTCTGGAGAGGTGTAAAGTGGTTTATGGTTGGGTACGATGTGGTGGTGTTTGTGGTCGATGCGACGGATAGGGATCGGTTGTTTGAGGCGAGGGATGAGCTGGGAGGTTATCTGAATCTAGCTGCTATGGAGGAGGAAGGGAAGGAGGAGAGGGAAACTGTACTGTTGATACTAGCGACGAGGTGCGAATATCCTCAGGCATTGGACCTGTCCGAAATCCGCGATGCGTTTGAGAGGGAGGTAATCATGGGAGAGAGGAACTGGCGGATTCAGGGGTGTGATGCGACAACGGGGGAGGGGGTTGTTGAAGGATTGGAATGGGTCACAGCGCAATTCAGCGGAGTTGTTCCTTAGCAATGTCGGTCTTGTTGTCGCTCTTCTCTTTCAGACTGACAGGGTCGCTTGTGCGGCTAGTTTGGATGGACGCACGGCATCGCGGACAAAGAACGTAAAAATAAAAGCGCACGGAGTAAAAAATAAAAGGGATGTGCGACAATCAATTGCGATTGTCCCCTTTTTTATTACTTGCTTTGTCTCTTTGTCTTCTTTCGCTTTCTGTCCCTTTTTCATTCTTTCTTATTTTTCTTCATTCACCTTTCATTCGCATATTCGCACAGACACACAAGGAAAATGTCAAGAACAACAAAGAGAATAAACCCATTGACCCTGCCAGAGCTACTCGTCAATCTTGGCCCTTTTCTTACTGCCCAAGACCTCTTCTCCAGCATCCAAGTCAACCATCTCTGGAACACCTTCCTCGTCCCCTTCCTCTGGCACTCCATCGACGACCGCCTCTTTTCCTGGCCCACCATCCTCAATAGCATCCATGATGATGAGGTTGACGATGAACCCAACACTCTCCAGGTGCTGTTTGAGAAGTACGGTCACCACATCCATCATCTCTCCCTCACCTGGTTGGCAACCCTCCAAGCTGCCAGTGCAGCAACAACCTGCACCCAACTCCGATCGTTACTTGTCTTTGGCCTCAAGGACCGCGATCCTCCCCTACTGAACCAGGAATCCGACGAAGCCAACAGCAACCTCCACCATCATCCCAATCAACAGTCGTCTCTCGGACCTTTGCTCTCGCCCATGTTTGACCGAGTGTTTCGACCGTTGCAGGAGGGGTGGGGCAACCCCATAAAGCAGCGGCAGTATTGGAGGATGGCGCAACTCTACTGGATCCTAGTCCATCATAGTAACAAACACCTTCAGAACCTCCATCTCGAAGCAGCAGTCGGACCATTATTCAGAATGGTCTCGAAGGAGTATCTTTTTGACAGTCTGGCTCTGTTAAAGAACCTGAGGAGTATCGACACAGGTCTGGTACAGATGGACTTCCCTGTCCTTCTCGATCGAGTCCCTAGCCTGGGCACCCTCCGGTCAAGACCCAACGATCCCTTAACCAAAGAGATTGTCTTCTCCAGAACCATTCACCAACAGCCATTCTTCCAGCTCAAACTCTTGGAGCTAAGAGACCGCCTGTACCTACAAGAGTTCTACCTCTTCCTACGATACTTGCCCCAATTGGATGACATTATCTTTGCAGGGTTCAGGATGCAGACGGGATTACCCCCCAGCCCACAGGATATCATGGACAACAAGCCTAGCCAACTGCAGGGATTACATCTTCGACAGATCGGGAAACAGGACGACAAGATCATCCCGGGGGTCTTGCAGTGGCTTCCTTATCTAAAACGGTTCGGGACTGCGCTCCTGTATCCGTCAATCGCCAAGGCTCTCCGAACGCATTGTCCGGATCTAGAGTCGTTCAGTGACAGTGGCGTAGCCGACAATGGTCGTGAGCAAGGAGGAGGTGTTGTGGTGGTGATCCCTCCAGGAGCAATATCGTCTACCAACACATTGAATTATCTACTGCAGCACTGTTCAAAGTTGAGGACTGTTAGAGCGAGACGACATACGGTTATGGGGAGTTATGCGGTGAAGCATTCTTGGGCGTGCAGGGGGATTGAGACGCTGTGTTTTCGGCTTGTGGGTGTGCACGAGGATACATTGGTTGTGAAACGTAGCACAACAACAACATCAAGAACATCGTCTAGAGCTGAGCTAAGCAGCAGTGGCAGCACAAGTAGTACTAGCGAGGTTGAGAGTGACGGAGTGGTGTCGAAGGAAGCGCAGTGTAGGGAATTGCATCGGCGGATTAAGGAGCGATTGAGAGAGTTGCGGTGTCTTCGTACGGTTGACCTTGGGGAGGAGTGGGCCGAGGCGACCACTACGATCACTGATGACTGACGTGGAAGTGTACTGTAAAATAAAAAAATTGGTGGCGACGAAACAGCGAAGGTGAGGCGATCAGATTAAAAAGCATTGATCGGTGGGCAGCAGGATAACAAAGGGAATCGTGATCGATAGAGGTGATCTTGATCAATACCCACTTCTTCTACTACTTTATCAGTTGAGTAAGTGAGAGGGAAGGAATGACATCGCATTGGCTCACACAATGACTCTTCTTTTTGATTCCTTCTTATTCAGCTCACAACTCCCTTCATTCTTACACACGCACACACAATCGCACACTCTCCCTCTATTCTTCTCTCGCCTCTTGCATACACAAAAAAGATGCACTCGACGATCCTTGCAGGCAATAGAAACAACAGCTACGATGGCTACAACGACATCGCACCTTCACCCCCACCTCTTCCCTCCCTCCCACTCTACCTCCGCTTTGTCCTCTCACATCAAACACACCTCTCGACTCTGTCCACTCAGCAACAAGAAGAGAATATCATCCATCTCGACCACGGCTTCCAGCTTGCTCTCCTCTTACACAGCGACGACAGCGGCAGAAACTACAACCACAACCACAACCACAACCATAAAAAAGACAAAGACAAGAACAATGACGGAGACGGTGACGAGCAACGGCCACTGTCGCAGAACACCACAGTGGTAGATTCTGACACCACTACGACAACCACCTCAACGCCAATGACTGCTCACACACCGTTATCCAATACAACCAAACCTCCTGGACTGTACTCGAATGAAAGGATCGACAGCGACAACAACAACTGCATGTTTTCTGGCCTTTTCCAACACACAGCAGTGCAATTATCAACAACCTTCCATCACGACAGTAACGTAGCCAACAACAGGGAGTGTCAGTCGACGGTATTGGAGATGACACTTACCCTTGGCGGTCATCAGGACGACGAGGAGTGTGCCAAGGAGTACTACGTATCGATGATCCACGCGATCCATCTCTTTGAGATTGATCTCGATGGCGATCGGCTCTATATGAGCAAAGCCGTCTATGGCCACGATTTGATCCGTCACGGTATATCCTGTAGGCCACAGCATCGAGTCACAAAAGCATCCATCTATCATGTGAAAAGATGATGGGAATGTGTAGACAAAACGATGAGAAAAGCATGACCAATTGGGATCTTCTAGTCCTTGTAGATACGGATGATGTAGTCAAGACGGAACTATGCACGCTCGGAATCCTACTCTCCTCTGATCCCCTTGAGGTCCTTGTACCACCAGACGTGATCGATCAGTCGGCTGCCGACCCATTCGGTCGATCCATGCTAATCCGCCTCCTCCTCGACATCCACTCGGCCGACGTAACCTACTCTCCTTTTCCCTCTCCTCACCCAACACATTCACGTCTGAAAGGCCAAAGTCCAAGGCCACAACAAAACACGATTACACACGCCCACAGTGCCATCATACATCAATATCCAGCATTTAATCGCCTCATCCGCTACTTCCCCCGCCCAAACGACAACCCCAAGATCCACAAGCTCATTGATATCGACTCACAGGCCATGCGTCTCCTCATCAATTTCCTCTACCTTAACCAAATCGAAGGACCCGGCTACACGGGTATCATCGACTGGCGCCCTATCTTCCAACTTGCCCACCGGTTCAAGATCCCTCGCCTTGTTGAGTTGTCGTTATCAGAGTTGTGTAAGGAGATGAAGGTGGAGACGGTTCTTCCGACGCTGTTTGGGTGGGCGTATCAGCATCCGGATTATGAGGACCGGTTGTTGGAATTGTTATTGCTGCATCTGCACGATGTCTTTTGGCCGACGTTGGAGGAGAGTTTGGAGCCGTATCGGGACCACCGGGAGTTTGAGCGGGTTTGTAGGAAGTTGGAGGCCATGAAGATGATGGCCAAGCAACGGCGTCAGTGATACTGTGTCATGCCTGAGTAAAAAGGAGAAATTGTTTTTTCGAGACGCGTTGCATGGTGCTGTGACACTACACTCTTTTCTTCAAGGTGGACGTGTCTCGTGGTCATGATGCCTTTTTCTATTCTCATTGATGAGCGATGCGAATAAAAATTAAGGAAACATCGAAAACAACCTATCCACTCATACCTGTTCGCTTATCTCTCATCACTTTACCCGCCGATATATCTTCTTTTCTTCAGCAACCTCCGATGTACCTGAACAGCGATAAGGGTAAAGGAGAGTTCTCGGCGTAAATGATGCCAATTGTTTTTTGCATTGACGGACATATCTGTAGCCTAACATACACAGCATTCTCTTCATCTCCTTCCAGTCAGATAGCAATTGAGTTTGTGCTGTATTCTCATCATCGGTGATCCGTTCTCGTCGCCTTTTCTCCTCTCTCGTTTTCCTCCACTTTTCATCTCGTCTAAATATACATTTTCACGCACGACAATAACCACTGGCGCGATAAACAGGCGAAGATGAGGAATGCGAGGAAGCACTGAAAGAAAAACGGCTTGCACATTGCGTAGAGAAGTGGACACAAAGTAAGCTGGTATAAAAACTTTACGAATGTCAGTTTCAGTTTCTTTCTTCCTTCTTCTTCTTCATCTCATTCCGCCCTTCGCGTTGCCTCTGGGACCTCTATCCTCTTTCTTTTCCTTCCGCCTTACCTCCTATTCACAGCCCTTTCTTGGTGCTCGCCAACTTTCGTTCACACAAAGGGCTCCTTCTCCTTCTCACTACCGTCCACCAATCTCACACCCAAAAGCCGTTTATGGCAACCTTCTCCTCTTGCACAATGGCTCCCTTCGCTTTCGAGCTCCATTCGCAAGACCGATCTAGCGATGATAAAGAGCAGTTCAACCGGCACAGTCCATTTTCGGACGCCTTTCCTCTCCGTCTGAAATCTATGGAATCCCTCTTCGCAACCTCTCCCGAAATTGAATGGAAGCACGAATGGCACGCCTCGGGCCAATGCGAGCAAGCCGTTGAAGTCTATCTCGACCGGCCCCGCGACTTGGACTCCTTGTACCTCAGTCGAATCCAGATCACCCCCAGTTGTCTTGCCAAGTTGGCAGTTTATTTCGAGCAGCTCCAGAGGCTCGATATTAAGTTTTGTAATGAGATCAGTATCCCCTCGCAGCCTTGGCGCGTCGATTCAGGCTTCTTTCAGTACGATCTTGCGGGCCGGCCTCAGTTCTTTGCGGTTCTGCCGACTTCTTCTCAGTCGTCGGCAGCTACCGCGGCGGCTCTTGGGGTTGTTCCGGAGGGAGTGGACGCCGTTGAAGCTGAGGCCGCGTTGGAGGTTCTACCGAAAGTCCCGCCGCGCTGTTGTATCTTGAACGACGAGATGGCCGGGGCTTTGTCAATGTTTCACGGCTTGAAAGCTCTTATCCTGGACCAGTCGGACTACGACGATTCCAAGGTCTCGCACTTTGGGTTCTTTTGTCTCCTCGATGGGATGCCGTTGCTTGAGTGTCTCAGTTTGACTGGGATGTACATCGGCGACGATCCGGGCTGGGGCACTGCGGCTTCGATGCATGTAGATGGCGGTAGCGGTGATGTATGTCCGAGTGAGGTTGAGTACCCGCGCTTGAAGTGTGTCCATCTCGTAGGGACCCATTTGGCGCCGTCGGTGGGGAAGGTTTTTTACAAGTCCTTGCCGAGCATCTTGACGTACGATACCAACCAAGTCGATGAGGAGACGTGCTCGGATAGGGTCCTTGTAACCTTGGTCGATAGTGGATGCTCTGTGAACCTGTTGAGTGTCCGATTGGCTTTGGATAGTGTCGAGAACCAGTTGCCTGCGATGTCGATATCGTTGTCCGACTTCCACCGCTTCTCGAGTGAAAGCAGTGATTCTGACTATGGTTCCGCCGACTCTGCCCGGGGCTATGTCCACTACAATCAGGACGATCATTACGGAGACTCTGTCACCTGGTGCAAGCTGACGAACCCTGTCCTCAATTACTTATTGGCGTTCGTTCCGCGAATCGAATGTCTCGACCTCAATCTCGTGCCCCTGGACGACCACAGCCTGCTACTTATCGCCGTTTCCTGTACGCAACTTAAGACACTCCGAATCGCGCACTGCAGTGAGGTGACCAAACGAGGTGTCGGACACATCCTTGCCTTGTGCCATTTCCTCGTTCATCTGCATTTCGAAGGCCTTTTTGCGCTCGAGTGCATCTTCTGGGGACCATTGATTCCCGGTCAAGGAGAGGACGTGTACGAGCCTTGGGCCTGCGCGAATGTGTTGATCCATTTCGGAGTGGTCAATTGCCCCCTCTGGGGCCAGAGCTGGACACGTCCCGAGACGATCCCCATCATTCGCCGCCGCATTGCTGATCTCACGTGCCTGGCCGTCCTTGAGCTTGTCAACTGCATGCAGTTCTCCACCTTCAATCTGGCACCCACCGACCCTTACCGTGATACTGTTTTGGCCACCGGAAACTGCGACGGTAACGACCATGACATGGTCGGGGACGAGACTCCAAAGGCGATATCCGTACCGTTCATCATCTACCCATGGACCTACCTCCCCAAAGAGATGCCGACCCTCTGGCGCCTGAACTGGCAAGTCGGACAAAAGTTCACCCTGAGCATGTACTCGATGAGGTATCTTGTCAGGGTTCAGCTTCCCAACCTTAAGCGCTTGCGCATGAAAATTTCAAACTGGGACGAGGTCTACTGGGCCCTCCGCCGCGAGATGCATCCTATTGATTTTGAGCAATGATGGAGCAGGAGAAGTGGGTGGTATTGAGGCGAGGGTTATTGTCAGGTTCTTATTAAGGGCAAAACAAAACGCGAAATAAAAAGGCAAGAACCCATTACTTTTGTAGAGTATTTTTGTGTGATATGTTTTCTTTGTGGTAGGGAGTGCGCTCTTTGATTGAAAAGAATGAATCAAGGGGAGTAAAGGAGCATGGCAAGACAAAGAGGCACTGTGAATAGGATCAATCGAGTTATGAGAAAGAGCGCATTTGTTGCATGGGATCCATTTTTTTTTCTTTGTTGGGTTGTTGTTGCACAAAGGCACACAGAGCAAAATGAATACAAAGAGAACAAAGAAAAAGGACTCTCTACTCTGCTCTTCTCTTCTTTCTCCACGTTCCTCGTCGCTCATCTCTCGTCGCTCACCTCTCATCTCTCATTCACTTTTCTCATTATTCCATTCATTCGTTTTTTCGAGTCATCTCCATGTCCACACAACGGTCCCCAAAGACCGTGTTAATTTCAGGAGCAGGCATCGGCGGACTGACACTGGGCGCGCTTCTAGAAAAATCAGGCACTCCATATTTGATCCTCGAGCGAGCAGCAACGGTCAAACCCCTCGGAGCAACGCTATGTATCGGTGGACCCATCATGCCCCTCCTGATTCAACTGGGTATCTATGATGAATTTGTGGCCATTGCCAAACCATCAACCTATCTTGTGGTCAACAACGAGGGCCAGGAAACCTTGTTTGTCAACGACTTTTCTCTCTGGCGAGAATAGTAAGTTTCCTTGTCTTCAATTTGACCCCTGTTGTCTTTTTTTTGTTTTGTGCAATATGACTTCTTACAATGCCTAACTAGCGCGTGGCACCTTAGTACATTTCAACAATAGCACCGGATACTCAGACTACGTAGTCTCGCGAGCAAAACTCTACGACCTCCTCGCAGACCAAATCCCATCCGAGAAACTACTTTTTGGAAAGCGAGTCCAAACCGTCAACCAAACTCCCGAAAAAGTCCTTGTCCAGACCGAGGACGGTGCATCCTATGAAGGCGATATCCTGGTCGGCGCCGATGGAGCCTACAGCGCTGTCCGTCAACGATTGTATGAGACGTTGAGCAAAGAGGGCAGGTTGCCTAAGGGGGACGAAGGAGATCTTCCGTTTAGTTATACTTGTTTGTTTGGGCAGACCAAAGTGCTGGATCCGGAGACGGTCCCGATCTTGAAGGAGCCGCTGTGTCAGTTCTTGACCACCATTGGCGACAACAAGCCGTACACGGTATGTGAAGACATACCTTCAAAGTGATATAAATTCATTGTGTTGGTCAAATTTACAGTGGAATAACCACATTCTAACTTCTTCCATTCTTCCTTGAATAACTCACACAAAAACAAGTGGGCGACGCTGAGGACAAGGCAGAACACGATATCGTGGCTGGTGGTGAACCACCTTCAAGGCGTCAAAACCAAGGGTATCCATAACCAGAACCACAACCCGAACGATAACGCCGAGTGGGGTCCGTACGCAGCCAAGGCCATGTGTGACCAAACCAGAGGGTTTCCGATTCCCATTGGCAATGGTTTGACAACCCTCGGTGACATTATCGACTTGACACCTCCGGATCTTATTTCCAAGGTTGCGCTTGAGGAAAAGGTCTTTGAGACTTGGTACTCTGGTCATGTTGTCTTGATGGGCGATGGTGAGTGGAATTGAGAGTAAGGTGTTCATGCGTTTTGCGAAGGGTGAAATTTTGACAATGGCGTACAATCTCGAACTGAAGGTCTCGGAATTGTTCTCTCTGTGTTTTGTTATTAGCGTGCCACAAGATTAGTCCTGCTGGAGCTCAAGGTAAAGAAAGTGGATTCTTGTTGACAAATCTGTTCTTCACTTTTTTTATGTGAGGGTTATTTGGCATCGCATTCCCTAATGCGTCTTTGAATCGTTGGACCATGCCTCGTAGGTGCGATGAATGCGATGCACGATGCGGCGGCGCTCGCCAACGCCCTCTACGCCCTGCCATCCCGATACTCGTTGCAGGACCTCTCGACCGCATTCCAAGAATACAAATCCGAACGTCTCCCGCCCATCATGGAGTCCTTCAAGAACAGTCAATTGATGGGCAAATCGATCGAACGCGGTCTAGGAGGAACGGCTACTCGGTTTTTGATGCAACATAAACCTGACTGGTTATGGAGACTGGTTCTGAAGGGTATGGTTAAGAACAGACCTATGGCGGGTTGGCTGGAGGAGGTTCCTGTTCGAGGTAGTGTTGTTCCGAATGTTTCTGTTAGCGAGGTCAAGGCCAGGGCATTCTTCAAGCAACGAGCGGCGGATGCTGCTCCTGTTTCTCTGTAGAGGATCATTCACCCTTTGCTTTATTTCTCTCCCGTCCCCACGGTCTTATCCAGTACCCAGATCGATAAAAAACAATGCGTGCATGTGCGCTAAACCATCCACAATACAAAATGTAATTAAAGTTATCCCGTCTGATGTGTGAGCTCGATGGTGGAAGAAAAGGAAGGATTGAAAGGGATGAAGGAACGAACGAGGGAGGGCATTGGACTTATGAGCTTTTGTTTCGGAAGGACGAGGGGGAAGAGCTAGGCGCACTGTCTCTCTGTAGCGCCAGGTATATATCATGGCCTTAATGGAGTAACGGCATGCACATCAGCAAGGAGGGATTCATGAAAAGAAATTGGCGAAAGTACCTGGTTCAAAAAGCTTTCTGGTGCATAGTGTTTCTGGGCAATGCCGGATGGGTGTTGTCATTGGAACGAATGGGCGTAAACTGACCGTTGTAGGTTGGAGTCAGGGTCGGCTCATCATGCGATACCTTTCTTTGTGATTGATGATGTTCCGATAACATCGCCAATGCATGTCAACTACAAAAAAAGAAAAAAAGAGCACAAAGGAGGTGATAAAGCCGAGTAGGAAAAGCACTCTAACAAAAACGCCAATTCCTTTCGCACTTCTGTCCGTCCCACTCTTTCTCTTACCCTGCTTATTTCCTTTGCAACCGCCTAACACTCATCTCTTTGACTTTTGTCATCAGTCATCTCATTTCACCATTTCGACCTCCACCAAGTTCGTCATCAGCTTTCATTCATGGAAACTCATTCATCACCCGAAGTCATTATTACAGGAGGGGGTCTTGGAGGGCTCTTCCTCGGAGCCTTGCTCGAAAAATCAGGAACACCGTACATCATTCTTGAGCGAACAAACACCGTCAAAGCCTTAGGTAGAGCAGAACAGAACACTGAAGTACACAGCAGGTCCCTGGAAGGTAGATGTGTATTAAGCAGAATGATATACTCATCAGCCCACATTCTCGTTGTTTTTATCAAACATAAAATGACAGGGTCTGCCATCTCGATTGGAGCAACACTTCTCCCATTGTTTGACCAGCTGGGTCTCCTGGACGAGTTTGTCGCTATCGGAAAGCGGTCTGTCCGGTGCATGGTCAACAGAGAGGGCGACCAAGTGTCGTTTGCCAACGACTTTACGTTGTGGAAAGAATAGTAAGTCACTCAATATCATTGTTGTATTCCCTTCTGGCTGTTGTCAATTATGTAGAGCGGTGGACTAAGAACAACGCTCACTCCATTTATTATTTTGTAGCACTGGATACCCGGACTACATGGTTGGACGTCCAGAACTATACAATCTTCTCCTTCGACAGATTCCACCGGAGAAGGTCCACTTTGGGAAACGAGTCCTGACCATCAAGGAGGAGGACAACAGGGTGAAGGTCACTACTGCGGATGGGTCTTCCTTCGAGGGCAATATCCTTGTTGGTGCAGATGGGGCCTACAGTGCGGTTCGTCAACGCCTCTATGAGGCGCTAAGAAAAGAGGGAAAGCTACCAAAGTCGGACCAGGAGGATCTCCCTTTTAGTTGCACCTGCCTTGTGGGACAGACTAAACCTCTGGATCCAGAAAAGTACCCATTGGTGAAAGAACCCCTCTGCCAGTTCCTTACGACCCTAGGCAAGGACAAGCCCTACAGCTGGGCTGTGTTTACAACCGCCCAGAATTCGGTCTGCTATGTCGTCATTCACCAACTCGACAAGTCCTCTAGCAAAACTGCAGAGGATCAACGATTCTGCGCCCTGGAGAACGCCGAATGGGGTCCGCATGCTGCCAAGGCAATGTGTGACCAAACGCGAGAATTTCCTGTCCCTGGAGGCGAAGGTTTGAAAACCATGGGCGACCTTTTTGATTTGACACCACCGGAGCTCATTTCCAAAGTTATGCTGGAGGAGAAGGTCTTCGATACGTGGTCTCACGGACGCATGGTCTTGCTTGGCGATGGTATGTGCTTTTTAAAAGGATAAAACAAAACAATTGCAGGCTGTGGATATGTGAATTCCTACGCAGAGAGATGTAACCTTCTCTTTCTATTTACTTGTATAGCTTGCCACAAAATGACTCCGTCAGCAGCTCAAGGCATGTTTTCGGCCACTATTTTATACCGCATGCATCAAGCGCACGTTTTTCTCTGCATGTACAAGACTAACGTTTTTTATTTCATTTCTCGAATGATTATTTCATATTGCAGGCGCCATGGTCGCGATGCATGATGCCGCAGCACTCGCCAATCTGATCTACGCCCTCCCGCCCAATTACACGACCAAGGATCTCGATATCGCCTTCCAAGAATACAAGGCAGAGCGGTATCCACCTGCTCTGGAGTCGTTCAACAGCAGTCAGCTGATGAACAAGGGGATCGAGCGAGGTCTAGGCGGAACCGTTGCTCGTTTCATGATGCAGCATAAGCCGGATTGGTTGTGGAGACTAATTTTGAAGGGTATGGTCAAAAATAGACCCTTGGTGGGTTTCCTCAGTCAAGTGCCTGCCAAGGGAACCGTCCCCCCGAATGTGTCCCCCAGCGAGGTCAAAGCCAGGGCCGTCTTTCAGCAGCGAAATCCTGCTGTTTCCGTCTCTGTGTAGCTGTCCCTTTGCTCTATTTTTGTGTAGTTTCATGAAGGAAAAAATACCCAAACCAAATAAAAGTTGTATTCAAGTTTACCACATCATCCACAGTGCAATCAGTCCTTTCCCCACGCGAAAGTACGGGTAACATGAAACAAAGAGGACCGTTGGACTGATCAATCAGACGGAGAGATGTCATTCGTCAAAAGGCAAACAGTCTCATTTTCCGCGCCACCAAAAAAAGGCGGATGCGTTTCGTGATCATGATGTTTGTTTATTAGAAGCTGAACTATGGTACATACCCGTTTAGTCGTTGGTGGTGATGATGGTACATATGACGCCACCAAAGCGGGAAAGGAGAGAGAGAGCCAGAGAGGCAGATAAAACGCAAGGTAAGTAAGTAAGTAAGTAAAGGTATGAACAGCCCTTCCTCCCACCGTCATTGTCAAGATTGATGAAGGAAACAAGGAGAGGGCAAAGAAAGGGAGGATAAAGTGGAGCAGTTAGGCATCCTTGGAGGCTTCCACGAACTTGGCATCGCTCAGCTCCATGTCGGTAGCAGCAGTAAGCCCCTCCTTCTCGAGTTTAATTCTCTTTTCTTCCTGTTCGTTGTTGTAAAAGTTAATGGCCTCTTGACGGCCCTTCTCCACTATTTGAATTGGCGAAGAAATACGAACGTTCACATGTGTGTTAGTCTTTGTTCGTATGGGTAACACATGCGTGGGAAAATGCTTGATATGACGTGCATAGAGACCGCACATGCAAAGTTGGGACCTACCGTTGACAAAGAGCAGCATGAAGGCGGGGATATAGAACTGGGTTACAAGAAACCACCAGGTATGACGAATTCCGTAGCTCTCGATAATAGCGGTGCACACAAGTGGTCTAATATGAGTGTGTCAAAGAAAAGGTTAATATAACGGTCATCTTGTATTGCTGCAGTAGAGGCTCATCCACTCGAGTTCTTACCCAATCCACGAGGATGACACGTTGGCCTAGCAAAGGCGGGAATAAACATAATGAGAAAATAAGGGGTGAGTGTCAATCAAGCAAATTTTCACATCAATAAGCACGAACCCCGATCATATTTTGTTACCATTTCAAAGAGAGCATAGAGCTCATTCTCATGTCCAAGGGGAATGAATTGGGAAAAGACGACTCTGTTTGAAGAGTAGATAGCTCCAACAAACAGACCAAACAGCGAGGCGAGCATGTACATCTCCCAGGTGTTCTTCAACCCCACCGGGTTGCTGCCAATGAGACCCGTTAAGCAGTAGATGGGAATTAAGCCAAAGAGGCAGGTGTTGATGATAATAACGGTCATGGGCTTGACGCCGCGGCTGTTCTGAAGCCAAATCCAGAATGACATCGAGCAGGCGGCAAAGACGTATTGGATCAAGACTGCAATAATCAACGCATCATTCGAGACCTGGAGCTGGTCCTGAGCGACTAAGACAGCCATGTTCGAAGTCGACGTGAGACCATCGCCGAGGATGAACCATGCGCAGAGGTAGTAGAACATGGTCTTTAGGCGACGCATCTGGCGAACAGTCTTGCCGATACGGATATATCCAAATGTCATGTAGCTGGCCCCAGCGGGCAGCGGGTCAGATGTTCTTTGATGGGCAAGGAAGCCATAGATGACCATGAAGATTAACACAAAGACGGCACTCATGACCAAACAGTAACCCACAATCAAAGTCTCGGCTCCCATGACCATTAGCATGACTGCTCCGAGGACGGTCATGACGATTCCACCAGCGAAACCGGCGGCGGAGGCGCCTCCAGAGAGGAAGGTGGCCATTTTGACCTTAGCTTCGATGTGCTCACGAGAGTTTGTCCCGAAATCTGTCATAGCCCTGACTACTTTGGGGTGGTGTCTTGCCAGGATGGGGATATGGGCGTCAAAGAAGTTGAGAGTTGCGCCATTGAAGATGAGGCCTAGAGGAAGATTTGTTTACAGCAACAGCAACAGCAGCGACGACATGGTTATGGTTAGCTTAGATTGTCTCTTGTTTACGGCGTCGGTGAGTACATACGAAATCTCTGCTAGTTCTGGTTGTCTGTTCCCTACTTACCAATGACCATTAAGAGGCCAGCGAGCCACCAGACATCGGGCTTCAAGGGGGCAATGAACATGAAGGTGGTTGTCACGGCCAAGAGGGTGCAGAAGGTCATCATCAACTTCTTGGACGACCGTCCATGGTCAGCAAAGGCTGAGGTGCCTAGAGAGACAATAATGGTGCACCAGACTGAGACGACATTGATGAGGAGTACATAGGAGGTGGGCTCAACACGAACGAATCCAAAGGGGACAAGACACCGGTCACCCTCGGGAATCAACTCATCGCTCTCGGGGCAAGGGAGAGAAGAATTCGAGCTAAGACGGGACGCGTTCCTGGCGACCTGCTGGACCAGCAGGGGTTGGAAGAGGGAACCGGTGGTGTTGGACCAAGCGAAGTATCCGAATGCGAAGAGGAAGAATGCCCAGAGCTCTTTTTTCTTGGTGAGTCGCTCTCGCATGTGGGGCTGCAGCCGGACAAAGTCCTCGGGGTTGTCGTCGACGAGACGGTGTCGGAGTCGCTGCAGTGACATTAGAGGGGGTTAGGAAGCGATGGAATGAGAATGAGGATGAGGTTTGGAATGAACAACAATCAGGGCAGAGGAGGGCGAAGAAAATGAATGTTGATGCGAGAAAGGTGAATGAGTGGAGTGGGCAGGGAGTGAAAGTACTCCTCTCTTTCGTCGCGAGGAGAAGAAGGGAGAGTACGAGGAAAGGAGGGGAAGGAATTGAACTCTGCCGAAGTGAAACAAAAAAGAACACAAATATAAAGAGGAGAAAAAAAGGAAGAGAACAATGGGGTAGGAAGTAGAAGAGGTAAATGCACTTTTGGTTTAGAGTTGAAGGAAGGTGGAAGACGATGAAGAAAGGGCCCCTACTGGGAGAATAGGGGCCAACCTTGTGCTTCTTGTTTGCATCCCGCTTTGGAAACGATTGCTATTGTTGTTGTTGAAGGGTGTTTGTCTGTTTGTTTGCTTGTCCATTAGCCCATCGCTAATCACGTTGGCTATGGGATCGAGGGAATGGGCTGCTTCTCCTTTCTCCTTTATTCCCATTCAATTGACAGCTCTCAAGTCAAAAGAGTCCAGTTTGTCACACCACTGTCTTCAGGCAAGAACTTTATTTTGGATAAAGTGCACAGAAAAGCAAAGAGAAAAAAGGGAGTGAGCATTCGTTAGTCATTTTGTTAACAACTCATGTCTTCACCAACTCACCCTTCTATTTCTTCTTTCTTTCTTTCTTTCTTCGTTGTTTGTGAATGATTAATGATTAACCTTGTGCACCATTGTATCCCGTCCCTTGCGTACCGTTCCCCGTCCCCTTCCTTCGGACGTAAATAACAGAGCCACGTAGAAAGTGAACGAACTACTTTCTATCGATCCATCCTCATCTCGATCATGTCATTTTTTCCTTCATCTGTTCTCATTCCAGAGCATATAATAACAGCAAGCAGTGCTACAAAAGCTCATGACTAGTTGTGGCATAGTCCCTTTCTCCATTTTGCAATCAACAATGCAACGCTCACTCTCCTTTCCCTTCGTCTGCATGGATTCCATGCATGGATGACTAAAATTTACCCACCCTTTTTAGCCCAGTCAACAAACAAACAAACAAACAAACAAAAATCCAGCCTGCGTTTGCCTCTGCCGTTTTTTGTGCGTCTTCATCAACATGCCAGCTAGTGCTAGCTTGTTGGTGGTATCAACAAAGCGACCCGCATATGATACGCACAGGGACCCTCGGAGTAAACGACGGATGAATTCGTAGATGCTTTTACTTCCTTCGCATATCAAAAAATATGCTTCTTTCCCCACAAAAATAAAAAGTCCGTTGTCTCGTAAATATCTCATCTGGAATACATAAAGAAACAAGCACAACTAACACACTGCAGTAACGACTTGGGAGTAAAAAAGGGAAAGGCGGCTACATTTTCCTTTTGAGTGCGCCTCGTCGTACGATACCATTTCTTGGAATACCCGCAGGTGTGTCCATGCCATGGGCCGTACAGCTGTCTGCGATCACCAAGGCTGATTCACGTTTGTATCACGTTGGATCTATGAACGACTCTCTGGGATACGGGTCCAAAAATTCCCACATGAGCCGCGACAAGTATTTCAGTAGAAAGGGCTATCTCTTGGCTGACGCAGGGTACGCGGTTTCTTCGAACATCACTCCCGCGCTACAAGGGGACGATCATCACTACAGTAGAGCATCGACAATAACACGGGACCAGATGGTGAGGTTGTGAATAACGTGTCCGTGCTTGGCAAACACGTGAGAGATCCAGGCTTCGTCCTTGTCGCCCTTGGAGGCTTCTGAGTCGTAGTGGGTGGGGATGTGTGGCCAGCTGTGGAGGTTGGTGTCGACGGTGTGCCAGAGTGCTTGCAAGAGAGCGTCGTTAAAGATGTGACATACTTGAATGGATGAATAGAGATCAGGTGTGTAGAGGAAGCGGCTGATGCCAAAGATGATCTCTGGCAGCGAGAAGACTTTGAGTGCGGGATTCATTCTTCTTTTTTCTCTTGGGGTGATGTTGAATAAGAGAGTTGTAAGAAAAGCGAAATGAGAGTCTAACGTTAAAGGAAGAAATGAGAGAAAAGGAGAGAGGCGCCACGGCTGGGTTGGTCGGGTTTCAAGAGGGACACGTCTCAGGCACAGCGGTTTCATGCTTCTTTGTTTCAGCCGCCATTCATCAATAGCCTTTTTTCATCAGCAGCCAATTATCTAAAAAGAGAGGCGTCATTTCCATATTAGCACAACGTAGCTGCGGATCGCTCTCATCACCTGTAGAACGCCAACCTTTTTTTCTTGTTTTCTACGCACTGTGTTTTTTTAAACACTCATTTCTTTTTTTGTGTTACACGGTTTATTCAGACGTTGCAGCCTGGAGTAGTCCATGAGGCTGTCACTTCTATAGGTTTTCGTGATTGATGCCGCCAATCGACATTTCAATCGCTGCCATGTAGCAAAGAAAGACATAGTTAATAATAACAACTGCATTTATTCTCTGCATTTTCGCATTCTGCACGGTAATACTACTTCTTCCAGAACACAGTTTCGTTGTAGAGGCGTTCCTGCATACGCTTGGAGATATTCAGCAGTGGTTCCAAGGGTCTGATTCCTGGCTCGCCCATCAATGCCAGCGACGCAATTCCCATGTACGAGTGCAGTACATCTACAAGTTCAACATGGCGAAAAAAATGCTGTTAGCGTCAATGGCCTTTTCATCACGAAAGATAAGGATAATTACGCTGGCCAGATGAAAAAAGCAAGAATACGTTACCAGGGTAGGTGTCGACCCATTTTCCAAAACCTCCAAAGGCCTTGTGCTGAGTCTCCATAAGGAAGCCACGATTGCACTCAAAGTTGACCAGATCAAAGCTCCCAATCGCAGCGATGGCTCCTCCGATCCAGAAAGAGTAACAAGTATCAGTAGGCTTGTTGGTCCTGCCTTGGAATCCCGTCGTCTGTCTCTGGAGACACCAACGACGAGTTCCTTCCAAGTCCACAAATCCAGCCCGAGCACGACGTTCCTCAAATTCCGAATCTGTCTCGCCTTCCTGACGAACCATTGTCCGTTGATCCAAGAATGCATCCCCGCCCATCAATCCTAGCGAGGCGATGGCGCAGTATGTCGTTCCTCCATGGGCCTCATGTCGAGGGCTCTGTGCGAATCCATGTTCATACGTCTGCGACTCGCGGATGAAATTCAGAAGTGCAGGCCTGTCAATTCCTGACCAATCGTTCAAGATGTACGACACCGCAGCGGCACAGTAGACGAAGCGCATGTCAGGCTCATAGTCGGTGATACAGGGGATGAAGCAACCGTTAGGCTGCTGCAGTTTCCTGAGCGACTTTAGGATTGGCTCCTTGGCGACCCTGGAGAGATCGTCGCCGAGCATAATGAGCGAGAGAAGGGCGGTATAGGTCATGGTGAGGTGGGCGGTGTCGTAGGGGGTTGTGTGGCTGTTGCATTCACATCCGAGGTTCTGCTGTCCGTCTGTGGGTTCCTGGAAGGCGAGCCCTGAGAAGGGTCCACCAAATCCGTACAATGCGTCATCATCCTCTACATATTGGTATCAAGGGAGTAACGTAGGGTCAGTGAGAGAGTATGAGGCGGCATATGACTCAGTTGAAGGGTAGTAAGGTAAGTTACCGGAGGGTGAGTCCTTGGAGGGGATGCGCTGTTGAGAGTAAATCCACTCGATCCATGCCTTGCGGTTTGCCTCCGAGATAGCTTCCTCAAGGACACCCAACAGCTCCAGACCTCCAATTGCAAACAGACCCAAGGTCATTCTACATTGGTAGTGTGAAAGTTGCAAAGTAATGTAAGCTGTCCGCTGCCACTGTTGCCCTTTGTCTTTTCTCCTTGTCTGCTCCATCTCTCAACACAGACACTTTTACAAGAACGCGTTTGTCTTGAAAAAGGACAAAGTGCGACGCCAAGGTATGGATGTTACCTGAATGTGTCTTGCGAGGTGTACGGCTCTGGGAGCATCTGGAGGTTGCGTTTGAAGTACTGGATGTGCTTCTCGCGCTGGAAGGTAGGTCCGCTTGGTTGCGTTGTTGGTTGTGTTTCCTGCGTTGTTGCCATGGCTGGTTCAGAAAGCATCGGTGCTTTGTGGGTGGGTATGAAATGTCGGTGGTAAAGGTGTAACTCCGTCCTTTTCGCTCCTTCATCACGTCGTGAACACGTACATGAGCGAGCGTGACTGTTCCTGGCCTGAACTGTCTGTGATTTTTTGGGTTCCTCACAAACCACACCTTGTAATTCAGGACAGGACGGGATCATCAGCAACAACAACCGAGGGGGATCATGCAGAGACAAGAACAACATCGGCGCGTATTTCTAGGAGAACGTACATAACCTGGCAGGGCTGCTGTTTCCTTAACATCAACGGATACCATTGCAAGCGAAATAAAATACCGCAGCAAAACGACGCAGTCAACACGCCGCGTATGAATGATAGTGCTTGGCACTCTCACTCCTTGGACTATAGCCAACCCTGGATAATGGTATAAAAAGGTCGAAGGACACGGCGCCTTTCTTCGACAACATCTTGCTTACCCTTCTCACCACCACAACCTCTCTCCTAGCAAGGCGTTTCAACACACTTCCCCACACATATCACAGAATGCAAGACGCTCAGATCTCAAATCAACAACACGGTGTCTTTGGCATCCTCGAGCTCATCCAATGTATCGGCAACATTCTCCATCCATCCGACCTCTTTGCCTGCGTACAAGTTTCCCGCTATTGGAACAGCAGTCTCATTCCGTTACTATGGGAAACAATCGATGACTCGAAGCTATCTTGGCCAAGGATTATCCGACGACACGACAAAGAGAGCAGGAACTATATCCGCAATGCCTTCGTCAAGAATGGGTCTCACATCCGGCACTTGTGGCTTCATTGGAGGACCACCCTGGACGCGGTGTGTATCGGAAATCATTGCAGCGACCTACGTTCGCTACATGTCGCACACATTCGCCATTCACAGATCCAAGAGCCAGAGTACGAGTGGATAGAAGACTTGGATAGACAAGAACAGGACGAGATGATAGCCTTGCGTTGGGAGCTCGCCATGGAAGATCTTTCCGTTTGTCCATTTCCGACAAGAAAGGAGCCGTTTGGGAGGACACTGGCGCAACAGGAGTTGGACTGGTCGACATCTAAGCATTTTTGGACTTTTATTCGCAACAACCGCCAACTGCAGAGTCTTTACCTCCACAAGAGCCTGGGGGAGTTCATGGAGGATGTGCCGTTGCCTTACCTCGTCGACACTCTGGCCTCGCTCAAGGATCTTGCTCTGCTGGAAAACAACTATGTCGCCATCGATCTCGATCATATCTTTGGTCGACTTTTGGGATTGGAACAATACAGCACGGCATTCTCGCCTTCAGGAAGCGGCGCCTCGATCCAACCGTCACTACGGCTCCGGGATGCGAAGTTCTTGGATGTCTGTACCTACCGAGAGCTACTGTGGATTCTGAACCATGCACCCAACCTAGAGTCCTTGAGTTTTGGTGCCGTTTCGGTTCTGGGAACTGTCACTCCTACTGAGGCAGCCGTGATCATGGACAACACACTGAGTCGAGTGACAAGTCTACAACTGGGCGTGCGTACACATATGCTCGACGTTGCCTTGGACCAGGTGTTTGCATTGATGCCCAACCTTACCTCCTTCACCACCACCCAGCTCGTGCCCTCGATCGCTCAAGCACTATCGACCTTCTGCACGAATCTGGAGACAGTACACGAGCCTTATAAGGGATCACTCTCCACAGGATTAAGTCAAGCTCTGGACTGGCTCCTCAAGAACTGCCCTACTCTCACGAAATTCGACGGGGTCCGACATGTACTGTCTGGTTCGATCTGGGAGGAGCCGTGGGTCTGCCAGGAGCTGACATTTCTCCGCTGTCAAGTCAAGGGTGTCCAACGACTGTCGTCTCAGGATCAGGAACGATACAGTGTCATCGTTTGCGGTTCGCTTTCCGAAGACGACGTCCGTTTGTTGCAGTTGCGTAGGACTTCATTGCAGCAGCAAAAGAAGATCTACAGGAAACTTGCGACCCTGACACAACTGCGCGTTCTCGATCTTGGATTAGAGTACCGACGACTATACAGAGGGCTGCAGATGTCGGATGAGCAGTACTTGACTGTCGATGGACTCTTCCCGGATACGCTCGAGCTGACGCTGGAATCAGGGCTTGGCAAATTGGAGACGTTGAAGGCCTTGCAGGTGTTTGGGTTCGAGGGGGTGGACCATAGGATCGGCCTGACAGAGCTGGAATGGATGGCCAAAAAGTGGACGGGACTCGAGGAGATGCGGGGGTTGCACAAGTTTTCGGCGAGGATAGAGTATAAGCGACGGAAAGATGAGTTGAGAAATCACTTTGAGGGGTTGCGACCGGATGTGAAGCACCAGGGTGCTGACTACGGCTATGACAATGGTGCTGGTTGGCTTTGAAAAATAAACACTTGTCTGCTCTTTGTGGCCACTTGCTCATGATTCTGTTTTCTGAAATGCCGCAGCCTCTTTTTTTATTTTTTTCTCTTCACTTTCTCTTCTCTTCTCTTCCCTTCTCCTCTCCTCTTCTCTTCCCTTCTCCTCTCCTCTCTTCTCTTCTCTTCTCTTCTCTTCTCTTCCCTTCCCTTCTCTTCCCTTCTCTTCTCTTCTCTTCTCTTCCTTTTGTTTTCTTCACTGACATTCCCCTCTCCTCCAATAAAGCGTCGATACCATCATCGCACTCAAAATGCCGACCACAGAGACATCACTGCCACCCACACGACACCTCTTCCTGCCAGAGATAATCGAAATACTCACCCTCTCACTAGCCCGACGAGACCTATTCCGCTGTATCCAAGTCTGTCGCGCCTGGTACACCCTCTTCACGCCCTACATGTATATCTCCATCAACGACCACCGCCACAACTGGCCAGGGATCCTCGGGAGCTTCCACATGACTCAAACCACACCTAACAAAAAGGACGAAGATTGGCTCCTGGACCTATTCAGAAAACACGGTCGCCATATCCGTCACCTCCAAGCCTATCGGTGTGTTACCCTCAACGCCCTCGCCGCAGCACAGACGTGTACACAATTGGAAACTCTCTCCGTGCCGGATCAGATCTGGAACATGATCCGACCTGAGATGGCGGATTCTGTTATCTGGAGACCTCCTGGGTTGACGAATCTCTCTGACGAGAAGAATTTGAGGCATCATGAGCAGCATTTACGGATTCAAGGTCGATGGCTTTATTTGCTTGTACGGCAGAATAGGAGAACGCTACAGGAATTGAAGGTTCATCAGTTGTCGAGGATTGGAGAGCTGGATCCGGGGGTTCTTGACGGGTTGTTGAGGTCTTGTCCTAGGTTGAATACGCTGGAAATATCTGACCTGAATTGGACTGGTGCTGCAGTAAGTGAAGAAGGAGAATGTTGGCAGGCTAAATATTACGTATGGGACAGTAAGGTAACTGACGCATGCAATTGTTTGTGCTTTTGATACCATAATAGCAAACTTATATCCCTAGTCTTGTGAAGGATGTGCCACAAATACAGCATTTTGTCGACGGCAGCATACGCTGGAACAAGTCGATACTACAAGCATCATTGCCCAATCTAAAGACCTTGAGGTTGGAAGCACCGGTTCCGATCCAGGCAGTCTTCCAGCTTTTGAAGAACCTCCCTCACCTCCGGGAGTTGCGGGTGAGATGGAGCCAAGGCCCCAATCTGTCCCACAATGACCTGGGAGTCATCCTTGACCATACTCCTCACCAACTCGAACGTCTCGACATTGGCGAGATCGGGTTCAAGAATGATGACTACTTTGCCAAGGATGTCTTGACCTGGCTCCCACACCTGGTCGACCTCAGCACTCAGCATATTGGTCCTGCCCTGGCCGAGCTCATACCGACCCACTACCGAAACCTGCGGTCGTACAACCAACCCATCCCGGTGAAATCGATTCATCCAAAGTTTCTGTTGCCGCACAGTGCTATCAACACCCTGAGCGTCCTGCTGGAGAACTGTCCGCATTTGATTGAGTTTGACGGGATCGGGCACAAGATCGAGGCGGACTACCTCCTGGACCATCCTTGGGTCTGTAAAGGCCTAGAGGTGCTCAGGTTTCAGATCGTAGGCGTTCGTCGGCTGTCCGAGGAGGAGGATATAGATTACCGGCAAGGGGAGCTGTTCCTGAGGATCAATAGAGACCTAGTAGAAAGGGAGAGAGAGGCGATCGAGAAGCATGAGCGTCTTCAACTTCAACAACGGCGAGTATATGACCGGCTGGCAGAGATGGTACATCTCCGGGTCCTCGATCTGGGGATGGAATATCGCACCATTGATCTCCCAGATGGGCGTCCACAGATCCGTTATGGAGTACACGTGTACGAGGACTACAGAAAGCCGATCCCAGATACACTGGAGCTGTCGCTAGAGTCGGGGTTGGACCGATTGTCGACGTTGAGGGAGTTGGAGGTGGTTGGGTTTGAGGGGGTGGACCATCGGATCGATTATGGAGAGTTGAGGTGGATGGGTCAGAGTTGGCCACGTTTGAAGGAGATGCGGGGTTTGCAGGAGGTGAAGTGTGAGAAGTTGCGGCCGGACGAGACGTCTTATCCGAAGGCTTTTATGAAGCGACACTATCCTAATGTCAAGCACAAGCGACTCTTTCACTTCAATTATGATTGTCCCCATTCTTCACACACACACACACACACAAAACCTTAAAAATGCTCACACGAATAAAACAACGGCCAACACATGGAATGGGAAGAAAGGAATAGAAAAGATTTCGAGTGCCCCCTTTTTTTTCTTCTTTCTTCTCTCCCACTCTTTCTTTTCCAACAAACGCCTTACAGCAGACAACCACAACAACAACAGCAACAAGGACAACAAGATGGACAAGATACCTACAGAGATCCTCGCCGACATCGGTTCATACCTGTCCCTACATGACTACCTACACTGCATTCAGGTCTCCCGAACCTGGAGCAACGTTTTTATCCCTTTTCTCTGGCAAACCATCGACGATTCACTCCACGCCTGGCCACGGATCCTCAAGACCCTCGACTCGGACACTGCCGAGGCTTCCGGACACGATGAAGACTGGCTCCTTGGTATCTTTGCCAAGTATGGTCGATATATCCAGGACCTCAACCTCCACTGGAAAGTCACCATCAAGGCTGCCTCTACCAGTAATCACTGCAACAACGACGTGGACAAGGACAAGGACAGCGATATCGGGGTCGTATGCACAAACCTCAAGTCATTGTCGGTTGCTGATATCGGCCAAAACTTGACACACCTCCAGGGAAAGGCCCAATCTGCCCAGAACAGGTCTACCGCTTTGCCTCCTTCGACAATATCTCAGGATGCGTTAACAGGACCACTGATCTCACCGATCTTTGAGGATGCGTTCAAGTCGCAGCTTCGTGGAACTCGGACAGAGGATCAACAGCTGGAGGATTGGAGGCTTGTTCAGCAGTTTTGGCTCTTGGTTCACCAGAATCGCCCTCACCTTCAGGCACTCAGGATTGATGCCTCTGTCGACGCATTGGTGGAGATGAACACAACTGGATTTGTGGACTCGATGGTGGTGGGTCATTTGACACAGTTGGTTGATCTGCAATACAGAGAGCTCCGATGTGACACGACCACACTCCTCCGCCGGTTGCCTCGGTTGAAGTCTCTACAGTCTCAAGTCGTTCTTACGGATGGAGTTCTCACAGGATCGTTTTCTAGCCTTCGGTGTCTACGTGCGTGTCGGTCAATGAGTCTTGTCGAGATTGTCACCCTCCTGCAGTGTCTTCCTAATCTGAGCGAGTTGGGTGTGACGCAGATTAATTACACGGAGGAAGAGGAACCTGTGATAGAGAGAATGGACAGGACAACGCCTGCAGCCCTCCAGAGTCTCCGCATCGACTGGAGCTCGAATTGTGACGCCCTGAGCTTGCAGGACCTATCTGCATGGCTCCCTCATCTCACGGACCTGTCAGTCGGGCAAATGCGCTACGACGTCGCCATGATCCTTGGCGACTATTATCCACTATTGGAATCTCTGACAGATCCTCTGAAAACGACAAAGTCTCGGGAAGGCGAGATTGCCATCCACAGTAGAGTCTTGGCAGTTGTCCTCTCGAGCTGCATCAGCCTCAAATCGCTCGATGCACAGGTTCGCACGATCGACATGAGTTTCTACGCGAACGAGCCCTGGGAGTGTCTTGCACTGGAGACGCTTCATTGCCGGATACGCGGGATCACTCGCCTGACCCAGACGGAGCAGTGGATCTACAACGACGGATGTACCTATACGTCGGCGAAGAAGGCCATGCAGTACCTTTTGATGGATGATGTGTACGACTACGAGGAGGAAGAAGTCGATCCGGATATGATCTTGGCTAAGTATTCGAATAGTGTGGCTCAACAGAAGCGGGCATATGATCGATTGGCGGGGTTGAAGCGTCTCAAGTCTCTACAACTGGGTCCACGCCAGCCTAGAGGGATTGGTTACTACCCTGAAGATCTCCTTCGGGAGGATACGTTGGAATTGACGTTGGAGTCGGGGCTGGATCGACTGTCAGAGTTGAAGCGGTTGGAAGTATTTGCGTTTGAGGGGACGAGTCATGGGGTCGGAAAGGCGGAGGTGGAGTGGATGGCAGAGAATTGGCCTCGGTTGAGGGAGTTGAGGGGATTGAAGGGGAGTCGAGAAGCGAAGGAGTTGAAGGGGTATATGAACCAGCTGCGACCTGACGTTGTGCTCAGCGATTTTTTAGAAATGGCATGAGCTGGTGGCAATAGACGATAATAGACAACAAGCAAGTAGATGCTAGTCTACCTTTCCTCTTCAGATCGGATATTTTATTCGTTGCAGCGATATGATGCGATGTGAGATGTAACCCCTGGCGATGGACAACGTGATCATCGACAGTCACTTGGTGCTTCCACCTTTGCCAACTTCGCACGCTTTTTTTTTTTTTTTTTTTTTTTTTGGTGCCTTTGCAGACCATGGAGGTGCTTCATCATCCCCTCTTTCTCTTCTCTCCACTCGCTCCCTCCACTCCTCTTCACCGACCATGCTCGCTGCCTGAGCACTGCCTCCCTGTATTATATCTCTTGTCTGATTCACCCTAGGCTTCTTGCCTAATCCCACTTTCACCCCTCCCTTTGTACATAATCACATCCCTCTCCCCCCCCACACTCTCACCAATAAGAATACCAGCCATCAAGCAATGAGCGCACTCACCAGCTTCGATGCCCTTCACGAGCCCCAATCCGAAGACCCGCCCGAGAACGTGCTCTCAAAGATATTCCAACGAGTCAAATCCACCCTCTCCACCTCCCATACCGCACCCACACCCACACCACCAACTTCAACAGCAACAACCACAGGAGTCTTCCCCTCCTCTTCCTCCTCTGACCGCGTCAACACCACAAGCGCTTCCTCGTCTTCGACATCCCTCCACGCTGGTAGTACTGCTGACGCACACCTGACTACCATCCTCAACAGCGCAGGCGGCAATAGTAACAGCAACAATGGCATTAGTCAATTGGCTACTGTTGGTCAGTCGGACCAGTATTTGAGTCGAATTCATGATAAGGCGTCTAGTACGACTTCGTCGTCTACGTCTACGACGGGAACCTCGGAGACTGGATCGTGGGTCGTCACCTCCGACAGCGCTACAAGCAGCAACAATAACAGCAATAACAATGGGGGCACCAAAACAACACTTCCAAACAGCAGCAACAACAACACGGGAGCGCGACATGGGGTCTTGAGTACAGTCGACAATAGCATGGACAAGGCCAGTGTGGTACGGCGGAGTTACCCCGCCACCACCTCATCAACAGCTCCCAAGAGGGCGTCGTCGCTGTTCAAAGTGAGCACCCTCGATCACAGCATTGTCCAGTCCGACGATACTGCCCCGCTCTCTTCCTTGGCTCCCCCTGTAATGTCATTCAGTCCTGCTTTTGGAGGCCCATCCGAGTCTGTGGGGGCTGTGATGAATCGGCCCATTGATAGTCGCATAGTTGACCACACAAGGCTCACTGCAGGTACATTCTCTGTTTTTTGTCAGCGATGTATTGTTTTCTGTTGTGCTATGGTTGGGTGCAGAGGCCTTGTCCGCAATTGAGAGAGCGAGGGCGATTTATTAGCCTTTCCATTTCAATGTGACCAATATTAACATGCCTATTCACATACATAGGAGACAACTCAACGACGCGCGACTACATCCACCAAACGCTTGGTGCCAAGGATGCTTCCTATGACTCGGATGCCCGCTCAATCAGGAGTTTCAGTTCTGGGCACCATAAGGGCAACTCGCTAACAAAAGTCATCCGTCGGCTTCGAGGAGAGGGTGTGAACAAGGATTACTGGATGGCAGACGAAAATGCAAAGGAGTGCTTTGGTTGCAGCGCTTCCTTTTTCGTCTTTCGCAGGAAGCACCATTGCCGCATCTGTGGTAAGTGGGCGTTGTTGCTGTCATTGCTATTGTTGTTGGGATTGTTGTTGTTGTTGCGGATAGATGCGGACGTGTTAGGTAATGAATGTCCAAAGTCCATATAAAATTCTGACGACTTCCTCGACTTGTATAATATAGGGCACATCTTTTGCTCAAAGTGCGCGAACAAGATTATACCCGGAGCCAAGCTTGGATACGAGGGTTATTTACGAGTGTGCAATTATTGTCTAGACATCATGCAGCAGTACGAGCAGCCGGAGAACGGTCCAAGCGATTATACCCCAGGATCATCATGGCCTACACCCATACCCCCCAACATCCACGGACACTTTTCCCAACAGCTCCCCATGTCACCCAGCACCAACACGAACCAGCAAGCAGACGGCACCCCTCTAGACGGGATCAGGAAGTTTCTTCACGCAGGCTCAAACTTGTTTCTAGCCCGGTCTCGCTCTAATACCACCACTGGCGACCAGATCGATGGGAACATAGCACCTTTTCGGAGGTCTTTAGCCCTGGAGGATGGCCATATGAACGATTCTGTCCTGGATCCAGAGATTGCGCCCTTTATGGGCGAGGAAGACGATGATGATGGTGATGATCTTTGGCCATCAAATTCACCAAACCCGATGGGGTTCCTGTCTCTGCATGGACCTCACAACGACCCGAGCAGCGACGATGACTTTTCGGACTATGGCCCCAGGGACAAGACTACGCCGCTGCGAGCGCCGCGAGCCGAAGATATTCGCGACATGTTTGCCAAGGATCGTTCGCCTATTAATCGCAGGATCAGTATCAAGGGCAACAGGCCAAACAGGAACCTAAGCTTGAGTCTCAAGACCCGCGGCCTGCTGAGACCAGATGGGGTAGAATCTGCTAGGTCGCCCATGGATATTAGGCCCAGCTCACCGTTCTTGACCTCAGGTTCTCAGTCTTTGATGCATACAAACCGACACTCCAGAGCAGCGTCCATGGTGACCAGTGCCGTGGAACTCAACAGCGCATCCTTGCAGCACATGCGGCGCCTCTTGCGACAGCTTTTGACGCGGTTCGAGATCGACAGCGCCGATGGTTGGGAGGATGTGATCATGAAGCTGGTGCTCAAGGTTTCAAACAGCATTCAGATCCTCGGAATCATGGACGTGATGCAGGTAGTCAAGATCAAGAAAATCCCCGGCGGCACGGCTCAGGACACTCTTTATATCGACGGTGTTGTCTGCACCAAGAACCTGGCCCACAAGCAGATGAGTCGCACGCTTCAGAACCCGCGGATCCTGATCCTGAAGTTTGCCCTCGAGTACCAACGCATCGAGAACCACTTTATATCACTGGAGCCGATTGTCAAACAGGAGAAAGAGTACCTGCAGCACCTTGTCGCCCGCATTGTTGCTCTGTCCCCGCATGTTGTTATTGTCGAGAAGACGGTCTCTCGACTTGCCTTAGAGCTTCTGCTGACTCACAATGTCGCCGTGGCCTACAACGTCAAGCCTGAAGTGACGGAGGCGATCGCTCATTCGACCGGTGCGGACATCATCCTTTCGTTCGACAAGCTGGGCAAAGAGCCACGACTGGGCACATGCGGTACCTTTGAGGTCAAGACCTTCGTTCACGAGCTGATCCCCAACAAGAGAAAGAGCTACATGTTCTTCCAGGACTGTCCAGGCAACCTGTTCTGCTCTTTGGTCCTTCGTGGTGGGTGTTTGGAGACACTCAACAGGATCAAGAAAGTCGTGCGGTTGATGGTCTGGGTTTCCTACCATCTCAAGCTGGAGACGTCTTTGATGAGTGACCAGTTCGCCATGACCTCTGCCATGCGAGATTCGCAAATGGCGGACGAGGAGAAAGTCGACATTTCACCTGATCTGGACATCAGCCGACTACAGGAGTATCTCATCCCTTACAAGAAGACCATCCTTTCAGCATCGCCCTTTGTCCGCTTCAACCCACCCTTCCTTCTGGTGCAGATGATTGACGATGCAGAGAAGCTGAAGAAGATCGAGCAGTCGGCAACGCCCTCGTCCTTGCGCGAGATCGGGAACGCCAAAATCACCTTCGCGACATCGAGCGCTACCGCCATTGTCACAAAGTCAACAGGACGATCTCAGGACAGCGGATTCGTCGAGGGTGCATACATCGACATTTCTAACGATTTCCAGTCAAAGAGCAAGGCCTGGGAGGACTTTTTGAGCACCAACATCGGGCCGCCCCACATTGCTCCATTCGCCTATCAAAACTTGACATGTCTTTTCTCGAACGTCTGCACGGTCACCAAGGCAACATGCGATGGTCCAATTATCCGCCTCATCCAGTACTACGTCCTCGACTCGGACGTGACCTTGGCGAACTACCTGGAGCAGATCTGTTGGGAGGCCAATTATATTTGCCCTTCATCATCTTGCGACCGACCCTTGCGCGACCACCAACGGATCTATGCTCACGGAGATGCCAAGGTGGTGGTAACCATCGAGCAGTGGGACTCTTTGACGGCGTTGAAGAAGGACTCGATTATGATGTGGAGCCGGTGCAAGGTCTGCAACGTGGAGACGCCTCAGGTCTATATCTCGGACGACACCAAAAACTACTCTTTCGGAAAGTTCCTCGAGTTGATCTTTTACCAGACCAACCTCACCTGCCGAGCCAACTTTTGCCCACACGACATCAACCGCAACCATGTCCGGTACTTTGGCGTCGACACCCAGCTGGTTAGGATTGAGCGAATCCCGATTCGCCTGTACGACATTAACTTCCCACCTATGCTGGTCCGGTGCAAGCCCGAGTTCTCTGCCCGGACCAAGAACCAGGAATTAGATTTGGTGCGCTCGCTCATCACACGATACTGGGACTCTGTTATGGAGCGGATCAAGAACTGTATTTTCGACGTTGTCCACCCGTCCAAGATCGAGGCTGCCAAGCAGGAACTGTTGGAGATGTCGCGTAATGTTGTGGTGGAGAAGAAGGCGATCCTGCAGCTGCTCCAGCAGACCTATCTTAACAGTGCCCCCACGGATACCTTGGCGCTGAATATGGTGCGGATCAAACTCTACGAGAAAGCAGTTGGATGGAACAAGACCTTTGGAGACTTTGCTAGGGAGTACTTCAACCCAGACCGTGATTTCAGGAGGAGGACCTCACAGCTCCGCCGGTTGTTTGACGAGAAGGAGTTCCCTGTGGCGTCGGATCGTGCTCACCATGCGGGACTGATGAATGACTTGCCAATGACTTTGGACTTTGAGGGCAATATCGAGTCGCCTTATGAGGACTCGTACGACTTTACGCCATCAGATCTGCCATACCTCGGAAGCTCCCCCACTTTGGATATCGCCAAGCCCAAGGTCGAACAGGGCGATGTCGCAGCTCTTGAGAATGCCATCCAGACAGCTACTTCCCAGATTGCGTTCCCCTTCATGGAGCCCAAGGTCACTCGTAGGCTGTCGATGAACCTGATGCAAGAGTTTAGGCCCAAGCTCACCCAGACCTTGACGTCCGAGTCCATTTTGACTGTCACTGACGAAGATTTGAACGAGAAGACCAAGCCCAAGGAGTCTCCAATGCCACCCGTCATTCCAAGGATCCCCCTCCCTGCTTCACGCCAAACAACCAGAGTTTCGAGTCGACTGTCAATGGTCTCCCTGCCTACGTTTGATCCAATGAGTCTTATGCACCCGGACCGGAAGGACATGCAGAACCCACGCTCAGGAGTTGCGGGATCCACGGGAGTCGTCTCGATCTTGCCAGTACACTCTGGACAGGCATCGCCGCACGGTGCCATGAGGAACCTGGGAGAGCGAATGATTATTCCCCTGGCAAGGACACCAACGAGCGAACGACCAGGCGCAATTTCAAGTTCACCGTCGACATCTGGCAAGAATCCGTTCTTTTTCAATAAGCCACGCGCTCGTCGACCCTCAGACATGCCCTCGTCAGGATCTAGTTCGACCACCACCAGTGCAGTGTCGACATTGGCAGCGCATGAGAGAGGCTATCCTTCTACCAACAATCTTTCATCAGCAACATCCCTCAGCAACCGTCGTTCCCTCTACCTTGCCCGAGCGCAAGGAGGCGGTATTCCTATTCCAACAACCAATCCATCATCAAGTGACCCTCCTGGTCGACACGTCATAGGAAACCGACACCGCGCTCAGACTCAGCCTACGGCAGGACCCAATGGCAATGCTCGAGGACGCTATGTCAATCCACTCTCGAACCGCATCCAGCGTCCCTTGGAGACGAAGCTGCCAGCGATCGAGGTGTTCTCTAGTGTCAACGAGGCGACTAAGGAAGAGTCGGATGATGACGAGGATTATCAGTCGGAGGGTGAAGGAGACGAGCCTTATCAGCCAAGGAGAGGATACACTTTCTCGCTTATCCAGACTGATGCAATGGACGAGGCGTTAGGAAGCGAGGATCCTTCAACCATGGAGGCGACTGCGAGCATGAGGAACACTAATGGTGCTGGTGGTGCAGGACCTGGTCAAGGATCGGGTAACGGCGATGACTTTTTCATCGATCCGATCATGATGATGTTTCTTGGAGACGACGACTATACTGAGGACCAGCAACAGCAACACCAGCAGAAACAACAGGCGTCGAGCACGACAGGAGGGGCTACAACAAACGCTCGCAACCATAATGCTTCGTCATCGACCGTTGGATCGCCGCCTACTAAGTCTTCTTCGGTGAACATGAGTGTCACAGGCACACTGACTGCCGCTCTAGCTGCGGCCTCCAAGCTGCAGCAGCTGAGTGAGGTTGCCGAGGGTGTTGAGCGTGGATCGTTGATGAAGACCTTGTCCAACTTCTGGCAAGACCGCAACTCGCCCAATTTCACACCCCTGGAGTATCCCATGTAAGTTCTCTTTTTACATGATGTATTGTCGCTGTTTGACGCTTGTGAGATCTGTTCTGACATCGCTTACTCTTGAATAATGGACTACAATAGGCAACCGTTTGAGCATGTGTTCCATTACTCGCAGATCATTGTGCGTGAGGACGAGCCCAGTTCTATTATCGCCTTGACGTTGAGTTCGCCCCAGTACGTTGACAAACTCAAGGGTATCTTCCGCGGTGATTCGACCGATGCCGACAATAGCAACAACGCGACTGCCCCAATGTCGACATCAGGAACAGCAACTCCCGCAGAGGAACCAGGATCATACGATAGCAACGGGAACAGTCTGATGTCGTCGGCGTCTGCGACTGAGGGCATTTATGAAGACATTCAGGTCTTTGACGACTCGCTGCTTTCTGAGCCTGGAACCCACATGAAATTCCGTAAGTTGGCCATCCTTGCGTTTTACTGCAACAGTTTGACACTTTAGCTGACTTTTTTTTTTTTTTTTTTTTTTCGCAACATGCTCTTATAGCGTTCTTGGATGGATCGACCATGCTTTATTGCAAGATCTTTTACATGGAGCAGTTCCACGCATTGCGCAAAGCAGCAGGGTGTGAATACTCATACATCCAGTCGTTGGCAAGGTGCATGAAGTGGGACACGACGGGTGGTAAATCGGGATCGTCCTTCCTGAAGACCCGTGACGATCGGTTCATTATGAAGCAGCTGTCCAAGATCGAACTGGAGGCGTTCATCAAGTTTGCCCCGCACTACTTCCGCTACATGCAAGAGGCCATCTACCACAAGGTACGTCGTCTTCTTTTGCCCATCCGGTTAGGTTATTGAAGCAGATCGATTGTTTTTTCTATTTTGCTAACTTCTATTTTCTGTTTCTTTGATTTATATATTAGCAACCGACGGTTCTGGCCAAGATTTTTGGATTTTATCGTGTAGGCTATAAGCATGGAGCGCTGGGTCGTTCGATGAACATGGACGTGCTGATCATGGAGAACCTGTTCTACGACCGCAAGAACCTTCAGGTCTACGACTTGAAGGGGTCTCGCAGGAACCGATTTGTGCAACCCTCAGGGAAGGAGAACGAGGTGCTGTTGGACGAGAACTTTATCGAGTACATGTCCGAGTCGCCGTTCTTTATCCGCGAGCACGCTAAGATGCAACTGAACCAGTCCTTGGTCAATGATTCCCAGTTCTTGCAGCGGTTTAATATCATGGACTATTCGCTTCTGGTAGCGATTGCGGATGACAAGAAAGAGTTGTTGGTGGGCATTGTGGACTTTATTCGACCGTTTACGTGGGACAAGAAGTTGGAGTCGTGGGTCAAGGATGCGGTGGGGTCCAAGGAGCCGACGATTGTTTCACCTGCACAGTATAAGAAGCGGTTCCGGTCGGCGATGAATCGGCATTTGGATATGGTTCCTGACAGGTGGTTTGGGATTGAGACGTATTTTGTGGACTCGACGGTGCATCGGTCGATTGGGCGGTCGCAACAATACCAGTTGATCAAGGACACTGAGCAGGAGTATGATCGGCAGCAGCAGCAACAACAACAGCAGCAGAAGGAGTTGGGACCTGAGGGATATGAGCAGCAGAAGAAGCAAGGGCAGATGCAGTTGCACCAGCATCACCAGTACTCGTATGAACAGCAGCGACAGCAGGCGAACCGACAGGGGAAAGGACCGTCGCGAGGAGGAGGACCGGAGATATCTCAACAGCATGCCCACCGACACGGAGATCATACTCACTACCACCAGCACCACCAGCACCACCATTCGCGGTATAGCACTAGTCTTTTGACGGATGAGCGTGACGGAAGTGGGCTCTCGTCTCGACCCTCTAGCTCCATAGTCAATTGAGGTGGTTGGACCGAGGTTGCCACCAATCAATGGCGCAGCATGTCCAAATGGGTTGGCGGCGTTCTTCCTGCTTAAAGGGAAGCCGCCTTCGGTTGACCTGCGCCTTCTTTTTCTTCTTTCTTCGTTCTCCATAACTTTTTCTTTTCTTCATCATCTCCCATTCTTCATTTTTTTCTCTTTCTCCCACACTGCACCTACATCATACACACATATACTCTGTTACAAAATACATTACCCCAATCTCCCTTCTTCAAAGAATCTGTAATGGCAACTCGACATGAGGCATTAGAGATTCCAGAAATTCTCAGAAGAATCACCTCTCATCTCCCAGCAGGATCACCCGACTTTACCTCCTGTCTCCAAACTGCCGCTCCTTCCACACAATCCTCGCCCCCTTAATTTACAATACTCTCACACTCTGCCCTCTGGAGCACAAGCGGCCCTCTCCTCATGTTGTCCAGCGGTATATCCATCTTGTTGGGCACCTCAAGTTTGATTTCTTCATGTCGGCCGAGTATTTGCGGTTGGGATTCAAAAACTTGCATTCGATTACGGTTTCTAATAGGAGGATTGCTGGGAAGAATGAAGAGTATGAGTTCACATAGGTCGGGGTGGATTCGGAGGTGATGGAGGCGTTGTTGGTGGTCATTCGTGAGAACCCGGCGTTGAGGCGGTGGACGCTTTGGAGCCCCATGCCCCGGCCGTCGGCGGAGATCTGGAGGGAGCTGTCGAGTCTCAAAAAACGAGATCCTCCTGCCTCTGGAGGACAGCCTGTTCCGCTACGACCGGGATTTAATCGCGGGGTGGATATCTTGGACCTGACACGCGTCTCGGTCACTCATGAGGCGAAGTATTGGTTCCTGAGGACTTGTGCGGACGCGAAGGAGTTGCGGATGTTGGAGGTGGCGTTTATGGTGGCCAATGGCAAGCCTGACAACTGCCAGTTGTTCCTCCAGCTCAAGAAGCGACGGCCGCAGGGGAGGAAGGTCGAGATTGTGGAGTTTAATGGGTATAATGTGATTGACCAGCTCACCTATCTGAGCCATCTGGTCGAGGCCCGGAGTATTACGTGGATATCACCTGTGGCGGGGAGGTTGCCGATCCAGACGCTACCGTTACCGACACTGGTGGATTTGAAGCAGTTTATTACGCCGACTACGTGGCCTAAATTGAGGGCGCTGGATTTAACAGGGATCCCTAGGCGGCAGTTGGTCAAGTTCTCGGACGAGTGTATTGCACATATTCTTGACTGTGTGCCCGATAGTCAGTTGGAAGTGTTTAAGTTGCAGGGGTCGACATTTGGTCCGCTTGGTGCGAAGGCTTTGAAGAAGCAGTTTCCGTGTCTGCAGGATCTGAGGTTGGAGCCTGATGGGATTGATGCGCAGAGCGAGTTTCTTTAGGAGGTTATGGAGTCGTGTCCGAAACTGCAGGTCTTAAGGGCGGGGATGTTTTCGGTCCATCATATGCGGCGCGGGAAAGAGTGGGTCTGTCTTGGACTTAAGGAGCTGGCGGTGCATGTGGACATGGAGTCGGACCGCGACGGGGAAGTGATAGACGAGATGGACTTTAATGATCTGGCTTACTGGAACAAATACTCATCCAGTCGTCGGTACGTCTTTGTGCGTCTCGGCAAACTGACAGAGCTTGTAGAACTCGATACCTCCATGCCCTACTACAACCACAGCCGCGTAATGAGTTATGTCGACCTCTCCCACCTATACCGCCACCCATATTGGACTCTAGACTACCGACTACCCCACGGATTGGATGAGCTAGCCGGTCTGAAGAAATTGGAACGGCAGGATTTTTCGAATACGCCACAGGATCTGTTGCAGACGGATCTGGAGTGGATGGTTGAGAATTGGCCGAGACTGAAGATGCTGACGGGGGATTTGATGAGAGGGGTTGAGCGGCATAAGGCGTTTTTGAAGGAAAGGGGTTGTTATCCAGATTGGACAGAGTCGGCACAATCGATAGGGACATATCATTTTCTTTGTCCTTTTTGTTTCTGTGATGTCAATCAAATGTTTATTTTCCTAAATGCGCCGGTTATCATGCCGCACACTCGCCCTTTGCTTCTCAAACTCCGTCCTCAACATAACTCGTCGAAAGTCCAGACGGGCCCCTGAATGATGTTGCATAATCCTTACAACCATGCTATAGCAATATGCAGACCGTAGACATTTCCCAACTCCTTCAGGTGGGTCACCATCCAGATCACGTCCTTCCTGCCGAGTTGGTGGTCGACGGCTTCAAAATTGAGGACGCGTAGGTTTTGGAGTGGAAAGAGGTGCGAGAGGCCGTACTCAAGGGCTAGGGAGGGTGTGCCTGGGACGACGATTACGTGGTGGTTCTCTTCCTCGAATGGTCATGGGGGTGAGTTATTGTTGTTGTTGTTGGTGGTGGTGGTAGGGATTGGACGATAGGGGTTGTAGAGGATGAAGCTAGAGTCCGGAACAAGATCGAGGATGCGGATGTTGGTGACGTGGAAGAGTGTTGTGAAGAAGAAGGGTGGAGACAAGAAGCGAAAGGTTCTTTCGCTCTGCACTATACCATACCAGTAGGAAGTGAGCTCACTCATACGGCGTCAAGTAGCATGTCAAGACGCCATTATCTGGAAGGCATACCACGGCGATGGTGTCAATTGACCTACGGCGTACTCAAACTGCACAAGAAGAATGGTGGACAAAAAGAACGACAGAGAAGTAGAAAAGGGGCATCGCCCAACAGGAACCACAATTTTGACCTCTTATCCAACAGAAATAAAAAAAAGTCCAGGAGAGCATTTGCCACACTCTGTCATGCCTTATCACTCCGCCCATCGAAGTCCCTAGAAGAACATAGAACGAACACCCCCCTCTATATCCAGCGCATCAACACAGTCGATAACTCAAACACAAAAATACACACAGACCTACTGCATGAGTGCCAGGTCGGGGACACTGAAAACACCCGCCAGAGTGTGGGAGATGAGTTTGTAGACGGGCTGGTAGTACTCCGGATGGGTGGCGAGATGTTAGAAGAGTGTGCCACCGATATTAAAGTCGATCACTTGCTTGACGCCTCGTCCGCGTTTTGGCAGCCTCACGGGCGGTTTAGGAGGCGAGGTTGAGGAAGGGGGGTGATGCCGTGGGTAGAGTTGATGTTAATGGTGTAGAGTACGAGGATGTGGAGGCGGGCTGGGTGGTAGTGAGAGTCGATGCAGGAGCTGCTTGGTAAGGTGCAAATGCCGGGGGAGCAGGAGGAGCAGGCTGAAAGAATGAAGAGAAGACGGAACCCGATGGCGGAGATGAGTTTTGGGAGATGGAGGACTCGTTCCATGGGAGTCGGATGCTGGTGCAGGAGCAGGGCGAGGCGTGGCATGGAGGAAGGGAGAGGATTTTCACTAACCGCAAGGGTACTCGCTTTTTTTGCTCTCTCTTGAGAGAAAAAAGATAAAAGGAATCTCCTTTTTTCTTTTCTTCTTTCCTCTTTTCTTTCTCGTCCTTTCTTGGGGTGCGGATTATTAACCAACAGGGTCCTCATTCCCTGCGGATGCCTTCTTCATTGGTCATTGTCCCTTCTCTGCTACCTTTCGTCATGGTCTAGACGTTTATCATCTTACAAACAGCACCTTCGCAAAATGTATAAAGGGCGACCCACCACTGCGACGATTTTCATTCTACATCCCATCACCCTCTCCTTCAAAATCCAATCCAATCCAATCCACCACCACACCACAAGAATCCGCCACCATGTCCGATATCATGTTTGCCTGCATCCACAACGCTGGTCGTTCCCAAATGGCTGCCGCATTCTTCAACAGACACAAGACCCAGCCCTCCATCAAGGGAATCTCTGCCGGAACCAACCCCGCCACGGAGGTCCACCCTGTTGTCCGCGAGATCATGTTGGAGGTTGGTATCGACCTGTCCAACATGACCCCTGTCAAGCTGACGACCGAGTTGGCACAGACTGTTTCTACGATTGTGACGATGGGATGTGGCGAGACATGTCCCTATGTTCCGGGCGTCAAGATTGTCGATTGGGCGATTGAGGATCCCAAGAACAAGTCTGTGGATGAGGCGCGTGTTATCCGGGATGTGATTGAGCAGCGCATCAAGGACTTTATCGCTGAGAACAAGTATTAAAGCCACCTGTGACAAGGGTGTCAATAAACCATGTCGTGTTCCCTCCTTTTCATTCTCTGGCAACCTTATTTCTTTGTTCAATTGACGTTGCGCCCAGTTCGTATGTAGAGTCTCTGTCTTGTGGTCCCTTTTTCTGCTTTGCCGAAATAATACACCCACAGTGCTCACAACAGACAGAGAGACAAACCACCTGAACAAAGAAAGACGTCCATCCCATTGGCTGAATACCTCTTTTAGTGTGTGGTGTGTCGGTATGGCATGGGTGTTTGTGGAGGGGTAAGGCCCGTGCATGGTCACCGGACCATCTGAAAAGGTCCTCCACTTTCCTGCCCTGAGAAGAACCTCTTTCTCTGTTTCTTTCTCTCGTTCACTTTCCACTTTCCACTTTCCACGACTACCCTACCTCTCTTCCACCCGCTCACCAACACAAAAAAACACTCACTCATTCACTTCAACATCATCTCTTTCCTTCTCAATGCATTCCCGCAATCAGCATCACTTAGCCCTCGAGGTCCCAGAAATCTTGTACAGGATAGGCGAGTACCTCCCACGACGGGATCTCGTCACAAGTTTTCGGGTCTGCTCTTCCTTTCATTCCAGTCTTGCTCCGCTCCTTTACCGAGAATTGGACCTCGCCTGTGGCATCTCCTCCACTAGCAACGTTAGCAGTTATGGTCGTGGTTATGAGTCTGGTCGCAGTGATGGCAATACTACTCTGGGACATGGCGACAATGATGATGACACCATTAACGACAACAACGATGGAGGGCACAGGAGATGGCAGCAGGGGCGACGACGTTGTGGACGAATGCTTGGACGACGGACGGCGCCGACAGTGTTGAGGGACAGATACGCGCCTTTAGTCCGGAGGATCAAGTTGGAGACCAGTCTTGCCGCTGAGTACTTGTCCGTTGGGTTCACACACCTCACCACTATCACCCTGTCATACAACGGCGAATCTTCTTCTCACAAGGCAGGAATAACACCAACAACGACCATTGGAGCAGGTGCAGGGGCAGGGGTAGCAGGAGGAAAGAGGAGAAGGACAAAGTGGCCCCCAGGAGAAGGCTCTGACATAAAGGACAACAACGAAGTACAAGAATCGGATCAGGATGAAAAGGACACAACGGTCGATAACACAAAGGCATTGGTGCAACTGGTCCAGGATAACAAAGACTTGGTCTCGTGGACATTCGAAAAGTTCCGGACAAGTCACTTCTCGGCCGAGGTCTGGAAAGCAATCGTCGAGGCCGCACAAGACCGTCTAGAGTCGAAGCGAATGCCCTATGGAGATCGGATAATGTCGGCAACAGCAGCAAGGACGGGGTTGGAGTTGCTGGAGGTCAAGCAGATGACGGTCGACAAGGAATCAGGACCTTGGTTCGTCAAGGCCTGTCGGTTAGCCAAGGTCTTGAAACTCGTCGTCGTCGACCTCACCCACGCCAATCTCCTATACACACAGGATCCAGTACCCCCGCCCTTATTACCTCCGCCCTTACCGCAATTTCACGAACAAGATCCGGAAAACCATGCAGTGGCACTGATACCACCGATGGCGCAGGAGATCAACATGTGGAGCCTACGAGGATTCTCGTTCATGGACCAACTCCGCTTCCTTGTTGAGTGCTCACAGGCCCGCTCCATCGCCTGGTCCTCTCCATGCGCCCAATGGCGCTACGATCTTTGCCACCTCTCCCTTCACGACCTAGAATCCCTTATTAACCCCGATCAACACCAGCACCAACACCGGCAGCGACAACAACGCATGCTATGGCCTCACCTCCATTCCCTTCGCTTCTCAGAATGGCTCCGTGGGAAGATCGACCCGACAGATATGTCCGCCCTCGGAACCTACATCTCAACTCTCCTCAACTCCATTACCTCCCACAACCAAATCCGCTTCTTCCGTCTCTCCGGCGCGAAAATGCAGTCCATGGCTGTACCCATTCTACAGCAACATCATAACCTCAGCCTCAACCATATCCGTCTCCGAGGATGTCCGAGTGCCACCAGTACCATGATTCAAGGACTTTTGGAGTCTTGCCCAAATCTGACGACACTCACCGCCAACATCTTGTCGATTGACGCCATCTCCAGGGGAAAGCCCTGGATTTGCAAGAACCTCATTGAATTCCAAGTGTACCTCGACCTGACACTAGAACCAGTACAATACCCAAGAACAAGAGCTTTCACAGACCGAACGCAAGAAGCTCACCGCCTCGTCTTCACACGCCTCGCAACCCTCTCAGCCCTCGAACGCCTCCTCATCTCCCGGGTTCTAACCCGCGGGAACAGCGCCATCTCCCGCCAGGAAAACCTCCACAGCCTAAACCTCCGTCTTTCTTGTGGACTGGACGCCCTCTCGACTTTGAAGCAATTAAAGGTCCTGAATTTTGTCGACGTCGAGCAAGTACTGGACAAGGACAGCGTCCAATGGATGATTTCGAGTTGGCCGAACCTTGGCTGTGTCCAGGGGATGTTGGCTCCTTCCCTAGAACAGAGTTCCGCCCTTGCTACCCTCATGACCAACCACGGAGTGTATTACAGTTGTGCATAAGTGATTATTTACGGTTCCGGTTGTACATGTAAATTAAATAAATCATTTCTTCCGCATCCACGCACTCCAACGCTCGGCACCAGGTCGACTCGCCTCGTTTCTTCTTGGAGCCTGGTCGCCATGCTGTCCATCATATTTCCACTACACAGGTCTGTGAAGCCCACCTCACCGTGTGCTTCCTTTCAGCATCTTTATGATACCAAACTCAGGTCGATCCAAGGCACTTTGCTCTGAATTATTCTTTGTATTATAGCTCGGTATACTGCATATTTCTGAGTACTTATGAGTTTGATCGAACACTGCTACAAAGATCCGTTGGTATTGAGGCCAGAATCAAGCATGAGAAGGAATGGTGAAGGTTCGACAATATTTTAAGATGAAGAGAGAGTAGTTGCGGTTGAACCATGAAAATAATCACTCATCGGCAAAATGATGATTGCTGGAATTGAGAACAATGCGCCTGCGGGTGATGTGATGAAGATACTGGAGGGTTTCACCAAGATTAAAGAGACCCAAAGTAGTACAGTAGCTTCCGTAGTACCCAATACGGGGAGCTCCACATACCATCTTGTCCAGGACCCATCTCTCCTTCTTGTTGAGGATTCTAGTGCCAGACCTTCAGAGAGGCATACAGCCGATCCTGAAGAGGACCTCTTGGACCAGCTATATTGATATTTATTGTCTATTGGCTTCCTTCAACGTTTATTTTCTTCTTAGCTTTATTTATTTATCTTTTCCTTTTCTTTCATGAATATGCGCGAATAAATTCATCGCTTTTTTCTGGCTCTATTTGTCTCAAGAGTTGTCTTTTTTAACGTCTCGCGGAATGTGAGAGCACTGATGGTGGGTCGAGGCCATGACTTGGCAGGTATGAAATCCTCTCTCCTATCCTCGTCCGCAAGCTCGTCCGGCCATCTGTCGTTAATCTTAGCCATAATGTTGTGGAGAACGGCGCAGGCTAGAACCCAGTGGCGAAGATATTCCATCCTGTCATCGCCCTGAATTCGATGCCGTAACTCCCTCAAGGATTGCCATCGTCCCTTGAAAACACCGATGCAGTGTTCGTTGCGGACTAGAGAACGAGCCAGATAAGAGTTAAAGGAGACATTGTCGGGCAGATCCGTAGCAGGAACCCAGTACGCAGGAACGCAGTTCACAGAAACCGCATAAGCAGAGTCAGCCAGAAGGTACTCGCCAGGGGAGAAGTAATTCGCCGGATCTCGAGACTGTTCCATGCCATTGAACACTGTAGAATCCGAAGCAGAACCAGGGCGTCCTGCGTCCAGTGCAATAATCCAGCCATGTAAATCACAAATAATCTGAGCGTTGACCGAATATCTAAATGAATTTGACAGAGACCTTTCATTAATCTTCTCATTTTTTTTTGTATTCGTGTCCACACAAACAAAACGTTACCTTTTCTTGCGGTCATAGTAACGGGAGCCATCTTGACCAGGTCGAAAGGCAAGAGGAAGAGTGGTACCATCCACAAACCCCACGCATCCGGGGAATCCCTCCTTACGCATCAGTCGGCCATGCTCCTCCCTTTCGTCTTCGTCAGGCCATCGTACCCAGTCTGGAGCAATGGATACCAATGCTGATACCACTCGCTTCGTGAAGGCGACAACCGTTCCTGAACCAATCCCAACCTCAGTGGCAATAGCTAGCGGTGATGCTTTACTCCCAAAGTGGCCAAGACTCATAAGAGCAACCGCCAGCTGCCATGCAGGATGCATTTGAGGGTTATTGGAGTTGTTCTTGAAAACGTCGTTTCCTTCTATCAACTCCATGATCACTGCAAAGCTGTGTCTTGTTACGCGAAAATTATGAAGGAACTCGGCGTCGTCGTAGGAATCAAATCCTGTTGTAAAGAAATAATCGTTGCGTTCCCTGTTGTGCTCTGTTCGCTTGTTGGTATCTTGATTTTGTGTAGCATGGAGGTAGTTGAGTATTGCAAACTCCTCCTGCTCCTCCGCGTCCGGATCCTCCCCGTTCAAGTCGTTTTCAATGATGCTCAGTAAAAGGAAATTCCTAGCCGTTTCGATGGCGTGTCGTCGTTCCTGAATATTTGACATTGCTGTTGGTAGCGGTGTCTGTCGGTGATAAGGACGGGTGGCGAAGAGAGGACGAAGGACGGGAAAGATGGCGTTGAGGAGTAAGAGAAGAAAAGAGAAAAGAGAAGAGACAAACAGCTATTATTATTATTATTATTATTTTTTTTTGGTTATTTTGCAATCTTATTTTTTTCTCTTGAGCGCCTTCATGCATAAATTTGTAATTTGCAATTTTCAAAGTCACCCAAGTCTATCGGTTCTAATTTTGTTGTTTTCTAGCTGCCAGGTAGGAGCAACTCGAGTTGGCTGGTTCCTGATAATGCCACGGGAAGCAGCAAGCTACTTCTATCCAGTGCATCTTTCCCTATCACGCCAGCACGTCTGTAGGCCAAGCAATTGACCGTTGAAAGGAAGTGGCATGCACACTTTTAGGTCTGAAAGGAAACGCCTCACTTCACCTATTTTTTCCTTTTAATGGAGGTGCCCACTTTTCTCAATTTACATTTTAGGAAGGTACTCACTCTTCAATGAGATTAGTCCTCACCTTCCCTTATTGGAAGGTGAGCAGGACAGAAGGTGGGCACTTGCTTTTTATTTGCCAGCACCTCACTCAGCATCAACCTGTCCTTCATGCTTTAATTAACTTTGTCAACTCCCTATTTTCTTGGTCAAGTTGACCTCCACCGCATAATCGTCACTCTACTTCTTCGATCAAATGTGCAAGGGTCTAGAAGGAAACAGAGCAATTGTCTTTTCTCTAGCCATTGATAGGATGGTAACCGTGAATAACCTCTTTGAGGAACGCTGCGGCGACTTTCCGGCATTATTTTCGTGGAGACTTCTGTTTTATGTTTAAAAGAGTATGGATGATCGGGGTACTGGTTAATAACAATGAGAATAATATTCCTTTGCATGCATAAGGAGAGAGAATGTGACAGATAGGTGGCTGTTTAATGAGAACTAGGCCCAAAGTCTAAAAAGAGGGTCTTTTTTCTTGTCATTTTTTTCTTGTCATTTTTCCTTTCCAACAGCATAAATACCAACACCAACAAGTACACCAGCCACGCCACCAACCACTGGCAAGAATTACAGTACGGCCACAGGATACACAACGCACACCACGACATACAAACTCCTCCAGATATCTCTTACCCCACAGTTTCATTTCACCATGCCTCGCATTTCTGAGCGTCGCCGAATTCTCGATGACACGGAAGAAGTGATCGTAGCGGCTATCGTCACGTCGGACGACAACCTTCTGGAACTCGCGATGATGTACTATGACTGGGCAGAGGAGTCCAGATATTTAAATCGTCCAGTAGTGTATGCGAAAGCAGATAGGACATTCTTTGACGTGAAGTATTACACCATGTCCGATAATGTGTTCCGTCAACGATTTCGTATGACTCGTCAAGGCTTCAGAACAATTGCCAGGATGATCGAACACCATCCCACCTTCCACAGCAACTCTTCGTGTTCCCAGCTCCATCCTGCCTGTCAACTGCTCGTGGCCCTCACACGACTCGGGCATTATGGGAGTAGAATTGCGGTCGAGTTAGTGGCCGATGAAATGGGGATGAGCTCCGGAGCTGTCACTCTATATACCAACAGGGTCATGAGAGCACTGGTGTCGCTTGCTCCTGATTGGATTCGGTGGCCTGACTATGTCCAACGCCAAGAGCATGGCCTCCGCATGGGCGCTGAAGGATTTCCCCGCTGTGTCGGTTTTATAGATGGAACAACCCTTCCTTTGTATCAAAAGCCTGCATTTGATGGATCGACTTATTATGACCGGAAAAAAAGGTACTGTATTCGTAATATATCATGCGTCTTTTCTATTCATAGAGCATATCACTCAAGGGTTATCTAATATTTTCTTAATTGTGTAGGTATTCTGTGAACGCTCAGATTGTCTGTGATATGGATCGCAGAATTATCGCACTGGACACAGGAAATCCGGGGTCGGCGTCCGACGCGAGCGCGTTTCAAGGAATGTATCAGATAAGTCGCGGCGAATGGCAAGAGGGACTTGAGAAGATGTTTGGTGGCCAACAACAGAAGATCCTCGGGAGGACTTTTGGCGGATAATAGGGGGGGGGGGGGCTTGAAAGGAGCCTTGGCGGTGGACAGGAGGGGGTGCTTGAAAGGAGCCTTGGCGGCGGACAGGAGGGGGTGTGCGGAGGGAAGCAGGGGGTTCCTGGAAGGAACAAGAAGAAGATCTTGATGCTTGGATCGAGGTCATGCCACCTAATAGGTGAGCGACATAGGGGTTCGTTGGAGACGTCCCATTCTCCAGCAGCGATAAGAGGAGCTTGCCTTTGAGCATTTCGAGATCATGCTCTCTTTTTGCTACTTCCTCCTTCTTTCTCTCCCGTTCCTTTATGTCTTCTCGCTCCCAAACTAGCCGTTGCAACTCAAGTTCCTCTATTAACACAGAACGTGATGGTATGTTAATACTGAGTTATATCAAGCCAGAGTCGTGAATTAAACAAAGAGCAAATAACCTTTGCTTTGGTATTTTGTCTCAATCAGCAGGCTCATGCCACCTTTGGCGGGCGCTGCCTTTTCAGGAGCATCGTATAGGTCAGTCGGCCCATCACTCCTTCCGCTGCGGGCAGAAGTCCCTCGTCTGTGCGGGGACGACCTATCGGATGATCGTCTTCTTTTGGAGATGGAGGAACTTGTGGAAATAGATAGAACCGGCTTGGGGGAACGGTAGCCAGAGGTCGCCTTGCTCTTATCCTTGCCATTCCCATTGACGATTCGACCGGGTTGCTCTTGATCATCGTCATCTAAATCAGACTCTTGGTCGCTTTCTTGAGACTCATCCAACAGAAACGTACTCTCCTTCCACCGGATACTCTCCTGCACCGCTGTTATTCTGCTCCTCTTCGTCATCGTCGTTGCTGTAAGTACCAAGTCTGGACCTCGCCAAGGAGGTAGTGGTGCGGCCAAGTTTAGATACGTTCAACCCGTCTTTTCCAGTCGTTGCATGACCAAGGGGGGCTATTAGAGGGGTGTTGCAGTAGAGGGCATCCATGCGTCCATATCCTGGGCATTTTCTCTCAAGGAGTTCGTCAAAGGTACTAACTCCGTCGTCATCTCCCAAACCTGCTCCTGTTCCTTCCGCCATCTTCGCTACTTTCTTGTACAAGGCCTTATGCCTCTGCCATCGACTGTACAGTGCGGTCCCCGTAATACGGACCCCTGTCTTTTCGAAGAGGTAGGTAGCTGCTCTTTTAAAAGCCTGCCTGGCTGACTCCGTGGTTCCTACGCTAGTTTTCTGGCGTCCTTTGATAATCGCATTATTGTTGTCCTTTTCCAGCCAATCCAACATAGTATCAATCTCCAGCTCCTTCGACAGTTTGATCTCCACCAACGGGGTATGCTCAACAAACCTGGAATGGACTGTGCGTCATATCATGCCAAAATTAAAAAAAAGGCAGTTCGTTATTTTTTCATTTTGAAAGGAAAATAAAAAGCAAATAAATAATAATATTTTGAATACCTGGCTCACGATCACTTGTTGACTTTCTGGCTCGGGCTAGCGGGCCAACGTCTGCGGAGATGGATGCTGATTTGTCAGAGGGCGATCCTTGTGCGGCCTCTGTCAACGGATATGTGGGGATTTGTGTCCCAGCCATCAAAGGCGCTCCTCCTAATTCGTTGCCCACCATAACTCCTGACGACGGTCCAATCCAGTAATCCGGTATATTGATCTGAGAAACGTACGTAGTGGTTTCGCCCATTCCAAGCCCACCTCCGTTGTCGTGATGCGTTTGCTGACTAAAAGCTGTGGCGGGGACGAGAGCTGCATCTCCAAACTGGTGCATATATGCGGAGGCCTCGCCGGCCAAAAGGACATCCTCTGGACTTATCAAACGGGGCATGGAGGAGCGGCTTGAAGACGACGAACCTTCTCCATGGCCTGGGTTCCTCAGATGGGATGCCCCGTAGCCTGTGTACAATTCAAGACCGCTGTTAGGTTTTCGTATGGCGATTTTTCACGTACACGGCACACGGAAATGGTTTTTTAAAACATCCAACTCTCTGTCAACGAACTGTGTACCATTCGAGTTGACGTATACAATCCGAATTTGCAAGAGAGATACAATATAAATAGGCACCAAGCAAGATGCGATTTTTTAAAAACTAGTCTCTTATCTGCATTTCACCACAAAGATGCAACATAGTAAGAACAAGTTTTGGACTATCATCGTCAAGAATTACTCTCCTTAATTTCGATGCGAAGGATGCAATCTGGTGATGGACATGTACACTCAGGAGAGATCTATGCAAAAAACTATGGTACATTTCTGTTTGGAAAAGTTGGCGGTGATTGGTAGGATTATTACGCCCGGAATATTACAATGGCTAGCATACGTGATTGCTGTTATACAAGTACTCTTGTCTGATTGTCACCATGAACCTCATCAAGAAGGACATAGATGTGGAAGATGCCACGTTGTATTTTGGATCTGAATGGTCTCCTATCCTGTATGCTTGGGCATAATTCGAGAACCCAGTTACCCCGCTGCCATCATCCTCAATTTGGCGTTCGATTAGTTTCACGTTATATAGATTTTTTTTTGGGCTCGTCAGCAGAGGAACAATAATCTGTACTGAAAAAAAAAAAAAAAACTGTTGAGAACAAAAGTAAGAAAAGGCAAACACATACACCTTTCGCTGTTAGACGCATTGCTGGGTTTCCCATCCGCGGCCTTTGGCCTTTGCTGGTCCATTGCTATTGAGGTGAGATTTTTTGAATAGTAATGTATGTGATATGGAGAGAAAGAAAGTGTTTTTTGTTTGTCGGCCTGCCTGGCGTTGAATGTGATAAAAAAAATTATGTATGTGTGCATGCACATGGTCCCCATGACTATCTTTCCAAGTAAACACATGGTTACGACATATTATGTATTTTTTTGTCGCAAAGGTAAACAGCGCCCTCAGGACGGGAGGAATAACTTCTCCTACATACAAAGAACGGAGGCCTCTTGCATGTTAACCAGTACCCCAATCATCCATACTCTTTTAAACATAAAACAGAAGTCTCCACGAAAATAATGCCGGAAAGTCGCGCAGCGTTCCTCAAAGAGGTTATTCACGGTTACCATTCTATCAATGGCTATCTTTAATTATTGTTTTATGTCATGGTCAGCGTCCATGAAGAAGAAACGAAAAGGAGTTGCTGTGGCTAACAACATATGTTTTGCTGTTTCTGCGCTATAATACGCTGTCCCATTTGGCTCATGTTGGTTGATGGTCTATGCTCGCTTTGTTTTGCGAAGCGCTTCGTAAGATTTTGCAGGAACGCTTATTTCGTGAGACGTCTCGCGAAACGTCTCGCGAACCGCTTCGCAAGTTTATGTAGGAACGCTTATTTTGTGAGACGTCTCGCGAAATGTCTCGCGAACCGCCGTACAAGATTATGTAGGACTGTTTCGTTCTCCACTATTTCGCTACGTCATTTCGACTTCTATATCTGGAAAACGAAACGAACCGCCAAACGACTAATTTTACATTTGACGAGGGTTATTTTTCACTGTTTGTATGGATTACAGATGAAACAGGAATTCCTGCGACAGGTTATGGCCATGACTCGAACGAGACTGAGGGGTGTTTTTAATAAGGACTACGATTGCTACTACGAAAGTTTGTGTGTTGGTTGTTGATTATGTTTCTGAAGCTCGGCTGGGACTGGCAGTGGGAGTTGAGTCAACATGTTCATAAGTTAGGCTGGGGCTGGCAGTGGGAGAATAAGCTCGTTCCTCAATTCTTGGTGTGCTTGTTTTGATAGGATACGCGAAGCTCATCACACTGTGTTGTGACATATATCCATCACTAGACGGGGAGGGGGAGTTAATGAAAGGGGAACTGACAGACGATACGTCGGGTGAGTTGGTGGGGAGGGAAGTGTGCTGAGGTGAAGGGTGGGAGACGGAGATTTCTTGGAATGGTGATATAGACGGGTGGGCTCTTTCTGAGTCGGGGGAGTGTGTTGTTGAAGGGGCGAGGAGGGGTGTTGTCCTTGTTGAGGGGAGGAGGGGTGTTGTTTTTGTCGAGGGGGCGAGGTTGCGTGCACTGATTGGGGCGCTTGATCGTCCTTTGGCGCCATGATGGCCTTCCTTGATCTTGAAGTTTGAAGAACTTGTGTACTTGTTCTTGCGACTCCATCATTCGATGGACCTGAGCCTTGAGCATTTGAAACTCATGCTGCGTGTGAATAAACAAAAGAGAAAAAAAAAGCTCAAGAGGTTTGGTTTGACCCTAACTGAAGTATGATATCAGTTCCAAGTAAAATGATATTTTTCTTATACTGCACCCCTGTCGGCGGCAAAAAGTATGCTTCGAATAGCGGTTCTTTAATACTCCTCTCTTCCATGAGCCTGCTTCTCAAGGCCGGCTCGACTTTACATGCTATTAGCCGGTTCGTGGCGCCGAAAACATGGTGCTTCAGTTTGGGTTTTGAGGAGAAGTCTATTCCACAGAAGCATTTAGTTTTGGCAGTAAATAACTTGAACATGACATTAATGTCACCACCAACTGTTCCTTCAAGAACATCACAAGCAACAGGGACTTCAGACATTGTGAGGGAGCGCGATAGTAAATGGGGATAGGGAAGGATTGGCGTTCAAATTGTGGTTAGAGCTTTGGAGGAAAAAGACTTCCACCCCATAACAAGAAGAACCACCGCTCGTTGACTTTACTTAATCATGCAATTTTATTGTACACGGTGACACGGTGACATAGTCTGCCTAAGGTAGGCAAACCTATGGCGGGGTCAAGCTGCCTACGAGTTGAACGCATGTCTTAATTTTGTCGTGTGGAATTAAACGAACCAAGCACCAATTCTTCAACAAAATTATTGGGCACGAAAACCCGAGAACTGACAAGTATTAAAAATGCAACGAATTGAACGCAACTCTTAATATTTCAATGACAGCATGACAGAATGCATGTACAGCGCCGTTGCAAAGAATTTTGAACATGCAAGTAACTGGAAAGATTTGGGGTGGTGGGCATGCGCGGAGATGAAAAAGTACTAATAGGCTTTTTTTTTTGCTTCGTTGTCACCAAATTTGAAGCACGTACCATGGTCTGATCGAACTTGAACCCATTGAAAAAAACATCCTCCGCAGCAAACTACCTTTAAATGATGTTTTTTGTGGAGAGCGTTCATTGAGATGGGTTCAAAATACTTTTTTAGACCTGATCAGATAACTTTCGGATAATGACATGAGCGTGTTTTGCATCAAAAGATGGAGTAGGGTATGCGACAAGCCTTCTTGAGCGACCTTCTAATATACAAATTCTCATTTTCTTGTCTTCTTTACTCAATTTTTTAAAACCGTTTGTTTTCCTCTCAGTTACTTAGAAGCGTGTTTCTGTATTAGTTTGACGAACACGACAATGCAAGTCTCGTAGCAATAGGACCCCGGGTTGCCGAGAAAGCAACCTCCCAAGATTGCAAGTGAAGTAAAAATCTCGTATTTTGGTATTTTCCCTCTATGGACCTTTGTACAGACACGATGGACGTAGAACTACCAATAAGAATTATTAAAGGAACATCTAAAGCTCCTTTTGGTGCTCTAAGTGGGTCGATCCGATGACTGATGATGGAGCTTTATTCGTTGAGAAATAGTACCTTGCGGTGGAGTTAATGTTCCTTCGTCAGATAGTACATGTACAGCACATGTACTCTAGGCTACTTCTCCCAAGAATATGCCTCTCTTGGCGGTTACTGATATTAATCATCCATGTTGCCATCACCCCTATCTATCGAAAATGGCCAAGGGAACTTAGTTTGATCAGTTAGCATTCAATCACTCACATCTCCACTAACATCTCCACTCACATCTGCACTCACGTCCCCACTCACATCTCGACTAACATCTCCACTGACATCACTCACATCTCGACTAACATCTCCACTGACATCACTCACATCTCCACTAACATCTCCACTGACATCTCCACTCACATCTCCGCTAACATCAAAACAACTGAAGTAACATCTGTACAAACATCCGTACTGTTATGATCTGAGGGAGTGAAGCATCCACTCCTCGCTTTTTATTTATCTTCGTCTGGTTTGGTTCAGCTATAAAAGGAGAACCAAAACGGAACCCTACCACAATCAATCCTTCACTCCTCTTGATTTCTCTCTCCTTAAACAAACTAAATTCTTCACATCTCACATACATCTTCAAGGACAAAAAGATTCCAAGATCACCGTTGTGGACTGGCCAGTTAAATCCCCCGACCTCAAAATTATGGGTTGCACTACCAAAAGATTTTATCCATCGACTCAATGGTCTTCCTAGCAGAATGAAAGAGTCGTGGCGAGTGCTGGAACATGGGATGCCATATTTTATGACGTCACTGGCGGTGCTCCGAGAAGACTTTAAAGTCACCGCTTGAAGACTCGTAGGACTCACGGTTACTCGAAGAGTCATCATTGCTTGTGTGAGTAGTCGCCGATGTAGATTGTCATTGAGGCGCCGTCGTCCATTTCAGAAACATGATGGACAAGGGTTAACTTTGCTTATTTCAGGTACTCATGGTCATATCGCTGGAAGTGATAATAATGTAGGCATGCTGTTGGGACGTACCATGTGAGTCCTAGAGGCTGTTATCAATGAATTCATATGACAGGGCAGGAGGTGAATACAAACGAGTAAACTCTGAATGATAGCATCCAATGGTCCCTTGTCATTGCAATTAAACAAAGCGTTGCTCTTACTTGAAATCAGTTCAATCATCTGACTGCTGGAGGTTCATCTCGTCTTCGCTGGAGTTGTTTGGCTGGAAAAAGGCTTGCTCTGTCATGGCTGAAAAGTGAAGAAGTGAATTTGGTCGGTTGTGTGAGCCTGGATCAGTTTTTGTTGTTCGTTGCGAACACTGCGCCCAAAAGTGGGTGCTGATAACGTACCTTCAGGCTCACCCTTGATCGAAACCAAGTCGTGGTTATTCTTGGGGGCACTGCAGGCGGTCATGGTGTCCTCATTGCTCGGTGATGTTACTTCGAGTAAACGCAATAGAATGCCGATGTCGGTAGTCAGTACACTAGTATTCAGCAGGGTATGAGTTTAGTGTTCGACTGGTCATGCATTTGTCTTACAAGAGTTCCTTTGAGTTCGGGTGTGCTTCATGAGCTTGTTGAGATTGTTCCTGGGGCCTAGTCGATATACAATTAGTCCCATGCTGCAAACGCTGTCCTTTGCAACTTTCCACTGATTGCACTTTCTGTTGCTACGTTTATTATCTCTTGCAAGGGGTTGGGCGTGTTGTATGTGAAGCCGCGGTTAGCTGTCCAACGGTTGCTTCTTGCTGTCCGTTGTTCATTGCGTGAGTGCACAAGCTTGAGCACGAATGAAAACACATGTGAGCATACATGTGGGTACGGATGCGAGTACGAATATGAGAGGAGGTGCGAGTGGGAACATGAGTGCGGATGTTAGTGGAAATGCCAGTGGAGATGTTAGTGGAGTGTTGGTGGAATGTTAGTGGTAATGTTAGTGGAAATGTTAGTGGAGTGTTAGTTGAGATGTTAATGGACGTGTTAGTGGAATATAAGATAAGATGTTTGGTGCTAAGATAGCACATATGTTGGTGCAGGTATTGCAGATGTTTGTACAGTGCCACGTTTCGCCCCAGGTTGCCGGGTGTCGTGCTCGCCCCAGGTTGTCGGGTTTAGTCAAGAGTTGATTTTGTCAATGCTCCGTTGAACGTGTGAATTCATTATGTGACCTCCGCCACAAAATGGGTTCTTACAATTCTTGGATGGGCATCTTTACCTTGAAAAAAAAGGCACGACTCAGTTCCTGGGTGAACCTGCTTTGACTCCTCCTTTTGTCTCGTTGGTCTAGACAGCTGCCTGTAAAGAGCAGCTTGCCTAGAACCATTCTGTCATCCGTCTTTGCCCTTTTTCCTCTATGTCCATTTGCCTCTGCAGTTCGTTTTGCCATTTGCCATTTGCCATTTGCCTTTCCCCATTGTGATTCCCAGTACAATGTTCCAGGCCCCATCCCAACCCCTTCCAGCTCAACCAGTTCCCAGCATAATTAGACTCCCTGTCCCCGCTATCTTATTCCTCAGTCAGCGGCAACTCAATCCCACCTGTCCCCTGTAACTATTCTTCTGCACACTATTATTCTTTCACTCTTCTCTTTCACATTCTTCCGAATCCTGTTTGATCATCGCATACAGATGCTTGTACAGACGTTAGTACAAATGTTAGCACAGATGTTAGTACAGATATTTGTACAGATGTTTGCTAGAGAGTACGGATGTAAGTAGGGATATGAGTAGGGATGTAGCACAGGTGTTAGTACAAGTGTTAGTATAGGTGTGAGTCCACCCTTCGATTCTCAGAATGGCTCCGCGGGAGGATCTACTCCATAGAAATATCTGCCCTCAGAACCTACACCTCAACTCTCCTCAACTCCATCACCTCCCACAACCAAATCCGCTTCTTCCGTCTCTCCGGCGTAAAAATGCACTCAATGACTGCACCTATTCTACAGCAACATCACAACCTCGGCCTCAACCATATCCGCCTTCGAGGATATCCGAGTGCCACCAGTACCATGATTCAAGGACTTTTGGAGTCTTGCCCAAATCTGACGACACTCACCGCCAACATCTTGTCGATTGACGCCATCTCCAGGGGAAAGCCCTGGATTTGCAAGAACCTCATTGGATTCCAAGAGTACCTCGACCTGATACTAGAACCAACACAATACCCAAGAACAAGAACCTTCACAGACCGAATGGAAGTTGCTCACAGACCGAATGCAAGAAGTTCATAGACCGAACGCAAGAAGCTCACAGATCGAACGCAAGAAGCTCACAGACCGGACGCAAGAAGCTCACCGCCCCGCCTTCATTCGCCTTGTAACCCTCCCAGCCCTCGAGCGTTTCCCCATCTCCCGGATCCCAACCCGCGGGAACAACGCTGTCTCCCGCCAGGAAAGCCTCCACGGCCTAAACTTCCGTCGTTCTTGTGGGCTGGAGACCCTCTCGACTTTGAAGCAATTAATGGTCCTGAATTTCGTCGATGTCGAGCAAGTGCTGAACAAACAGAGCGTGCAATGGATGATTGCGAGTTGGCCGAACTTTGGTTGTGTCCAGGGGATGTTGGCTTCTTCCCTACAACAGAGTTCCGCCCTTGCCGCCCTCATGACCAACCACGGCGTGTATTACAGTTGTGCATAAGTTTATTAATGGTTGCGCATGTAAAATAAAGATGTCATTTCTTCCGCATCCACGCACTCCAACGCTCAGCACCTGGCCGACTCGTCCTCAAACCCTTCGTTCTTCCTGAAGTCTGCTCACCATGTTGTCCATCATATTTCCACAACGCAGGGCTATCAGGTCCATCTCGCTGTGTACTTCCTTTCGACACCTTCGTGGTACCAAACTCAGGTTGCTCCAAGATAGTCAACGGCACAATGCTGGGCCGTCCATGAGCGCACTGGAACGGAAATGTGCATTGAGACAACTGTTTCACAAGATCCTGACATTGATCGATTGAGAGCGCGTCATTAAACATGATCGCCCCTCGACAAGCCTTCGAGTTCACAATGTCCAGAATCCCTCTCGGACAGCCTTGTACGCATCGTAACCAACTCGCTATGTCTATATGAACAATACGTAAAGAGTAATGAATTAACGCTTTCACTTCAAACGGCAAGGAACAATATGCAGTTTGACCTTGCGGATCAAAATAAAAATCCAAAAAGTCGTCAAACGTACCTTGTCCATCGCCTGGGAACAGTGTTCGCGAGCGGTTACGACCTTCCTCAAACGAGTTGAGGGTATCCTTGATCAAGTCCTGCGTTAAGGCACTGTCCACGACACACCTGTCTGCCACTATCCGGGGTAGCGACACCACACGACCTTGTCGATAATCCGATTCGACACTGTGTCCCAGTCCTGTCATTGGCCGTGTCCTGACTCTGGGACAGCCACCTGCTGAGGTAGATCCTACATCGCCATCGCCCTGAGTGAAATGCTGCGACACCATTACAGTCTCCGCCTCAGATTTGTCATCGAGTGAATCGTACGAGTCCTGCAGCAAACTCTCTTCCAGGACAATTCCCCAGCGGTAGAGCCACTCGGTCGATTGTTCAGCCAAATGCCATTCCCTACGCGTCAGAGTAATCGGTAGTTGCGGGATCATAGCCATGCTATCAAGACGGTGGGTGATAATCGTTGTTTCATAGTCGTCCTGCTTCCTGCGAGTCGAATGTGAGCAAGTGCACATTTCCTTCATCAGTCTCTCAACCCGCACTCGCTCATCCGCAGCATGTTGGTCAATCACCACCAACACCTTGTTGACCAATCCATGCTGCGCCGGTTCCTGCCGACTATTTGAGACCGCCATCGCTGTCGAAAATTGCTCCATCGTGCAAAGAATAAACTTGCTATCCAGCTGAGAAATGACCTTACATCCTTGTAACCCAGCCTTGGAGAGCTGAAGGCTTTCTGCATATAATGCCGTTTGTGACGAAGATCCTGCGCTGAAAAATCGACTGATTCGCTTGCCCATCGGCCCCTGCTCACAGGAATCACTAGGTCCTGCAGAGTCCAGACGCAGGGATTTTAGGCATGGAATTTGGATGGGGGCGGTTGGTAGGACCGGGTTGACCCACTTTCGGAGCGCATCCTGAGCCCAGATCCGGGATGTGCCAGTCGTAACGGGGTTTGATCCAGAGGGCACCATATGCGGCAATGATGTTCTATAGAGTTAATACGAAGTTGTGATAATATCTGTTAGTCATTACTTCGTGATGGGTGTAAGCGTGCATTTTCATCATGACTAGCCTTCGCAAAAACATACCGAGAGATAATGGAGCCCTCTGATGCGGATCGCGGTAGTAGGAGCCCTTGAGGTCCTCGCCGTGTGTATTCCACCTCATTCGATACGAAATCATCCTAATTGAGTGCATTGTTATCGAAACATTGTGTAAGTAACAATGCACAACCCTGGTGTCATGAAGCATGGTAACATAAGCATTGCTCCTGCGAAGTGTCACATACGTCAAGCATGGAGGCCATCCAGTCTGCATCCAATTCAAATTCCAGTTCATCCTCTAAATCAATCTCGCTCTGGTACGCCACACCAGCTGCATTCTCGTATGCTAATCGCGATGCCCTTGAAGGCCGGGATGTTTTCACACGCGAGATGTAATCCAGAGGTGCCGATCCCGTCAGTGCGTCCATAAATGTCGGTCTGTGCTGTTTTCTCTTCTTGGTTCCGCTCTGGTGTCTGAGTACTGTCGCTGCCGTCCGAGAGAGGAGATGATGTCTCTCCAAAAAGTCAACAATTGTACACCGTACTACCTGGAACGCCCTCCCTTCGTCCTAAATATGGCCGCAATAAATACATATACATCAGGAGCCGAAATCAAAGGCGCATGTTTGCAATAGCGAGAACAAGAAACTTCCGGACATACCTCAAACTGGATCGTGACTTTGGAGGGGTCAGCGCACAGGTCATATTCGCTGGTTGGGCAAGTCAGCATGAGGATAAAGATAGGGTGTCGCTCCCTAGACCGCCGAGCATCCTCCACATACACCAAACTATCAGCCGCGAAACTCGATTGTCGGAACAAGTGCGTCACAAGCCTCTGCAGGTTCTCACACTGGACAGGCCGTTTGTTGAGAAAGATATACTGGCACAGTCGATTGTAGTGCCCTTGTGTCGAAATATATCCTGAAAAGGCGTAGACTGGGTCATCTGTGGACGACTTTACAAATCTAAGGGTAGCCGACAGTGCCTGCCCAAGGATTGTAGTGATTCGATGAAGATGTGAGTCGACCTTGCGACAAGACATGATTTTGGCGTCCTTGGTCATGTCAATGAGAGTGAAAGAGATCCCTGGAGCGACCAGTGCCAAAGTCTCCACCACCCGTTTAGCTCTTTCCAGTTCCACTTCCAGCTTCGATGCCGACGCATCAGACCAATAGCGCTGCCTGACCGGGAACTATGAAATGCAGTAGGAGTAAGTTAGATGATTGCGGATCAAATTGTCAAGTATGAATATCTAACTGACGGATAGTACATCTACCTTGTAGAAGAGATCTCGAACAGAAATAGTGGTTCCATAAGTGAACCGAGGATATTTGTTTGACGGACCGCAGAACAACTTGTCTCCACCCTATTAGGATATTTGCCACCATATATATTAGAATTCAAGGAAGAGAGAAGAAGCGACACATTAAGGCTTGTCCTTGATAAAGTGGATACCTTGAAGATGGTAGAATATACAAGCTCCTGTCCTCTGGGTCGTGATACAAAATCAACTAGCGACATCTCTGTGATTGCCGCCACAGCTAAGAATCGATGGTAACAACGAATAACAGAGACTCGTACTAGTGGGTGAATGCGCCTTAATAATAACAGACCAACGAACAATAAAAAAGTTTTAAAACCCCATACCCTCGCCGCGGAATCCATATGTCGTAATGTGGTTTAGATCCTGAAGACTGGAGCATTTGGAGGTAGCATACCGCATCCCAATGCGCGCCATATCTCTTGGTAATATCCCGTCGCCGTTGTCAGAGACTTGTAGACTGTGACCTGCGACGTCAACCTTGACCTCTATTGAAGTTGCGTTTGCATCGATGCCTAGTATATATATATATATATACACGAGAAAAAAGTGTGGTCGTGATTTAGTTGAGAAGTGTGATGGATAACATTCCTAAAAGTGTGATTGTGAGTGGATGAGGGGAAGAGAAAGTACTGTTTTGGATGAGCTCGGAGATGCACTGCTCGAGTGAATTAACCACGAGAGAGGCGCGCAGTTCGTCGGAGACGGATGGAGCCAAAGGCTGGATCAATGCCATTCCATCGTTTCTGTGAGGAGGAGGTAGAATGAGTGTGAATGTAGGAGAGGAGAGTAATGTGTGAAGAGAAGGAAGGAAGTCAAGGTTGGAAAAAGACACCGTTTGGTGGCAAAGAAGTCCAGAACGGAAGATGGAAAGATCGCATACGCTACGTTGCGTTATTTTTACGCCGCCAATTTCAAGTCATGACCCTCGCTAGTGAGAACACGTATAATGAATAACAACATCCCTTGAGCCATCCAACTCTACCTCTCCAACTGGCTGATCCTCCTCCAACACCAAAGACTCATCGATGGCACCGCGCTGGACCAACAGAGTCCGATCAGCCACTTCAAGTTCAACAACTCCATCGAATCTCATGCCGAACGCAACAAGCATTCCGATGTTACACATTCGTGGCAGTTCTCCGAATCGAATGCCCTCCATCCGCGCTTCGAACTTGCTTATTCCATCACGTTCTCCCGTCTCTTTATTCCTTGCATCCATTTCCCTCGCCTTTGTGCTGATAAATGTAAAGGTATGTTAAAAGAGCATGCATGCGGATGGAACGAAGAAGTTTGACAAAAGGGGACACATTTGGGTTCCGCAACAACTGTACCACTGGCAAGACAGAAGATCCAACGTTGCACCTTTCACTCCCTCCCGTTTTGGACCCGAGTTCTGAGGAGGGCCCTGACCCTATTTGGCACCGCCCCTCTGTGCTATTTAGCATGCTTGCACCTGCCTTGACATACATATCATCATGCTACCTGGTGACAGGCAGAGCAATGAGATGGACTCTGTGTGTCGCTCACCGACTCTTTCATTGCAAAGGAGAGTAGCAGGGCAGCCAGTCCACCTACTTTTGTGCCCCCGTCCTACTTGCAAATGGAGAACAAGAGCAGTTCCAGGATCCAAGGTGCTTTCCTCTACCACCCATCTTCTTTCACATGCGCAACGAGTGAATCATACCCTTCCAGAAGACCACTCTGAGCGTCCAACTCTCACGCACCTTCATTCTTTGAAGCATTTTTAAACAGGCGAGGACGTAACTATGTGGGGAAGTCACCGACATTACAGTTAGTCCCATGCTGACTAATCAAGACGCTCTCCACAAAGAGATCTAGCTTGAGTCAGGGCCAGCCTGGTTACTGAACACGTATAAATAAATTTAGTTATAGACGATTTGCCTACTCCCCTCGTCCGCTCGTGTTTCCTTTACTCCACACCCTCGTTTGTTACAGGCTAAAACTAGTTTGCCTTCCAATCCTCCTGTCCGGGTATTACTTGATGATGGCAGTAGTCTTGTGTTCTACTGCTTTAGTCATATTTTTTATTAGCGTCTCCACCTCAACCGCGATTGTCCCTTTGTTGATAACTGACATGTCGCCATTGATCTTGCCTGCTAGAGTCGTAAGGTGCTTGTTGACTTTCTCAGGTACTGGCCTACGCTCTTCCGAATCCATGTCCTGCACCAGCTGCAAGGTTCCACTAAGGCGCGACTCATCCTTCTCGGCGCGGTACATTTCCAAACGCCTCTCTACGTCTGCCCTTGAGAGCTTGTCCTGCACATAGAACTGGTGGATAAGAAACGATTCGACCTTGATGCCAGACCATTTTCCGTTCGACTTGAACTCTCGGAGGGTACTCAACGTCACTAGCAAGGTGTGGTGAGAGAGAAAACGTGGCTGTGCAGCTGCGAATGACTAGTATATGTCAACCCTCTTGAATTTGGACCGTGTCTGGCGCTCTATGTTGTTGAACATGTCCTTTTCGCCACCTATCGACACCCAAACATGCGAGGCCGTGTGAGGCTAAAACGACGGGTTGTGGGGGCTGACGATAACTTGGCCAGTTGTCACGACAACAGCCAGCGCCACAAGCGCATTCCATCGGGCCGTTCCGATCATGACCTGTCGAGCGCTATCGAGCTCCTCTTTCATCACCTTAAACAGGCGGACGTCTGGAATCTCCAAATCCAAGCCGGGAGGATCTTCACCCTTGCGGCGCCCGTACACCTCGACCTTGAGGCAGAGAAGAACATCGGCACCGGACTGGATCAAAAGGCCTGTCAGTCTCCTTGCCAGCTCCTTGCCGTGCGTCGAGAAGGGCATGCAGCAGAGGGAATCGCCATCCTCCAAAAGTCTGTACTTCTCGACGTCTACCAAAGAGCAGAAAGCGTGCGTCTTCAACATCACCTTCAGATCCTTATCTACAGCCTCCTCGTCTCGCCGGCGCTTCAAAACGAACAAAAGCCTCCTCCCCTTGACCTAGCCGTGCACTTTCGCCTGGCAGAACAAAACCAAACATCTTATCGCCCTGGCAGCCTGATCTCTACAGCCTCAAACATGTTCTTGCTGAATTGAGCGGTTGCTATGTGCCTCGTGCTTCGGATGAGTTCCGCATCAAACTCCTCCAAACCAGCCTGCTGACTCGCAACATCCGCCGATCAGTTGGTGCACTTGAGACAATGGGCAGGCAGGTGCGTCGCCTCCTTGATCTGCATATCACAGGCCGGATATCGTGGGGGAATAGCAACTCCTTTACATCCGCGCACGAAGCCAGGTGCTTTTCCAGCACTTCCGAGCCTGAGAGCGCTTGGAGCATCAGCAGCAACCGAGAGGGTGAATCCGCTTGATTGCGCCATCGTGTGATTCGGACTTGTGATTGCGAAAGGTGGCGTCCGACCTGAGTTCCTGGCCGCACAGCAAGCAAAAGTGACTCTTCGTCGCGTCGTCCTTGTCGGGGGCTTTCATGATAAGAAGAATAATTAAAGTTAGAGCAAGGAACGGGCCATGCGAAAGACGTAATTGAGAGAGAGAGAGAGAGAGAGAGTCTGCATTACCTCGACGTCGCTGGACAATGAAGGGAACGGGGTCGATTCACCATCAACAATACAGAACAGTTTAGGTGAATTCGTCCATGGTGTTGTGGAGTATCCAAGGAAAGTAAAATGTAGTGGGGGAGGAAGAAGGGAGAAAAGAAAGACAGAAAGTAAAAATTTGAGGGAGGAAAGTATTAAGAGGGAATGGAAGAGTGAGTGGGAACGATGGCAGAGATGGAAACCTTGTCACATTTCGTTATTTCCTATCGGTCTGCGAGATAATTACTACAACGCCCCTATTCGTTTGTCATTCATTGCCATCTCTCTTCATCACTCACTCACATTCTCACCTGCTTTGCATTGTCATTACAGCCCCTATTATCAATCAATCATAATATTTGGCCACCCCTGCCTTTTCTTCTGCCTTTGCCATCTTTGCCATCTTTGCCATCTTTGCTTGCCCAAATCGCCATTACTCTCACTCCTGTTTTGTCCAGACTCTCGTCCATCCTACCAGTACCATCTTGGTTTTGATAAGTAGTGCATTCCCATTCCATTGTATTTCTCTCCAACAAAGTCGTTGATATACGGGGTTGACAACTATTCTTGCCGTCCAGTGATTGGATGGATGTGGTTTCATCTTAGGTGCGTTAGATGTGGGGGTCTTTTTTGCTTTTCAGCGACTGACCCATTGGTGGCTTTCCTCCAGCCATATCTAACACCACTCAAAGCCTTGCTATGCTAGAGGCAATGAGTGGCAGCATGCTTTGTGACCCTGGAATCTCATTAACGCTCCAGCAGAGGGTTCCTGAGCCGTAAAGCTCTCTCCAACCATCTATTGCTTTTGGCACTAAATGGTTGTGGTTTCATCTCAGGCGCGTTAGATGTGGGGGTCTTTTTGCTTTTCAGCGACTGACCCATTGGTGGCTTTCCTCCAGCCACATCTAACACCGCTCAAAGCCTCGCTATGCTAGAGGCAATGAGTGGCAGCATGCTTTGTGACCCTGGAACTCGTTAACGCTCCAGCAGAGGGTTCCTGAGTTGAGCGTATCTAAATCTGGGTAGTCATCCAGAGCGACGATGGCGACGTCCTACTATTCCCTACTCATCATGTTACCACCCTTGTTTGCATTCATAGGCCCATTCAACCCATTGACCCTCCAGCTTATTATGGCCTCAGACAAGTCTAAGGGATCAATGGCGAACAGATCAACAGCACGATCACGGAAATCCTTTCTGGGAAATCTGTCGGCACGCAGATATTTGGAGAGCTGCGAGATGATCACCGATTTCAGCTACATTGATTTTCTCAAATTCTCGAATTGTCAACGGTTAACCAAGGACCAATGTGAGGCGCGGTGGAGTGAAGCTATTAACAAGCTAATGGCCAGTAGTCACGCAGGCCTTCAGAAGAAAGCATTTTCCTTGAAGAAGCAGTGGAAAAACAAGGCCCATTCCGATGATTCAGATGTGTTCTGGTCCAAAGTTAAGCGGAAGCTTGGACTCAACATAAGAACGCTGGAAGTTTAAGCAGCTGTAGATACACTTCGGGACAAGCGTGTCCGAAAAGAGGTCGAGCAGGAGATAAACAATATCGCAGGTAGGTTAAGTAATTGAAGTTGGCTAACATTTGAAAGAGCATCGTCTGACTTGTTATCTTATGGCTCTGCAACATATGGCCTTTTTGGATGGGACGAGTGAAACTGATGCTATGCTATGCCGAGCCAAGACTCCGCACTGTCGTCATACATCCCCAGCACTAGCAAGTGATCCTGGTCTGTCAATGATGACCTCGAACTTTTCCTTAGGAGTCTTGAACCCCTTGTACTCGCAGCCCTTGTCTCTTTGTCACTTTGCAGTCTCTGATCGTGATTTACTTCTGCGCTCTAATAGCCACATTGCCTTCAGCCGTGGACAAGGACGACGAGAACGAGACTACCATCGATGATTTGAACATTATGGATGTTGTTGCCGTTGAAGAGAGTGTTAGTGACAGAGAAGGTGCTGGTGATGAAGAGCCTCTCGATGAGGGATGATGAGAGTATCGAGGACTTGGTTTAGGAAATGGAGGAGTTGATCCAAAAGTCCGAGCCAGGTTTCCATCCCTTAATCACGGCCCTTTATCACGCCGTACGCCCGCTCCCTTTTATTTTTTGAAATGCTCGAAAGGTGATATATTGTGCTCACGGATAACCAGCACCGTCGCTTCATGTAATTCTTAGGTTCGAAGAGAGCCGTTTCGAAAGGCGCGAGATCGTCCAGATATATCTGAGTCACAAGCATTCCTCTACGACTTTGTTTGGGAAAGGCTAGACAAGTTCAACACATGCGACCTATTGTAGAGAAGCACACTTTGTAAGTATGTCATGCCTTTGATGTTTGTAATGGTGCTTGGTCGCTCTATCCTAACTCGGCGACGTTTTTTTCATTACCGTAGTGTCGCAGTGGGATCGTTGACCTGGACGTTCACCAGAATTCCGAAATCATAATGAAAGAATGACGAAGTGCAGAAACGTCGCGCCTCAACATGAAAGGCTCGAGCTATTAGAAAAGTACAAGAAAGACCTCGTTGTCGATGATGGGGAGGATGTTCTGGAAACTGACCTGACCGAGTTGAAGGCGGAATTAGAACGGGACCTTTCCAAGTTCAGAGTGGAACTGACGAGAATAAGGCGATCGAGATACTCCTGGTCCTGTAAGATCGACTTTTTTTCTTTCTGACCTATGGCTTTATATGACGGCGTGTTTGAACTCACTCTTTTATTTACAAATTGCCTAGGGTGAAGCTCTCGTTGCCTGATACCCTCAAGCGACCCAAGGCGACCGAGAATTCTACGCTTTTTGTCTGGCACGTGGTTTGGCATACAACTTAAATCATGTGACTGTCCGTCGAACGAAATGGAACCTCGTCCACCATCAAGTGGTCGTCATCATGTTCCTTCTTCATCTCTCCTTCCTTCCAGTCCCAACTGTTCTAACTCCATCAATCCTCAACTCTGCTATTACACCTTCGTTTCTACACACTACATCCGTTTCTTGGTCCATCGCGTGGCCCAATATACCCTTCAACTCTCAGTTGATTGCAATGTCATTGTCATGAAAATTCATTTGTTTCACTTACAAAAAGGTAAAATGTTACAATACCTATGCTCCCCCCGAAGAGCGAGTATGGCGTCGTTCGGCACGCCCAACCGTTCCAGTATCTTTGACCACATCTCTGATCATTGGGAACCTGTGGATCGTTGGGAATGTGTGTATTGGTCAAACATCGGGTAAAGCCTCCCCTGCCATCAGGGTTGGTGATGTACCAGCACCATTCACTCGCTTGCCTTGCGAGAGTGCAATGGTTGCGTTGGTTGGCTTAGCGACTTCGCCTCTAAGCTGTTGAACATGGATCCCGCAAGTCCTTGGTCACTGTTGCTTCTTTTAAAGGCTGCTCAATCCAACTCTTCACCGTACCATTTTCTACGCCAGCACGCCCAACCGTTCCAGTATCTTTGACCGCGTCTCTGGTCATTGGGAACCTGTGGATCGTTGGGAATGTGTCAATTGGTCAAACATCGGGTGAAGCCTCCCTGCCATCAGGGTCGGTGATGTACCAGCGTTCTTTACACTCGTTTGCCGTGTGAGAGTGAAAGACGTGTTGGTTGGCTTAGTGGCCCTCACGAAAACATATTGAACATGGATTGCACACATCCTTGGTTAATGTTTGTTGACGTGATATTTTTCTGACATGCGCATCCCGACATGGCTTTGTTTTGATGAGCGTCATACTAACACAATTTTCCACGTTTTTGCTTCATATAATGGGCGGCTACTGAGAGAATCGCCCAGACAGCAACGTCGACTGGCGAACATCGATGAATAATCCTTTTCCGTGTATGTCTGGCCGCTAAATGCCCTCCCACGAATGCATTGATGAACATCTCTGCAAGTAGACGCGACGAGAGCTGGCATGCAATGCGTTTGAACAGGCTCCGCCGATACAAATGAATAGTTCCTCGCTGCTGTTCTTAGGAAGCCGTGGCTGCTCTTGACCCAATGGCCGTTGTCTTTGTCATGTTCTGGCCACATCTACGACAAACTAAACCCAGTGGCACTGTCATCTTCAAACCTTTGACGAGCTCGGCGACTTTGCTGGCGCCGTGGACTGCCTCAAGCTTTTCCGATCGCTATCATTCAGCAGACAATTAGTCCTTCGATTCTAATGAGCAAGAAAACTGCAGTCCAGACTTGTGTCCTATGTGTGATCATGTCGGAAACTACCTCAAGGCGATACTAGACACCATATCATAATACGCGCAATATACCTGCATCCTGAACAAGATTTTTGCACTCCCCATGATCTCTCCACCTGACATCACTAATGGTCCAGTTCATTCTCTTCCGGCATTTGACGCACAGTCCCTTTTCCTTGAGTTTGATGGGGCTTGGATGACACACTTCACCGCAACAATTTTGAGAAAGTTAGTTTTGGTCATACTTGGAAGTTTGGAGCCATCATGAAAGTACTTTGACAAAATCGGGGCGTTGCCATTATATCGAAAAAAGGACACAGGTGCTTCTTAAGAGTGAGTCTAAGGTGCTTGGCTACTGACTTACCCCCCTCTCCACCCCCAAAAAAAAGCTTCGAATAAAAAGTCATTTTCGTTGCCACCTTACCCATACTCCATAGCCAACAAACTTGCACATTCGGCCCCCGTTGGAAAGCAAGCTTGATGGCGATAGGTAGAGGCTTGAATTCAGATAATTTTGGCCCGAGGTAATATATAGTATACTCGAAAACCATCGATTTCCAAGCGGCATCCTGGAGCAATTTACTGACGTCCTCTGCGACATGTGCTAATGCCCATTCCAAATGAAAGTCTTTGTGATCATCCGAGGACAACGGTGGAGAAGACGGTCGCTGAACTTAAACGAATCCCTCCCTTGCCGAAAGCATCGCATCGCCCTCAGCGGCTCGTTGACGGAATCAATGGCCAGCCGAACACGTTCATACGTACTTTTTTTTTTGGCGCCGGCTTTATCATCGGGATCGAGGCTCAGTTCGTCCTTTGGGTTTTCCAGGACGTATCTCGGCACGCCGCCCTATCAGGTCGTAGAGCTCTTCCATGAATTCCTTGGTTGCCGCCTCAAAACCCCTGATATCGCCCCGGCACTGCTCCAGCTCCTCCAGCACCCACGGGGCCATGTAGTAACGCCTTGATACTCGATGGTTGATTTCCTGATATTGGTTCGTCTCGGAATACGGGGTCTCCAGTGATGCCGATAAAACGGTTCTTGCCTCAACAAGCTGTGGGTCCGGGGAGCTGTCGACTAAATACCACGTTTCGCGTAGACCAAGGAATGATCGAAAATCCTCGATGTCTCCATAGCGTAGAGTAGACACACCGCCATACACGTAGCACTTGGAGCCCCCTTTCTCTTGGAAAATGACAAATAGGCGGACTGTCGTCAAGGTTTGCAGCAAGAAGTATGATGGTGAAGTATACGAGGAAGGTTGATTTGCCGATTCCCGATGTTCCAGTGATAACAACGCGCTTCCACGCCCTATTCCTAGGACTGTCTTGAAATTTCGCTGTAAAGATCGTTTTAGGCTTGTCGAACATAAAGGCCTTTTGCGCTGACCACAGGGAATCGAGTGCTGGAAGGCGTAGATATTAGATCTAACTCTTGGAAAGATAGATCTCGGCGAGCGCGGGCGGTGCTAGACAACGAATCGAAAGTGTCCGTCCTGTCAATCTCCTGACCGATTAAATCAAGTAGCGATACTCTTTCTTTGTTGATGAGACGAGAGAGGTCAGATCGGCCATCCACTACAGCCTTTTCCGTAAGACCAGCCGCTTCAATCGCATTCCTCAGCGTACACGTGTCAAGACGTTTGCTCTTGGAAGAGGACCCTAGTAAATGAAGCGGCGCACAAGCAAAGGGAGAAACCAAGAACATTAGCAACTCCTACATGAAAAACAAAGTAGTGGTTTCGAAAATGAATGTCATAACACAGCTAAGCAATGGGGAGGAGACAAATTACCCACCTGCATCTTCATCGTAGTATCTTTTCGGAGCTACAGGAAGTAAAAAGAGAATATAGGCAAATACCACGAATGGACATTGCTATACCATATAGTCATGCAGAGAGGCCAAGCAAGAGCAAAACGCGATGTAATACCTGAGGGTCGTTGCACGATGAGATGGATTGTTTTCTTGGGTGGTGTTTCCTCAAAGACATCGGAGATCGTCTGTCGGGCCAAGCTCAGTCGTTGGTGCCGTAATCTTCTGGACTACCGGCTTGAGCTTGTAGGCAGGAACAACTGGAATGGATACGCGCCAGAGAGTGAGCTTGTCTGGATTCGACATCTTGAAAGTCGTTGGTCCTCTTTTTCTTGATGAGCTTCTTGAGGTCACCAATAGAATCGCTTGAGAGAATTTTAACAGAGAACACCTTGGAGGTAGACTCTCCATCAATAAGATAGAACAAGGTCAAGTGATTGTTGGTCATGGTGTTCGGGTGCAATAGTGGATGGAGAAAAAGTTGATGGCTGATGGGGAAAAGGAAGGGGAAGGATTAAAAGAAAAGAAAGTTGAAAAAAAGGCGAGGGATGAAGTAGAAATGGTGACAAAGGCGATGATGAAGGCGTGGGAATGAATCGATGAGAAGGGTGTGGAATGCAAGGAAGAGAGATGAAAGAGGAGAGTTCGGACACTCGGCCTGTGGCAATATAGAACGAAAGAAGGGAGAAGGGGTCCAATAAGAGATAAGGATCCCAGTCGCCAGCCTCAGAAGGGCCTGGTCCCTGGACCCTTCGTTCGTTGGAGCTTATGTTAGTGGCGCAACCAACTTCATAGCCAATTGGTCTCACATCTTTCTTTCGCCGTTGCCAACGTCTTCACCTGCTCTCCCTCGCTTACATCACTCCTCTCCTTTCTATGTAATCTCCATCTTCTCTGTCATCATCCATGGCACACTTCCATCTTCACACATCACACATCTTCCCACCTCCACTGACATCCACTCCTCCCCTCCACTTCCCATCATCGCCCCTTCTTCCTCCTTCCTTCTTCCCTCCTTCTCCCCTCACTCTTTCACACTATACTTAACCACTAATCTAATGCACACCAAACCCCCATTCTTCATTGTCACCCTCCTCCCCATACTCCTCCTCCTCCTCCTCTCCACATCCGCATCACCCGCCCCACCATCTCATCCAACAACGACAGCCTCACAACCACACCCAGCAACACCAACATTACAACAGCCACCTCCACCTCCACCCCTTCCAAAAAGGTGCCGCACCTGCCCGCAAAACAACACCGTCGGCCTAACCTGCTTCAAAAACACCCTCTGCATCCCCCTCTCCCTCCTCTGCTCCCCTCTTCCCTCCTCCACCAATACCTCACTCCCTTCCCTCCCCACCACAACCCCTTCCAGTCCTTGCCCAGACCTCCCCTCCATCCACCTCCCAAGGGCAGGTGCAACAAACCCAATCCCAGAACCAGGGTCGGTCCTCTGCAACCCTAACACTAACCTCTGTCAGGATCCCACGTTTCTGCCACTCCCGGCCCCGGGTGTTGGAAGCATCCGTCGTGATACTTCTTCGTCTTGTCTAAAAGGCGCCTTCTTTTCCCTCTACCCTTCTTCTTCCGAAGTAGGAGAGGCAGGAGCGAGTGAAAGTGGAAGTGAGGGCGTGCAGCAGAAATACATTCAATCCTGCATCGTCTCGACATCTCTTCCCTCCAACAGTAACAGTAACAACAACAACAACTTGGGAGGACAACCACCCTGTCAGGACTGGGAGTACCGAGTCGGAGACTCATGCCTCCTCCGCCTCTGCGGCGGCCCACCGTCCTCACAAGAACTCTCATGTGTCCTCCCCTACACCTGCCGCAAACCCACTCCCTCCTCCTCCTCCTTACCAGACACCACTACTTCGTCATACGGTGTCTGCTCAAACTCGACCAACCCACACCCAGACGATACTGACCCTTCCACCAAACCGCAATCATCCAAAAAAGACCTCATCCTCTTCAACCTCCTAATCGCACTCTGCTCCCTCGTCGGCCTGACAGCCCTCCTCTTCCTGGCACACCACCTCCGGAAACGATACCTCCAACGCCAAGGACGGTACCTCCCTTGGACCAGGCAGGACAAAACTCATTTCTTCCAGGCCTTGATCTGCAGGAAGGAGATGGGGAAGTTGTGGGAGGAGAGGAGGGAGAGATTGAGAGTTCTGCAGGAGAGGGAGTTAAAGTGGAAGCCTACTACTTCTGCTTTAGATGGGCAGAGACGAAGGGAGGGCAGTGGTGAAAGTGATAGTCAGGAATCAGTGGCGATGTATATTTTACATCCTAGAACTACAACGTCAACGCAATCAAGGAGTACGAGAGCCCTTCCTCAGCAATCACCTTCTTCTTCTTCTATACCCTCACCTACAGTAACAACAACAACACCTACACCTACAACAACGCCAATACACCCAACGATACCCCCACCCATCCACCTCCTCCCTTCCACAACCTCCTCCCCCTCTGACAATAACCGCCGTCCGATATCCCACACAGACTCAGAATCAACCGACACATCCTCCACCTCACAAGCAATGATGATGACACACCAATCCCTCCGCCACAGACCCGTGCTCGACATCTTTGCCCGTCGCTGGCAACAGCAACAGCAGCAGTTCCAACTTCAACAACAGCAGCAACAACAACAGCAGCCACAAGACGGTCAGCAACAAGGCGATAGGGCCAGGGAGGAAGTAGAACCCCTACCATTGTATCATCAAGGGCCTGATCTCCCTGCCTATCGTGTCCGTTCTCCTGAACCTGTACAAGAACCTACTCCGCGGGATCAGGAACACGAACAATCTCGGGATCAAGGCCCGGCCTCAGAAAGATGATTGAGAAACTCCACCCCTCAATAAAAAAAAATGTGTGCTTTCCTTCTTTCCTTCTTAGTTTTTTTTTTCACACAACTCTTGAACGGCTCTCAGCCTTCCCCCCCCCCCCACCGCAATTAGCGCCAACTCTGTTTCGTTTGTCCACCTGGGCGCTGTTTTCCCTTTTTGTAGCTTTTGTGCCAATCCTTTTTCACACGTGCTCCCCACTCATTCATTCAAATACGATTCTAGCACGACTATTCATTCAAATACAAAACAGGGCTTGACCGTTCATTTAGACAGGGCCTGGAAGATGGGCAATTAAAAAGAACAATTACGCCCTTTTCTCAATTCTTCACTTTATGACAATTGAATGGTTTTGTGGGAAGCGAAAAGAGAAGGGAGATGAATATATGTATATGGTACAAGGTAGAAGGGTGTGTGTGTGAGAGAGAGAGAGAGATAGTACAAATTAGTTGCGGAAAAGGGAAACGAAAATGATCCAAGAGCGCATGTAGTAAAGTAAAGAAAAGAAAAGGGACGCCTCTCAACAGTGGTGCCGAAAAGGGACGTTAAACGTTGGGAGGTTTGGTGTTTTCGGAGAGATCGAGGTGAGAAGGCTGGGCCATTGGCAGCTGACCCAGCGCACGCGACAATCCAGTCGCCCCCGTCCCACGCTGCTCATCCATAGCTCCGGTGCCCGTCATATTAATCGCCGTATGCGATGGGGTTCCATCAGCACCAACAACAGCAGGCCTTGCTCCAGTATCCACAACCAAGCCCGCCTCTTCATCGTCATCGTCGTCATCGTCATCATCGTCATCATCGTCGTGACGATCCATACTGCCTCGGCGACGACTCCATCTTCCACCAGTTTCGTATCCGAACCGCGGGTTCTCGTTCGCCTCCAACACATCATCATCAGGGTCGCCAAAGATCATGTTGAAGAACGCTCCTGCTACTCCTGGTCTGCGAGTCGTTGTCGTCGTAGCGGCGCCAGCAGCAGTACCAACAGTTCCATTTCCACCATTAGTCGGGGCGCCATTCAACGTTCCTCCAGCGCTCGTGTTCACAGGAGCAGTTGCTCCAGTAACGATGCCTGAAGAAACTGTCGACGAATACGACTGCGGCAAAGCTGGGTGGTCCATGCTAGGGCGGCGGTGAGGGCTTCCATGATGGATACTGTTACCCTGTCCATGACTGATCGTATGGCGATGATGCATCACAGGTCCCGCAAACATGGTCGAACGAACCGTCAAAGGTGGTGATGCCGTTCCGCTAGTATCCTGAACAAACGAGACGCGAGGACTCTGGTGTGCCGACGAGGGTTGCTTGGGAGAGTGAGACAGCATGGTGCTGCTTCGTTGAGGAGTCGTGCCATGGTAAGGGTTACGGACACTTAGGAATGGAGAGGGTATCGGCTGCGGGGAAGTGCCATTTGAAAATTCTGCAACTGCGGTATCGCGGCCGTAGGGGTCGCTTCCAACAGGCAATGGCGCAGGTGGCATCGACACGCTCCTCTTGAATCGAGTGTTTTTGGGGCTTAGTCCTGCTTGGTGCTCGGATCTCTGGGGCGAGTGTGATGATGCCTGGGCCTGGGCGCGTGGGGTGGAAGGTGAAAACTTGCGAAGAGTATTCATCGAGGCAGAGTGCGTAATAGGCGACGTCGTTAGAGGTGTGGTGGCTGTCATGGGCGAAGTAGCCTCGAATCCACTAATGCCGGAATAATCTCGTTGTCCTGGCTTGATGTTGCTGCGAGCATTATGGTTCCTGAAGAATGACGGTGTAGTCATAGAATGATCCAAAGCGAGCCCTGACTCGTCCCCGTAACCTCTCTTCTCGTCATAGCGATCCCAGCTGGATCCAGGTCCGGGGGTTGAAGGAGGTCCGTTGCTAATAGGATGGTCTGAGAGACAGCCCTCCCAGTTCGATGGCGATGGCAGAGAAACTCCCATGCCAAGATCAAAGGTGGACCCATCCGTGTTCCTGCGCTGGCTATATCCTCGTTGATGTTGGTGTTGTTGGTGTTGTTGCTGGTGATCTTTGTGGTTCTGATGAGGGCTCCTCATGAGGTCTTCGTCCTTGTCACGCACACGGAGCTCCAACTTGTTGGCTGTGGTCGAGCTGTTGAGCGCGAAATCGATTTCAACAGTGTCGTCCAAATCCCAATGTTCGTAGAGAGGGTTCTTGGGTAACCACAACTTGCGGTTCAGGGGCTTGAGCAGTGCAGGGTGGACATAGGTCTCAAATTGCGAGGTCCTGTCCTGGTAGGTGATCTTGGACGGAGAGTGCTCAAAGTGCGATGCCAAAGGTCGCGACGCCATCCCCGAATTGCGCACACCAAACGACTCTACATAGAAACCATCCTCGTCCAAGAATCCTGCAGAGGTGTTGTTGCCTTGCTCGAAATCCTTAGGACTCTCCAGCAAATCGCCGCCGACAGTAAACAATCGAATCTCTCGTGTTGAGCTCTCGTTGGATTCAGGCGAAGGATCGGTGGGCTCCTGGGTGTTGATCTTGAGCTGGAGCGAGTTCCTGGAGCTGCTCTTAAACGTCTTGAGGTTGTGCACTGGCTCGGGAATAATGTCCGAGGAATGTGGTGCCTCCATTCCAAGTGCTTCCATGACCGAGAATGGTTTGTGCCCAACCTCTCCTACGTCTTCAGTCTTGTTGGAGACAAGGTTATCCGTAGTCGGTGACATGTTTCCTGTGGTACCTTCACCGTCTGTTCCTGTGCTAGGTTTCTGGGAGTGTGTCGACTGTGCTGAGCTAATGACTTCGAACGAAGGGCGGACAAACTCGGCCGAGTCTGCTCGTTCAAACGAGTTGTCGATCCCGCAGTGGTATCCATTGAAAACCTTGTCCGGACCAAATCCTCCCTCTGAGTGCCTGTTTCGGCGTCGTCGCAAGGCAGTGGCGTCCTGGACGGCACTTGAATGAGCCGGGATCTCGTCACCGTTCATAGGGATCTCGTTCATGGCGCAAGACGAGTCGTTGTCAAAGGTCCGCAATCCCGTATCCAGAGGCAAGAATTTAGTGCGCGACTTGAACAGGTCTCCACAGAGGATCTTGAAGTAGGCCGTGATACCGACCAGGAAGGCGATAAAGAATCCTCCAACGATGGCCTTCTTCAGCCAGAGGACACCAATCATTGTGATCTGAAAGATGATCAGGCCATCGGTCGTGTACTGAAAGACATGTCGGAAGAACCTGCCGCTATTTTCGTACTTTCTGATGTAGCAGTAGGCGAACTGGTACTTGAAGACGAGGAGAGCAAAGCCGAAATAGGGGATGGCAGCGAAAAGGATCAGAGGGCTGATGACGGAGTATATGAAGGTGACGACCAGGGCGAGAATGCTTTGTGGATAGTAGTAGTAGTACTGGAAGCACCATGGGATGGTGGCTCGTTGAAGTGAGCGAGGTGTGGGCGCAAGTTTCTTGGAGGTGACGAACGAGTGTATGATCAGCTGCGCCCAGACTTGAACCAACTCCAGTGCGTGAGTGCAGGTGTTGAAGACGATGTAGAAGATAAAGAAGGTCGATCCTGAGGGCAAGTTGGTGGCGAGAAGTCCGAAAATGTTTGTTGGTTCGCGGATCAAGGAGAGGATCGATTTCAAGATGACGGTTCCAATCACGAACACGAAGAGGACGTTGAAAATAAGGAAGTGATAATACCGCCGTAATACATTTCCTTCCAAAGTCGAGTGCGACACTGGCAATTCCTGCTTTGATATTTCTATTGCACATGGAATGCATAAAGCATGGATTAGTTGCTCCGTCGGGTCTGGAATGAGGGTCTTGTGATTGTTAAGCAAAGACAAATGAACTTACCGAGGATGATGACGGGGGCGAGGGCCAAAAAGATGGTAACAAAGACAATCGGCAGGACGTTTTGGATGAGTGACTGGATCAAAGGTGATGAATCGAAAATGGGCTTCAAGAACTTGAACGTTTCCGACAGCTGCTTCAAAGATGTCAATAGCAGGAACGAAGACGTGGGGAAGATCCAGAATACAATAATCACCCTATTTGTATTCAATCGCGAACAATAAGACACTGTTAGCAAAAATCTTCATGATTGATAGATAGCCAATGCCACCTAGTGGGCGAAAAGTCTTACCAGATGCTGAGGTTGACGACGATGGAGCGGGTAAAGCGATTACGAAAGCTGGCGGTGAGGTTACTCCAGAGAACATCCCGGGGCTCCATTGCCTGGCGGACACTCAAGCCCTGCGGTCGAGAATCAATCTTGGCTTGAGCACAGAGCTGTGCCGAGAGATGATGCTTGAAAGTAACAAATCCATACGAGGTCGACTTGTAGCGAAGTGATCCATCCCGTAGCTCACCGACCTTGCGATCCAGTTTGTTGTACTTTTTGATCAGATGGTCGATCTCCTTCACTTTGTCACCTCCCTTGAATCGGTTGGCAGGTCGTGTAGGCTGGAACTTGTCGAATGAGTTGCGGTCGAGACTAGCGAGGGCGTTCCAGATGGTGAAGGGTGGTGGGTTCAGGGAAAGGGCCGATCCCATCTGTTGCCCATGGTTATCAGCAGAGTCCTGTTGACCTCCGTTGACATAGATGTCAATAATGTCCGAGTGATGGGAGAGCGCCGACAGAGGGATGTTGAGTTGATGTTGTGGGGGTGGTTCAATGGCGACACGCTTGTGGGCAAAGATTGATTTTCGCAGCTTGTGGTAGCGCTTCTTGTCCTTGAACAAGTCCTGAACCATTTTTTCCAGTGCGGCGACATCCATGCTGCTCTGAACACTAGTCGAATCCAGCTTTGAGGGTGTTTGGAGAAGTGGTCGTTCTGTGGTCGAAATGAGAGGCGAGCTGATGTGGAATTTGTGCTTTTTAATGCTGTCGAGGACGTCGCGGGCGAGGTCGATATGGGCCTTTTCGAGCATGTTGAGGGCGCTTTCTCTCCTGTCAATCTTCTGAGCGAGGCGACCACAGTGCTGAACAACGGTGGCAGAGTCGACGGGGCCCATCTTGAGGGATTCAAAGTACTGTTTGAGGGCGGCGTCGGAGCGAAGGTTGGACGGTAACCGACTGATGAAGATGGAGCGTTCGGCGATTTCTCCTTGTCGGATGCGTTGGAGGGTGTATTCCCGTCGGAGGTCCATCCACTGCCAGTAGTTTTTGAAGAGGAGGAACATCCAGGAGATGGAGACGAGGTAGGTGAGGAAGACGTGGGCCCAGAGGATGTTGGAGTCTTCGGGGACGTTGATGATGGCGAAGCGGGTGACTTCCTCTTCTTTATCTGAGGCGGTGTAGTGTATTGGGAGGAGGATGATACCGAGGATGATGCCGTTGAAGATGGAGAACTGGAGACACATCTTGAGGAAGCGGAGGAACATAACGGCGTCGAGGCCGATGTTGTTGATGTAGAACTCTTCGGGGATCCGTATCGTGGGCAAGATCCAGCCGAGAAACTTTAGTGACATTGGTGGCGACGGGTTGCTGCATTTTGTTGATTGTATGCATGATATTTTGTGGATATGAATGGGTTGTTGGGCCGTGTGTTTTTGGGTTCATGGGGTGATATGGGGGAAGAATGCAGTGGGTAGAGGTATGTTTAGGACAAGAAGGGTTTGGATTAGAGAGCATTGGGATAATGTGGGGGGCAATAGATGAAAGAGAGAGATAGAAAAGAATAGAATAGAATTCACAGGGAAGAAGTAGTAGAAAAGAGAAGACTAGTTAGTTTGGTTGTTTCTGTGTGTTGATGATGATTGTGTGATATATTTATTATTCAGAAAAGTGGACGGAGATTCATTCAGGATAAATGAATGATGGATGAAGAGAGGGAAAGTGAAAGGGAAAAGGCAGATTGTTGTATATTGGTACATTTGCCAATGGTGATCATGCGCACAACCAACAAGATAAGAAGGGGAGGACACGGAGCAGTGGAGGGAGAATGGGTAAGCAATGCAAAGCAAGCAAGGAAGTCAGCAAGTAAGGGAGGGGTGTGACAGGCTGACTGACGGAGTGAGAGGATGAAAGAGAGTTGGCCAGACCAGTCGCCAGGGCCAATCCCTGGTCGCACAAATCACAGAAAAGGGAACAGCAAGACAAAAGGTACATACTCACTCCAAAGGAAAAATAGCATAAACGAAAGAAGGTGATGGGTCCACTCTTGTATACTCGTATACTCGTATACTCATTGCACTCACTCACTCACTCACTCACTCACTCACTCCTGCTACAAGTGCAAATGAGAGAAGGAGGACTTACACTTTTAGCCGAGTACGCGGGGAGTACAGGTATTGAAGAGTCTTCTTGCGCCTGTTCCACTCAAAGATGCCTATACAGACCACAGACACACCGACCGACAGACCGATCTGGGCGACCAGGCCGTTGAAAGTCGGCACCAAGTAGCGATCGTTAATGTTCGACATCTTCTTTGTCCTGTCCTTGTCCTGCTGTCCTTCTTCTCACTTGTGTTGATTAAGTTGATTTAGTTGCCGGCTGTCGTTTGATGGATGAATGTTCCTGAAAAAGGTTGGGCTTGTGGATGGAAGATTGTGTTGATTAGGAACAAAAAAGAAAGAGAAGGAATGGGAGAGATGATGTTGTCGATAATAATACAGGTGCGAGAGGTGAGAGGGGTGCGAGAGGTGAGAGAGAGAGAGAGAGAGAGAGAGGAGAGAGTGGAGAAAGAGGAATGAGTGTGTGTTGATGAGTGACGGGAGAGGAGAAGAGGGAGAAGAGAGCGATAAACGAAGGAGGGAGAGAGTGCGAGATAAAGAGAGGAAAATGAGGCAGGATAGAGAGAGGGAGGAGGAAGGGCGGATAAGAAGAACCGGAGTGAAGGAGAAAGAAGGACGAGTGAAGAGGAGAAAGAACGACGAGCGAAGAGGAGAAAGAATAGTCCACAAAGGACACAAAGAGGTAAAAAAAAAGGTAAAGTGGGAAAAGAAAGAAGCGGTTGACTGTTTCCTGTGGCTGAATGTGTGGATACATTGGCTTAGTCCGAATTCAAAAATACATCCGCTAATAATGGATGGGGCACGATGCTTTGCCTTACTTGCTCGCTTTCTTTCTATGTATTAGCAATTGAACTAAAAGCGCAATGCATACAGAGCATGCATCCACTCTGGATGTCCCTTTTCTTTTTCTTTTTCTTTTTCTTTTTCCTCTTCCGCCCATCCTCCATACCATTAAAATGGTGGCAATAGTTGAGCCTATATTCTTCCCAGGGGTCAATCACAAACAACACCTGATGCTCTTCAACCCATCATCACCCTAGAAACCCCCTCCTTCTTTTCTTCACCCTTCTCGCCGAACCCTGGTAACTCGCATAATCCTCACGTCCTTCACTCGAACTAAACTACTCTTGGACCCCTTTCTTGCCTTCTCCTTGTCACTTTCCCATCTCTCGGTCATCGTTTTTTCAACTCAGAAAAAACTAACCCCTACCACACAAACCCTGAACTCCGCGAAAAAAGGACCCCTTACACAAGGCTTGGGCCTCATTCATTTTTCCCTCTCTCTCTTTTTTTTTTCCGCCACACCACAGCCAGCCCTCTTAGTGTCTGATCACCATGAGGTCACTCCATACAATGCACTTTGCTTGTGTAGCATAACAACAACCAAAAGAAGACAAGAAGCGCAATAAACATGTCAGAGCCTTCCCACATCCACAACCCGGAAAAATCGCACATCCGGAGGAGAAGAGAAAGTACATTCTAGAGCTACTTCTTATTCGTTAAACGCTAATGCCTTGAGTTTCTATCAACAAACAACAAACAAAAAAAATCAGGAGCCAGGGACCCTTTTTTTCCTTTTCGTACAGTACTTGTCTGTTCGATATGCTTTCGTCCCATTGTGAGCAAAACAAGAAAGAAAGAGAAGAAAAAAAAAAGGGGGGAGAGTTTGCTGTTGTTGTGTTCTTGTTCTCTCCTTCCTTGATACACATAACTCAAGGAGGGACTGAAAGGATGCTTCAAGGAGACAGAGAGAGGAGCCAGGGAAGACGAAGACGAGATTTGAGTAGGGGGTTGGTTGGACATCTGGGAGCCAGAAACGGAAATAAAGACAAAAAAAAACAAATAGCCCAACAGCCAATTGCTTTTCAAGGAGAGGAACAAGAACAAAGCACAAAAAGGAAGAGAAGGATCGAGGAGTGAAAGGCAAGGGAAGGACGAATAGTCAAGGAGACAGCTCCTGTCGGCCTATGGTTGTCGGTATATGGCGTGTTACTTTTGTCTTGGCTTCTGCCCTCTTCGGCTGATCTCCAAGGCTTTATGACTCTTGGCAAAGCAAAAGCCAATTCCATCCGTTGACAAAGTGGCCAGATTGACCAGAGATGGGGTGTCACAAGAGAACCACCTTTTGGGTACGTCATGGTGGATACAAGGAATGAAGGGAACAACAAAAAAAAGGGAGGGTTCGCACAAAAGGAGCGAGAAAGACATTCTCCTTACCCCATCATTGGAGAATACTTCCAGGGCCAAAGACCATCGTCATCACCCCTTGTTACTCTTCTCTGCACTACACCAACGCCGACCTCCTTTTACAAGAACTGAAACCAATTGTATATACATTTCCTATGATCTACAAAGCACCCTTCCTTCCCTCTAATTGTTTAGTTGACGAACAGGAATCGCAAGTCCTCAGGTGTTAATCGAGCCAATGCTCCTGGATCCTTGCCTAGAAGAAGTAACAGCATGAGAATAGACACCTGAATTAATACAAAAGTGTCATTTGAGAGCACATTCCACACCACAAAAAGAGAAATGATCTGATAATTATATCTCAGCCAAACACAAAAAGAAAAAAAAGAAAATGGCATGGTGGAACCTTCGCGCATTATTGGATAAAAAAAGGCAGAAAACCTTACCGATGGTGCTGTCAACCATAGCCTGCTTCTTCTCTTGGAGCTGCAAAATTCTGCTCTCAATCGAGTTCTCGATAATCAGACGTGTAATCACAATCGGCCGGTACTGACCGATACGATGAATACGATCCATCGCTTGCAGCTCTATTTTTTTTCACATCGAACAACAATCATTTAAGAACATGGTCAGTCGTGTTTATCTACAACCATGCACGTGTATATACTCAATAAAGTCAAAGGGGGACGAACCTGCGGCAGGATTCCACCAAGGATCACAGATAAAGACGCGACTGGCGGCAGTCAAGTTCAATGCAACACCGCCTGCCTTCAACGAGATCAAGAACACAGTAACCGTGGGATCATTCGAAAACTTTTTGATCGATGCATCGCGCTGGAACGGCGTCATATGTCCATCCAACTTCACACACTATTTACATCAATGAAAAACAGCACGTACGAAAAGGGCGCATCGTGTTAGGTTTCCTGCAATCTATCATTGGCTGCATCTTTTTCTCATGCATTTCATTCGTATCACCAAGCAAAATACCTTGAAGCCAGCCTTCTCAAGACGCCACTTGATCAGATCCAAGAACGTGACAAACTGCGAGAAGCAGATACTCCTACAAGCCCATGCGTTGTAAAGCTGGCGATGTTAGAACCTGTGACAAACAAGATATGGCAAAAGACGTGTGATAAAAAGAAGGTAACATACTTGGTGGAGCGATCCTCGCGCTGGAGTTTGTAAAGATGCTCGACAAGGGCCTCAATCTTGGTAGAGCTGCGCCAAGTGTCCATGTTGATGCGGTTGACAATCGAGGTACGAGCAAATGTCTTGTGACGAATCTCTTCATCAGCCTCGGTCTCGTCCTTCACATACGTCGGTTGCTCAAGGTCAATCGACAATGGAATATGGCAGACAGGGCACTCTGGTGCTTCAATCGACGAAGACGTGATGTATTGGTCTGCGTCCTCACGACAGAACAGGTGATGGCACTTGCTGACAATCGGGTCTTCAGCCTGTCGTGCGGTATATTGGGGTACAAACGGGAGCTGTTAGGGAGAATTCACAGCAGAGACATGTATGTACCATAAAAACAATAGAAGGGTACCTCTTCTTGGCAGATGGAGCAAACGAGGGTCTCGGGGAGGCCGACCTGGCCAGGCTTGACCTTCTTGAGGACAAGATCTGGATGGTCGACCATCTGTCTCATCTTGGTCAGCAACTCGAAAATATTCGCATAGTTGTTGAGCACTGTGCCTTGCTCCACATACGTTGAGAACTTGCGCTTGGTGTCACTAAAGAGAGACTCGTACAAGTCCTCCTCCTCTTCGTTGAAGAGGTAACGGCTGACGGTCATCTTACGTGGTGGCAAGCCTAAATCGTCAGCTCGCTCGACTTTGGTTCTTCTCAGCATGATGCGATCCAGGAGATTTCGCAGCTTGTGGAATGCCTTTTCACCTGCACCTTGGCTGCCAAAGTGCTGGATTGGTTTCAGGATCTCGTTGTTCCACCAGCAAGAGTGGCTATGTAGTACATGCAACGAACATACGAACATTGGGTCAGCCCTCAGTCTTTAGCAGCAAGTATGTATGATGTGAAATAAATGCATGATGTAAAAGCAGCTTACTCCATGGGTCTATGGCCGCAGTCATCGCAGTCTTTCATGTTGCTGTATTTCCAGTGCAGCGACTTGCATGGACACTTCCTGCAATAATAGTATCTACACGGTTTTAAGAAGGATAGACATAATATCAGCACACAGCTGTCGTTTGGAGGACGTCTCTGGTAGGAACAAACACGAGAGCAACTTACCCAAAAGGATCAGCTTGCATGAAGCGAATAAGAGAGTAGAGCTCTCCAACGCGGTTCTGCATGGGTGTGCCAGACAGCGACCACTTCCTATCAGACAGCAGCGCAAACTAACATACCAAAAACTTTTGTTACAAAACAAAACTAAACAAAATAAAAACACTGCACAAGTAACACGAAGCGATTACAAAGATGAGGAAAGGTACTTACAGCAGATCGAGCAGTGTTGCACGAACGCTCTTTGATGTTGTGGGCCTCGTCAAGGACGATGCGGTGCCAATTGATGCGGTGCAGCAACGAGTCCTCCTTCACAGTCACATCCTTTTTCCTCACACCATACCTTTGCTTTCGGTAACCAGCCTCAATAATCGAGTCTTTGAACACGCAATAAAGAACATATGAGAACGTTACTACACCTACCAAGTCACCTCATCATATCAAGAAACGGCAATGGCAAAAGACGAGGAGACTTACAGGTGGTGAGGACGACGTCTTGCTTCATGAGCTCGGACATGCTCTCGGTACGGTTGCTGCCGTGGAAGATGAGGACTTTGAGGGAGGGAGCGTGCTCTTGGATCTCGTTTCTCCACTGCACAATGGCAACAGTAGGCGCGACGATCAAGTTGGGCTTTCCAGGCTCTGCCAGCAACAGAGAGATCATCTGGATCGTCTTGCCCATTCCCATCTCGTCCTATTTGCAAAGGGGTAACGGGCATACGTGTAGATAGTGTGTGTAAGTAGCGAGTGGCTGATGTCTGACAATAGGAAAAATGATCAATTGGTGTGAAACAGGTTTAGAGAATGAAAGGAGAGACTTACAGCGAGGATGCCGCCCTTGAACTATTGTCGGACAAAATTAACCGTTATGGCAAATGATCAGTAAGTGGGGACAATACAACTCTTTACAAGAACTAATACGCTAAAGGGGTAAAAAAGATCTCAGGTGTCATACCTGTGTATTTTCTTGCTTTCGCATCCACGCCAGACCCTCACGCTGGAAGGGCAAAAGGGTCAGCTTGAGGCCTTCAGGTTGGTCCGCCAACTCGGGAGCAATGACCCTGACCTTGTCGAGTTCATCCCAAACAGTTCCCAGCTCGGGATGCTGCTCAATCAACTGCATGTTGACCTTCTCCATCTATTCAACGAACAATTATGCGACCAAAAACAACCATACAATTAATATCAACTCGCAAATGTCACTAATGAAACCAACGTGTGAATGGAGAATGAGTAGAGATAATTACCCATGTCATTCTTGGTTGAGCAGTGCGAGCAGCCCGACGACGACGAGGAGCAGGCGTTGGAGCAACATCTGACTCGGAGGATGAAGACGAGCTGTCAGAGTCGGCAGACTCAGAGTCCTCATCAGACTCTTCAGAGACAACAGATGCGTCGCTATCGTCATCACCATCGTCATCGCTCTCCTCGATCTGAGCAGCGACAGCGACAGCGGCTTTCTTGGAGGCAGCGCGGGTAGGCTTCGTCTTTTGGATCTTGGCAGCAGGGCGGGCGACAGCAGCCTTAAATGACTCCTTCTTGACAACAACCTTGGTGGCCTGGGCTCTTGTCAGTCTAGCTCTGCGAGTAGGTGCAAGTGCGGCCGAGCTATTTTGGACAGAGTCGTCATCTTCGTCTTCCTCCTTTTTGACAACACCATCATCTGAGGAAGACTCTTCCTCCTTGACGGCCTCCTCAGCCTTGACCTTGACATTCCGAGTGACCCTAGCAGAGCTCCGAGTTCGCTTGACGCCCGGGAGAGCAACCTCAAAGTCGATTGCCCGCCGTTTTCCAAGAGCAACAGTACTAGGGAGGATGGCAGTAGAGGGCTCAAAGTCGTCTTCATCATCGTCGTCGTCACCGTCACTGGAGACAGGGGCGACTTTACCCTTCTTGTCGTCCTGATCGTCGTCAGAGTTGAGGTCAAGTTTTGTGAGGGAGAGACTCGTGTTTGGAGAGGAGGATTCAGAGCTCATTTGACTTTGGGGTGCCGACGAGACGACGGAGGAAGGGGTAGACTGCTGACTCCGCAGGGTGGTGCGAGTGGTTCTTGTGGCCCCTGCGGCAAACTTTGGCTTTGGTGGCATCGTCGAATGTTAATTAAAGGACGAGAGGGAGTAAGAAGAAGAGATGAATGAACGCTTTTGGTTGTTGATTTGATGGATGCAAGAAGTGCAAAAGTCAAGGAAGGGTCAACTGAGGAAGGGGAGAGGAGAAAAGGCGGTGGAAGAAAGAGAAGGAAGAAACCAAAAAAAATAAAAAAAAGGGTCTACGGCGGAATAAAAAGTTAAGAGAGGAACATTCGACCGCCGTTGCCACCAAATGTGCTCTTCATACTCCTCAGAGATTCCTCAAGAAAGCAGTCGCTCCTTCGCCCTTAATTGCGTTCATTCCAACCCACTTTGGGCAAGAACGCACATACGCTTCTTTCTCGTCTTGCCCCGTCTTGCAATCAACAACCTCTGAATCCAGGATGCCAGCAAGACCATCGTCACCACCAGCGTTCACAAACAACCCTGCTTCTATTGCAGGGTCGACTTCAACAACTTGCCCCTCCTTGCTGCCAACATCACCCCTCAGGATCCCAGAGATCCTCACCAACATCCTCTCTACATTAACGAAACCCCAACTCGCAACATGCTCAACCGTCTCGCGTGCATGGAGACAAGCGGCGATCCCGTTGCTCTGGTCATACATTGACTACACACCTCATAACCCCGACTTCATGACCTTGCTCGCCAATTATGGCCACCATGTTGTTTATCTGGATCTCTACCTCGTCAACACGCCGCCTTTTGTCCCACCCCCTCACGTCACCTTGAGTAAGATCCTAAGCGCGACTCCTTTTGTCAGGCACCTTTATCTCAAGTCGTCTTCTCCAGGACAAGGAGCGGCGCCGACTGTATTGGTGGACGCAACCAGCAAAGTCTCATCTATCCTGACTGTGATCTCGGACACGGTCGCTCATCAACTGGTTGCCCTCAGGCTGGATATTGGGGATCTCGCAGAACAGGATGCCAGGACATTCTTCCCGACTCTGAGGGCGCTCCGGGAGCTGGAGCTGACCGGATGCAGACAGCACGTGGTGGACGCTGTTGTGGACAGTGGGCTGCGGTATCTCATCAAGGTTGTCTTTCTAGATGGCGCAGGAACCACCCCTAGAGTTCATACCACTGAAGATGGCGTGTTTGGCGACGTGTCAATCGAGGAGCTTGGGAAATCGTTCCCGGGCCTGCAAACCTTGGGTATCTTTAACAACAATCGCATCACGCTCTCAGGCTTGACTGGATTCGCGGATCATTGCAAGACGTTGACCCGCTTTCAGCTACAGTGCTGTCCCTATGTCGGGTCTGACGAGATATCGGCTTTGATCAAGGCATCTCCTGGTCTGGCGCATGTATCTCTGGGACACTCATCTGCGAACGATTCGATCTTGATGGATCTGGCATCATCACTTGATCGCGCATCGCGTCTGCGGAGCCTATCGGTATCCTTCTCACCACTCATCACAACAGCTGGCATCCGAACTATTGTCGACTCTTGCTTCGGATTGGAAGAACTGGACTTTGAACTGTGCCCGAGAGTGACACTGGATGTCTTTTCGGAACCGGCCTGGGTGTGCCTTGGACTAAAGGTGCTGAACATGAGCAACATACACGGTGGATCCACGTCCTCGGTCGACAGTCGCAGGGCTCGATCTGGACTCGACCCTACGCTTATGTTCTCCTTCTCACTTACCGTCTGTTGTCTCAAGGACATGTATCATCAACTCGGTCGACTCTCGCTGCTTCAAGAGCTGGACATGTGCGGACTCCCATTTCGGCTGAATCTGATGGATCAAGGCAGGGATGCTATCGAGGGTCTCGAGCGCCTACGAATCTTGCGTCTGTCGGAGGAAACCTTTCCACTGGAGCCCAAGGATGTGATATGGCTGGCGACTCGGCTGTCCAGACTTCGCTGGCTTGAATTGGGTGAGGAGTCGATCAGAAATCACTCTCGCAAGATGTTGATGGAAGTCAACCCGGACATTCGGATCTTTATTGTGGATAGGCGGAACCATTCTAGGAGGGCTCTTCAGAGACATCGTCGACTCACGGAACCGCCTATCCCCGACCCGCCGAGCTCGACGTTTGAAAACGACTGGGTGTACGACGAAGATGAGGAAGTCGACGAACTAGACAACAATGACTTGGGGGACGACTTTTTAGACGAGGATGGTCCAACCTCGGCAGGCGGCGGCGATATAAGTGATGACGATGATGATGAACCACAAGGGATGGATGGACTGGAGTATGAACACCTAGGCCACATCGAATTCACACCACCACATCCACCTGACGCCGAAACCGACAGCTACGGAGATGACAACAACGAAGATTACGATGAGGACCCTGATGCGTTTGGAGCCGGTCTGCTGTACAGGTACGGTAGTAATGCGTGCCCTGCAGACTATAGCGCGAGTTTCGGCGGTAGTCACGACTATTCGGAGGACGAAAGCGACCACGATGAAGACTATATTGCTGTCGAGCAGTCTCCTGGACGTTCTTCTTACCCACCATCGGACCCCGAGCTGGAAGCTGAAGACGAAGAGTCAATGGAGTCCGATGACGAAGAGTCAATGGAGTCCAATGACGAGGAGTCCATGGGTTCAGACGACACAGGGCTTATGGGTTCTGATGACGAGGTACCTTACGAAACTGACGACGGAGACTCCCTGGCGCCTGATGAAGAGGAGCCTGAGGAGCTTGACCATGAAGAGTCCTACGAACCTGAAGACGAGAACTCCTTGGATTCCGAGGACGAGGAAGAACCTGAGGATGGAGGAGAAGATGAGATTACACCAAGTCCTTCTCAGATGAGTTGGTTAGGTCATGACGACGAAGTGCAGGACGACTTTGATGATGATGCCTACCATCCAGCACAAGCTGAAGCGGCCTTCCTTGCACAGCAGACTGAGGAGGACTTTTATGACGAGCAGGCAAGAGAGGCGTACGAGATAGATCGGAGCCGTCCCGAAGCCGAGGCTGAGTACGAGTGCGACCTGGAGCAGGTCTACCTCAAAGCCGATGCTGAGTACGAGAACGAACTAGAGCGGGCCTATCTCGAAGCCGAGGCTGAATACGAGAACGAACTAGAGCAGGCCTATCTCGAAGCCGATGCCGAGTACGAGAACGAACTAGAACAGGCCTATCTCGAAGCCGATGCCGAGTACGAGAACGAACTAGAACAGGCCTATCTCGAAGCCGATGCTGAGTACGAGAACGAACTGGAGCAGGCCTATCTCGAAGCCGATGCTGAGTACCTTATGGCCAAGGCTGAGCCGGACAGCGAAGACCAGCAGGAAGCCCTCGCAGCCCAGGCTTGGCAGGAGGACGAGGAGGAACAAGAGAGTCTTGAGGCTCCTGCCGAGTTCTTTGCATATCAAGCCCTACCAAGATTCTATATGGAACAGGATAGCTCGCAGGAGTATGATGAACAGGATTCTAGCGACGACGAGGACATTAGTCAGGACGATGGACACTCGGACTTGGACACTGTCGACTCTCTACTGGACCAAGATGATGACACCGACCAGGATGATGACGACGAAGATCCTGAGCAGGTCAAGTATGGTTATGATTGGGAGCAAGAGAGTGATGCTCTTTTTGCGCTGGACCCGGATATATACTATATGGATAGCGAGCAGAACAACATGTCTACTGAGGGTGATATTACGAGCTCTGAGCGATTCGACAGCTACGACGATCCTGACTCTGATGATGATGACGACGATCGACGTGCGGATCTGGACCAGGATGACAGCGACTATGGCCAGTACGAGAGTGATAGCGTCGACTGGGCTGACCAGGACGACGATGAGGGTGACGACTTTTCGGACGAGAGTGGCACCGATGTGGTCGTTTGGGATGAAAACAGCGATGATGGTGGCGGAGTTGATCAGGATGATGGCCGTGAAGATGAGGGTATCTACCAGGACGACGAATCTGACGAGGACCTGTGAGGTCTTTGAGTGAGTTAGCTTCGGTCGTCTAGGGCTGGTGAGATACTTGGATTTTGGGCGCATCTGAGTGTTCTCTCCTCTCTCTGTCACACTTTTGTTCCATTCTAGCGACTCTCTCTCCCGAACATAAAAAACATATCTAACAAATCGCGCGTGTATTCTTCTTGACAATGAAAAATTCATTTCAATGCGTATCGATATTGGTTTCAAAGAAAGGTTTCCAGATTGACAGTTAAATGAGCAAACAAAGTTAGTAGTTTTATTTTACTAGCAGCAAAAGCAAGCGATGACAAGACATCCACCATCCCTCCATCTTAAGAATGAACAGAGGTAGCATGATGGTGATGTTGTTGTTGCTGATGCTGATGCGCCTGCTGTTGTTGCTGGGCCTGCTGCTCCTTATGCTTCGTAATCAGCTTCCTGACATACGCACCCACAGGCTGATGGCCCTCCTGGGTAATACAAAGCATCTTCCTCTTGGAATCCGACCACTGCACAACGCCCAATTCACTCGCATACTCGAGCGTGCTCTCAAAGTCCTGCTGTCGATTAAACTGCGAGTAGTTCCATGAAGGCGCCGCACGGAGTCGGTTCTTTTCGATTTCCCACAGGCGGATCTGATCAACGACGGTGAGGGGCAAGACGGGGGAGTGTTTCCGCATTTGTGCGTGGGCATGGGCGGAGAGGTAGGTGATGATTTGTTCGGCGGTGATGCCGTTCGAGAGGGCTCGACGGATACTGTCCCGAGTGACGACGCCTGTTACCATGTTGGGAAATCGGTCTCTCAAGTGGACAAACAAGTTCAACACTGCAATCTGCAACGGCGAATCTATTTTCATCGATATAACAAAAAACGATACACAATGTTAGCAGCCAAACTACAAAACATCATTGATGCAATTGAAACGTGTAGATCTAAAGAGACATACCGGTGTAGGCGTAGACGCGGTAGTTGGTTTCGATGACAATGAATCCATGCCCATCCTCTTCCTCCTCTTCAGTCTTCCTGACAGCAGCAGCCGCAGAAGCCGCATTCTTGGTAGCATTCGAATGTGACCCCAACATAACCGGCGTTCCAGACGTCAGCGTTGTCGCAAGTCTCGTAGGATAATACCGTCTGCTCCCGCGTTTCCTCTGATACACAATTCCATACGCCTTCAAGTCCTCCAACAGATGTGTCTGCGACGGCGTCAACTTCTCAGACGAATAATCGTTCCCCAACTCGAGCGAACCCAACTGGAAAAAGAACGTCAACACCTCGACCAGATCCATATTCAAACTCTCCGCCATATTCAAGTACTGGAGCAAAAACGCCCACACCTGAGTGTTAATATCCTGGAGCAAGAACTGGAACCCTTTGTTGGTAATAGTGGGAACTCCGAAATCTTGTCGCGCCATCTGACTCGCAAACTCGCGGGCGTCCATGTTCTCTGCCTGCTGGGCGTTCGATCCTCCTGTCATGAGACCACTCCTTCCCAAAAGGTTCAGGACTCCCTTGCAGGGAGGTTTGCCCTCTGTGGTTCCCACCATGAAATGTAAGATTGCCTCCCATTGCTTTGTTGCATAGTCGTCCAGGAATGCAATATCGACGTGATGCTTGTCGGGCGTCGATGTTGCCAGTCCAAAACTCTCCGAGTTTCCTCTATATGAATGCAACATACGATGACAGTTAGTTCCGCCTCTTTATGTCGTAGACATTAATAATTTGCTAATAAGTGGAGAGTGTGACATACCCTCCGGTCAAAGCATTTCTGAACTCTTGTAGAAACGTAGGGTTCATCTTGTAGCTGTTGTGTTGCTCCGTGAAGACATGCAGCGCCTTGAGCCTTGCCATTGCCTCCATTTGCTTTCTATTATATAATATGACAATTACAACAAAAAAGGTCAGCCTCCGATTCGTGCTTATGTCCCGCGGAGAAAAAGTCAAATCGATCCGCGGTAGGTAATGCCTCCCACCAATATGCGAAAAGCTGTGATAGATGTAGCAAAAGACACAAATACGAAAGACGTACGTAATGCCAGCGCCATCCTTAAACCAGAGCCGCATCTCGTTGAAGGGGATGGGCTTATCGACATAGAGACAGGACATGATGATTTGTTTCCCGAGTGGTGGCAAAAGGCTACAAACGACAAAAAGCACAGAGTCAAAAATTAATATCTGTATCATTGTCACTCCATAGCGTCAAAGCGCCAAAGCAAAGAAAGAAAGTCATACCGGAAGATAGCGAGACATGTTGCAGGCTTTTGGTAGAGGCGGTTGAAGGTGTGTTCTGGCAGGGTTTCGAGGTACTCGTGGATGGACGTCTGGAACTTTGACATTGCTGTTAAGTGTTGCTATGATTGCGAATATGTGCTGGCCTGGTGTTATGAATCCTCCTCTGTATTCGCCTTGTTGACTAGTTTCCTGTCCCTGTAGTGTTGACTGCGTAAGTTAAAAAGTGCTTCAAGTGTCTTTTGAGTTCTTCTGCAAGAGAAGTAGTGTTGAAGCAAGAGTGGTCGACAATGAGGATGAACATGGCGTGTGCGGTGCTTTTTCAACCAGAAAAGAAAGGGGGAAACAACTCACAGTCTCACTCACTGGCTGGAAGCCGGCTCGGTGGCTGATTCCTGCACGTGACTATTGAAGGCTTATCCTTTTTTTCTTTTTTAGACACCCAGCAACCCAGCAGGGCAGACGCGCTCGTTCCTGAACCTAGCTTGTCTTGAACGCAAATGAAACTATCGTACCTGGAGAATGAGGAAAACGATACTTGAAGTAGAAGTAGGGGGAAACGCGCCAAGATGAGCGTTCAAGAGCGAGCTTGTCGAAAAGAACATTATCATTTTGTCTGTTGACAGGTCTGACACAAACGAGATAAATGGCTGAGTAGAAAAAAGAGGCTAAAGCGTAAACTAGGTGAAATATCTAAATGGTCGACGCATGTGCATAAGATGGCGGCGTCTAAGCACAGAGACGGGGCTTTGCTTTTTACAAGGGTTTTTGAAGAAGGGGAAAGAAAAATAAACATTCAGGAGAGCACCCTGACCTGTGAGAGAAGTGCTCTTTGTCTTTGACTGAGGAGAAGAACCAATTCTTTCTCAGAGTCCGATATGAAGTGTTGCTTGTTGACGGCGACTACGCACTTTATTCGATGCATTCATGTGTGGCATGCGGCTCATCAAGGTTCAAAGGGAGAAGGGAAAGGGAGGGAAGAGAGGCGATGCTCACTCGTCCATCAAATAATTAAAAAGGGAAGGGGGAAGAAATGTGCCTTTTCCTTTGTTGACAGAAAGGTGAAGAGGCGACAACGTGCGCCTTGCCTCAACAACAATGGCAAACGACAACGAGCAACAACAACTACTACTACAACTACCAACAGCTACATCAACCAAAGAAAAGAAAGGAGGCGATAACAGTTCTTCCCCTGAACAGCATCTTCTGTCTGTTAGTTGTTTGCTGCATGCACCATTCACCAAGGCAGAAGACAGACAGATGCAGCAGGGGTCTAGACCCCTTCCTTTTACTCGATCCCCATGTGTCCATTTGGTACCCTTTGTGCCTTTGTTGCTGTTTGTCTTTTTATTTCGTCAACGTCAACAGTACTTGAAAACTCTTTCTCTCCTCTCTTCCTTTTCCTCTTCTCTTTTCCTTTTCTTTGTCCTCTACCATTCTTCCCCTCGCCACCCCTTCCATCCTCCTTCCTTCCTCCCTCCTTCCTTCCTCCCTCCTTCCTTCCTTCCTTCCTTCCTTTTCCTCTTGACGTCCCTTTGAGCTCCTCCCCACTCCCCCTTGAACACACCTCCCTTCCTCCTTCTCATCCCCCCTCCCTTTTACTTTCCCCCTCTTTTAAGTTTAGCCGTTACTTTGCCATTCTTTCATTCATTCATTCATTCACACCTTCCTCTCACTTTCATTCCCAATGTCCACAAAGACAATGACTTCGGCTGTGATGCTAATCGCATCCACACTCCTCATCCTCCTTACCCTCCTCCCTACCGCTTACTCCCAACTCCCCGCCTCCGTCCCCCTTCCGGTCGAACAATTCGCTTTCGCCCGCGCAGGACCAAAAGCCTATATGATTGGCGGCGAATTCGTCGAGAACGGCACAACAAAGGCCATTTATGGCCAAGTCTTCTCCCTCGACCTCACCGTAGCCTGGAAGACTGCCTCCCCTCCCTGGCAGGCACTCGCCCAAGTGTCTCCTGTGTACTTTATCAACGCCGTCGCTGCACCCGATAACCAGTCAATCATCGTCGTCCAGCGGGGGACGAATGAGTCGCTTAGTTTCCCGACATACCGGATTGCGAACAATGCCTGGGACGCAAACCCGGTGAACTTGAGTCCTGTCCAGGAGAGTCGACAAGGTATCAAGCCAGTTATGGATCCGCTTACAGCGAATATCTATATGAACGCATGGACATACCTTGACGTCTTTAACACCATATCGTCGAACTTTCAGTTCCTGAGTATGCCTGCGTACACTTTCACGTCGAGGTTCTTTGCGGGGTCTTGTTATAACGCTGCCAGACGGTCGATCATGTACTTTGGAGGTCTCAATGGGTCCATCCAGTTTGACCCTGCGGCCACCTATGTTTCGGAGTACTCTATCTCGACTTCCCTTTGGTCCAACTTTGTAAGAGAACCCTGTCTGTCCTTTTTAACGTCGTCTGTTTTTTATCAATTTTGGGCCAGCAATTGAACGCTTTGTGCTCGCACACTTACTTACTCCCTGTCTTTTTATCCGTGGCATTCATAACAGACGGCATCAGGCATACCTCCGGAACCAAGGTCAGATTTCTGTATGGCGGCCAGCGAGGATGGGAACAGAGTGGTCGTCTTTGGAGGACGCATCGCACCCAACACCACCGTCAACCCACCCGCCAACTTTACAGGATCCCTCTACATCCTTGACACTGTCGCCCGGCAATGGACAAAGGGACCTGATAGTACTTTGAGGTCTTATATGGGCTGTCTTATTGTTGGAGACCAGCTCTTGGTCTGGGGTGGATCGGATGGAGTCAACACTTATACAACGCCGCCGATTATCTTTGATTTCGTGACAAACCAATGGGTAGATACTTATACCCCGCCGAGTTATTTGCTGAATTGGGCAAAGACGACGACCACTCTTACCGGAAGCGCTCAACCAACGACGAATTCTGCACCCCTGGGACCTCCAACCGACTCGCCGGTAGCGAAATCCGACAACCTGGGTGCGATCCTTGGAGGCACTTTTGGAGCATTGTCTGTTATTGCGATTTCTGCTATGGTCTACCTATTTCTGAAGCGACGCGAGGACAAGATCAAATATGGCGCACCCTCGGATCAACAGTCCAGTGTGGACGAGAATGGCGAGATGTCCGTCTCGCCCGCTTACCTCCACTCCAACAACTCTACCAACTCTTCCCAAAGGAACCCCCATCGCCCCCAGAATGGTGATGGACGTGGCCCACAGGATGCTTCAGGAATTGGGTATAGCGGGGATACTGTATCTCACCTCGGACAAGACCCAAAGGCTGGCGGCGGTATCTACCCTGTAGAAGCCTCGTCCCATGCGTTTGGAAATACTGCCATGACTTCCCCGCCAACTATGCTGGTCCCCAACTCTTCCTTCATCCCAGTCAGCGGAAACGCAGCATTCGTCCAACCCAACCAAGCCATCTACGCCGCAGGCCCCGACAACGGAATGTATCAAATCTACAACAACCAACCTCTGATACAAGGACGAGGAATCCAGACTGTCGCCCCTCCAGGAGCGACCTTTATCACAAATGAAGGTCAACCTATGATGGTCTCGTACGGAACCCCAGTCTACACCTTACCGATGGATTCCACTGGTTTGAACGGACACTACCCTACCCCCCCTGTTGGCTTTACTCCGCCCTTTGCCCAACCTGGATTCGCAAACCATTCGTCATCATCTCTGAACGGATCTTACACACAAGCCTACCCCATCACGTCTCCTCCACACTTCACCGCCAACTACAACAACGTCACCCCTCCTCCAGTCAGCACCGCCCCGCCACCAACATCTCCTCCTACATCAACACAGCCCCACTTCGCAACTTTCAATAACACGACCACAGCACCCATCAGCCCAGCAACAATCACCGGCAACAACCAAACCGCGCCCCTACAACCCATCACAACTACCGGAAACTACAGCCCCACAACCTCAAACTTCACAACCGCCTCCTCCTCCCACAGCGCTTCTGCCACGACCAACAACCCAGGCACACCTCCTAGTTTGGCATCCCTCCCTCCACGACCTACATCGAGTTCCAACTTGCTCGCGAATGCTGCTGCTCCCGGAAACAGTGGTGGTTCCAGGAATACTAGTCCGCTTGCGGCGCGGGCTGAGAACTCCAGTTATGTGCGGCCGCCTCCTACCTCTGGTGCCAATCCTTTCTAATTGCCGATAAACTATTACCGTCGCTTTTTGTGAAAGGAGTAAATATTTTTTTAATACCTTAATCGTTTCGTACTATTAAAAACACTTGAATGCAAAACAAGAACACATCCAGAAAAGGCGTTGCAGTAAGGTCATGGCCATCGTGCGCACTGCAATGAAGAGAAGCACTAATGTTTTTGCGAACAATGTCCTGTCAGTCATCTTGGCAGTTCATTACAATCTGGTTTGGTTCTGGAGAGGAAAAGGGGTTTTATAAAAATATGGGAGATGTTGGTAGATATGGATACAAAAGTACATGAGAAGAGAATGAAAGAAAAATAGAAGTGAAGTACAAGAAAAGTGTGGAGGATGGGTTGTTGTTGTGAAGAGTACAGAATGCTATGCTATGCTACATGTGTTTTTGTTTTTGTGATTGATTGATTTTTTTGTGGTTTTTGTTGGGTATTGTAAAACGAGAGAGGAGAAATGATAGAAAGCAAATGGACAAGAAAGGCAATGGGACGATGACCAAGAAAAAGCAAAACAATGATAATATCAAAAGGAAAGAAGGTAATGGAAAGAGATCTTCACTCAAAAGGATAAAAAGAAAACAAAAAATGGCAAGAAGAAATAGGGGATGGGGCCTTGGGGTGGAGAATGCTGAGACCGCGATGTGATCTAGATTAAAAATAAAAGTCAATACGACGAGCGGGGCGTCTGCGAATCGGCGCCGAAACGATAAGTTCCACATTGACGATGACAGACCCTCGGTGGTCGGAGATGAGTCGAGGTAGGTTGGTCGGTTCGCGCAAGCTGCCTGGGATGGACGTTTCAGGCTGTGAAGCTGCTGAGAGTGGGGTGCAGAAGAGAGTGGCGGCTCTGAGGGTGAAGGGACGATCGATTCGCCTGTTGCTCCAGCGGTTGCCTCTGCTGTCACTCCTGTCCCGGCTGCCTCTCCTACTCCGGCCCCACCGATCGATGATGACGCCATAGTTTCTGATGGATGACTGGCTTGCTCGATGTCTCGGACTGGCTCACGACGTCTACCGTCTAGATGAGTATGGTTGATACCAGTAGCGACAGTCTTGGGTGCAAGCGACGCAAGCTCCGATGCCAAAGGAGGGTCTGAGAGAAGCATAGGCGAGACGGTGGTGAGGGAAGGTTGGCAAAGGGCGAGGATGGCTGAACACGGCAAGGGCATAACAGTCTCTGTCAGGTGGGCGAGGTAACCGAGCCATAGGTTGTACTCGTCCATAGTAGTGACAAGGTGGTAATCGATGCCCTCGAGGAACATCTTCTCGATCAAGCTCACCGGGGCGACAGAGACACCGATTATGTGGGCCCATGGTCCGCAGGTCAGGATCTGGTCGCACTCGTTGGCATACTTCTGGGCAACCATGACGGCGGTGGTGAAGATTTGGTTCTCCGTCTTCTGGTCGTCCTCAGGGTACATGTACGAGTTGAGACTCCAAAGCAGTTTCTGCATGTACTTGAGCGCGAGCATGACTACAGTGTGTGTGTGACCCCGGAGATGTCGATGATTCTACGGCAGAACTTCCAGAAGCTCGGTCTGCGCTCAGTGATGTCCGACTTGGCGGTGACAGCGGCGGCGGAGCCCTTGTGACCATACAAGATGCAGCACGCCATATGCGCGGCGAAATCGTCAACGTGCTCCGCAGACAATCTTGTTCCTGCTTCACCTCGGGGTGTTTCTTGTCCTGGCCCATAACGTTACGAGACGAAGTAGTAGCGAAGATAGCAGCAAGACCAGAAAAGGAGGCCGAAGACGTCATAGTTTTTGAAGAAAAGGTCGGACGCGGTAGACAGTTGTGATATAGGACTGTTATATTGGCGAGGTGGGGAAAGGAAAATGTAAATTGTAGAAGGAGTAGAGAGGTTCTGCTTGCAAGAGTGCAGGCATAAAGTGGAAAGGAGAGAAGAAGGTGGCTTGAGTCAAAGAGGGTTGTTTAGAGTGAGTGAAGAAAGTTGAGGAATGCAAAGGAATGCAATGCAATGCAATGGAATGAGTAAGGCAGAAAAGTGGAAAGTAGAGTGGAGAGATGCAGCTGAAGTAAAGAGTTGCAGGCGCTGAAGAAGGAACGACAAGAACGTGAAGGGAACAAAAACAAAGATCGGAAGGAAGAGAGAAAAGGCAGTCCCATTTGGCTGTTGAAAGCTGAATTTCGCGTGTCTGAGGGGCGATATGCGGGAAGGAACAAGAGGGGGAGGTGGTGCAAGGGAAGAGTGTTGTACTTTCTTATTCTGAACCAGCAACACCATTTTCGTTCTTTTTTTTTCTTTCTTAACCATACACTCATTCATTCACTCAGTTGCTGGTTTAGTCACTCTTACTTACTGGTTTTGTTCTCTTCCCTGGGACAACAAGGAAAGGACAATGTACTCTCTGGTGCCGACAAACTCTCTTTGACCTTAAACCCACCCGTTGAGTGAGTACTAGACAGACATACATAAGGGGAAGCAAATGGAAATATGACTCGACAAAGTGACACAAAGGAGTAGGCGTTTAAGAAGAGTGGAAGTAGGGCAAGGAGTGGACGCGAGAATATTTTTTTTCAAGGTAAAGATGCCCGTCCGGGACGACACATCAATTAAAAGTGGAGCTGTCTAAGTGCTCCTCGTACGTGCACATAGTCTAAACAAATGGGCAGTGGAGCTAAGACTATATCCGTAAGGGTGAACTGGGAGAGGACCAAGGAGTTCGCATATGTGAGATCGATAGAATAAACAAACTAAAATAATAAGGAAGGAGGGAGAATGAAAGGAAGGGATACTAATAGTGAAGTAGACCCCTGAGCTCCGGCTAATCCTTAATATAGGTTGACGGTTGCACCGCAGTCCGCCGTTAGACGATAGATCGGCCAGTACCAATGCTGGTGGGCGGATCAATAGCTGGCGGAAACGTGGGCAGGACGAAAAGTGGATCTCTATGTTGCCAGGGATGGCAAAAATAGCGTCAAGGATAGGGTGGACAAGCCGGTCGATGTTGGGCTTCCTTGTGCTACCCAGTGCGCATTGTGTTCATTGTTGACAATGCGCAGGGGTCGCGGAGAGATCCTGCTTTCAACGCTGACTGAGATGGGAACGGGCACATAGCTAGGATACGCCATCATGGCAATACCTGTTGAAAGGTGGTCGAGTGTTCCTTGCTGGTCAGAATGAGAATTAAAAGTGTGGATCAAAAAGAATAAGAGAAAAAAAGTGCCCCGAGCCAACAGCTCGGTTCGAATTATTGTGTTACGCTACGAAATGGTGATCACAAGAACGCCACCAAAATATTACTCAAAAGGCACTCTCACTCTCACTCTCAATCTCTCGCACTCTCTCTCACTCTCTCTCTCTCACTCCCTTTCTTCCGCCCTCCTCCCGCCTTTCTCATTCATTGGGTCATTTACCCACTCTCTTCCATTTCGAACAGGCACAATCATACTTACACATACATATAGCAAGAACTCACATACAAGAACTTCCATATACAATATTTTCATTTACTTTTTGTGCTTATGGTGATTGGTGTTATTTAAAAAAATTACTATGTTGCCGTCGATATGCTCTTGGCCTCCTCTATTTCCTTCTGCAGTTCTGTTAAGGCCGTGGTTATGCTGCTAGAGAACAGGATATGATGAAGATTGGGTGTGCTGAGGCCAGACTTGCGGTTCAAAGTAAGATACCCGGCCTTGCTGAAGACACGCTCAGCCTTGCACGACGTCGACTGAATGCGTAAAAAGCGTCGTGTAACAGCGGCTATATCGTCGTGAAGGCCTTTGTACTTCCTTCAGATAAGATGAGGGTTGTCCTTGAACTCTTCCAGCTCTTTTGTCATCGTCAACATTGTCACATGCTGTTCATACATGATCAATTTCGCCCACTCTGTTGGCGCGAAGTCCATCGTCTCCAGGACACCATTTCAATCCTACTTTTATAATCCTTGATAAGTTCCTTGATAATAGCCTCCATTGCCCTTTCCTTGAGGGACGTGTCGCTTACGCCCTTCCAGATCTTGTCGTCCAAGAGGTTTGGATCGAAATATATGGCGGCAAGGAGAGTGTTTTGTTGTTGTGTGGTGATACGGACGATCTCCATCTCGGCTTCGTAATCGGCGAACCTCTCGGCGGAAATCGGACGACTATTCAGGCAACCGGGGCAACTGGGGGTGTTGGAGCAGTGACAGTCCAGCGAGATTTGATTCCTGTATCCAGCTCCTTGTAGACGCTCTTACCGAGATATGTCTTCATTTTGGTGAAGTAGGATAGTCGTATGGACGCCTCCAGATACATTTTGGAGATTGTCGATATAGTCGAGGCTCCCATGTTGTTCCCGTATCCGCTGGCTTTTTCCAGAATTAATTCGATATCCTGAAGAGAATCGACTTCCATAACCGACAGAGCGTAACTTTTGAGCTCGTCAAGCTTGATGTGTGCGGGAAGTTGGGCGGGATTTGCGGTGAAGCGGTTGATGATTGTATTAATGTAGTGTCCGAGCTTAATAACTCGTTTGATCATCTCATACCGTGAATTCCAGCGGGTTTCATTCATGGTGATTGGCTCGACGTTGTCGAGCCCTATGTCTTTCTAGCTCCTGGCAAGCGTATCCGCTAAGGCGCCCTTGTTCTTGAACATCCTCGTTATCCTCTTGCACTTGTCCACCAGCGACAAAGCCTCTCCCTTATTCCAGGCGTTGTTGATGGCGATTTGTAATTTGTGAGCAACACATGGGAGCCATGTAGCTCCAGAAGTGCCGTTGAACAGCGACATGCACTTTTTGACGTTGGAGCCTTGGTCAGTCATAGTCAAAACCACGTTGTCCTGAAGATTCCATTCGCTCAAGGAGGTGCCTTTAAGAAAAGGAGAAAAAAAAAAGAGACAGGGGTGGCGAACGGTTAGAAAAAGCAGCAAATATGTACAAAGAATAAATTGTTGTTACATACAACACAGCGTCCTTACTAAGACTCTGTAAAAGAACCTTCGCTTTTTGTTGCGACTCCTTGATCTCGTCCATGCCTACAAGGACCTTGCCCATCTCAAACTCCGGAGTCAAAAGTGATAAATCACGGCTTAAATCACGGCTTAAATCACAGCTTAAAATTTTCTACCATCGTCGCTGGTCCATGAATCCGCCGTGAGCGAGCCGTCGGGACAGTGTCGATGTAGTTCCTCCACAAGTCTACCCCTGGTATCCACTCTTTTACTCTCCAGAAGCTGTCAGAGCGTGTCGTGATCCTGAACATCCAAGGTAGGGTTGGTGTATTTTACAGCCTTCTTGAAAGCCTTGTGCTGGATAATATTCATCGGTATGGATGTCTCAGAAAATACTGAGTCCCTAATAATATGCTCATATTCCTACCTGCTGCTTCTGTTCAATGCCTCCGCGAATGTGTGCTGGCCTGGTGTTATAAATCCTCCTCTGTATTCGCCTTGTTGACTAGTTTCCTGTCCCTGTAGTGTTGACTGCGTAAGTTAAAAAGTGCTTCAAGTGTCTTTTGAGTTCTTCTGCAAGAGAAGTAGTGTTGAAGCAAGAGTGGTCGACAATGAGGATGAACATGGCGTGTGCGGTGGGAGCTGGCTTGGACGCTGGATTCTGCACGTGACTATTGGAGGCTTATCCTTTTTTTCTTCTTTAAAGACAAGCTGGGTTCAGAGAGAGACGCGATCTGTGCCTGAAAAAACACGCGAGTGAAACTATCGTTCCTCCGAAGAACGAGGATGACAACAATTGAAGTAGGAGGAAACATGCCAAGTTGCATGTTCAAGAGCGAGCTTATCGGAAAAAACGTCATCATTTTGTCTACTAACAGGTTAGACACGAACGAGACGAAGGATTGAGTAAGCATAAACTAGTAGAATATCTAAATGATGAGGGCTCTGACTCTTTAAACCATCCGAACACAGAGAGTGGCTTTGAATTATATTTTTTGTGAATTGTTGAGTGCCTTTGATGAAGGAGAAAGAAAAATAGAGGGTGTTCTTTGTCACTCATTGTTCTTTACCCGAGGAGAACAACAATAATTCTTCTCCAGAGTTCGATATAAAGTGTTGCTCCTTGACAGCGACTACGTACTTTATTCGATGCATTCATGTCTGGCATGCGGCTCATCAAGATTCAAAGGGAGAGGGAGAAGAGGTTGGGCTCACACAAAGAGAGAAGTTAACAAGGGAAGGGGGACACAATGGAAGAAAAGTGCCTTTTCCAGACAGCGACAAAGTGTGCCTTGTAGAAACAACAGCGGCAGCAATAACGGGAAGGATGGTTCACACATACATTCCAACAACAACAACAACAACAACAACAAAAGAAAAAAAAGAAAGCGATCCCTTCTTCCCCATGCCCAATTGTTGGTTGTTTGCTGCATGCACACTACACCAGTGAGTCTAGTCCCCTCAATCCACTCCATGTGGCCCTTGGAGCCCTTTGTACCGGGGTTTCTTTATTTCGTCAACGGCATTTGAAAATTCCTTTCCTTGCCCTTCTCTTCGCCATTTCTTTTCCCCTTTGCCCTCTACCATCCCTCCATCCCCACTCCTCCTTCCCTCCTTCCTTCCTTGACTCTTAAGGACTCTTTCAGTCCTTTCTCACTCCCCCTTGAACAAATCTCTCTCTCTCTTCCTCTCATCCATTGATGTTCTTTTGTTTTCCCACCCTTCCCTCCCTTTTTGTTTTGTCATTACCTCCCACTCATTCTTTTATTCATTCGTTCATTCTTCCATTCATTCATTCTTCCATTCATTCTTCCATTCATTCATTCATTCATTCATTCACACCTTTCTCTCACTTTCATTCCCAATGTCCACAAAGACAATGACTTCGGCTGTGATGCTAATCGCATCCACACTCCTCATCCTCCTTACCCTCCTCCCTACCGCTTACTCCCAACTCCCCGCCTCCGTCCCCCTTCCCGTCGAAAAATTCGCCTTCACCCGCGCAGGACCAAAAGCCTTCATGATCGGTGGCATATTCGTCGAGAACGGCGCTACAAAGGGCGTCTATGGACAAGTCGTCTCCCTCGACCTCACCGTAGCCTGGAAGACTGCCTCCCCTCCCTGGCAGGCACTCGCCCAAGTGCCTCCTGTGTACTTTATCAACGCCGTTGCTGCACCCGATAACAAGTCAATCATCGTCATCAAGGGGGGGGCGAATGAGTCGCTTAGTTTCCCGACATACCGGATTGCGAACAATGCCTGGGACGCAAACCCGGTGAACTTGAGTCCTGTCCAGGAGAGTCGACAAGGTATCAAGCCAGTTATGGATCCGCTTACAGCGAATATCTATATGAACGCATGGAAATACCTTGACGTCTTTAACACCATATCATCGAACTTTCAGACCCTGAGTATGCCTGCGTACACTTTCACGTCGAGGTTCTTTGCGGGGTCTTGTTATAACGCTGCCAGACGGTCGATCATGTACTTTGGAGGTCTCAATGGGTCCATCCAGTTTGACCCTGCGGCCACCTATGTTTCGGAGTACTCTATCTCGACTTCCCTTTGGTCCAACTTTGTAAGAGAACCCTGTCTGTCCTTTTTAACGTCGTCTGTTTTTTATCAATTTTGGGCCAGCAATTGAACGCTTTGTGCTCGCACACTTACTTACTCCCTGTCTTTTTATCCGTGGCATTCATAACAGACGGCATCAGGCATACCTCCGGAACCAAGGTCAGATTTCTGTATGGCGGCCAGCGAGGATGGGAACAGAGTGGTCGTCTTTGGAGGACGCATCGCACCCAACACCACCGTCAACCCACCCGCCAACTTTACAGGATCCCTCTACATCCTCGACACTGTCGCCCGGCAATGGACAAAGGGACCTGATAGTACTTTGAGGTCTTATATGGGCTGTCTTATTGTTGGAGACCAGCTCTTGGTCTGGGGTGGATCGGATGGAGTCAACACTTATACAACGCCGCCGATTATCTTTGATTTCGTGACAAACCAATGGGTAGATACTTATACCCCGCCGAGTTATTTGCTGAATTGGGCAAAGACGACGACCACTCTTACCGGAAGCGCTCAACCAACGACGAATTCTGCACCCCTGGGACCTCCAACCGACTCGCCGGTAGCGAAATCCAACAACCTAGGTGCGATCCTTGGAGGCACCTTTGGAGCATTGTCTGTTATTGCGATTTCTGCTATGGTCTACCTATTTCTGAAGCGACACGAGGACAAGATCAAATATGGCGCACCCTCGGATCAACAGTCCAGTGTGGACGAGAATGGCGAGATGTCCGTCTCGCCCGCTTACCTCCACTCCAACAACTCTACCAACTCTTCCCAAAGGAACCCCCATTGCTCCCTGCACGGTGACGTACGTGGCCCACAGGATGCTTCAGGAATTGGGTATAGCGAGGATACTGTATCTCACCTCGGACAAGACCCAAAGGCTGGCGGCGGTATCTACCCTGTAGAAGCCTCGTCCCATGCGTTTGGAAATGTTGCCATGACTTCTCTGCCGACTATGCTGGTCCCCAACTCTTCCTTCATCCCAGTCAGCGGAAACGCAGCATTCGTCCAACCCAACCAAGCCATCTACGCCGCAGGCCCCGACAACGGAATGTATCAAATCTACAACAACCAACCTCTGATACAAGGACGAGGAATCCAGACTGTCGCCCCTCCAGGAGCGACCTTTATCACAAGTGAAGGTCAACCTATGATGGTCTCGTACGGAACCCCAGTCTACACCTTACCGATGGATCCCACTAGTTTGAACGGACACTACCCTACCCCTGTTGGCTTTATTCCGCCCTTTGCCCAACCTGGATTCGCAAACCACTCGTCATCATCTCTGAACGAATCTCCCACACAAGTCTACCCCATCACACCTCCTAATTTGGCATCCCTCCCTTCACGACCTACATCAAGTTCCAACTTGCTCGCGAATGCTGCTGCTCCCGGAAACAGTGGTGGTTACAGGAATATCAGTCCGCTTGCGGCGGGGGATGAGAACTCCAGTTATGTGCGGCCGCCTCCTACTTCTGGAGCCAATCCTTTCTAATTGCTGATAAGCTATTACCGTCGCTTTTTCTGAAGGCTGTAAATATGTTTTTTATACCTTAATCGTTTCGTACTATTAAAAACACTTGAATGCAAAAGAAGAACACATTCAGAAAAGGCGTTGCAGTAAGGTCATGGCCATCATGCGCACTGCCATGAAGAAAAAACACTAATGCTTTTGCGGACAACGTCCCGTCAGTCATCGTGGCAGTTCATTACAATCTGGTTTGGTTCCGGAGAGGAAAAGGGTTTTATAAGAATATGGCTGATACGGAGATAGAAGGTACAGTGCCGCTCCATAAATAATGCGACAGTAGCTTTTTTCACTTTTTCCCCCTTCTTTTCCCTCCCTCCGTACCCCCCACCTCCTTCCCTCCTTGTTGTTCGATGGCCCTATCCGTCGAGGAGGCAACCAGATAGTTGGCTTGAGTAGGGCTGGCTCTTCGATCCATACTATTGCCAACCTATATAATGCACATAGGGACTGTCCACAGGATCGTCAAGTTGTACAAGGAGAAAGGAACTGTCGCGAAAAAAAATAACCCATGTCGACCCTGCATCCTCTCCGATCGAGATGTCGGAGCTGTCGTTAGCGTTGTCCACAAGAACCGCTGTGTTGCCCTTGCCGATACTACCCACGCCATCTCCACAAGGTTTCCAAGTCTATTGTTAGAAGAACTCTCCGTAGACAGGGTATCTTCTCTCGTTTCGCTGTGATCAAACCACACTTGACATAAAAAGTCGAGGCTGGATTTCGCCAAAAAGTACAAACATTGAACCGTTGATGATTGGAAGAGGGTTGTTTTGGACAGATGAATCATCGTTCGAGGTGGGGAAGAACTTTCGCAGAGTTCGAGTCTGGAGGACCACGGGGGGTGAAGTATCAGAACTCTTGTCTTGCTCCCTCGTTCAAGAGCGGGAGGACATCTGTGATGGTGTGGGGAGCGTTTGTTGGAAGTAGTATGTCCAATCTGGTGGTAATCCTTCCTGACCAGAATAAAGCGGTGGATTTCATCGAGGTTGACTACAAGGGCGAGCTGCTTGGCTTCTTGGGGGAAACCGCCAACGCCCTCCTAATGGAGGATGGGGCATCGATTCACCGTGCTCAAGTATCCAAGGCATGGAAGGAGGAGCATTCGATCAAGTCCTTCATGTGTCCCGCACAATCCCCCGATCTCAGCCCCATCGAGAACGTCTGGTCCCTCTTGAAAAACACCGTACACTATAGACACATCCGCCCCAGAACCGTCAAGGATATGATGGTCGCTCTTAACGAAGAGTGGTGAAAGATATCAAAAGACCATCTCATGGCGTCTGAGTCCTATAAAGGAGTTGAAGGAAAGGAATTGGGGAGTAAAGCAAGCTGTAGTGGATGAGAGATGACGAGGGGATAAAGCGAATGGAGTGCCTTGTCAAGGCAAACCTCTGGTCATAAAACAAAAGGCAGACGTCTGTAGATTGGAGTTGACAGAGGCATTCAAAGATGCAGGGTTGAGTGTTTAAATTTGAGAGTTTTCCGGGGGATAAGTAACTGAGGTTGCAATGGCTTTATCGGTTAAGCCGCGCTGATAGACCTGCTAACGTCAACAGCGTGTTCCTGAATTCGAACCAGGTTCGAATCTGGGGTCGTGCAACCTCTTAGTTGAGTAACGTGTAGCACTGGAGCAGCAGTGTTGGATTGTGGTCTCAATTAATCTTTTATTTTTTTCTCTTTCTCTGTAGTGTTTTTCTTTTTTCTGTAGTGTTTTTAAAACACACAAACCTAGTGGGTGTGTCAATGGCCAGAAAGAGAGGAAGCTTTTATTCTGCACCGCAGACGGGATATGCTTAACACAATCCACTCTGATGGTCACGTCATCGCTTTGGTGTACTTATTCAAAGACCATTATCCACTATGCATTGCTTTCGTCGCGGTGGAGCCCAATACCGTTCCATGTTTGCCAAAGAGAAATGGTCACTGGAGGCGGTGAAATGGTGGGGAGGATGGTCTATGCCGCGAACCTGGGCTCACATTTCTTGATATTCACTTATATTCTCGCTACACCTGTTTGCACATCTTGACAATCACCTTTCCTCTTTTTCCGTGCTTTTCTTGTCTTGTCTCCTCAACGACACTCCAGGGACGAACTCGATTACTGAAAAAATACTGGCATCATATTTGGAAACACTGCAAACAACCTTGCCAGAGATATTAATCACCGGCTATTAATCCAGAACGAGGAGATCGATAACCGAATTGATAATGTGGCTTCATCAATTACTACATCAATTCAAGCCGCTGTCGATGGATTGACAACCATTGTAACTCAACTATCGCATCAGCAACGCAACGTCAGCAGTGATCTTGAGCACAGAATAAAGCCATGCCACAAGTGCAAGAGTCAGTAACGGCGCACCCGCCTTCATATCCAGTCGCCAAGCGACACAATGTGCGCCATTTGCCTCTGCGTGCTGATCCAGTGGTTCAACAGCAGCATGTCAAACCACCACCACCTGCTCCGCGTATTTCTACGTCTCGATGTGGAAAAAAGCTGTCAATCAATGGGAGAACGGTGACCCCAGCAAAGAAGATGCGCAAGACAGATCCGACTAGATATCTTCAGATTGCACAATTTGAAAAGAATACTTCACGCGTCATTCACTCTCGCTCTCTCTGTAAGAAATGATAGACCTACCAAAAGTCCAGTGACATCTTATCCGCCACACATCAGTTAAGTACGACCTGTCAGATTGCAAAAAAAAACGGTAGCGCAAAAAAAAAGGATGAGAGCGGGAACCACAGCAAGCTTCGAAGTGGAAGGAAAGAAAAAGTGCTTCCAGCTCTAGAACTGTGCTTTTCTGCTCTCAGTCTTCGAAAGCCCCCTTTCAAAAATATGTTGTCTTCAGTGACGATGCACCTCCCCACTCGAAATGAGGTTTTCCTGTCTCCCTTGATCAGATGTTCTTTCAGTCGTTTTACCTCTTTAACACTAACTTCCTTCAGTCACCAACATCCATACCCCTAAGCAATTGACACCATCTCCGCTTTTGAACCAAACACGCAAGCAAGCAAGGTAAGAAGAACAAACAGAAGCAATTCAGTATTACACCCAGCTCAGCATGCTTGCTGACATTTATGCTTGTCGGGTTCATCGGCTTTGCTATTGGTGCACCATAGACCTTTTTCTCGGACACTATGACCATCCGTCCCTTCAAACAAGTCGACCAAGATGCAGCTGCTGGTAACGACCCCACCTTCCCCTCGGCTCTTGGAAAGGATAACCAACTGCTCAGGTCCCTGGACATATCGTCTCAGCCCTTGCCTACCCTTCCTAGAGTCTCGCTTAGTGTGTTCCTGAAAAACGTTCCAAAATCAGCCATCAAGGCCAAGCTGCCTCGCCCCCAACAGCGCATCGAGGTACGTGCATGTCGCGTTGCTTTGTTTCTGAATCCAAAGGTGACGTACAAGGCGATAGCGAGGTAACACATATCATAAGCAGATCGACTGGACTGGTTTTTCAAGTAGCAGAATTACTTTGAAGGATAAAAAGTAGGGAGATACTAATGTCGCATTCTCATTCACGTTGGATTGATACTGACCGAAGTCATTGACAGCGGCCCTGACTCTAGCATTTTCTTTTTTCTTTCTCAAGCCCACGTTGAAGCGTTCACTGGCTTTGTTTTTCCATCATTGTTTTGCCATCATGCACGCCAGCGGTAAAATAATGAAATCGTTGGAACAGAGACTCATCACATACATAAACATGGTTACAGGAAAGTATATGGCTCTCATGGCCGGTGTCCACTGGTATGCAAAGGAGTAGAGGGATTAATAAGAGGGGGAAGGTTAAGAAGAGTCTGTTTTCCACTGCATTGATCGTAGGAGTGGAATGTCGAGTCTGAATGACGCTACTTCTGCTCTGGCTAAAGCTAATCAAATCTGCCTTTTTCTTCCCCTTCGTCATGCTTTTCTTTCCTTTCCCCTTTTTCTTTTCTGTTCATTTCACTCCCTCACTTTATCTCCTCGTCATCTCTCATTCACTGCAGTTTGTTTCCTCCCTACTTCCTTTCCTTCAACTCTTTTATAAGTCTCAGACGCCACTTCGTCACACCATCACCACCATCACCACCACCATCACCACCACCTATACCAATCATTTCTACTCTGCAGTCGGTCATGGTGTGCTCCCCAACGCCGCAACCGTATTGACCTCCTGCAGGTATATGCTCTTACTAACAGTACATGTTCAACTTCAAAAATAGTCATGCTTGCAACTATTCTCTTGTTTACTTCTTTTTACATTACGCTTCTTGGACAGACCTTTTCTGTTACCGTCTCTGCCCACGAATGGAACAGCTCGCTGGTTATGCTTACACAAACCTAATATCTCGTTCGCTTCTACCTACATTATCTCTACCTCTCTTTCTCTGCTTCTCGCTCTCGCTCTTTGACTTGTTTGCTCTTTGTCCTTCTCGTTCTTGACGTCTACTCATTGAAATTCAAAGTCTCCTAGGACCCTTTGTTTAGCACCATTCTCGCAAATGCAGGCATTTTCGCCTTGCTCCCTGCACCCTTTCGTGCTGTTGCCTGGATATCCATCCGATCGTAGCATACTAACAAATTTATCAATACACCTTGTAGAGGTACTCTTTGCTTCATCGATCGCTGCAGCGATCGACAATACAGTCTCATCTGAATCGTTCATCGTGCCAAACCAACCACATTGACATTGACCGTGGACCATGTGAAGAAAAAGAGAAAGGGTGGATGCACACGATTGTATCTGAGTTGTGTGTGTGTGTGTGCGTGTGTGTACCCTTTGCTTTTTCCGTTCGCTTGTCTCTCGAAATCTCTTTTTTTCCCCCTTTCACCTGTCGATACCTCTCTCTCTTTTTTTTTCCCTTTTTCTTGTCGATACCTCTCTCTGTCTTTTCCCTCTCTCTGGGCAACAACAATTTCGCTGCTTCACTCTCACAATGCTCCTTGTCTGCCTCTTCTTTTGCTGTTGCTACTGATACTACTTTACTCATTCTCTCATTCTCTTTTGCAGCCACTTTCACGTCCCCTCGGCTCTCTAAGCAGTCATCCCGTTTCCCTTTTTATCTTTTCACTCTCTCCTCTGCTCCATTCACTTACTTTTCAATCTCGCTCTCACTCTCCTTCTCGTTCTCGAATCAACAGAACAATGACTCGGACAAGTACGAGTGTCTACTCTGGTTGTCTGTGTTCACAGCAAGGCCAACCACACCCCCCAAAGTACCATACAATGGTGATATGAAGAAGGGCGGCAAAGGCATACGTGTTTCTTTTTGTGTCCACGGCCCAAGTCTCTTACCACTACCCTTCTCAGAGCAAAAGATGATTGTTGGAAAGACCAAACGCTGCTAATTCGCCTTGTTCTTGCTGTTCTTGGCCCTCCGCCACCAGCGTTTGTTGCTATTAGTCTAGAGTTGTTGGAGTTGCCATTTCTTTCCTGCTCCATCGTCTATCTCTCCTTCTTTTGTTCTCCCATTATCCTCCTTTCTGCCTCCCATCTTACTGTCTCTTTCTTGACCCTCCAACTCCCATACCTACACCGACTCTTTTCTTTTTTGTTTCATTTTAGCTATTGCCAACTCAACCTCATCTCTTTCTATTGTCAACCCTTCGCCTTTTACACACAGCTACGAGTTGTCCTTCTATGTTCCCTCTTCTTGGCACACATCGCATCGTACAGCCGTCCCGAGGCCCTTTCTCCTCCATATTGTTATTCAAGAAAGGGTGTCTTGACCATTTTCTAGGACGCAATGTAAAAACAGAAACGGGTGGAACTAGTTCTTCGAGGAAACGTATGCCTTTCCAATACTAAAATGCATGGTCTGTCAAAGTGCAGAATGTGTGCCTTGTCAAGGCAAACCTCTGGTCGTAAAAAAGAAGGCAGACGGCTGTAGATTGGAGTTGCTGGAGGCATTCAAAGATGCAGGGTCGAGTGTTTAAATTTGAGGCTTTTCCGAGGGATAAGTAAGCGAGGTTGCAATGGCTCAATTGGTTGGAGCGGCGATAAAAGAACTGCCCGCGTCTAGTATAGGTGTTCTACTTAGCGTCCTCGGGGATGAACAGCCGCGGGTTCAAACCTGTCCGTGCAACCTTCATTATCTGGGCAATTAAAGGACGCAGCACTATGGCAGTAGTGTGGGGGTGCGTCCGCGCAGTAATCTTTTGTTTTTTTTTTTCCTTTTTTCGTAACAATCCCTTTGTCGAGTCCACTGACCTTGTTTTTTTGCCACCTGTTCTGCTTTCATCGACAGTAGTAGGTAGCTCTTCACCTAAACAACAGCATGATACCTCTCACTCCTCCTCCTTTTCCTCCTCTTCCTCCTCCTCCTCCTCTTCCTCCTCCTCCTCCTCCTCCTCTTCCTCCTCCTCCTCTTCCTCCTCCTCCTCTGTTCTCATCCACTCTCCTTTAAACATCGATCCAACTTCTAGCCCTTCTTCATCCTCTCTCTAACATCTTCCTTCCATTCCTCACCATTGCTATCATATCTTTCTCCACCTCCAGTCCTTCCTTTCATCCTCTCTCACCTCTCTCCAAGTACGCCTCCACTCGAGCTGCTGTGTATTCTTACTCGACTGTATTTTCCCTACTTTCCTCTTGGTCGACTAACATCTTTTACACGTACAATATATGTTTGTATGTTGTATGTTTGTGCATGTCTCTTGAATGCTGCACCCCTTCCCTCATACCCATTAATCAATTACACCTCCATTTCATTTTTTGACTGGCTGCAGAGGAGTGAAAAAAAAAAAGCAAGCAGGAACAAAACAAAGAGTATACTCAGTGCACACGGCACATAAAACTGGCGTTTCCTTATGCCTGTTCAGAAACACTCTCATTCACAAAACTAAAAGTGCATGCATCTCAACATTGAATCAGGAAGAGTACTTCGCCCAACATGCATCGTGTCACGTGGGGTCATGAGAGCATCGGACCCAAATGCTTAATGCTTTCTGTCTTTATCAGCGTCAAACATACCGAGATTTGGTATAGCATGAGTTGCTGGTCCGACCTTAACGGCATTGCTGCATAGATTGATATCCTGCAATTGGTTGGACATGTTCCTGAGGTATGAAGGCAGCACGAACAAGAGGACGAGAAGATCGCAGAAGAATGTATTGAATCGATACTAAAAACAGCATGAGAAAAAAAAAACAAAGAGCGCTGGCGAGTAGACTAGTGGTGTTTAACGACAAGTCTGTTCACAACACTCTTTCTTACTGTTGTTCCTCCATGCTTTCCCAGTGAAAATGGAAATGTCGTCGAGGGAGTGGCTCTTCAAAGCACTCCGGCACGGAGCCACGGCGAATGTTGCCGACAGCAGAACCTCGAACCTCTTCTCTTCCTGTTGAACGTACCGTCTATTCTCCTGGCCCCGGGGTATCTTATTCAACGTTCACAGACTGTCTCTGTTTTGTCACCATCACCGCCCCCTCCCCCCGCGCTGGGCACTTGCACAGTCCCCCTTGTATAATAAACATTGTCTGTTTCTTCTCTTGCTGCTAATTTAACCTCCCTCTCTTTTTTTCCTCCCCTCGTCCACTTTCTCCCCTCGTCCACTTTCTCCCTTCGTCCACTCAGCACGTTCCACAGCAGCAAGTTCCATAGCAGCAGCAAGTTCAACAACAGCAGTAGATGAACCGGTAAGCCTACATCGCACCGAGCTAGTATCTTGTTCAAGTCCAACTGCACCATCTCTATCTCTCTTTTTTCTTGCTTCTCGCCCCCATCTGCTCACTATTTTTCCTTCTAGTTCTTGAAGTCCACTCAATAATATACAAAGTCCCAATAAAGTACAAAGTCTCCTAGGACCCTTTGCTTAACACCATTCTCGCAAATGCAGACATATTTGCTTTGTTCCTTGCGCCCTTTCGCACTGTTGCATGGGTATCCATTCGATCATAACATAGGTACAAACATATTAAAGTGCTCCCATCAATAGATCAACCAAAACGCGATTTCGACGTTTTGCGTGGACCGACACTGGATCATTGCTGGAATTGAAATGCCTAAATCCGCTTGATCAATTAAATGGATCGCATGTAATGGCGAATGATTTCCATGTAAAAATGTACATGGGTTTAGCACGGAACAAACTGTTTTTTTTAAAAACCACTATGCCAATGCATTTTCTACGGACAAACTGAAAGCAGTTCCACACTGAGGAAATTGTGTGTGGTCTAGAAAATAGGAAATGTACAAAGCGTTTATGTCATTTACGGAAGATATCGTTAAAGTATGTTTTGTTACATGGATCTAGCACGATTTCACATTTTATCATGATATAGCACTCTACTGAAAATGGCTGGCTTTGCACATCAAATAATTCTAGACCACACATCACGTCCTCAGTGTGGAACTGCTTTCAGTTTGTCCGTAGAAAATGCATTGGCATAGTGGTTTTTAAAAAAAACAGTTTGTTCCGTGCTAAACCCATGTACATTTTTACATGGAAATCATTCGCCATTACATGCGATCCATTTAATTGATCAAGCGGATTTAGGCATTTCAATTCCAGCAATGATCCAGTGTCGGTCCACGCAAAACGTCGAAATCGCGTTTTGGTTGATCTATTGATGGGAGCACTTTAATATGTTTGTACCTATGTTATGATCGAATGGATACCCATGCAACAGTGCGAAAGGGCGCAAGGAACAAAGCAAATATGTTCTGCATCTCCTGCTCCAACAATTAATCGTTTTTAGCAGTTTGTTGAACCCATAGACGCGTTGAAATGACGCAAGTTTGCGTGAGCTTGGGAGAGTGTGCATAGAGAACACTGGTGATCAAATGTCTTTTTCCTTTTTTTACTCATTCATATTTGCCTTTTCTCTCGAACCGAGTGTGTGGAACAAGAATGTTATGTCGACGGTTTCCGTTTAATTGCGATCACTTAGAGGAGGTATTGGTCTTCTTTCTTCTTGTTTATTCTTCCCTGTACTACTAAAATCCAAACAAACAAACAAACAAACAAACAAACAAACCGCAAAACATGCAGTACGTCGAAAGATTCAAGTTTTTTATTATCAGAATCAACATCCGGGTCTGTATGAATAATGCCTCCTCAGACGAAACCTCGACATCCTTGATATCAAAGTGAAAGTCGTCAAGGATGGCAATGACGGTATGGACCAGGATCTTCTCAGTCTCGACCTTATGGGGGGGGACCAGCTTGAGGTAGCTCTTCAAAAAGAGTGTAGTAAGATCCCTAGAGGCAACTGCGACGCAACAGCATCCAATCTAGCAATGGTCTCTTGTTGACCAAGGTTATGATCTACATGTATGCTCTCGTCCAACTCGAAAATAAAATGGGTGATCAAGAGCACAAAGATCTGGGTCAAAGTCGATGAACAGAGGTTTTCTTGGTGCGCTTCTCAGCGAAACGGTTCAAGGCGCGAATACTATGTTGGAGCTGAATGCGGTAGAGGTTGGTGAAGAAGGAAGCCTTCTCGTCGCCTCCAACCTACAGAACTGGCACGTCTGAGAAGTGGAGGAGCGCTTGACGGCGTGGGCCAGGACAGCGACAAACCCAAATCGAACCAACCCAAAGGGTGACTTGAAGCCCTTCTTGATACCAGGGTAGACAACATGAGCCAAGAGACCTCTGAAGAGTTCGTACTGAGTGTTCCGGGGGTCGAGGTCTGCGCACCGGTCAAACCAAAGGTTGAGTTGCTACGCATCGACATTTTTTCAGGGTTACGAATGTAGATCATGTTGTGAAGAACGAGAGACCACTGGCGGCCGTTGAGATCCTTGTACAGCGAGTCGGTCAACAGCTTGAGGGCGTCCATGCAGCGGCCAAAGTCGGGCACATCAATGCGGGCGGTCGAGTTCAAGTTGAGATCCGCAATGAGGGTCGAGGCAGCCGAAAAGGAGGTATCGGTCCTGGCGAACTCGGCCATGATGGCCACCGGTAACTTACGGCACTCTCTGGCCATCAACATCGAAAAAAAGAGATTGCCGATTGTTGAAGTAGGTGGTTGAAGAGAGCGCTCTGGGGTGCCAACTGTGGAATAATGGTCATAAAGTTGACAATGACGCGCAAAATATCTACCTTGGTGCGCTCGGAGAGAACTCTGGAGCCCTGCCTGAGACTGGGGAGGAGTAAATCAATCAACTTGATAGTCTGCGGGCCATTCTTGACGTAAGTGGCCACTTGGGACAAGGAGGATCCCAGTGAAAACGAGAGTTGGATCCTAATAGTTCGGTCAAGGGAAGGGGAAGTTGGAGTAGTGGTCGATGTGTTGGTGGTAATATTGTGTAAGACCCAAGAATTGCATGATGTCGCGTAACTTCTCGGGGGTGGGTCATTCCTGGATGGCTTTGACAAGTCCGCCGTTCATCTTGATACCATCCTTGGTAAGGACATGACCGAGGAACTCCGTTTCTGGTTAAAGGAAGGAGTATTTTGAGAGCTTGGCATAGAGCCTAGCTTGGCCGAAGAGTGTTAAAACAGTCCGGAAACCATTCATGTGCTGCTTCTCGCTGTCGGAATAAATAGTAACTTATCATCCAAGTACAACTGAACACACTTGTCAATCGCAGGAGCGAGTGCGTTAGTCACCATTACAGGGAACGCCGCAGGTGCATTAGTTAATCCAAAAGGAACAACATTCCACTCAAAATGTCCGAACATGTCCTGAAGGCCGTTTTAGCGGCGATCATCAGAAGTTCAGAGTGAATGGGCATTTGATAGTAGTCCAGTTTAGAAGAATTCATTGCTGTTTTGAGACAATCTATTAGTTCGTTAATGCGGGGAGGGGATGTCGGATTTTGCGAGTAATCTTATTTAGTCCTCTGTAGTCTACACACATGCGCAGGGAGCCATCTTTCTTTTTGAGAAATAAGACAGGGGCACCACAAGGAGAGGTGAGGGTGGAGATGTATTGTTTTTTTTTCAAAGGTCATTCAGCTGTTTCGTAGTTCATCGAGCTTTACAATTGAAAGGTGAATGACAGAGCGCACAGGGGATCAGCGTTGGGGTCAATGTTGATACGCACACTGTCTCCACGATCAGGGAGAAGGTGGTCAGGTAGGTCAGAAGGAAACACATCTGGAAACTCCACTTTGACAAGGTGCCTAACAGCTTCAGGAATCTCCGGGGTTTCAGGAGGTTTGCGAGGAGGTGGAGTTGCCAGCTTGACATAGGCCAATAAGACGTTTTCTGGGGAGTCGTGAGCGAGTGTCGCGAAATTGAGGGCAGAGATAAGAATGTCGAGGGTGTGTTAAGCGGAGCGAAAGAATCCATGACAGGTCCAGTGAACTCTATAGTTGTCAAGGGTGGTGAATTCAACCTCATTTGTACTCCAATTGATCATAGGATTGACTTGGGTCAACCAAGGTTTGCCCAGAATGAGATTGTATTTGTGGAGGGAGTAGAAAATGGTGTCGATGTTGTCGAAGCATTAGTCGCGACTGAATGTGATAGTAGCAGTGTGATCTGCAAAGGACGCCGTACCATTATGAAGAAGGACTGGAATAGCAGGGGAGTCATGAATGATGATTTGCTTAATGCTATGACAGAAGGAAGAACGAATGATGTCCGCTTCCGCACCACTATCGATGAGTACTTTGACTGGTTGTCCATTGATGTTGGCAGTGAAGGCGAGGAGTTGGTGGTTGTGTTTGTAGACGGTTTGGTTGGTCAAGTGCAGGAATGGTCAAGCGATCAGTGGGAAAAGGATCGGTGAGTGGAGGAGGGTAATGGAGGGATGGCGAGTGAAGGATAAGGGAAAAAAAAAGAAAAGTAGGAAAGGGGGAGGAGGAAGAAGTAGACAAGGAAAGTAAGCAAGGAAAGACAGTTAAGTTGTTTGTGATTGAAGCAACTGTAGGAGGTGTGTTGCAAACGGGTGTGTTGCAAGCGGGAAAAGAGGGGGCGTGGGAAGAAAATTGTGTCTGTGCAGATTGAATTAGAGAAGTGGAAGGGACAATACACAAGGGAGAAAAGAGACAGGCGGGAGCCTTAAACAAAGGAGAGACAGACACAAGTGCAACCGTTGGTAACGGACGGAGAAGCCGTTTTGTTTCTTTCAACATGAGCTGATTGAGGTTTACAAACCATGTGTCCTTCAGCCAGGCTATGCGGTTGGTGATGAGGGGATTGGGGGATATGGACGACACTTGCTTGGTTCAGATCTAAGCCCAGTCGCTGGCAGCGATCGCGAAGGGTGTAGTTGAAGGAGGGTGACAAAGTTGGTGTTGGGGTCTTGCGTTCGCTGTTGTTGTTGTAGTTGTTATTGTTGTATCGGTTGTATTGGTTGCCGGAGATATGGTTTGGGTCGAGAGGAAGAAAAGGTGACGGTATGCCATGATCGTAGTGGCGGTATCAATGGCGTCGTCAAGAGAGGTGGATTGAGGAAGTGTCACTTGCTTCTTGAGTCCGAATTGAAGGCTAGCCTTGAACTCGTGCAGAGACTGTCCCGGGTTCAATGTGAGAATGAGTCGCAACAAGTCGTTGAAGTCCGTAATATAGTCAAGGGCCGGTCGAGAGCCCTGTCGAAGTGATATGAGTTTGCGTCGAGCGGCGTTGACTGAATCGGTTGGAGTGGATTGTCGCAAAAACATGGCACGAAATTCGGCCCCTGAGATTGTGTCGACATTGTGCTTGGTTATTCTCCACCACTATCTTGCCACACCCAAATAACCGACGGCGTCGGTACTCACTTTTTTTTGCGGGTAGCTCCACAATTGCAAAGTATTCCTCGAGTTCCTCAATAAAATTAAGAGAGGAGTGAGCGTTGACCTTGCCATTGTAAACAGTTGGTTTCAAGGGTTGTGTGATGTAGGAATCGAGGTGGCGAGTTGAGCCAAAGAGGAGGAGATGGCCGTATTGACTGCGGGGCCATTATCAATCATAGTTAACATCGGACGGTGTTGAGGAGATTGTTGATGGCAATCAAGGTAAAAAAAGGAAGAATAACAATAAGAAAGACTGTTTGTCGAGGGTGATGTTTGGATGTTGGGTTGTTGGGCTGTTGAGTTGTCGGATGATTAGTGTTCGAGTGTTCAATGATCGTTGATGAGAGTATAAAAGTTTCGGTGTTCGAGTGTTCGGTGATCGTCGATGAAAGCAGGTGGAATCGAAATTCAAGGAAGGCAATTCCGACCTTTGCTACTAATGTAATAGCTTAAGATCAAATGGATAAGCAGTGTTTGTATTTATTTATGAAAAGAAGGCATTGTCTATTTTTATACGCGAGGGGAATGTGGCTATGAGCAGGCACATACTATTGCATCAACTCACCATCGACCCACCTTATTTCCTTGTCACCAAGAATGCGTATGGCTGGCCTCCTGGTGATATCAAAGGACGCTTTTGATTATCGCTAATATCGGCATGTTTTATTAATATTCAGTATTTTAAGCAAAGGAGATAAACTGACAGAAACAGAGTAGCAGTGATAGTGTTTAGTGGATGGAGGCATTCCTTCTTCTTGCAATGTTGTCTGCAACGACTCGGTTCTTGTCAGAGATGACCTTCGAGAAAAGATTCGCCAAAGTCTGCAGAATATCCTCAGCCTCCGGAGTCCTGGTGACGTTCAACTCATTGTCCACAAAAAGTTCCGAGAATTCCGCAAGACATTTAGCAACCTTTCCTTCCAGAGGGGAGTCGTCAACATCTGATTTCGTCAAGATGATTCCCTCAGGGCACTTCTCCAGGGACCGCACATACAGCTGATGGAAGACCTTGGCTCCCTGGACCTTCCACAGATATAAAGTGAAAATTGTCACTGGCATTGTCTCCACGTCGTTCTGTCCCTCTGCAATGGCCCGTCTGGTCGTATATGTTGTGGGGTATCCAAAGGCTGTTCGAACTTGTGCCAAGCCAAGGACCGAATTGCCAAGCAGCGACTGTTCCTGTCTCTCCCGTGAGATCAACAGACGAGTGTGTTCCGACACCACAAACGCTCCGCACCGGCCAGGACCAACATGAATCTGACCGTCTTCCTCAGACGAAGTGACCAGATAATTTCCGGCGCTTGTTCCGATGACGAAATGTGGGTTGTTGAACCTGTCCGGGATGGTGAGAATCTTGATCGCCTTTGGATACTGGGAGGTCGACTGGTCATCTGGAACGCTGGTGTGGTGTGCCCTTACGGATTCACCATGCGGGTCCTGTGACCTATCCCTCAAGTAGTGTTCCGCGCAGATGATCCTTGATTGTCTATTTCCTGTCACGACAATGGCGCCTACGAGACGCTCCATCCCAGACTCCCCGCCTTGCGTCATCACCTCAACGTGATCCTGGTTGAGCGCATCCTCATACCCATCTGGTATTGTTGGGTGCTTGGAGATGTCGTTCGAGTTGCACAACGGGTAGAGGCTGAGAGAGTGGCCTTGTGGGAGTAGAGCTCGAACCTGTTCCGCAGCCTCCTGTGACATAAACGACGCCGTCTTGATGCCGGGTCCACACAATAAGTAGGGCTTCAACTTGGCGCATCTCGCTGTAGTAAGCATCATCTCAACGGTCAGATCTCCGCACAGTCCTTGAATTAGGCGACGCTTCTCCTGCTCGTCTTCCTCCTTTGTCCGTCTTTGAGTTTCCGCACCAGTCTTGAGCAGAGCCTGGGGTATATTTTGACGCGGCTGTTCATCGACTTCTTGATTTGGTAGTTGTGCTGCCGATTCAGGGTCCTGACTGTGATAGGTACTCTTGCGGGCGTGCGAATCGTAGTGGCGCGTCGCTTGCTTCTTGCCAATCACAGCATCACATTCCTCACATTGTACTCGTTTCCTTCCGTCCGCTGCCGCTTTGAAAGTATGCAAGGAGCCATCGACCTTGTCCTTGATAACGATGCTTCCGTCGATGTTGCTCTTGGAGCGCTGGCTTGGTCCAAATCCGCTGGTATCAGTCATCGTTTGTGAACAGAATATAGAATAGATACCGGGTATACTCGGGCTAGGGTAAATGAGGTCAGTAGTATGGCTGGGCCATGGACCGATTGAAATGAAGAGATTCAAGTACAATTGACATGGTGGCAAAAAGACAAAAGGATATTGGCGAAAGCAGTTGGATGTGGGTCTAAAACAAAGGGAAACATCGCACTTCACACAAACAACATTGGATCGTCTACGTCTGGAAGGCACGCCTTGCTTTTTGTCTTGGGTGGCACACCAGACACAGTTGCGCTCCTTTTCAATTGGTCAGGCATATGACCACCTTCATAGAAGCGGGCGGGGTCAAGGGCGTGTTTGTGCTTGGTGACATAGGCTGCTGGTCGGTTTGGCTGTTCGGGTTGGATTGTTGAGAAGAGGATGATCGTGGGCGTTTGTATCCTGCTCTCGTGATAGCGAAGTCGAGTGATTCCTCCTCGGCAAATGCAAGCTATTGCTATTCAAGAGTGACAAAACGAACAAAAAAAAAAAGAGAGACATACCTTGCTTCGCCCATGGTGCTTCTCCAGAGCCATTGTCTCCTGGAGCCCCATTCAGTCCTGCGCGGCCCTTACCTCGTCCACCACGGCCACCACGGCCACCACGGCCACCACGTTTACCTCTACCACCACGGCCACCTCTTCCTCCTCTACCTCCTTTGGCTCCATCTCCACCTAGGCCTCCATCACCCCCATCACCACCTTGATCACCACCATCTCCACCCACGCCTCCATCTCCACCAGGTCCGCCCTCTATCACTACAACTCCTCCAGGTCCACCTTCTCCACCTGGTCCACCTTGGATAGTACCCTCTCCTCCTTCACCTCCTTCCCCTCCAGCAGCTCCTACAATCTCAGGTGCATCGTTGAATTGTTCCTGATCCGAATCACCCAACACTTCTCGATGAGAGAGAACATGTGTCAGTGAGCCATCTTCCTCCATCTCCTCCAGGTCACTAAGGAACATTCTGGGGGCAGCGAGTTGAAGACTGTGCAAGTCGTGCTGCATCTCTTCAAGGACATCTCTGCCGGGAAAGTCAATGTCAGGGTGTGGCATGGGTGAAATAAGGTTCAAGAGTGATAATCGGCAGGCGGGATGTCTTTTTTTGAGGATGATGCTATGATGAACATCAACTTTCCTAGAGAAGGTAGGGGACTAGTGACATAACAGTATTTGTCGTAATCGTATTATTAACAAAGAAACCAGCCAAAATGCCGGTCGAAAACAGACAAAGGGATACCACGCCTTCCTGGAATGGACGCGCCCTCGGCGCGCATCATGTTCAACAGCAGTCTGGATTCCGTTCGGATCCTTTCCTTCGCCACGTTGTGTGTCGCCAAGTGATGTAGAAACCATCCAGAGCACGCCCTGTCCACGAGTCCGCAAGACCTCTGCTGTTGTAGCCCAACACCCGACCACAAGCCGACATATCGTCTAACGGCGTAACAACACATAACGGGTCGATATGCGGATCAAATTCGCTTTAGCAGCACCACTACGAGGGGTCTACTTTACTGTCAGCACCCCTCTCCGACAACTCCCTCTCCTCCAACACCTCTCGATCAACACCAATATGCGGTCTCCTTGGAACTATCCCAGTTGTTCCCCAGAGAACTCAGTCCTTTATGCTCTCGGTGCCATTTGGCTAATATAGATCCCCCTTTTTATTATCCTTTATCTCACCCCCTCCATTGAATCACTATCTGTAGAACAGCATTCCTGCCAACCACGCTCTCTCTCGCGCTCCCTTCTACCGATCTTGGAACCACGAGATTTCTCTTCTTCCGTTTTGGTAAGCACCTGACTCCTATATCAGCGTGCGCGGGTGTTGCTTTGCGTATTCTTTGTAAATAGTTCCCTTTATTTATTAATGAACTTCCCCCTTCCCTTATATAGATCTGTACGCTTTCCCGTCGTTTTCCTTTCACGTTTGGACATTTCCTCACGCCCCTTTTTGGTTCCCAAGCCCTCCCGATCCACATTGGGTAAGGACCTAGTTCCCTCTTTTAGACGGTTAGACGTGTGCATTTCTTGTAGTATCATAGTGGCTAGCTCCTTTCATTAACAGATAGTAATCTTTGTTTTAGACCCACCTCACGACACTAGCTCTTTGGAATAAAAAGACGAGTGGCAAATTCTTCAGAGCACAAACGATCGACCCCCTTTCCTTCGACCCCCTTTTCTTCTCCCAAAAAAAATCCCAACTGCTGCACTGACCTCTGGTTACCAGTTCTAGAGATTCAGTCTGCGGTTGACGAACGCTTTTTTTTTAGTCTCTGTCTTAATTGATAGTTATTTCAGAGGGCAAATACGAGCCTGTCCCTTTCATAACTTGACCAATGACCAGACATATGTTAAGCATATGTTACCGTAGGGGTAGGGAAAGGGAAAGCACTGCCCACCAATCCAAGTGTATTTAAATCGCCAAAATCGCCAGACATGGATCTTCTCTGACACACAGATAACTCAATGCCTAAAGACCGGTCAAAAAAAAATGAAGCACTCTATACACTGCCAAACTCCTCAATTGTCGAGTCTGTCGCCTCAATTTCGAATGTTAGGTGGATGGTCCAAATGGCGACGGTCGCTCGGGTTCTCCTCACTGTCACAGACGACGGCACTGTTTTTGTGATGTTCGAGAGGTCCCAATTTTCCCGGACAAGCCAGCATCGGCCTGTGCGTGCACTCTTTTTTCTCCTTCCGTCACACTATATCACTCCTCTTCACTTTGTTTTCTTTTCTCTCAGTGATCAGCATTCTATCTCTCTCAAAGAAGAAACAGACAAATGGAGGAAATGAGAACCATTTTATTATTATTTTTTTCGTCTCCCTCCCGCAAGCGTAGCCGCGGGCACTATTCTAGCAAAAAAAACTTACTTTCTCCATATCGATATCGCTCTTATTAGAGCATGACCAGCCAATGAAATGCAATAGCCACATCGAATTCTTGGACAAACTAAAAGAATACAAACGACATTCGGACGTCTAGCAACCTCAGGCATCAAAAAAAACTTGTCATTGCCAACTTCACACTTGTCGCAAACTCCTTATGAACAGCACCAATGAGAAATCAATCAACGGACTAAATACGTGGCATTCTGGAATTGCTCTCACACAAATAAAGCTCATATCAGCCGCATTAGCCACAACAGCCACAATAGTGACAATACCACAAGATAGGACGATTATTTTACCGACTCATCGCATGGACTGATGACCCGTCGCATGGGACAATGAATCGATGGTTGTAGCGTAGGTCAATGTTGGTCGCTTGGGTCGATGGTGGTCGCTTGGGTCGATGCTAGTCGCTTGGGTCGATGGTGGTCGCTTGGGTCAATGTTGGTCGCTTGGGTCGATGGTGGTCGCTTGGGTCGATGGTGGTCGCTTGGGTCAATGTTGGTCGCTTGGGTCGATGGTGGTCGCTTGGGTCGATGGTGGTCGCTTGGGTCGATGCTGGTCGCTTGGGTCGATGGTGGTCGCTTGGGTCAATGTTGGTCGCTTGGGTCGATGGTGGTCGCTTGGGTCGATGGTGGTCGCTTGGGTCGATGCTGGTCGCTTGGGTCGATGGTGGTCGCTTGGGTCGATGGTGGTCGCTTGGGTCAATGTTGGTCGCTTGGGTCGATGGTGGTCGCTTGGGTCGATGCTGGTCGCTTGGGTCGATGCTGGTCGCTTGGGTCGATGGTGGTCGCTTGGGTCAATGTTGGTCGCTTGGGTCGATGGTGGTCGCTTGGGTCGATGGTGGTCGCTTGGGTCGATGGTGGTCGCTTGGGTCGATGGTGGTCGCTTGGGTCAATGTTGGTCGCTTGGGTCGATGGTGGTCGCTTGGGTCGATGCTGGTCGCTTGGGTCGATGGTGGTCGCTTGGGTCGATGCTAGTCGCTTGGGTCGATGGTGGTCGCTTGGGTCGATGGTGGTCGCTTGGGTCGATGGTGGTCGCTTGGGTCGAGGGCGGGAGCGTGGGTCGATGCTGGTCGCTTGGGTCGATGGCGGTCGCTTGGGTCGATGGTGGTCGCTTGGGTCGATGGTGGTCGCTTGGGTCGATGGTGGTCGCCTGGGTCAATGTTGGTCGCTTGGTCGCTTGGGTCGATGCTGGTCGCTTGGGTCGATGGCGGGAGCGTGGGTCGATGGTGGTCGCTTGGGTCGATGGTGGTCGCTTGGGTCGATGGTGGTCGCTTGGGTCGATGGCGGGAGCGTGGGTCGATGCTGGTCGCTTGGGTCGATGGGGGTCGCTTGGGTCGATGGTGGTCGCTTGGGTCGATGGTGGTCGCTTGGGTCGATGGTGGTCGCTTGGGTCGATGCTAGTCGCTTGGGTCGATGGTGGTCGCTTGGGTCGATGGTGGTCGCTTGGGTCGATGGTGGTCGCTTGGGTCGAGGGCGGGAGCGTGGGTCGATGCTGGTCGCTTGGGTCGATGGCGGTCGCTTGGGTCGATGGTGGTCGCTTGGGTCGATGGTGGTCGCTTGGGTCGATGGTGGTCGCCTGGGTCGATGGTGGTCATTTGGTCGCTTGGGTCGATGCTGGTCGCTTGGGTCGATGGCGGGAGCGTGGGTCGATGGTGGTCGCTTGGGTCGATGGTGGTCGCTTGGGTCGATGGTGGTCGCTTGGGTCGATGGCGGGAGCGTGGGTCGATGCTGGTCGCTTGGGTCGATGGGGGTCGCTTGGGTCGATGCTGGTCGCTTGGGTCGATGCTCGGTCGATGGGCACACAAATTACGTCACCGAAGACGCGTTTGTACCCACACAACTAACTATTGTGTGCCCATGGCGGGTGTCTTCAGTAGTGTGACGGAAAACTCTTAATTCGGCAATGGACAGCCACTGATATGCTGACATGCTGCAATTTTCATCCTTACTTTCTGACCGTTACCCTCATTTCCCTCCTTGTTGCCCTCATTTTTTCATGCCATGGTTCTCGTCCTCATTTCCTTCCTTTCCTTCATTCTCGCCCTCATTCTCAACTTCTCCCTCATTTTTTCTTAGCCTCATTCTCACCCTTGTTCTCACCGACATTGCCACCCCCATTATTGTCACCTTCAAGGCCAAATGCAAGGCAATTTAGAGGAATCGATAAAATTCACGCTGGTCGATAGTAGCGACATTGTTGACGATAAACGACTGTAGCGCCTTGAAGGCAGGGTTGTGCGTCACAGTACGCTGTATCGGTATCGGTAACTGACTGAGTATCCATTGGACGTTCTTGCTGTTAGCCCTTATGAACAATAATCAAAATTATCCCTTGCCTACCATGTTATTTCAACCGTGTGGAGTCGATGACCTTTGTGAACGGGACGTAGCTGAGTTCCTTGATCCCCTACAAGGACTTGCTCTTGCTGTAAAGGATGACGAGAAAAAATATGACGACGACGACGTCAAGGAGGAGCAGGAGACAATTGCAACCTTGTACCAAGATGAACCCGCCGCCCTCAACACCCTCAAGGCGCGTCTCGCTGGCGACGTTCCGTGGCTTGGAGGCTCTATTCCATATCCTCTTGTCACTTTGCAGACGCCCTAATCCCCCCCTCCCGAGGGGCGTGTATTTTGATTATGAACCCAAGATCTTTTACTATCCTGAACGAACGTACGAAGACTGGCTTGAGTTGGATAACTCGCAGCACCTGTTTCACTGGTGGCAGGAGACGAGTGAGATTTGCTCGGAGGCCAGCCCATTCTCGTACACACAGACTTGGTACTGTCACTGCGCCGGCAAGCCCGAAATCAAGAAGAAGGCTGAGGATAAAAAGCGTCGCCAGGTTTTCAAGTCTTCCAAGCACATGGGATGCCTTGCTCGTGTATATATTCACAAGTTCAAGGACGGATATCCTCCAGCCTCTGGTTACCCTCCTACCAATGCGAGCAAGCGCGTTCGTTTGACATATTATGGCCGCCATACTGGTCACGTCTTGGGCGAACTTGAGGGATTCCAGCATCTGCGTATTAGCCAACCTGTCCGAGAGGCCATCCTGAGCTATCTCAAGCTAGGCTTGGGGAAAGGAGCTATCAAGGACAAACTTACCCCCCATTCCGATGCTCTCCATAGCCGCTTGTCAGAAGGGACACTCACGCGCGACGACTTTGTGACAGTCGTCGACATTTCCAACATGTACGACGCCTATTGGAGGAGCATCCGGACTGTCGTATTTCATTGTCCATTTGGGCGGAAAGAAAGCAGGCTGAAGGAAACTTCGTCTTCCGATGGCCTACGGATGGATCGACGACCAAATTTGGTCATGAATTCTCTTCCCCTTGGCAGTTGGACAAGCTCCGAGCTTCTGGAGGAGCGGTCGGATTTGATTCGACACACAATACCTGCAAGGGCAACGCCGAGCTTTACACTGTCATTGTCCAAGACCCTCAGACGTTGCGTGGAATCCCAGTAGCCTTTTTTTTGACCGAGGATAAGACCGCAGAGCCCTTGCAGGCATGGCTGGTCGCTCTCGAGGCGCACGCCGGTATCTGCTTCCTCTACATCACGACCGACGACTCCAAGGTTGAATACAAGGCTATCAAACACGGTTTGGGCGATCATGTTCGCACCCACCTTTGCCTTTGGCATGTTGCTCGAGCGTGGGGCATGCAGATCAAGAAATTGGTCACGGACGACAACCCTCATCAGCAACACCACCTTCAATATGAAGCCCGCGAGCTCCTGCACAAGATCATGTAAGAGCGAGATATGAAGACAGCCAATGAGTTGATCGTGGTGTTTCGACAAGTCTGGGAGATGCTTTCGAAGCCCTTGGTGGATTACATGGAGGAGAACTACCTCAAAGAGCGTCGCCGCCAGCTCTGGATGAAGTCTTACCGTCAAGATGTCTACTACGCGTCGATGGACACCAGCAACTATGTTGAGTCTTGGCACAACCAGTTGAAGTCGAACCACCTCAAGCACCACTACCGAGCGCGAGCGGATCGCATCCTCTACATTCTCACAGAAGTCGTTCTGGAGGCATTCAAGAAGGACGAGTTTGGAGCAATCATCCGTGTTGGCCGTAGGACGAAAGGCGAGGTTCTCGACATTCTACGCCAACGAGATGTGCAGGCTATGACAGAAGAGACTATCCAGAAGAATGTCCTAATTATTGATGCTCGTTACATTGTCGAGTCGATCACCTTTCCAGTCACTTATTACAACTTGTCGCTAACTGATGGTTTGGCCAACAGCTGCTCCTGCGAGTATTTTCTCCGGCACCGTCGTCTCTGTAAGCATATCCTTATGGCCTTCCGCAAGTTCCTTGGCAATCTTCGGCTTCCGTTTAACAACGACTTCTATGTTTCAAGAACCCTTACTGACTTCACGACCGCTTCGGACTTCAAGCAAGAGGATATCAAGAGAGATGAGACGCCTGAAGACGAGCGTGAACAAAATCGTTTGCGCGATCGCGCTCGTGCTCTAGTGGAGTCCTTCTCTCGTTGTACTCGAGACGCCATTATGACCGAAGAAACTATTCGTATCCTTGAACTATTGGTCGACCATGGAGGTTGCCTTCTAAAAGAAGGATAACAGCAAGCAGCGACAAAGGCAGACGTAACAAAGAGCATACAACTGGAAATAAAATGATTCCCTCTCTCTCTCTCTGTCTCTGTCTCTCTGTCTCTCTCTCTCTGTCTTTCTCTCTGTCTCTCTCTCTCTTTACCCTTTGTTCGTTCTTCAAACCGCACTTATCCGTCTTTTGGAGGCACTAGTGTAACGCTATAATCCACAACTATCATTCAGTACCCGATCTTTTGATGATTATGAACCCAATTTTTTTTTTTAAAAAAAACTACATAGCCATATGCGCAAAAGGTGCTGTAACAATAACTCATAAGAGGACACCGGCTAGAAACGTCGTTCTAAGGTACTTTTCCAGTTGCAAAGCGACAAGATGACCCACTTTGGTCCTTCATCCTACTAGCACATCTGCCTATGCAGTGAACAAATCTGATTGGCCCGCTGAGCAAGTACGTACAAAATTATGTCTGCATTTGCGAGAATGGTGTTAAGCAAAGGGTCCTAGGAGACTTTGTACTTTATTGGGACTTTGTATATTATTGAGTGGACTTCAAGAACTAGAAGGAAAAATAGTGAGCAGATGGGGGCGAGAAGCAAGAAAAAAGAGAGATAGAGATGGTGCAGTTGGACTTGAACAAGATACTAGCTCGGTGCGATGTAGGCTTACCGGTTCATCTACTGCTGTTGTTGAACTTGCTGCTGCTATGGAACTTGCTGCTGTGGAACGTGCTGAGTGGACGAAGGGAGAAAGTGGACGAGGGGAGAAAGTGGACGAGGGGAGGAAAAAAAGAGAGGGAGGTTAAATTAGCAGCAAGAGAAGAAACAGACAATGTTTATTATACAAGGGGGACTGTGCAAGTGCCCAGCGCGGGGGGAGGGGGCGGTGATGGTGACAAAACAGAGACAGTCTGTGAACGTTGAATAAGATACCCCGGGGCCAGGAGAATAGACGGTACGTTCAACAGGAAGAGAAGAGGTTCGAGGTTCTGCTGTCGGCAACATTCGCCGTGGCTCCGTGCCGGAGTGCTTTGAAGAGCCACTCCCTCGACGACATTTCCATTTTCACTGGGAAAGCATGGAGGAACAACAGTAAGAAAGAGTGTTGTGAACAGACTTGTCGTTAAACACCACTAGTCTACTCGCCAGCGCTCTTTGTTTTTTTTTTCTCATGCTGTTTTTAGTATCGATTCAATACATTCTTCTGCGATCTTCTCGTCCTCTTGTTCGTGCTGCCTTCATACCTCAGGAACATGTCCAACCAATTGCAGGATATCAATCTATGCAGCAATGCCGTTAAGGTCGGACCAGCAACTCATGCTATACCAAATCTCGGTATGTTTGACGCTGATAAAGACAGAAAGCATTAAGCATTTGGGTCCGATGCTCTCATGACCCCACGTGACACGATGCATGTTGGGCGAAGTACTCTTCCTGATTCAATGTTGAGATGCATGCACTTTTAGTTTTGTGAATGAGAGTGTTTCTGAACAGGCATAAGGAAACGCCAGTTTTATGTGCCGTGTGCACTGAGTATACTCTTTGTTTTGTTCCTGCTTGCTTTTTTTTTTTCACTCCTCTGCAGCCAGTCAAAAAATGAAATGGAGGTGTAATTGATTAATGGGTATGAGGGAAGGGGTGCAGCATTCAAGAGACATGCACAAACATACAACATACAAACATATATTGTACGTGTAAAAGATGTTAGTCGACCAAGAGGAAAGTAGGGAAAATACAGTCGAGTAAGAATACACAGCAGCTCGAGTGGAGGCGTACTTGGAGAGAGGTGAGAGAGGATGAAAGGAGGGACTGGAGGTGGAGAAAGATATGATAGCAATGGTGAGGAATGGAAGGAAGATGTTAGAGAGAGGATGAAGAAGGGCTAGAAGTTGGATCGATGTTTAAAGGAGAGTGGATGAGAACAGAGGAGGAGGAGGAAGAGGAGGAGGAAGAGGAGGAGGAAGAGGAGGAGGAGGAGGAAGAGGAGGAAAAGGAGGAGGAGTGAGAGGTACCATGCTGTTGTTTAGGTGAAGAGCTACCTACTACTGTCGATGAAAGCAGAACAGGTGGCAAAAAAACAAGGTCAGTGGACTCGACAAAGGGATTGTTACGAAAAAAGAAAAGATTACTGCGCGGACGCACCCCCACACTACTGCCATAGTGCTGCGTCCTTTAATTGCCCAGATAATGAAGGTTGCACGGACAGGTTTGAACCCGCGGCTGTTCATCCCCGAGGACGCTAAGTAGAACACCTATACTAGACGCGGGCAGTTCTTTTATCGCCGCTCCAACCAATTGAGCCATTGCAACCTCGCTTACTTATCCCTCGGAAAAGCCTCAAATTTAAACACTCAACCCTGCTTCTTTGAATGCCTCTAGCAACTCCAATCTACAGCCGTCTGCCTTCTTTTTTACGACCAGAGGTTTGCCTTGACAAGGCACACATTCTGCACTTTGACAGACCATGCATTTTAGTATTGGAAAGGCATACGTTTCCTCGAAGAACTAGTTTCACCCGTTTCTGTTTTTACATTGCGTCCTAGAAAATGGTCAAGACACCCTTTCTTGAATAACAATATGGAGGAGAAAGGGCCTCGGGACGGCTGTACGATGCGATGTGTGCCAAGAAGAGGGAACATAGAAGGACAACTCGTAGCTATGTGTAAAAGGCGAAGGGTTGACAATAGAAAGAGATGAGGTTGAGTTGGCAATAGCTAAAATGAAACAAAAAAGAAAAGAGTCGGTGTAGGTATGGGAGTTGGAGGGTCAAGAAGGAGACAGTAAGATGGGAGGCAGAAAGGAGGATAATGGGAGAACAAAAGAAGGAGAGATGGACGATGGAGCAGGAAAGAAATGGCAACTCCAACAACTCTAGACTGATAACAACAAACGCTGGTAGTGGAGGGCCAAGAACAGCAAGAACAAGGCGTTTGGTCTTTCCAACAATCATATTTTGCTCTGAGAATGGTAGCATTAAGAGATTTGGGCCGTGGACACAAAAAGAAACACGTATGCCTTTGCCGCCCTTCTTCATATCACCATTGTATGGTACTTTTGGGGGTGTGGTTGGCCTTGCTGTGAACACAGACAACCAGAGTAGACACTCGTACTTGTCCGAGTCATTGTTCTGTTGATTCGAGAACGAGAAGGAGAGTGAGAGCGAGATTGAAAAGTAAGTGAATGGAGCGGAGGAGAGAGTGAAAAGATAAAAAGAGAAACGGGATGACTGCTTAGAGAGCCGAGGGGACGTGAAAGTGGCTGCAAAAGAGAATGAGAGAATGAGTAAAGTAGTATCAGTAGCGACAACAAAAGAAGAGGCAGACAAGGAGCAGTGTGAGAGTGAAGCAGCGAAATTGTTGTTGCCCAGAGAGAGGGAAAAAGACAGAGAGAGAGGTATCGACAATAAAGTGCTCCAAAAAAGTGATTCATCTTTTGCCATTTCGACATTTTTTTTGAAATGCTCATTCACCAATGTTTCGACCGGCCCCCAGATTCTTGTCATTCATTCTCTCGATTCGTAGCCTCATTCATTACCACTTGCTTCTTTTTGCATGGACCGACATCAGATCATCGTCGGAATCGAAATGCCTGAATTGAATGAATCAGTTAATTGGATTAATGCATCCCGATTTTCTTTTTCAACTTGTGCGGTCTTTTTAGTTTCTACCTACCTTTAAACTTGAATGAGTTACGTGCTGAATCCTGTAAGACCATATTTCAAAGGTGGGAGCTCCTATCCAAAGTCTTTTGTATATGACCTATATGCCTGATTTTACATGGATGTAGCACGTGTTTAGCTGTTGTTTTTATACCAAAAGCTCAATGCACTTTCTACTGGAAAACTGAAAGCTAGTCCATGTGGAGGACATGATGTAGGATCTAAAGGTTTTGAAAGTAAGAAGCCTGCTACTCTCAATAAAGTGGAATATCTTGACAAGGTGTAACGTCATGCTAACTCCATGTTACAGTACTTATTTTAGTGATATCTCATGTTAACGATATGATAATCCCGTACCTTTTCTATATTACTGATCCACACCTGGAGTGAAGTAGTGAAATTGTTGTTGCCCTGAGAGAATAAAAAAAGAGGGGGATCGACAAGAAATAAAAAAAGAGGGGGATCGACAAGAAATGAAAAAAGAGACAGGCAGAATAGTGAAAAAAAAGCAAAGGTCACACATAGAGGTCAGATACAATTGTCTACATCCACCCTTTCGCTTTTCTTTCACATAGTCCGCAGTCAATGTGATTATCTTGGCACCACCAACGATTCAAGTAAAGCTGTATTGTCGATGGCTGTAGCAATTGATGAAGCAAAGAGTTCCTCTACAAGGTGTATTGATACATTTGTTAGTATGCTAAGATCGGATGGATATCCAGGCGACAGCACGAAAGGGCGCAAGGAGCAAGACGAAAATGTCTGCATTTGAGAGAATGATTTTTAACCAAGGGTCCTAGAAGACTTTGAATTTTAATGAGTAGACGTCAAGAATGAGAAGGACAAAGAGCAAGCAAGTCAAGGAGCGAGAAGCAGGGAAAGAGAGGTAGAGATAATGTAGGTAGAGGCGAACGAGATATTAGGTTTGTGTAAGCATAACCAGCGAGCCGTTCCATCCGCGGGCAGAGACGGCAGCAGGAAAGGGCTATCCAAGAAGCGTAATGTAAAAAGAAGTGAACAAGAGAATAGTTGCAAGCATGACTATTTTTGACCTTGAACATGTACTGTTGGTAAGAGCATATATCTGCATGAGGTCAACACGGTTGCTGCTTTGAAGTGCATACCATGGCCGACTGCAGAGTAGAAATGATTGGTATAGGTAGTGATGATGGTGGTATCGATGGCATGCCCTCAAGAATAAAAGCTGTCATCAGGAACAAAGGTGGTTCTACCCTTTCCCTCCCACTCCCTAAAAAAATGCAACTGTAGCATTATTTATGGAACGGCGCTGTACATGCGAAGAAATGAAAGGAAAATAGAAGTGAAGTATAAGAAAAGTGTGGAGGGTGGGTCGTTGTTTGTGGGAGTACGGAATGCTATGTACATGTGATTGTGTATTTTTCTTAACCTTGCCATCTCGTTCTTTTTTTTGTACGTCTGTTCCCAGGAAAACAAAAAAAAAAAAAGAGAGAAAATTCGTTTGTTTATTTTGTACTTTCCTTTGCTTCGATCCTTGAGCCTCAGATGGCCAAGACTACGAAGACGGAGAACTTATGGAGAGTGTTTCTTTTTTTTTATGTGGATGGAATTGAAGGATGAGAGGCCCAGGGAACCGTTGAGATCTATTGGTACGTTTGAGGGTACTGACCTCAGGAGTACCCATTTTCGGTGAGTTTTTTTTTGAGTGTCAGACGGTGAGAGGACTCGGATGATCAAGACATGGTACCTGAAATACTTTATCAGTCTTAATCGAAAAGTGATGGCAAAGGAGCAACTAAAGGGATGAATGTGAAAAGTGTCTAATGCTTTTCCTTGAGACCTTTCTGTTTCTGTTTCTCTTTCCTTTCCTTTATCTCTTGAAATTGAAGAAAGTACATATGGCACAGCAAGAACAAAAACGGCGCAAAAAAGATGGCGAGTGGGTTGAGTAGTACGTTTGGCGAAGGGTTAAAAAATGTTCATTAGGCCTACGTGCTCACACCAAAAAAAATGATGACAGCTCAACAGCCCACTAAGAGAGAACAACAAATTAAATTTCTGTCTTTTCTCTCTTTTCCCTTTCTTCTTTCTTTTGTCACAGCAATTTACTCACCCTCCCTCACCTCTCTTTTCTTATACATCAAAATCCGACATCCATCTTTTTCCATTCCTCAAGCATCATTTTACTAAGTATTCACTATCAGGAATCAACCCTTTGTGAAAATAATAACGAAAAGCACCACCCGTTCGTTTGTAGAGGTAAGTCCACTCTCGCCTCCAAGGCACGCATAGAACACCTATTCCCTTTTTTTGACCCCTTTTCATCTTACAACCTGTCTCTACCACAACCCCTCCGTTTACACAATCTTCGCACGCTTCCATCTTTTTATTTCTGTGGCCAGAAAGACAAACTGTAAATCTGCAGAGACTAATTTTACTTCATGCAAAAAACATTATTTTGTAGCATTGACTTTCACCAACCTCTCTCCTCTGCTGCAGCCACCTTACACTAAAACAAACAAGGTAACGTTAAAAAGTACAGAAACGGTCAACATGTTCACGCCTCCTTTCACAACACTTGTGACACTAACTTCTTTCTATTATTATTGCGACAAGTAGCGCACCTATCATGTCTAACCATTCAAACGAGCAACAGGGTGTAAATGTTCTCGATAGCGTCACCCAAGACCTCTTCCGTTATTCAGCTGATGCTTCCCTCACCGTCGAGCAGATCAAGGAGCACGTCGACGAGTTTGTCCAGGACCCAGATATCCACCTCTTTTTCGGAAACCAACCAGTCTGGTCATCGCAAGAGTACATGGACAAACTGACAACCATTCCCGATCTGATGGATCTGGTCAAGACGCCCTATTTGTTGGCTGTCACTCTCAGGGTTCTACCCAAGGTCGTCGGCCCTCGACAGGATCTGGTGGGCATCAGGATCGTACGAGTCGACTTGTACGACAAATTTGTCGAGCAATGGTTCGCGCTCAGTCTGGAACGTCTGGAGAGCAGTGTCTTGAGCAGTGTGGAGAGAGAGGCACTCACTGATTTGATCAAAGACGGTTTTGTTACTCAAGGAATCAACTTCCTGAAGCGACTCGCCGATTCCATCTTCACAAGGCAGAGCGGTGATCCAGTTCTCCGGTACATCCACACCCGCGACAAGGACACCTGGAAGGCCGAGTTCTTTGGCTAAGATCCCAAAATTCGTCTCCTGCGCGAGGCTTCTCCATTGACGTCCACTATCGATACATTTCGCTTCTCCCATCGATCGATTCTGGAGTACTTCTTCTCTTGTGTCATTTTCTCTCCTGCCAAACGTGACCCGCACGATAGAGCCGGTCCCACGGATGTCCAGTCACTCGATCCTGACTGCCCCCTGCTTAGACAAAACCTTCTCTCCGAGGTATCTGTCCTGCGGTTCCTGAGCGAGCGAGTGCAGAAGGACTCGGGATTCGAGGTTCAGCTCCGCGAGGTCATCGAGAGATCCAAGTCCGACCCATTTTTTGCCACGGCGACAGCCAATGCCATCACGATCTTGATCAGGGCCGGTTTACGATTCATCGGAGCCGATCTTCGAGGTATTCGATTTCCAGGAGCGAATTTCTCTGGCGAACAGTTTGATTATACACAGTTCCAAGGAATTGACCTCGCTGGCGTCAATTTAGCGAGGAGCTGGCTACGCCAGATGGATGCCAACTTTAGTCCTATATCCCACTTTGCGTTTTCTTCGACTAGCCATCAACTCGCCATCAGCAACTTGAGTGGTGTAGTTAGTGTTTACGATACACAAACACGAACCCTCTTGAAGACGATTACCTTGGAGGATGTGGAAGTGTCAATATTGACATATTCGCCAACCGACCAGCAGCTCGCAGTTGGCGCCGCCAGCCGAGACTCGATCCATCTCTGGGACCTGAAGTCAGATGAGTCCGTTGTCCAACTGGGACTGAACGATGCCGTCTCTGAGGGTGTGAAGTGTATCGCCTTCTCACTTTGCGGTAACTGGATTGCTTCTGGATATGCCGGCGACAAGACCGTTCGTCTCTGGCATCGTCGTCGTCTCCAATCAGGAAACACAGTGGGCAAGGACGAGGTGGGATCATGGAGGAGTGTCCCCATGCCAAGCGGATTTTTCGATACCGTCACCAGCATCTCATGGAACCTCGTTAAGCCCCTCGAGATTGTCACCTGCTCTCAAGATCATTCCGTTCGCGTCTGGAGGATCCTGGACCATGGTGACGGGAAAGACTTTACTGTGCGCATGCTGTGGGGTACCAATCTAGGACAACTGCATGTGTCGGGTTTGGTGTCTGGAAATGTGGCTGGTCTTGGACCTGTGTATGAGAAGTTGTTGGTCCAAGGAGGTGGTGTTAATGAGTCTTGGTCTGTGAAGGAGGAAGCACTAGTCTCCGAGGAGTAGACATTGAGGCAAAGATTAGGGACTGAAAAGTGCAGAGGAGCAGTCAAGAAAATAAACATTCGCGTTCCTTTATTTTATCATCGGTGATGGAGGGGGTGAGGTGGGAGAAGGCCTGGCTGATAACTTTGTCTCATCTGTGGATGATCAACCTTGAATGATGGATGATGGAGTAACGGAAATTGTCATAAGGGGCGTTTCACAGGGGACGAGATATGAAGAATGAAGGCCTCCTTCATTGTTCAACTCTGTCAAGGTTCGCCCTCCATATGGCGCAGACTTGCAGACTTAAAAACTTCATGCTTTGGGCAAATGCAGAGAGTGTGAGAGAGAGGACAAGTGGACCAAGTAAAGAAGGACCCATGGATGATCTGCACTCTGAAACCCACCGAGCTCAGTTCCTGGGTCTAACGTGTGGATGTCGCACGTGCGAATATTATTTAAGGGGCTTGCCTTCTCCTTGATCTTTCTTGCCCTTTATCCTTTTTTTCTTCTTCACCTCATACCTTATTGTGTTTCTTTCTCTTCTCTTATATTCTTGACGCCACCGAAAGCGCCATGTCCGACTTGGCAACAACTCCACGTCTTTGTTTTTATTAGGAGGGATTAAACGACCAATTGATGATTGGACGTAGACTAGTGCAGTGGTGGAGTTGTGGAACAGGAATGCGTGTACCATGGCTCACATATCTAAAATTGACCATGGGCTGGGCGGTGCTTCTTCGACGTCTTCCTTGGTCTTTCTTCCCTTTCTTTTCCGCCTTTGCTCGCTCTCTCGCCACCCCTTTCTTCTCTCACCCGCCGCACTTCTTGTCTCATTCAGCATCCTCTCCTTTCCTTTCAGTCATCATCGTCCGTTATTGCATTGACTGCATTCGCAATCAACACAACCTGAATGGACATCCCCGAATTCTCTTTCTTTCCTTCTCCACACTGACAACTATAACAAACAACCGCAACAAAAAAACACGGCAAAACTGCAACTTCAACCGCAGCAAACATCAACGCACCACGCACTCCTCTCACTGTTCTTTGAGACCTCCTTCTCTCCTTTTTGACACCTACGACCAGACCGCTCACCCACACACCCATCCACCTTAGTCCTTCACTGACCCACTGCTACAAGGACAACCAAGACTTATTACAGTAACAACAAAAGCACCTGCTGCTGTTTATTTAGTTCAAAGGTGGAGTGACATTATCGTGGACAATTAAGTTGCTAACGTGTCTACTTCCTTCCTCTTCACGTTCTTCTGACTTGGACGCGGATCCGTTTGTCCTTTTTATCAAAAGAACAAAAAAAAAAGAAGCACCGCCAATATCCGCATGTAAGCCAATTTTTTTTTTAGCCTTTGTCAATATTTTTGCGAGAGGTGCATCCCTATAACCAGAAATGCTCTCTTCTAGACCTCTTCATTCTAGTAGCCTTGACCTCCACGCTCTGCCATTCGGACCCTCCACTAATTAATACCGTCCCAGCTTGGTACCTTTAGCCCAGACGCACCAGCAAATCAATGTAAGAAATAATACAACAGCGGACTCAGCGCAACCAAAGTGCAATTGGTGTGGTGACACAGTACTCTTTTCTAACATGTATTCCACTTGAATCACTGTAAATGGCACTTGTAGACCTACTTATTACCATGACAGTTCATATCATCAACGTTTTCCTCGAGAATGTGTCCAAACCGACCCTCAAGACTGACTTGCCTCGCCCTCAGCAACGCATCGAGAGGACCGAGCAGCTGATCTATTGCAACACCTTGTTGCTCCAGGATTCGCTTCCTCTCTCCTCATTTGAGCAGGACCCTACTCTTGACAAGGCTGAGGTGGCCTGGCTGGTGGAGATCAAGAATGACCCGATAGAGCAAGATCGTCTACAATGGCTGGCTAATCGTATGGTGGAGAAGTTCATCCAGGAGGGCATAAAGGATTCTACCAAGATCGCCGAGATCGTCGCCCTTGGACCCATCTTCCAGCAGGAGCCTTACCGCAAGCTGTTGTCCTCTCTCATCAAAGAGCTTGATGATTCCCTCCTTCTGAACGTTGACTTGCTCCAGGGCCTTGTCCAACTGGTACAGTCCTCCTCGCCAGGGTACCTTGTTTCTGATGACCTAATCAAGATCCTCGGTCTTCTTAGGATCCGTTTGCAAGGCACTCACCAACAGTCAACCGAGCACCCTTACTACCTCACCCTGGCAATCTCCAGAGTCCTTGATTTCATGGCTGACCACAAGATCCAGGGTCTGGACAGAATCCTTGAGCAAGAGCCTCTGTCTGGGGTCTTGTCTGGGTTGAAGGGCAGCACCAACCCTTACCTCATGTACCAGGCCTGTTATGCCTTCCAGGCCCTACAGTATGTGCCCAACAACGAAACTGTTTTGCAGGCAGTCTTGCGGCATTCGCGAGGTGTGGTGGAAGGTGTGGTCAAGGTTACGGCACTAGGCAAACTGGACCTGGGGCCGGTGCTCGAGGGACTGGGAAATCTGCAGGAGGCACTGGGCGGCATAGCTGATGTTGCTGGCACTGTGTACGAAGGAGCAAGTTCCTTGGTGGAGAGTGGTCAAGGCGTCATGGCGAGTTTGAAGGAGAGATATGGAACCGGCCAGAAGAGACCTTGGTATGCGGCCATCCGTGCCGCCTACGCATTTGCGCAAGCAGGCCAGCTGAAAGATCTGAACCGTCTAGTTTGCGAAGCCCCCTGTCATCGTGACCCTTTGTTTCAGTGGGGCGTCTGCCAGTTGCTGGGAGAGATTGCGGTCGATCCTTTGTGGTCCGTTGCCTCTCGCCAGCGAGCCATCGAACTGCTTGGTCGTCTCTACAAAGAGGATACAGACTGGGGCTGCGACGGGAGTGTCAAGGCGTGGATGCTGGCCATCGTCGACAAGCTAGTATCCATTGACGACCGAGATGTTGCCGCCAGTGCTCTGATCCTGAAACAGGAGCTCGCTTCTGAAAACACTCCTATGATGCAGCACCCGTACCCACTGAGGTCTCGCCTGCTGACCCCAGCTACGTCTTCGATCCTTGTCACGGTCCAGGACGTCCCTTACCTCGAGTACGAACTGTACAAGCTTCGATTGCAACGGCTCCAAGAATACGACGAACGGGCGATTTATGTCCTTCCGCAAGCCAAGCCATCCCTCCTGGCTAAAGATGATGAGATGTTCCCGCTGTTAGAGAAGGTGTTGGAGTTTCTTGGCAGTGACCGTCAAGTCATGTTGATCTTGGGAGACTCTGGTTCCGGCAAATCATCATTCAATCGATACCTGGAGCACGCACTTTGGACGGAGTACAAGCGAGGTGGACCCATTCCTCTGTTCATTAACTTGGCCGCTATCGACGATCCCCAGCACGACTTAGTCAGCAAGCAACTGCAGTTTCACAACTTTGATGAGGATCAGATCCTAGAGCTCAAACTGCACCGTCATTTGGTACTTATCTGTGATGGGTACGACGAAAGTCAGCAATTGGTCAACTTGCACAGAACCAACTCCTTCAATCAGCCAGACCAATGGAACACCAAGATGGTTATTAGCTGCAGGAGCCAATACCTCGGACCTTCATACCAGGACCGCTTCAAGCCCCAGTCTACCGACCGATATAAGCCAGCCCCTCACGGTGTTTTTCAGGAAGCCGTCATTGCTCCCTTCTCCAAGGAGCAGATCGAGGATTATGTTGAACAGTATGTCCCCATGGAGCCAAGGTCCTGGAGCACACAGGAGTACATAGACAAGCTAACGACTATCCCAAACCTCATGGATCTAGTCAGAAATCCGTTCCTCCTCTTACTCGCGCTTGAGGCATTGCCCGATGTCATCAAGGGTAAGCAAGACCTGTCGACTATCAAGATTGTCCGCGTTCAACTCTACGATACGTTCGTCAATCACTGGATCAACGTCAACATGCGACGACTCCAAAGCAACACCTTGTCCAAAGACGACCACAACATGCTCGAAATGCTTGAGGAGGCTGGCTTTGTGGCTATGGGTGCGGATTACTCCATGAGGCTAGCATTGTCCATGTTTGAGAAGCAGAATAGAAAGGCCGTCGTCCAGTATGTCCACCTCAAAGACAAGTCGACATGGAAAGCTGAGTTCTTTGGCCCGGATCCGGAAGTCCGGCTGCTACGGGAGGCCTCGCCATTGACCCGCTCCGGAAGTTTCTACCAATTTCTCCACCGGTCAATGCTCGAGTACTTCTTTTCCTGCACTATCGTTGGCCCCTGGAAAATTGAAGATGACGTCGACGAGTTCTCCTACCTCCAATTGCTCGATCCCGAGTGCCCTTTGTTCACACGCAGCCTCATCGCCGAGCAATCCGTCATTCAGTTTCTAAGCGAGCGGGTACAGGAGAACTCTGTCTTCAGGCTCAACCTCGAGGATATCATCACGAATTCCTGCCGCATTGCTACCTTAGCGACCGCAGCAGCTAACGCCATCACCATCCTTGTTCGAGCTGGCATCGCTTTTCATCGACACGATTTCCAAGGGGTCCGTATTCCAGGAGCAGATCTTTCTGGTGGGCAGTTTGATTCGGCGCTGTTTCAAGAAGCGGATCTTACGGGCGTCGATCTCGGGAAGGCTTGGCTACGCAAGGCAGATTTCAGCAATGCGCAGATGGAAGGCGTCCGATTTGGAGAGCTGCCGTACCTGCAAGAAGAACATCGTGCTTGGAATTGTTGCTACTCGCTCGATGGGGCTTTGCTTGCTGTAGGACTGAGTAGTGGAGGTATCGCTTTGCACGACACAGAGACTTGGAGGGAAATCTGCGTGCTAGAAGGACATGACGACGTCGCAGCATGTTTGACATTTTCACCTGACGGCCGGCGGTTGGCATCTGGGAGTGAGGACAAAGCAGTGCGAGTGTGGGATTGCAGCAGTGGCGATCTTCTTTTGACCATGGAGGCGCATACGGACGATGTGACGGCGGTGGCATTTTCTCCTTGTGGCGAGAAAATTGCATCAGCAAGCATGGATAAGACGGTGCAATTGTGGAACTCGGTGACAGGGGAGGCGCTGTTTGCGTTGTTGGGACACACAAATCTTGTTACATGTGTCAAGTTTACGCCAGATGGACGGCAGCTGGTGACGGGCGGTTGGGATGAGTCGATTCGAATCTGGGATGCAGATACTGGATCATCGGAGGATGTTTGGGAGTTGAGCCATGGACCAGTGCGATGCCTTGACATTTCACCTGGTGGACGCCGGATCGTGTCTGGGCATCGGGACGGTGGTTTGAGACTTTGGAATACCGCTTCTGGATCGGCAGGTCCTATTTTGCGTGGTCACACTAGTGACGTTTCCAACGTTATGTTCTCCACTAACGGGCAGCGGATTGCTTCAGCTAGCTATGACTCCACGGCCAGACTATGGGACACATCCGCAGGCACCTTAACCTCCGTGTTCAGTAACATGACCGCGATCTTCCATGCTTCTCTTTCGTCAGACGGTCAACATATCGCTTCCGTCGATAGTTCTAGCGAGGTGCGCCTTTGGGACGTGAGCTCGAGTGGATCCAGAATTGAACAGCATGGACATTCACTTTATGTGGTGGCAGTGGCGTACCTACCTACTGGGCAGACTATCTTGTCCGGCAGCGCGGATAGAACCATTCGACAATGGGACGCTCGAACAGGTGCTGCTGGGTCCTCCGAAGTTGTTTCCGCCAAGGTCGCGCATACCATTGCATTTTCACCGGACTTCCATCAGACGGCGGCTGGGCACATTGATGGGACTATGCAACTATGTGACCTTCGAATCGGTGAAATCGGACCTATCCTTGAAGGTCACACAGATTCTGTGTTGGGTTTGACCTTTTCGCCATGTGGTCAGTGGGTCGCATCTGCCAGCAGCGACAACACAGTTCGGCTGTGGAATCTGAAGAATACTGAGCAAGGGCATGTTCTGGCCAACATGGATTTGAAAGATTTCGGAAGGTCTTCGGTGACATTCTCGCCGACAGGACTGCAGGTTACGGCCGCGGGCATGGATGGTACGGTCAATGTTTACGACGTCCAAACAAGAAGGCTTTTGAGGACAACAGCGTTGGAGGGAAGAGTCAGAGCAGTGGCTTACTCGCCAAACGGTCAAGAGCTTGCTATCGGGGTCGAAGGCTTTTTATTCTTTTGGGACCTACAGTCTAAGGAGCCTGACTTTGGACTGGAAGTCAGCTCCTCCGGTGTTTGTTCTATTGTCTATTCACCTTGCGAGAGGTGGATCGCCTGTGGAAATCTGGATTCGACGATTCAACTGTGTCGTCGACAGTCGAGTGATATAGACGCCTGGTGTCATGTCGCTACCGTCGAGGGGTCTCTTGACACGGTCAGTGATATCGCATGGAATCCTGTTGTTCCGCTTGAGTTTGCCACCTGTGGCGATGATCGGGCTGTTCGTGTCTGGAGGATCTTGGAGGGCAACGATGGTGATGATGTCGTGTCTGTCGACTTGGTCTGGGGATCTAACGTCGGTGTGCTTGCTGCGGTCGGCATGAGACTCGACGGTGTTGTTGGTCTTGGCCCCATCAATCGGCGACTGTTGATGCAGCGCGGCGCTGTTGACGGCTCTTTGACTTTCGAGGGAGATGAATCGGACACTGACCCTGATGACAACTAAAGGACTGGATATGATGAAGGGTTGGACGGCGGTACCAGCAACGAGTCCCTGTCAGAGGATGAGAAGGAGGAGGAGGTGGAAAAGATGAATCAGGCCCCATCGAGTTGTACTGTGACGAAAGGGTGATTCCATCACACAACTATTATCAACATACTACAATTAAATTACAACATCGTATTTTGTTATTTTTGGTGAGGGACCTCAATGACTGCCAGAAAATCATAACTGACAACCAATAACAGACAAAACATCATACATGAGTGACAAAAGCAAGGAAAATTGAAAAGATGGGAAAGGAGGGTTCGCTTCTCTCGCTATTTATTTTTCTTTTTTCTCACCTCCCATTTTTTTCTTTTGTTCCTGGGGGAGAGTGTTGTTTTTGTGTTCGCGTTCAATTCTTTCATGACTCCTTCAATCACTATTCACATTTAGCCTCACTGCCATCGTCTTTTTTTGCGCCTATCTCTAAACTCGACAATATGATACTGTTCTTATTTCTTTCGTGCGATGTCGCTAGCTGTCGCAGCATTTTCCTAGAGTTGTTGTAGTTCTTAAGATGCTAAAACATCTTTCCGCAAAATGAAGAGGCAGACGTTGTATTAGGTTCAGCGAGGGAAAAAAGTGCCAATATACTAGGAAGGGGGTCCAATTGGTCATCACGGAACGTTTTTTCCCCGGTCAGTGCTGTGGCTGTACTTCCTTACCCATCATTTTTCCATCCTTTCTCAAACTTTCTGTATGCTAAGCCCGAAAGCCCATCTCTTGTTTTGATTGGACGCCCACTTCGATGTGAGAAAAAAAAGGTACGAACGGAATGTTTTTTTTTTCCCAGGGCTGTCTCTTTTGTTCGCTGTTCGCCGCTTGCCAAGAAGGATATAGCCTCTCCCTCCTCCTCTGTTAGTCAGAAATCCTCCTTGGATGGTTCTACCGCGTACGATATGGGCATGGTGCTCTTATTAATAGCCTATCCGTTTGTACAACATGGAAACGCCATCGTACAAACGTCATGTCAACAACAACAATGATGCCGATTGCTATTTTTCAAATATATAAAGGGAACCCTCAGCGCGTATATCTCCCATCATCAACAAAACAAACGAACAAAAAACAACAACAATAGCAAACACTTTCATCCTATCCCTTTCATCTTGTTCACAAATGCTTCTGCTTTCTCTCCAACAGACACTGTTCCTTGTGGGCACCCTGCTCATCCCCTCTGCATTGGCAGCCCCAAGCACACCCTCCCTCCTCGACGCATGCGGTCTCCTCGCCAACAAGAACGTCTCCTCCTTGTCCGCCACCGATGTAGCGAATTGCTACCAAGCCATTCCTTTCAATTCTAACCAAGCAAAGTCCACCCTCGAGACCGTCCATACTCTCTTCAGGGACTACTACATCTTTACCGATGCGGCCCTGAACCCTCGCGCACTCAGGCCCTTCAAGAACGAACCCGTTGATGTTTTGAAGCGATTGGAGACGATTGGCAGGACCAAGTATACCAGCGACTTCCAGTTCCATATGGATATCCGTGCGACGATTGAGGCGTTGAAGGATGGGCATGCGTCCTATGATGGTAAGGGGTTGCGCGGGCGTTGGTTTTTGTTTAACTCTCTTTTCTGTTGGTGGGCTCATTTTTCCCTCCAACAACACGTTAAAACTTAAATCTGTTTGTTACTCATTTTCGATTCTTAACGTTAGTGCACTGCTACGGCGCATATGCGTTCGTCAACCGTATCGCTCTCCACGCCCCTGTCGTCAATGACACCCAGGTAAACAAAGATGCATGTACTGAATTCATCGCTCCCTCATCCCCACTCTTATGCCCACAAGTACTAACAAGCATATCTTATCCTCTACTCATTTCTATCTCACAGCAACTGCGTGTGTTCCGCGACATTCACGATGACGAATACAAGGGCTGCATTGTCGAGAAGATCAACGGACGACCAGCTTGGTCCTACATGAAGGACTGGTCCACCAACGTCCTTGGCTACTCGCACGACCCCAACGCCCGCCTCAACATTGCATTAGCCACTCAGGTTTACAAGCCAGGCACGGGTCGGTTCCATACCTTTGATGGACTTTTCGCCACCCGCACCGTTCCCCCCGAGAGTGATGCGATCGAGTACCAACTCCGCTGTGAGGGGGCGTCGAAACCTGTTAAGGTTTTCGGGGAGTGGGTTGTTCAGCCTATGAACGAGGATTCCAAGTTTGATAGCGTTGAGTCTTTTGTCAAGAATGTCTGCCTTGCACCTGAGGATGATGGGTCTGTTCATGGTCCTACCCCTGCTCCTGTCCTTATTCTTACTCCCTCTCCCACAGGTCCCCATCTTGGTCTTGACGTGCAAGAGTTCTCCGGTGCTGAAAAGATCTTAGAAGGCAACGGCACAGTCTTTTACCACCTCAAGGAGCAGCCTCACATTGGTGTCATGGTTGTTCACAGCTTCGATATCGCCCCTACTGAGGTCGAAGGTGAGGTTGTCTTTGAGGGTCTCAAGGCCTTGCACTCCAGGAATGTGACCAACCTTGTCATCGATTTCCAAGGAAACGTTGGTGGATACGTCGAGCTCTCTGCCATTGTTGTTCAGTTGCTTTTCCCGAACAAAAGTCCCCTTGACGTTCTGTTGCAGGCCGATCAGCGAGTCACCAAGCCTCTGCAACAGGCAGCCTTGCATGGATACAAAGTCAACAACACCGAGTACATGGATGCTTCCCTCCTGGTGGACCTCAAGACCGGTCTCCCTTACAAGGACAACAGTATTTTCTCGCGCCCCGTAACCTTGACCCGTAACGGGCGCAAAAACCTATACACCGAGAGAACCGCCCTCGTTGTTCCTACCATCTCCCAGTCCCAAGTCGACGTCGTCAAGACCTTTCCCTGGACCAATAATGCCAACAACATCCGTGTCATCACTGACGGGCGCTCCGGATCCGCGACAGGTATAACGACCTACTTACTGACGAGCGAGCACAACGTCGAGGCATTCGTCGTCGGAGGCACCGCCGGTGAGGACATGTCCATGTTCTCCTTCGCTGGCGCGTCCGTCTTGGCACTCTCCGACATCCAGCAGACGTACAAGGGTCTGGGTGCTGCCAGTCCCATGAAGGATGTCCCCTTTGCGAGCACGATCCGGTTCTCGTGGTTGGAGGTGTATGCCCGGAACAGTACTATCCCCTTGGAGTATGATGCTGAGCGGTTCAGGACCAAGAACCATTTGAACTATTCAATCGAGACGTCGTTTGATAGGTCGGCAATGTGGAAACAGCTTGCTGCCCTCTCTTGGAAGTAATTAGCATTTTTTCTTCGAGTTTCCCGCTTAATTTGTGGTTTGTGCATCGTAGAATCAACGGCATATCTCATCTCCCCATTTAACTTTCCCCCCCTCGATTTGCTTCCTCCTTCCATATTCCATCCCTTCGTTACCTTTGTCCTTCATGAAGATCAAATCCAAGTAACGGTCACTCGTACCTGAATAAATCTATCGCACAAACACCTAATCATTTTCTTGTTCTTGAACCGTTGCCTTTCTCATATATTTTGCCGCTTGGAAAGAACATGGGTATCTCTCCTTACGTCCACCCTAGCACGATAAATTTCCTCCTTTTTCGCCTTTTTCCATGGTTTGTAGTTGTTCCCACCCAGATATGATTATCGTCCATATAGTATCATTCACCATCGGGCGTTGTCTGGAAGGGTCAATCAAGTGGAAACGGAAAATGAAAATGAAAATGAAAATGAAAAATTTTGCATGTTCAATTTCTGTGTGACAGGAAGCCGGTCAGTCTCCTTGCCGTTGTTCCTCTTCTCCTCCCCAAATGCAGATCAAACAATGCTTTTCCATCCTTCCCTTTTTTCCAGTGTGGAGAAAAAAAAATGGGTAGCGTAATAGAAATGAAACTGGACTAAGGTATTATTTTGACTGTTCTACTCTTTCATCCCTTTGTTATGCCTACCACTATCCCTCACTAACGATATAAAAAAGAGAGAATTAAATTTATGGGGAGAGGATGTGTACTTTTCAAAGGATAAAGGTATATACCACGACCAGAGGGGGGAGACAAGATGGGGCCTGCAAACAGCTTTGTTGACTGGTGCCTGTTGTGAAGCCACTGGTGAGGCCGTTCCTTCAAACAAGGTCTCTGTATTCGTTTTTTTTTCATGAACCAAGGACAGAGGGAGGGGGGTTGTTCTCGGTCTGATAGACTCAGGCCGCACTATGAACAAACACGGTCGCTGGTGGCTGTCGCCCAATCAGAACAGCAGGCAGACTTTGCCGTCAGTCGTAGTAATGGCAGGCTGTTTCTGCAACCGTGTCCCACCCAAAGCTCTACGGGACCACATGGAGCCAAGCCCTCTGCGGACCATGCCCGAATCAATCGGGCTCAGACTGCCTTTGAAGTTCAAGTCCCCAACTCCTGATGCGGGGTCTTCTTTATTGATACAAGAACAAGAGTGAACTTGCTGCTCCACAGCCATCCAGGGGTCACTGGATGGACGGGTGCGTGTTTTAAAAGCTGTTCCGCGCGAGTGGTCCTCTGGAATTCAGACTGGGCGGGCGTTCTTGGTCTGCCCTTCAGATCCGGACCGACCCCCTTAGAGAACTATTCGAAGCTCTGAATGGACTTTAGGTACTCGGCGACCTTGCTATTGTCACTGACCTCCAAGGCTGGCACCCATGTGGCTATACTCAAACCACCACTCTTCTGTATGATGTGATACTCTCTCCCACTGCCTTCTCCTCGATGGCTGACGACCTTGTCCACTTCGTACTCTCTGTCATCGTCCCCAGATGCCATGTTGTCATCAGCTGGCGTGTGAGGGGGGGTAGCCATGTCGAAGAACGCCTTCCGCGTGGTGAGCAAACCTCTGCTATGGGACAGCTTGACCTTGATGTTCGGAAGAGCGTACATGGTCTCCTGCTCTGTCTTGCTGGGGTAGTCAAAGCCGTCCTGAAGCCAGAGCGTATGATGTTGTTCAGTGGGTATACTCCTGAGTGCAACGAACCTCTTGATGTTCATCAGGAGACACGCTAGCTTGTACTGAGCACCGAACGTCTCTTTCTCTGCTACTTTGTTCACAACCGTATGGCTGAACTTGGTGAACGTCGACTGCATCTCCCCGAAATAGCTCTCAATACGAGAACGGAAGCTCCCGAAGATCTCATTGTAGGCCTTCTCTTCCTCAGTCAGTGCAATTCCACGCATCTTGCGGATTGGATAGCAGAAGTTCTCATACTGGAGCTCGTCCGCGCTGTCCAGTAGCTTACCGATGAATAGACTGTACCCGCCATCCAACGCAACACAGTCCAACTTGTGGATCTTGTTTTGGATGCCCATACGAAGGAGCATGGTCCCGTCATTGTAGTCACGGCATGGCGCGGGGGCGGATACAAACAAGACCATGTTGTTCATGTCTGTGCACACTTGCACACGGAAGCCCGACTTCTTCAGCTTGTATGAATACAGACTAGCTTTGTCTGCGTTCGCGTAGATGATCCTTGAGTCATGGCCGTCCAGGTTCAGTGTCACGTTCTTGAATGGCTCTGGGTTCCTTTCGGCAGCGAGATGACGCGACTTCATTGTTGAGAACATCTCAGACAGCATTGTGGTCAGAAAGCGGTTTAGTGCAGCAGGGTTGTGCATGTAGAACTCCTTGTGGATGGTGTGGAAGGAGGTCTTCGGGATGTACCGTGCCATATCGCTCAAGGAGATCCCCTTCACGAGCACGTAGAGTAGCATGACGCCCTTCTCAACATTCCTGTATGGGCAGGAGAATGCTCTAGTGCCAAAGATCACGGTCAAGAAGAAGAACACAGGTATGACCCCCAGGCGGTTCAACACAAACGTCTTGATGCTGTCGATGTCGTTCACAGCAGCGATCTCTGTGCGGTGATGCTTCACTCTGTCGATGATAGGCCAGTCCGTGTACAGGAACTTCCAGTAGTTCTGTACGATGGCATCGTACTCAAGCGCCTCATCCATATTATGACACACCAGATGCTTCTCTGAAAAAGCACACATGAGGCAAGATCACTTTTAAAGAAAACGCACGACCATGGGGCCAGAAGGCAAAGTATCTTTCTTAGAGAGCTACTCTGCCTTCTGGCCCCCGGGTAAACATTACGCCGGTCGGGTTGCCTTTTTATTCAAAGTCGGTCGAGCTACACATGGGAGGATCTGCTACTTGCTACTCTCGTGTGTGGATGCCGAAGACACTTGTGATGTACTCCACCATCTCATCCTCTGTGTGGCCCTCCTTGAGAACGAAGTTGCGGCGACTCGACTTGATGGGCGCCTCCTTGTCATCCTTGATACGCTGGAAGACATTGTGTCCTCTCGGGGAGCGGTTGAATCGTAGCTCGTTCATCACAATAGCATCGAGCTCCGGGTTGTCAGCCTTGAACTGGTTCAAGGTGCGGTCAACAGCCTTTTGCTGCAGAGTGAAGAGGCGATAACCACCGACAGGCAATGGCTGTGGCGATCGGAACTTCAAGACAACAAAGACCTCCTGCTGTCTAGGTGGCCGTGTGAGGATACGGTCACGGTTGGCTTCCTGGCGGGCACGCTCACTGTTGGTAAGGGCATCGCGAGTGTTTTGCAGCTCGAGTTGGGTCTCATCAAGCTTGGCCAGTGTGTCCTCAAGCTCTTCCTGTGTCGATGCAAGGCCATCGTTCGCATCCATGAGGTCTATCTGTGTGCTCCTGAGCTCGAGTGAGACAGCCGCCAGCTCAATGCGCAGTGCCTCAATAGCAGACTCCTGTGGCTTGTCTTGAGGCAAAGCGTGTTAGTGTGCTGGCATGCTGTTGTGAAGGCTTAGAAGCATGTAGAAGGCATGTTGAAGAAGGGACATACTGACGGTCATGGTTCAGTGTGGGTAGTGTGGGATTAGACGTGAGCGACGAAGTGGAGAGTAGGTGAATGAGGAATGGAGGAGCGAAGGAATGGAAGGCCTCCCATGGAGTGCTCAGAGTTCACTGCATTGGTGAAAGCGGGATGAGAAGAGATGTGACACATAGATGAGATTGTGATCGGCTTTTTCAACATGCACGCATTCACACTCAAACGCCATGAGGCTTTCAGTCAAGGTCACGTTTCGACCCTCCCTTATTGACATTGATTGAGCCAGACTCGCAGTACGTTTTTCTCTCTCTAGAAAGTAGATGTGAGGCTGGCTCCTTCTCATTAAGAGAGGGTTGGTCAATAAGAGATTAGTGATGCAGTGCACAGCGCAAGCTCGACTATTGAACATGTGTATTACAGACAGCTAGAAGTACAACGACTATGACGTGAAGAAGCCAGGTTTGAGCTAGATGTGAAGAAGCCAGGTTTGAGCTAGACTAGCGCGCTAAGCTAGACGCGCTGCATCTTGCCTGTTGAATGAGACGACTGCTCAGATGTGAAGAACTTCTGCTTCTTGAGCTGGAGCTCGCGTCCTGGGATCTCCGAGTGCATCTTCCTCATGAGCCACACAATCTGGCCCAGCACAGACTCGGCTTCGACTCTCCAGGTGTCCTTGTCATAGTTGATGATGTCCTTCAGCTTCGATATCCTGAACTTGGGCCGGTCTCCAGACTCTTGTGACTGGTCGATGGAGCATTCCACGAAGTACCAGTTGATGGCATCAGTGACAATGCCATACGCTCTCAAAGGGACGGAACTGTCCTCTTCTCGCTCTTCATCTCCATTGTCGTCGCTGCTGCGCTTGCGCTTTCTCACCGTCAACGATGACTCCAGCTGAACAAGGTTCTGTGCCAAACCCTTGCGGTAGTCCTCATGCTTGACCTCTGTCACGCCCAGTATGTGTCTCGAACCGTCGTTTGCAAGAGCCTCGATAGCATAGTCGACCTTGCCATGCCCGTGCCTGCCTCGAAGCGGTCTCTCAGGTGCGAGTGTCAGCTCGCCATTGAAGATCAGGACGGCCTGTGTGAGGAACGAAGCTACATAGGCAGAGCATGTGGCTTCGTTGGCTGTATCTAAGGGGACGGCCCGTATCCTGGAGTCAAGCTCGTCAAGCAGTCTCCGTAGCGACTCCTTATGTAAGTTCGAGTCAAGTGGCTCCGTCGAGATGCCGGTGAAGGGCGGTAAGTCAGACATGGTGGGTGTTTCCATGTTCGATATCTCATACAGGCTGTTGACCTCCTTGAATGTGAAATCCGTGTACTTCTTGGTCGGGGTCTCCAGAGCCACTGTTAGTGTCTTCGTGTTCGTCTTCGAGTACTGCTTGATGATATTTCTAAATCGTGTGTCGTTACTGGGGTGCTCAGTCCCTCCGCCTTCATGTTGAGGAGTCCCGCGTGCATGAATGATTGCCAACACGGCGTCGCCGTCCTCTCGGTCGGGATATTCATCGTAGATGGCCCTCTCCAGCTCCTTAATGCTCGTTGTCTCAGTGTCTGTCGTCCAGGAGAAACACTCGCTGCGGTTCGGCCGCAAGACGACGTTCAATACAACGATGCTCTTGCCCCCACGCAGGTCCTCGATCTCTTGACGAAGAGCCTCCAACTCGAGAGTGTGTGGCGTGCCTAGTTTTTTAAAAAAGCAGAGTTAAGAGATTAGTAAGCACAGTGCACGGACCATGGGGCTAGAAGGCAGAGTATCTCTCTAAGAAAGAACATCTGCCTTCTGCCCCCCTCCGGCTAAACTCGCATGCGACATCATCCGGCTAAACACATACCTTTGGATCGCTCGATAATGATGTGGATTGATTTCTTCGACAGCGTCTTCTTTTTGAAGAACTCAGAGATTTCATATGTTGCCTTGAGTTTCTCCTTTTCAGTCACAGAGTCGAGCAGAATAGGAACGTCGTCGTCGTCGTCAGGAATGGAGACGCGCCAGAGCACCAAGTTGTTGGCGGTGATGTCGTCGAAAGCGGGTGCTTGTTTGGACTTGATTGCGTCCTTGAGGTCGTCGACAGTGGCAGTTGGATTCACCTTGACCGAGAATGCACCCGACGCCGGCTCGCCGCTGATGAGACAGAAGAGTGTGAGTGTGTTTGTCGCCATGGGTGTGTGTGTGAACGGAGAGAGGTGCGCTTGTGAATGCTGTGTGTGTGTGTGTGTGTGTGTGCGAAGATGCCCACTCCTTTATTGATGGTTCTGTTGATGGTGACGTGTACAGAAAGCCAGTCACGACCATGACTCCCAGGTCTCTCTTATTGACTAACCCTCTTTAATCGACTATAACCACGTTTTTTAAGTGATCGTACCTGCCTCTCCTTACAAGACCGCCTCTCCTTCTTGCGCAGCTCAACAACATGACCCACAAGTTTGAATCCACCTACTTCTTCAAGACCGACGAGGATCAACCCAAAGGACCTCAAGCCAGATGTCACGAGTGGAGCGATAAGAACTCCCACAAGTTCTTTGTTGCCATCGATGGACCACGGCGCTTTGAGTACTCGAGCTACAAAGACCCGGCCAGGTTCTTAGAGGCGTATGCTGATGTCCCAGACGCTGAGCGATGCTTTTTTGAACAGATCCGTGAAGGCCAGGCCTGTAACGAGTACTATGACATCGACTGGACTCTCGGTCAAGTCGCAGACGAGAGCGACATCTTGAGACTGGAACAGCAGGTGTTCACTGCGTTCTTGAATGTGCGCAACCAACATGCACCAGACTATCCTCTCGACATAGCACATTGTCGTGTATTGAGTGCATCCAATAACAAGAAGATATCACTCCACATCGTCATTCCAACATATGTGTTCGAGAACAATAACATGCACATGAAAGCCTTCGTGCTTGCATTCCAGGACACTTGGAAGCGTTCGGCACCCAACGAGGACTCTGCGCTGCTCGAAGGCCATATCGATATGGGGGTCTACAACAGGAACCGAATCATGCGGATCCTTGGGAGCTGTAAGTTAAAAGAACCAAGTCGTCCACTGCTTCGAGCCGTGTGGCATGAGCCATCCATGGTGGCTGAAGACGAAGAATTTCTCATCACCAACATTGGACCTGACTGTATCCAGGTGACTTGTTCGACCCAAGAAGTCGTGCGAGCACCGTCAACGTCAAGAAGTCCTCGAACGTGTCGTGATCAAGTCCAGTCGACAATGCCCCAGCAGCTTGTGGATACTGTGAAGGCTAAGTTCATGCAGACGCCACAGGCGACCCAGTTCGAGATGCATTGCAAGCAAGACTGTGCGATGATATTCAGGCTGGAACGCAAGGCGGAGGGACACTGTATCATATGTAAGAGAGAGCACGGCCGGGAGAATGCGTATCTGAGTCTTGCTAAGTCCGGCGCGATCTTCTTTCATTGCCATCGATCCTGCAGTCCAGCAGGTGTTGAGGTGTGCAAGCGGGATCTCGCTCTTGCAGTCGAAATCGAAGTTGTTATGGCCTTACAGACGCCCCATGGACTGACGCGTGCGGACATCTTGGACGATGCTCGGTTCCTGCCCTGGAACCACCTGGCGCCACTTGAACACTTGCAACTTGGACACGGTAAGCTTGAGGTCCGTGGGCCGCAGCCTCCCAGCCTGTTGATTCGATGCGACACGGGTGGCGGCAAGACCGTGTACACAGAAGAACTTGTCAAGGCCAACAAGAAGTCCCGATTCGTTGCCATCACCTGTCGGCGGTCGCTGGCGGACATGCTGGAAGAGCGACTGGGCTTCGAGAACTACCAGGATATCTCGGACATTATTGCTTGTGACTGGGTGGTCGTTCAAGCAGAGTCGTTGTACAAAATCAATCTGAAGTTCTACTGCGAAGATACGATCCTGATCCTGGATGAAGTCAGCTCGCTGATCAAGCAGATGTGCAGCGACAAGACCCATGGCAACAAGCACAATCTCAATCTACAGGTCTTCGAGCGGCTCATCCAACGAGCGACCCGAGTAATCTGTCTTGACGCGGATCTGTCTGACGAGGAGGTCGAGATAATGAAGAGTCTTCGCAGTGACTTCATCGTCTGGAACAACACGTTCCAACAGCAGAAGGATGACAACGTTGTCTTGTTTGATTCCAAGATGAAGCTCATCCAGGAGGCACTGGACCTGCTTCGACTTCACAAGCGGCTGTGGATCTCCAGCACCATGAGTGCCAGATGTACCGAGGCATTGCATGCCATGTTAACAAAAGCAGGCTACAAGGGCAAATGCGTGACTAAGAACGTGGACGAGGCTTTCAAACGGGATGCCAGCAAGGACATCAATAACGTCATGGCCGGTCTGGATTACTTTATCCATACGCCCACCATCAGCGTCGGAGTTGACTACAACACCAAAGGCCATGTGGACTGCGTTATCGGGATCTTCAGCACATGCAGCGAAGTTGACGTTGAGAGCTGCATGCAGATGATGCGGCGTGTGCGCCATGTCAATGATAAGACATACCTGGTGCATGTAGACGCTGCCATCAAGGATCTTCCAGCTACAGCACCAGAAGTCAAGGACTGGATCTGCAATCAACTCGACATCGTTACAGGCAAAGTCCGATGGAGCTCCACATTGAAGTTGCAGTTTGACGATGCCAACAACCTCACCATCCCTGATGATCTGTATCACCGCATGTACTGCCATGTGATGGCCAAGAAGCATCTCTCCATGAACAACTTCCGGTCACGGCTTATCCGACGAATGACACAGGCTGGATGCATTGTCACCGGCAGGGGTGACAAACTTCCCAGGGGCCATCCGATTCCTAAGGAGCTGAAAGAGAAGGAGAAAGAGATCGCAGCCGCCTGGCATCAGCAGATTGCCAGCGCAGGTGCAATTAGTCCAGACGAGTTCGAGAGGCTTTCTCGTGGAACACGAGAGTTGGATTCTGATCAGCGGGCTTCAGTGCACAGGTTTGCACTCATGCGAGCGTATGATGTCCAGGAACATGGCACGATCACCGAAGAGTGGGTCAGAACGTACGACAAGCCACACGAGAAGGAGTGTTACAGGAATCTTATGGCACTGTCTCCAAGCTGTGGACCGTCTTTGAAATCATGCTTGGAGGTTGTGCAGCAGCGGGAGGACCTTGGTCAGGATTATAGTCTGCGGGGACCAACAACCGCTGACGCGCACAGCAGGCTCGAGAGATCCCAGTTCGTGAAGCTGGGATATGTGGTTGACATCCTGTTGGCTTGCGGATTCGAGGACCCGTTCGCTACTAATGAGGTACCGGCAGAGGATATCAAGAGTAGAGTCGATGGGATATGGACAGTAAGATGACCCAGATTTGCACTAGTCTCAAGATACGAAGACCAAGATCCACGAGCTGTACGTTCAAGAGCAAGCTCGCATTTATCAACACAGTGTTGCTTGAAGTCCTTGGTGCCAAGATCGGAACTCCTGAATTCAACAAGCGCAGGACAAAGTACTGCCTCAAGCACTGCTCGAGCGTCGGCTCTGCCAATGACAGCCCACTCAGGCGTCGTTCAACACAATAAACTGTCATCCTTTTAAAAGACCACGCACGTCGGTATAATGTTTACCCGGGGGCCAGAAGGCAGAGTAGGTCTCTAAGAAAGATACTCTGCCTTCTGGCCCCATGGTCCGTGCACTCTTTAAAGATGACCTGTCATGGCGAACGGCTCTTTGCGACACAAGAAGGGGGTTGTTCTCGGTCTGATAGACTCAGGCCTCACTATGAACAAACACGGTCGCTGGTGGCTGTCGCCCAATCAGAACAGCAGGCAGACTTTGCCGTCAGTCGTAGTAATGGCAGGCTGTTTCTGCAACCGTGTCCCACCCAAAGCTCTACGGGACCACATGGAGCCAAGCCCTCTGCGGACCATGCCCGAATCAATCGGGCTCAGACTGCCTTTGAAGTTCAAGTCCCCAACTCCTGATGCGGGGTCTTCTTTATTGATACAAGAACAAGAGTGAACTTGCTGCTCCACAGCCATCCAGGGGTCACTGGATGGACGGGTGCGTGTTTTAAAAGCTGTTCCGCGCGAGTGGTCCTCTGGAATTCAGACTGGGCGGGCGTTCTTGGTCTGCCCTTCAGATCCGGACCGACCCCCGAGAGCGAAATACAAACGAGTACAACAATCTAGCCCATGCACACAAGGTGCGATCTGTCAACAAATAGAAAATTTCAACTTTAAATTTTTCTTTCTTTCTAGATGCGAGAGAGTCATTCATCCTTTCTTTGTTTTCTTCTTCCAATGCCACTTTTTTTTCCCGCGGATATTTTTTCCTCGGAGACGCAGATACAAAAGTCAAGCCTAGGCACTACCATGGATCAAGGACCAACGTGAGGATAAAAGGATGTCTTTGTAAAGGTAGGTCTTTGGTACTTGTATAAAAATTTGACTATGGGATGGCAAAACCCCCCAAAAAAAAAAAAAAAAAAAAAAAAAAACACGGTTGCACAAACACCACACAATGACCTTGCTCCTCAGTCAAATCTTGTTAGCCTCTTTCGCTGCTCTGGTTGCCTTCAGCAATGCCACCCCATCCTCCTCTATATCTGTGACTATTAACCTCACTTCCACCACCCATGGGTGTGCTCATTCCAGCAACCTTACCGCCACTACTGACCCTTGCAGTATCCTCGCTCATATCAATCCCAAAGCTGTCAAATACAACCATGTCGTCAACTGCTACAACGCCATCCCTTTTGATAATGTTCGAGCTGCTGCTACCCTCACTGCCATGATCATTATCTTTCGAGACTATTATGTCTTTACTGACGATGCCCTTTCTCCGACTGCTACCCTACCATTTGCGAACGCCCCACATGATATTCTTGGAGAGCTGGAGAAGATTGGTCGGAAAAAGTATACCAGCGACTACCAGTTCCATAAGGATATGCTTGTTGCTATCACTGGTCTGCACGATGGTCATGCTGCGTACCAGAGTAAGTAGTATTAATGCACCTCGGGCTTATATTTGTTTCAAGAAAAAAAAACGATGGGATCGATCGTTGACTTTTTAATGCTTGCTATTATTTCCCCTTTCTAGTCAGCTGTTACAGGTCTTATCACTTTGCTCAGCACATTGCTCTCTACGCCCCTGTTGTTGATGGTCATCAGGCAATTATCTTCGAATACCGAGATACCAATTTTTTTAGTTGATACTACCTGCACATTGCACCATACATCGCGCTCATACTTCCTACTTCTAACTCGCCATGCATTTTATTTAGTTTGTCCATGTGTACGTCGATTCAGTCAAGCGCGGCTATTAAGACTGCATAGTCGAGACTATCAATGGCGAGGACGCTCTCACCCACTCCACACCTACGCCAGAGACATTCAAGGACGATCCCATGACCCCAACGCCCGTCTCAACTTCATGCTCGCCTCACAGACTTACAACATCGCCAGTCGGAAATTTACTCTCTCACCTGGTGATTTTGCTTTCCGTGAGACTATTCCCAAAACCCCATACCTTGACTACCAACTCAAGTGCGGCAACTCGACGGAACCTATTTTGCTCCGAGATGAGTGGCGGATCTTTCCTAAAGTCGTACCTGCTTTCATGGACGCTGCCTCCTTTTTTCAGAACGTTTGTCTTGTCCCACCTGAGACCGATGGTGATGATGCTCGTCCAGCTGTGGGTGGTATTGTCCTCCTCCGCCGCAAATTTGACCCCGTCCCTCAGATCAAGATGCATGACGAGGGCGAACCCATGCCTGACCCCTTTATCCTTCCACCACCTCCACCTACTATCAAAGAGTTCCCTGGCGCAGAAACCCTCGTCACCGGCAATGCTACAGTTTTCTTTCACCTCAAGGATCGACCCGACACTGGAGTTCTTGTCTGCCACACCTTCTTACCCAGCGACATCGATGCAGAAAAAGATTTCATCCTTGCAGGATTGAGAGCCTTCCACCTACACAACGTGACCAACATTGTCCTCGATTTCCAGGGCAACACTGGTGGATCGATCGAATTAGCTACTTTCATGGTCTAAATGCTTTTCCCCAACAAGCAGCCACTCGACTTTGTCTTCACTTCTGACATGCGCGTGTCCAAGTCACTCCAGAGGCTGGCCAAGCGGAGTTATGGTATAGCCGACTATGGATTCTTCAAGCCCATGACTTTATCAATTTTTCCAACGGTTCCGCGCACTACGAAAACAACGACCTCTTCACCAAGCCCATCGTCTCCATGCGCAATGGTCGCCGAAACCTCTGGACTGAAAAGACTGCCTTTGTGTACACACCCCTCACCGCAGAACAACAAGCCACTATCGCCGAGTTTCCCTGGACGGTCATGGCTGAGAATATTCGCCTCTTGACCGATGGTCGCTGCGGATCAGTCTGTGGCATGGCGGGATACTTTTACACCACAGAGCATAATGTTGAGTCGCATACCATCGGTGGCACATTCGGTGAGGACCTATCCATGTTCTCCTTTGCTGGCGCCTCGGTCCTCCGGCTTTCCGAGATACAAGACTTCTACAGCTCTGCAAATCTGACAAGTTCCATGTCCGACCTGCCCTACCAGAGCATCGTGACCTTCTCGTGGTTGGAGTTGTATGGCAAAGGGCGTACCATTCCACTTGAATATGATGCACAGTTGTATCGGCCCAAGCGTAGATTGAATTTTACACCCACGAATGCCCGTAGTAGAGAAGTCCTTTGGAAGGAGGTTGCTGCTGGGTCTTGGAAGTAAGTATTCGCAGAAGTACCACATTTTTTTATATATATCTAGACTTTATGTCTTTTACATATCATTTGTAGATGCAGGTTTTTTTTCCCTAATCGAAATATAGTCACCTTCTTTACAATTCGACAAAAAACCACGCCTGTGCATGCTTGGTTCAATGAGTAAGAAACAAAGAAGGAAATGACAAAAAGATATCGCTAGGCCTAACTCTCGTTGAGACATTTCCAAAAATGCATGTCTGTGATGGCTGTGAATGGCTCTTTGGACCACTTCAGCAGACTGATCCTTGACGCGACAAAAAAGGAATCGTTCAGGAACGGAGATGTCTTTTCGCGTCTAATTGGCTGTTGATGGACTGGAAAAAAATTTAATCAAGCAAAATCATCCGTACCTGATTCCCTCTTATTTGCCGTTTCTATTATCGATCTTTTTCACTTCTCTTTTCTACTTCTTCCAGTCTCCTCGGACAAGAACGACCTCTGCATTTCGTTGGGTGCGTAAAAAAATATTGTTCATTCATGCCGCCCTTCACCACAAAGAAATTAAAAAAGCAGTCACTCCTACAGAAAAAGGTAAAGAGGCCAAGAAGAAAAGTTGAGGTGGAGCTAAAATAGAAAAGGTTCCACCGCCTCACCCAAGCCCGGTCCGTCTGTTGCATTCTATTCCTCCCCTCTCACCCCTTTCTGCCCTAGTTCTTCTATTTTACGCGGAATCATTACCCTTCTATCCTTACCGTTGCCATTATCAACTGCACCACCAATTGACAAAAGACAACAATATAACCCGACAATGTGGTGTCACGAAAATAGAAATGGCATCGAAAGAAAAGAATCGTGGATAGAGGGAACTTTGTGTTAGTATGAAGGGCTGAGCGAAACAAAGAATTATCATTCTATAAAAGAATATTCGGGCACCTTCTGGCAACTACGATATGCCCTCTCCTTCCCCATTTTTCCTACTAAGCCCCCTGTGTGATAATTTATTGGGCTTGTTTTACATGAAGTGCAAAAATACCATTAATTTTGCACTGCCACCAGCAACGAAGCTGAAAGACACGTCTCTTCGTTTTCTTCTTTTTTCCTTCCCCCTAGTGTGCACGTCCACATGTACGACCAATGATGCCGTGCGTCGCCTTGGGTTTTGAGAGCCCAGAGCGCCTGGTCGTGAGGTAAGAGTTGACTCTGGAGAAGAAAAATGGTAATCGCCGTTTTGGTTATCAGGCGTGGCTATGCCTCAGGAATTCGTATAAATATTCGACCGTTGACCCCTCGGAAGAGTTCATCACAACCAACAAACACAGCAACTAAGCAACTAAGCAAGGCATTCCTCTTTACCTCAATCTACTATTACGTTATTACATATCACCAACAACAAAAAAAAAACACATACACGAAATCACAATGGTCCTCCTTCACAGTCTGATCTTGTCTGCTTCTGTCGCTGCTCTTGCAGTTCTCAGCAATGCAGCCCCTACCCCTTCCGACTCTATGACCATCAAGCCCACTCCCACCGCCCACCGCGAGCCTACTCCTACGGCAACCACCGAGCCCAACCCTGGCCACCCTCATGCCCACACTGACGCATGTGGTGTCCTCGCAAGCACAAACTACACAGAGTTGAAGTACAAGCACGTCGTCGACTGTTACAACTCCATTCCCTTCGACAGCGCTCAGGCTGCTACCGCCCTCTCTACCGTGCTTACTATCTTCAAGGATTACTATGTGTTTACCGATTCCGCTCTCGCTCGCACTGTACCTGAGCCTTTTGCCGATGCTCCTTATGATATTGTCGGAGAGCTTGAGAAGATTGGTCGCAGGAAGTATACCAGTGATTACAAGTTCCATAACGATATCCTTGAAGCTGTCACTGGGCTCGGTGATGGTCATGCTGACTACCAAAGTATGTACTTGGTGACACATAAATGCCTGCTTGCGACTTTTCTGTGCAAAATAATGTTGGAGTCGACTACTAACATCTTTTTTATCTTTCTACTTTTTCTTGGTGTCTTCTAGTCAACTGCTACCAATCCTTCGCTTTTGTCCAGAACCTTTACCTCTATGCTCCTGTCGTCGACGGTGAACAGGCAAGTGCTATTCCACTATTAGTTCTCTACTCCATGCCATCTAAGCACAGCCAATTTTTTCGCAAGCCCACAGAAAGAGCTAACACCATTTCTTCATTCCTCTCTTGCTTATAGTCTGTTCGGGTCTACCTCGACAAGGCCAAACGCGGATATGATGACTGCATCGTCGAAACCATCAACGGCGAAGATGCACTCTCTTACCTCCGAACCTACGCCAGAGATGTCTTTGGTGTCTCCCACGACCCCAATGCCCGCCTCAACTTTATGTTGGCCTCGCAGTCCTACGACACTGCCAGCGGTCTCTTCACTGACTACCCAGGCGGATTTTCTCAGCGCTTCACTGTTCCTCAGGGCCCTTATCTTGACTACCGACTCAAGTGCCCCCACAAGGCCGACACCACCGAACTTCGTGAGGAGTGGCGCGTTCTCCCTCAGATCAAGGCTTCCTATACAGATGCAGCCTCGTACGTTGCAAACATCTGTATGGAGCCTCCTGTGACTATTGGGCCTCCTGCTGAAAGTGGCCCTCTCCGTCGCAGAAATGAGCCCGTCCACCGTATCACCAAACGTGCCGAGCTCGAGCCTACCCCTCCTCCTATCGGTCCCCAGTTCCCTGGTGCTGATGTCCTCGTCACCGGCAACGCCACTGTCTTCTACCATCTCAAGAATCAGCCCAACACCGGGGTTTTAGTCTGCTACACTTTCGACCCCAGCGATGACGCAGCAGAGAAGGATGTTATTCTTGCGGGATTGAAAGCCTTCCATGCCCACAACGTGACCAACATCCTTGTCGATTTCCAGGGTAACACCGGTGGATCAGTTGATCTGTCTGCTTTCCTAGTCCAGATGCTGTTCCCCAACAAGAACCCACTTGACGCTGCCTTCCCATGTGACATGCGTGTTTCCAAGCCCCTCCAGAACCTCGCCAAGTTGAGCTACGGCATCTCCGACTCTAGTTTCTTCGACGCCCACGAATACATCAACTTCTCCAACGGAACTGCAGTCTACGAGAATAACGACCTCTTCGACAAGCCTGTCACCCTAAACCGTAACGGCCGCCGCAGCCTCTGGACCGAAATAACTACCCTTAAATTTCCACCCATAGAAAGCAAGCACATTACCCCTGTCGCCTCCTTCCCCTGGACCGCAAATCCTGAAAACATCCGCATCCTCACTGACGGCCGCTGTGGGTCCGCCTGCGGCATGGCCGCTTACTTTTGGACAGCCCTTCACGACGTCGCCGCCTACGCCATCGGTGGTACCCACGGCGAAGACCTGTCCATGTTCTCCTTTGCCGGCGCTTCCGTCATGGAGTTCTCCGCACTCCAGGACTTCTACAAGTCTGCTGACTTGATCAGTCCATTGACCGGCTTGCCCTACAAAAACAAGATTACTTTCCCATGGTTGGAGATGTATGGCCATGGACGTACGACTCCTTTGGAGTATGATGCAGAGCTGTACCGCCCTAGGCATAGGTTGGGGTTCACGCCCAAAAATGCGCGTAGCCGGGAGGTATTGTGGAAGGAGGTGGCTGCTGCTGCTTGGAAGTAAGGTTGATATCCTATGGTGTGGAGGGAAGTCATTTTGTTATTTACTTGCGCCAGATATATGTTGTATTATATCCTTTTTATTTATCTTCAATAAATACATACTCGAGCAAAGCTCTTTCTTATCAACAACAAAGATAACAAGGTTGAGGAGTTGAGTGAGTAATGATAACTGAATGAGAACTTGGGCCGGTTGTAGTAGAAGTATCGAGCGAGATGCTGAGATAGTAGCATCTTCTAGCTACATGTTGATTTTCCCAAATGGAAAAAAAAAGAGAACTTAGCGAAAGGTTGGCGGCACGACGAGGTTCATTTACGTACTCGCGAGTATACAAACAGCCTGAAGAGTAGACGTCGACGCCCAATGTGGAGAACAGAAATTAGTTCTCCACGCTGCACTATTCCTTGCCAGTCATAAAAGACAGAAAGAAGGTGCATGTGAAGCAAGGCTCTCAAGGAATGACAACCAGCCCAATTGCTTATTTCAAGCGTCAAAATAAACCGACAATGATCGCGGGTGGGGGGGGGGGGCTGTACAACAACCCCGTAGCCTAATCTCCCAAAAATAACCTTCTTTCGTGTCGCAGGTTACTGCTTTGTGAGATTAGAAAGAGGGCTGGTCTGAAAAAACACAACCAGCCTTGCTTGGCTGATTGGCCCTTTCGTGTTGTCCATGTTAGTACCACATGAGGGTACAAGAACTTTGATAAATAGCGGACTCTGGCCCCCCAAACATAGCGTATCATTACCAACAACAACAAACAAAAAGCTCCAAAAAAAAGAATTAACGGTCACATTTACACAGCGTATATCATCCCTCCTTTCATCATGGCCCCCATTTTCAAGCCGATCTTGTCAGCGTCCCTCGCCACCCTGGCGTTCACACACGCTGCCCCAGCCCACGCCCCACCGACCCACGCCGATGCTTGCGGCATCATCAGAGGACTCAACGCCACAGCTATCACATGCAAGCATGTCGTCGACCTCTACAGCGCCATTCCCTTCGACAACAACCTGGCCAGCACCACCCTCTCAACCATGCTCACCCTCTTCAAGGACTTCTACGTCTTCACTGACTCTGCCCTCTCCCCAACCGCCACCAGACCCTTCAGCGACGACCCCGTCGACATTATCGCGAAAATGGAAAAGTTTGGTCGTACGCGGTATACCAGTGACTACCAGTTCCACACCGATATCCACAATGCCGTTAACAGTCTGCGAGATGCTCACACGGCCTACTACAATAAGCTATAGCTTGTGTGTGTGCATGTGTGTATCCAGAAGATATGAGGAACTACTCTGTGTATTTTTTCCTCACACCTGCATAATTTTTTTTAACCATTTTTGTCTTGTATAGTTGACTGCTACCTGTCATACTCCTTCGTCCAGAAGCTCTCCCTCTACGCTCCCGTCGTTGATGGCAAACAGGTACGTAAATCCTTCAGTAGCATGTACTTTGACACTCATGAGTGGCATTGACGCTCGACTGTACTGTCAACATAATCAACGGTCAGGACGCTCTCACCTACCTCAAAAGTTATGCCCGAGATGTCATCGGCCGCTCTCACGACCCCAACGCCCGTCTCAACTCTCTTCTCGCAACTCTAGGCTTTGAAAAGGAGAAAGGAATTTTTACTGAAAACCTTGGTGGTTTTGCCCTGCGAATGACAGTCCCCGAGGCACCTTACGTCGACTACCAGCTCCAGTGCCCTCACTTGACCCAGCCCGTCAACCTCCGTGATGAGTGGGATATCTTTCCTTGGACTAAAGCTACCTTTCACCTACCGAGACCGCCCCTGCATCATCCCAGAACAGTGCACAGGACAAGATTCTGTTCAAGCCTATTCCCCAGATTATTAAACGTGCCGAGTCCGAGCCCGAAACCGTCACTCCTGGTCACCAGTACTCTGGCGCTAAGCAGCTTCTTGCCGGTAATGCCACCGTCTTTTACCATCTCAAGGATCGGCCCGACACCGGAGTCGTGGTATGTCATACCTTCCACGTTGAGGAAGAAGAGCGGGATGTTATGATGGAGGGATTGGAGGCATTCAACAGACGCAATGTCACCAACATCATTGTCGACCTTCAGGGAAACACTGGTGGATATGCCAACTACGCTGCCTTCCTGCCCGACATCTTGTTCCCCAGCTCCCACTATCTGCCAGGCAGCCTCACATCTGATCTCCGCGTCAGCAAGTCCGTCCAGCAGATCTCAGCAAAGGGATACAACAACTCACAGTCTGGATTTTTTGACGCCAGCTCTTTTATCAACATGAACAACGGCTCCTCCGTCTACCAGAACAACGACCTCTTCGACAAACCCGTCACCATCACCCGTAACGGTCGCACCAACCTCTGGACCGAAAAGACGCAACCGTACTCGACCGAAGCACCAGCCAACTACTTTGCTGACGCAGTTCCTTTCCCCTGGTCGGACAAGGTCAACAACATCCGCGTCTTGACCGATGGTCTCTGCGGATCTGCCTGTGCCATGTCTGCATACTATTTCGCTCACCGCTACAATGTCCCTACATACTCTACCGGTGGTACCCATGGAGAAGACCTATCCATGTTTTCGTTTGCTGGCGCGTCAGTGGCTGAGTTGGGCAAAGTCCAGAATTGGTACAAGACGTCCAACATGACTTGCCCCATGGCGGAGATCCCCTACAGGAGTACGATTACCTTCTCTTGGTTGGAGACGTATGGTGAGGGACGATCCACGCCTCTGGAGTATGATGCTGAGCTGTACTGGCCTACTTATCGTCTTGATTATACGCCTGCTAACGCTCATAGTCGGGAAGCGATGTGGAAGGATGTTGCTGCTGCTTCGTGGAAGTAGTTGACATTTTTATTTTATTTTATTTAGATTAGAGGGTGGCATGTGCAGTACCACAGTGTAGTAAAAAAAAAAACTTTGTTCCGAAACGAATCAATTGATGGCGTATTGGTACTTCCATTTCACATAGATTTTGTTTAATCTTTTGTTTCTACATCAAGGGATGAGTGATCAGAAACCTACGACGGCGGCAAGAAAAGTGATGTCAATAGTCTCACTTGGTGATTATTGTCAGATCCAGGGAAAATTAGGACTGGGACATTGACCAGAAGAAATTAGATAGCGAACGACCATCCTCACTTCTCCAAGCCAACCTACCTACGAACCCCAACGCCCTCTACATATACCCTTGTAAAGTGGCATGATATTTTTATTAGTTATCCTCCTAGAGTGTCAAAGTCCACATACGTTTGTCAGCGCACTACCTCTTAGAACGCCGATGTGAGCTTTCGAAGAGACACAACCTTCTCATATGCATTTTTTTTTTGGTTGTGAACACGGTTCCTCATTGTACTTGGTTTGTGGCGTAAGAACATGAAGAATAAGCAAAGATGACGAGGAGAAAAGTGGGCAGATGGATGGTCTATGAAGGAGAGCGAATGAATGCAATTTGGCGACACTATTCTGGGGTGAGTAGTGAACAACAATAAGCGAAGACACAAGGCAAAGGTTGAGGCACGACTGTCATCTCGTCTTGGTGTCTGGGCAGAGTCGAGTGTACGTAGCTGTTCTTCAAGAAAAAACTGGCCTCCAATCGGACGAGACCCAATGATCGAGTCCAAGAAAAACAAAGAAAATGGAGTCGCTCATGGTTCAGTTCAATGTTTGTGGGAAACAAGCATTAGTATATATCTTTTTTGTTAGCACTTTATGTTGTCATTATATTTGCTAAGGAACGCCGTACATGCTCTTGTTTTAGTACTTTAACCAGACATCAAGCGTTCCCTCTCTCTCTCTCTGCCCTTTCACAGGAATGAACGTTTCATTACAAGAAAAAAAAAGCGCCAATTCCGTACCCCAAAGAAATACCCAGATGAAAGATATCCTGGAGAATTAAATTCTCTTCCCTTTATCTCTCATTGGTCTCTTTGCTCTCCTGAGAAATGGTGGCTACAGCGGGTTCCAAAGAATAACTTTCTCTTTGTCCAGTGACACAATTTTACCTTACTAGGAGTATATGCCTCAGCCCACCTGGCCGTTCAACAAAAAATCTTTTTTTAGTCTCCTCAAATCGATACCATTGTAATTGCTCACACCGTCCCTTGCATAAAATAAACGACATGGGTCTGGTTACAAACAAACAAATGACACCCTCCAAAAGAGTGGGAGCAATAATTGTAGAATCCTGGGCTAGCTAGGGTCCTCATTATTTCATTTGCTGAGAACCTGTTGGGTACCCCATCTGCGATTAATTTTGTTACGCCGAGGCTTCGTGGAGTGGGCTGTGAAAACGACATTTTCTATCTTGGAGTTGGAAGGTATCAAAAAAAAAGCGTACGGCTGTAGCATTGATGTTAAAAAAATTGCGACGGTCTATTGATGTAGTTATTATCTTGTTGAGAATGAAGACAAGCCTACAGATGTTTTGTTTTTATACAAAAGAAGACAGGGTTTGGAGGGAAAGAAGAAAAAAAAACAAGCAACTCTACTTTTCTCCACTCTATTATACCCTCACCAATATACACTCCTCTACAATCCGCCTAGATACCAAAAATAATAATAATATACCTTCTCCTGCCATTTAAACATGGTCTCTTTTACCCTGAACAACCTAATCCTTTCGGCAACTCTGGCTGCTGCAACTGTAGCCACACTCTCCTCAGCCGCCCCTGCCGTCCATATTCCTCGCGGCACAGCCTCGTCTGACCCCTGCGCTCGTCTCGGGGCCAAGAACGGCCGCAACATCAAGTACAAGGACGTCGCCGACTGCTACCAAGCAATCCCAATTGACCGTAACCTCGCTGCCACAACGATTAACACCGTCCACGATCTTTTCAGGGACTACTATGTCTTTACTGATTCGGCCTTGACGCCGCGGGTTCCCGCCCCTTTTACCAGCGAGCCTGTCAATATTTTAAAGGCGCTGAAGACGATTGGTGGGCGCAAGTATACCAGCGACTACCAGTTCCATACCGACGTCCGACATGCTATTGACACTCTGCGAGACGGACATGCTTCCTACGATGGTACGCTTTTTCCTTGATCTTTTTTGCTTGTGTTTGCGAATATATGAATGCGTCAGCCACAAAACGCTCATGTCCTTATTACCTTTTCTTCTTTTTTTAGTTACGTGCTATAACAACTATAGTTTCGAACAGAACCTCAGTCTTTATGCGCCTGTCGAGAACGGTGTTCAGGTACACATTTATTTCGTGTAACTTTTTTTGCTCAATTGTGCTTCCTTCATCATTCAAATCACTAACTTTAATTCTTTTACTTCTAGGCACTTCGAGTGTACAGAGACAACGCCAACAGAGGCTACGAAGACTGCATCGTCGACAAGATCGACGGCAAGCCTGCCCTCGCCCACATCCGCGCCTGGGCCACTCAGAGAGTCTCCTGCTCCCACGACGTCAGCGCCCGTCAGAACTGCGCACTTGCCCGGCAGGGCTACGATGTCAAGAAGGCTGCCTTCCTGGATGAGCCGGGCGAGTTCTCGTACCAGTCGTACCTTCCTGAGAAGGGGTATGTTGATTATGAACTTCACTGCAGCAACAAGAAACCGTCCCATCCAATCCATCTTCGGGAGGAATGGCACGTGTATCCTCAGTCAGAGATCGCCTTTGAAGATGTTGAGTCCTATGTCGCCAATGTCTGCTTGAAAGGAGAGGAGGAACCTGAATCGAGTCCTCAAGGTCTCTCTCGCCCTCATCGCAGGAACTTGGCTATTCCCAACAAGAAACGTGGCCTCGAGGAGGAGGAAGCCCTTGCTGCTGCCGCTGGAATGGCCCGCCGTCGTCAAGAGTTCGGTGAAGCTGAAAAACTTGTCTCTGGCAACGCGACCGTTTTTTACCACCTCAAGACTCAGCCTGATACCGGCGTTATGGTTGTCCATACCTTCGATGCTCAGGATACAGAAGTCAACACCGTCCTCAGGGGCCTCACCGCTTTTAGCAACCGGAACGTCACCAAGATCCTCGTCGATTTCCAAGGCAATGGCGGTGGGCTGATCTCCTTGTCTTCGAACTTGGTCCAGATGCTGTTCCCCAACAGGCGGCCACGCGATGCTTCTTACGAAGCGGACCTGCGAGTCACCAAGTCTGTCCAGAGAGCGGCTGCTGCGGGATTCATGGCGGAAGATGGAGGGTACAACATCTACAACGCCAACGGGTACTACGACCTTAAAGCTGCAGGACCGGCACGTCAATACGACAACACCAACTTATTTACAAAGCCTGTCAACATTAGTCGCAACGGACGTACCACTTTGTACACGCAAAAGACGGCCATGTACTTTGACCCCCTGCCCAAGAATATCCTGAATGCCGTCACCAAATTCCCCTGGACTGGTCGCCGTGAGAACATTCGCATCTTGACCGACGGTCGCTGCGGATCTGCCTGTGGCATGGTCAGCTACTTCTGGACAACAACCCACGGAGTCGAGGCGTACTCGATCGGTGGCGCCAAGGGCGAGGACCTTTCCATGTTCTCCTTTGCCGGTGCCTCAGTCCTCACCCTGAAGGACATCCACGATACGTACAGCGGCCTGAACCTGACCAGTCCCTTGGGGGACCTGGCATACAAAAACGAGGTGCGCTTCTCGTGGTTGGAGCTGTACGGCAAGAACAGGACAACTCCATTGGAATACGATGCCAAGTTGTATCGCTCCAAGCATCGATTGGACTATACCAGTGCGAATGCGCGCAGTCGTGAGGCGATGTGGAAGGAGGTTGTTGCTGATGCCTGGGAGTAGCCCCTTCATAAATTATATTTTTGATCAATTTTTTTACAAGGGTAGCTTTTTTTTGTCACAAACTTTACTTGATCAGTCAAACAAACAATTGGTAACACGCGTTTTCATACTTTGCAAGTCTTGATCAGCCACGTCGTCTTATCGCACTGAGGATCCGCAGTAGATCAATGTGCCCAGGTCTTCAGCGGAAATAAAAGTTTTATTATTTTCCTCTCCTCACTAACATTCTGCTTTCTGCTTGGCCACCATGAGTAGATGTTTGTGTTAACCACCAGCGACATGAATGGTGCTGATGTACCTTTGTCCTAACCATCACGTGATTATAGCGCAATTCAAGCTTCTTTGGTGATGGGAGTGCTGGATGACTTTGATGTCCGTTGGGTGTGATTCCGTTATGTTGTTGGTTGATGCGGTTACGTTTTGGATGGCGTGAGAATAAGGAATAAGAAAAGGAAAGGAAGATGGGGCGAGACTGGCAAAAGGAATTTCTCCTCGGGAGATGCTTTTGGGCCATGGTCCATGGGAACTGTCAATTAGAGAAATCCTCAATTAGAGGTCGGCCTAGATTTTGCCCTTCTCAGTCCATATATGAGAGCGACCTTGTCGGTGGGGAACTTTGTTGAACCCTAATTGTGAATATACCTTCACCAAGTCTCAAATGGCCATGTCCTCTTTCGTTCCCTCTCGCCACGCACACGTTCTCTACTAGACAATTCAGCTCCCCGCCCTGTCCCCTCTCTCTTCTTGCCATGCATCCTACAACGTCGATTTTTTTTCTTTGATGCCTGTAGCATTGTTCAATCTCCTCGATGCGCGGAAGAATAAAGCGATGGCGCATGGACTTGTGCAGCTCAAAATCTTGCATTCGATCCCCCAGTCAGGGCCTGTCGCCAGGGTTGGGGGTCTGGATTGTTTTGTGTTATGTGTACTTTTATTCTCATCTTAGAAAAGGGATAGAGAAAAAAAAGGCCGGGCATGCCAGACAAGTGAAGAAAGGTATGATTGTACCCTTGGAGTAGAAAGAGCAAAAAAAAATGGGCACCTGTAGATCTGTGCCTGGACCTGTGCCTGGACCTGTGCCTGGACCTGCAATAACATCACTGGCGCACAGCCAATAATTTTTCCGAAAACAAGAGGTTGGATGGCAGCGGAAACCTTAATCTGATCCCCTGTCAAGAAAACTCCGTGGAGAAAAGGGTAGGATGTTTGTTGCTGCCATTGTCATCTGCCGACGCCACAATAATACAACGCTCTTCAAGGGGGAAAAGCCCTGAGGTTGGTCTAACAATAAACCCTGTCAGTCTGTACATGACAATGTTTACTCACCAACTGTCTTCACCCCTGAGAGTGCGCCTAGATCGGGGCGATCTGGCTGATTCTGTTTGAATAAATAGGGCCAATCCACACACACACCCAACCTCTCTTCACTTTTACATCCTTCCCCTCTCTTTCTTCCTCTATCTTCACTGACAGTAAAAGCAACAAATCGCCACAAAGCAAACAAAAAAAACAACAGCACATACACGCACCCACAGGAAAACCAATGCTCATATCAACACTCAACAGCCTAGTTCTCTCGGCTTCAGTCGCCATCTTGGTCGCATTCACCACAGCTGCGCCTACACCTCTTCGACTCGATCCCTGCGGAATCCTTGGTGCCAAGCAATTCATACCCTTTACAGTCACATATGAAGACGTCGCCGACTGCTACGAAGCCATCCCTTATAACAACGCCAACGCTGCCACGACTCTCTCTACTATCTACACAATGTTCAACGAGTTCTACGTCTTCCGTAATGCTGCCCTGACCCCCGATCTCCCTGCACCCTTTTCGAGTCCTCCGACGGACATTGTTGAGAGGTTAAAGATGATTTTTTACAACCGAGTATACCAGAGACTTTCAGTTCCATGACGATATCCGGCGAGCTCTTAACTCTTTATATGATGCCCATGCCACTTGCAATGGTGAGTGACATGACAGTATCGTACTTTTTCTTTGAGTGTGGCTGTGCAAGGATATTAAACAAGGTGCTAACAACGTCAACTTTTTCCATTTTTTTTTCATTATTTAGTCAACTGCTACTCGAAGTTTTACTTTGTGCAGGCACTTTCATTTTATGCACCTCTCATCAATGGTGTTCAGGTATGACATACAGGCCCAACAGAAAAAGAAAAGCTCTCGTGCAACCGCAAGGCCTATCATCTTGGCCCTGATATTTACTTTGTACCTTGTTATCATTTACAGCAAGTTCGAGTTTATTCTGACCGCAGTGAAAGATCTCAGAACTACTCGGACTGTTGTGTTTTGACAATCGAAGGTATCGATGCCTTGACTTACATCAAGACCTGGGCTGACGAGGAGGTTAACTTCTCGCGCGACGCCGGCGTTCGGCTCAACCATGCTCTGAGTACCCAGACATATGATCCCAAGACCAAGACGTTTATTGAAAGTATCAGTCCCTTTAGTGTTCGAACCAACCTGCCGGATACGGAATCTCTCCAGTATGAGATCCAGTGTGGACAAGCCGAGCCCGTTTTCTTGGATGAGAGTGGGCAGTTCATGTTGAGAACAAGGCCCCATTCAAGGATGTGGACTCGTTTATACATAATGTATGCGTGGCTGAGCCCAGAGCTGGGGAGCTTACGGTAGGCGAGTTGCTTGCAGCGCCAGCTGAGACCATAAGTCTCCTTTTCAACAAAAGAGAGGGGCCCGCTCGTCACCAGATGCAATTTACCTTCCAGGCGCCATCTACTGAAGATGCTCCACTCACTTCTTTTTCAGATGGTCCCGCTTCTGCAACAGTTCCCTGGAGCCGAATTGATCACTACCGGCAATGAGTCTGCCTTCTGCCACCTCAGTTCCCAGCCCGATGTCGGTATCATTGTCATTTCGAGCCTCAGAGCGGATCCAAGATTGGAGCTGCCCAATTATATCAACGCCTTGTAGTCCTTTCACACCCGCGGTGTCACCAAGTTAGTCATTGATCTGCAGGGCAACTCTGGAGGATTATCAATCTTGCCGCCAACACCATCCAGACCTTCTTCCCAAGCAACGAGTCCATGTCCACAAGCTTGGCGTCAGATCTTCGTGCGACTCCCGTGATCCAACAAGTCGCTGAAGCCTCCTTCCGCAAGACCCAAACCCTCTACGATGCCAGCTGTTTCATCGACTTTGATAACAAGAACCGACCCTACACCAACAACAATCTCTTTTCTCAGTCCATCTCCTATACCCGTTCCGGTCGCACCTCTAACTATACCCACCGTACCAGCCTCATTGACCTTCTAACCCCAATCGATCCTGTCCTGTCCACCTTTGCATGGACAAATAACGCATCCAACATTCGCATCCTCACCGACGGCCGCTGCGGGTCCGCCTGCGCAATCTTCACCCATTTCCTGTCAAACGTCCACAAAGTCGACGCATACGCTGTCGGCGGCATCAAGGCTGACCAGCTCTCTATGTTTTCCTTCCCGGGCGGCATCGTTTCTAACCGAACGGTTCTTAGGCGCTACTATACCAATGCTGGATTGGCGAGCCCACTTGAACCTTTTCCCTATTCAACCCACCTTGGAGTGACTGTCCTCGAGATTTATGCACATGGAAGTGCGACGCCTTTTGAGTACGATGCTGCATTGTATCCTGCTGCGTACCGGGTGGGGTATACTACTCAGAACTCTCGGAATCGGCAGGTTATGTGGGAAGCGGTTGCTACCCATGCTTGGAAGAGAAATAGCACTGTTATGGAATGCGATGATTTCTAGATCTCTTTTCCTTTCTCTTTTCTTTGTGCGGTAGTAATCAAATATACTTTTTACTACTCTCCGTTAGCGCGATGTTCATTACGCTTCGGCTATATCTCTATTGACGTTATCCTGAGCGATAATAAAAATTACACCGGCCATGTTGAACGTTTTGGAACGGTACATGGATAAAGTCTCACCGGTGAAAAGAAATTACGACAGACCGAGATAATGACTTTGCCCCTGCTAGAGCCGACGCTAACGGTGATCCTGGGATCCGATTTTCCTGCGTAGCCTTTCATTTCCTTCACATGCCGTGATGAACGACCACTTAAGGGTAAATGCGCAGGGGCATCTGATAGCAAGAAGGGCTGGTCTCTTACTGGCTGATGACCTCGGTCTCGTATTTATCAGCCTCGCTTCCCTCCATTCTCTCTTCAGCCTCTTTTTATCTCTCTCATACAGCCAAGTGGGAGGCTTCATCGGTTCAATATGAAAGGAGTACATGCATGGATGGGATGTATGCATGCGTGCGAACCATTCAATACATTTTGATAATTTTCTTCTGGCGTTTTATTTTTCTCCGCGTAGCATTGACTCTCCAGCACCAATCTAGACTTGAACGATCCAAACCGTTGATTCAAACCTGCTACTTTTAACCCAGACACACATCAGCTCAAGGTAAAAAATAACAGATGCAGCTTGATGTAGCATTTGACCTCCTCGAAAAGACCAGCCTGCTCCTTAAGCCCACTAGTGCTGACATGTATTCCTTCCGACATTTTGACAATGCTAAACCTAGAACTCCTACAATGACAATCTACACCCCCAATGTTTTCTCCGAGAACATGCTCAGACGGACCATCAAGACCGACCTTCTTCGTCTCCAGCAGCGCATTGAGCGGAAAGACCGATTAGCCTTTTGCAACACCTTGATACTCCAAGACTCCCTCCTCTTGTCTTCCACGTAATAGGAGCGTACTCTTGACAAAGTAGAGCTAGTCTGACTGGCAGAGATGAAGAACGATTTCGTGGAGCAGGATTGTCTGTCGTGGCGAGAAGTTTGGGGCTAGGCAAAAACGACCTTGGTATGTTGCCATCTGTGCCGCCCACGCCTTTGCACATGCAGGCCAGCTGCAGAATCTGAACCACCCGATACGCGAGGCCCTCTGTCGTCGCGACCATTTATTCCTGTAGGGGGCCTTCCAGCTGTTAGGAGAGATTGCAGTTGGTCCTATCTGGTTCCTCGCCTCTCGCCAGCAAGCAATCGTTTTCTTGGCCATGTCTACAAAGAGGATCGTCGGCAGGTTGGGATTCAATGATGACCAGGAGGTCACAGCAGGTGCCAGGGCTCTGAAACGCAAGCTCCTTTCTGACGACGGTCTTACAACCCGTCACCCTTACCCACTGAGATCTTGTCTTCCGACCCCAGCCACGTCTTCGGAGGCCATTCACGTCCAAGTTATCATATGGTGTTTGTTACATCTCTGTAGATCTCGACAATATCCATAGCGACTATGGGATGAGAATGTATATATGATACCAAGCATATAAGACAACCATTGTAACATTTTTTGTTTAACTATCTTACTAAACACCAACCTATTCTCCAAACAACAAAGTCTTCTTATTTTTCGCACACCACACTCTTGAATGTGTCCATCTACTATTAACCTGTAACCCTCACTGCAAGATTCGCCAGAGTAGTTCTTGTATGTGATCATCTAAAGCACTTGTACTCTCAACTGTATCTTTGGGGCGAAATACAGGGGAGAGATTACATTTTAAAAATTCTTGTGCTGTCTACTGCTATTTTATTCTGTGTTCTGTTGCCCACTATGAAGAGATATGCCAGTTATGGAAGTCAACACTCCGTTCCTTGGGCTTTGGATATTTTTTATATGCCTTTTTATATCCTCTGCACATGAAGGGGCCGCTTCGATCCTTGCCATAGTCCATGACATCCCGTACCTCGAGTACGATCTGTACAAGCTCCATCTGCAACGGTTTCAGGAATACTACGAACGAGCAAGCCTTTTCCCTTCACATGCAAAACCATCGCTCCTGGCTAAGGAATCCAAGTTGTCCCCCCTATAGAGAAGGCACAAGAGTTCTTGGCAAGCGAGCACCAGTTCATGTTGATCCTGGGGGACTCTGGTCCTGGCAAGTCGACATTTAACTGACATTTGGAGCATCAGCTGTGGACAGAGGACAAACGAGGCGGGTCGACCCCTCTGTTCGTCAATTTTCCAGTCATCGAAGATTCCCAGCACAACATGGTCAACAGGCAGCTGCAGTCCCACAACTTTGGCGAGGATCAGATCATGGAGCTCAAGTTAAATCGCCAACTCATGCTCGTGCTCATCTGTGATGGATACGACGAAATTCAGCAACTCGTCAACCTCCACAAGGCATCTGTCTCAACCAGCCTGGCAAGTGTAACACCAAAATGGTCATCAGCTGCAGGAGTCAATACCTTGAACCTTCATGCCAGGATCGTCTCAATCCGCAATCCAACGATCAGGACATGTTGGCCCTTCAGTCTGTGTTCCATAAAGCTGCTGTTGCCCCCTTCGCCGCATAGATTCAAGATTATGTCGAGTAGTATGTCCCCCTTGAGTCAAGAGCCTGGAGCACCCAAGGCTACATGGAAAAGCTCATCACCATTCCTAACCTCATGGTTCTGGTTAAGGATCCGTTCCTCATATTGCTCGCGCTCGAGGCAATTTCAGATGCCATATATGGCAACCAGGGGCTGTCCACCATCAGTATTGTCCCCATCCAGCTATACAACACCTTTGTCAACCACTGGTTCAATGTCAGCAACCGACAGCTCCGAAGCAATACCCTGGTCAAGGAGGATTGTGACGTGTTGGAGCAGCTTGAGGGTATACGAAAGGGCTTGAGGGTCAAGTGAAATAATGTAGGTAGACTAGAAAGAGTCAAGTGGGAGTCAGAACAGGATTTCAGAATGTTCCAAAGGGAACGTTTTCTATTCCATACCTAACAAGTGTGATTAATGGTGACCTGGGACTTGCACATAAAAACATAAAAACATGAAAACATAAAAACATAAAAGCGCAGAGAAAATAACACAATCACAAATGTCATGTACTCGAGAGTAAATTTTCTTTTTCTTTCACTTTTCTTTTTAATAAAAAGTAGGGTTCATATGGAAATGTCTTCAAATAAAGACAAAATGGCTACTTGGTTGACAAAAAAAAAAAATCTGAATCCTAGCGAGTCCTAGATCTTTGGCCATTCTGTCGGTCAGGCTCGAGGACGAAGGAATCATGGCTTTTGTAAAATCACAAAAGCTTGAGGCAGTTAAGTGCGTTGACATTGACGAGGCCGCCAACGGATTCACCAGTGTTGCAGCAATAGACTTGATTGTTGCAGCTGTCGCCCAAAACCTGAACAACACAGGCGAGAAGACCATTGCAGCACACCTGCTTTTGTCCAGACGCGTTGCAGCTTGTAGGATTAGCTGCTGCGAAGCTCAAAAGACCGCAGAGCAAAAGCATGGACTTGAAATGCATTTCGGAATAGGCTAGGGTGAAGGGAAAACAAGGAATATTAGTACAAGTGAGTGATGTTGTTGTGCTCCAAGAATGAGGAACATGTAGACGATATTAATAGTAAATGTTGCAACACAGCTACGGTGATCGTAAGTGTAAAGGTGCAAATTACCTTGAAAGGGTTTTGTGTGGAGTTCTTGGGACGGCTGTGAGACTTGTTATGTTGTGAAGTGTTTTTGAGTGTTGGCTGAATAATGGTGCAGGTTGGTTGAGGATATGTTCTTTTTATACCTTTGCCAAAAAAACAAAAAAAAAAAAAGGAAAGAAGAACCCCCCCCCCCCCACCACCACCACCACCACCTCCTCTCTCTCTCTCTCTCTCTCTCTCTCTCTCTCTCTCTGCCTATGGGAGAGGGAGGGGCTGCAGCAAAAGTTACATCATGTTCCAAACGTGTAGTGTTCAAACAAAGAATAGCAGTAGACATGACTAGAAGGACAACCGTTTGCGATTGAGAAACGGATGTGGTCGCTCTCACTCGAAAGTGACAGACGCGAAGAAAACAGGCGAAGGTCAAGAAAAAGTCAGGGAAGTAAGACAAAAGGAAAAAGAATCGTGACGTTCTTCAGTCTTTAGGTACGGTATGGTTATTGTACCGGTTTCACACATAAAAAGGTAAAAGGCGCGACTGGTCCCCCCCTATTTACACATTCCACTATTGTATTATCCTTTTACATATAATTCTTTTTCTTTTCTTCTCATTTTCTTGGGAAATCGGATCTAGGCTTGCTCATTGAATGTTTTTCATATTCTCTTATGCCTCTCCTATTGCATACCTCGTTGCATGTTTTGCATATTCTCCTATTGCCTCTCCTATTGTATACCTCGCGGCATCACGCAAAAGTGAGTTTGAAGCTAGCTTGCAGGAGACTAAACTGGTGAGGCGTGTAGATCATTGTTTCAGACATCAGTATGCCCATGGTGTAATGGGTTGACGTTTGGTCACGACATCGGCATGTTAATGATGTGAAGAGAGTGGAGATGGAGGAGCAAAGCGGATGGAAAGGTCGAGTACAAGGGCTAGCATACCCCTCTAGTTGGATACCCTTCCCAATTGCTGCCGCCCTGTGGCCAAAGCGTAAGCAATAAGTGAGTCTCGACTGTAACGGCCAGCTCAAATTCGCGAGTACGCCATGATGTGCGACGTAGGAATCGCCAGTGTAGCATATATCAATTGGCTAAATGACTTGCTGTTTTAACCTAGGGGATAAGGAATAATGATCTGTGCGCCTATGCGTGAACATTGACCATGGCATGAAATTTTTCATGGGTCCAACCAAGTTAATGGACTTCATGGGGCCAACCAAGTCAAGAAGTGCGATAATCCAAGGTTAAAAAAAGACCAAGAGATGAAAAGCGAAATAGAACAATAGAAACCCATAATCTAGGGCGACGCCAAAGGAACAAGTTTATTTTAGAGACTCCTAAACTGTTCATATGACCTCCATGAGCAAACATGGTACTTTGTCAGGAACAAGAGGAAAAAGTGAACGAGTCTGTCCATTGGCGGAATCATGGGTGCGTGCCACCTTGGCACACTAAAAAGTCAATTAGACCAGCTGTTAGTTTCTGCCTTTTTGAACTTTCAAAGGAGACATGAGAAAAAAAGTGAAATAGTGGCTAAATCGCGGGTCCGTGCCACCTGTAGCGCTAAAATCAATTGGACTAGTTTGCACGTTTCTGCCTTTTTGGATTTTCATGGACCCATGTCAACGTTTTTCTCATGTCTCCTTTGAAAGTTCAAAAAGGCAGAAACTAACAGCTGGTCTAATTGACTTTTTAGTGTGCCAAGGTGGCACGCACCCATGATTCCGCCAATGGACAGACTCGTTCACTTTTTCCTCTTGTTCCTGACAAAGTACCATGTTTGCTCATGGAGGTCATATGAACAGTTTAGGAGTCTCTAAAATAAACTTGTTCCTTTGGCGTCGCCCTAGATTATGGGTTTCTATTGTTCTATTTCGCTTTTCATCTCTTGGTCTTTTTTTAACCTTGGATTATCGCACTTCTTGACTTGGTTGGCCCCATGAAGTCCATTAACTTGGTTGGACCCATGAAAAATTTCATGCCATGGTCAATGTTCACGCATAGGCGCACAGATCATTATTCCTTATCCCCTAGGTTAAAACAGCAAGTCATTTAGCCAATTGATATATGCTACACTGGCGATTCCTACGTCGCACATCATGGCGTACTCGCGAATTTGAGCTGGCCGTTACAGTCGAGACTCACTTATTGCTTACGCTTTGGCCACAGGGCGGCAGCAATTGGGAAGGGTATCCAACTAGAGGGGTATGCTAGCCCTTGTACTCGACCTTTCCATCCGCTTTGCTCCTCCATCTCCACTCTCTTCACATCATTAACATGCCGATGTCGTGACCAAACGTCAACCCATTACACCATGGGCATACTGATGTCTGAAACAATGATCTACACGCCTCACCAGTTTAGTCTCCTGCAAGCTAGCTTCAAACTCACTTTTGCGTGATGCCGCGAGGTATACAATAGGAGAGGCAATAGGAGAATATGCAAAACATGCAACGAGGTATGCAATAGGAGAGGCATAAGAGAATATGAAAAACATTCAATGAGCAAGCCTAGATCCGATTTCCCAAGAAAATGAGAAGAAAAGAAAAAGAATTATATGTAAAAGGATAATACAATAGTGGAATGTGTAAATAGGGGGGGACCAGTCGCGCCTTTTACCTTTTTATGTGTGAAACCGGTACAATAACCATACCGTACCTAAAGACTGAAGAACGTCACGATTCTTTTTCCTTTTGTCTTACTTCCCTGACTTTTTCTTGACCTTCGCCTGTTTTCTTCGCGTCTGTCACTTTCGAGTGAGAGCGACCACATCCGTTTCTCAATCGCAAACGGTTGTCCTTCTAGTCATGTCTACTGCTATTCTTTGTTTGAACACTACACGTTTGGAACATGATGTAACTTTTGCTGCAGCCCCTCCCTCTCCCATAGGCAGAGAGAGAGAGAGAGAGAGAGAGAGAGAGAGAGAGAGGAGGTGGTGGTGGTGGTGGTGGGGGGGGGGGGGTTCTTCTTTCCTTTTTTTTTTTTTGTTTTTTTGGCAAAGGTATAAAAAGAACATATCCTCAACCAACCTGCACCATTATTCAGCCAACACTCAAAAACACTTCACAACATAACAAGTCTCACAGCCGTCCCAAGAACTCCACACAAAACCCTTTCAAGGTAATTTGCACCTTTACACTTACGATCACCGTAGCTGTGTTGCAACATTTACTATTAATATCGTCTACATGTTCCTCATTCTTGGAGCACAACAACATCACTCACTTGTACTAATATTCCTTGTTTTCCCTTCACCCTAGCCTATTCCGAAATGCATTTCAAGTCCATGCTTTTGCTCTGCGGTCTTTTGAGCTTCGCAGCAGCTAATCCTACAAGCTGCAACGCGTCTGGACAAAAGCAGGTGTGCTGCAATGGTCTTCTCGCCTGTGTTGTTCAGGTTTTGGGCGACAGCTGCAACAATCAAGTCTATTGCTGCAACACTGGTGAATCCGTTGGCGGCCTCGTCAATGTCAACGCACTTAACTGCCTCAAGCTTTTGTGATTTTACAAAAGCCATGATTCCTTCGTCCTCGAGCCTGACCGACAGAATGGCCAAAGATCTAGGACTCGCTAGGATTCAGATTTTTTTTTTTTGTCAACCAAGTAGCCATTTTGTCTTTATTTGAAGACATTTCCATATGAACCCTACTTTTTATTAAAAAGAAAAGTGAAAGAAAAAGAAAATTTACTCTCGAGTACATGACATTTGTGATTGTGTTATTTTCTCTGCGCTTTTATGTTTTTATGTTTTCATGTTTTTATGTTTTTATGTGCAAGTCCCAGGTCACCATTAATCACACTTGTTAGGTATGGAATAGAAAACGTTCCCTTTGGAACATTCTGAAATCCTGTTCTGACTCCCACTTGACTCTTTCTAGTCTACCTACATTATTTCACTTGGGTCCACCACCCTTTTCTAATAATCTCAAGGTCACCAAAACTGCTCTGAATGGTGTTTGTGTGTACAACTGGTTACGAGTAGTTTACTCGCGATATCAATGATGTTCGCCTCACCACAGTGATAAGTTAAAGTAACACTTGCAAACCAACATACGAAACACGAGATAGTGTTGCGATTAGGTGCTGCTGATAGGCAGCCCCATTCTTATTTTACGAACATACCTTTGGACGATTTCGACAGACCCCAGATAAATACGGGTGTCGAGGTAAACACCCTTTTTCTCGTTATTTATTCATTTTGACCATTACCTTCAATTGTATCCAAATTCTTTTGCAAAACTCAGGCTTGCCGATGTCTTCTTTCCGTGCGAGCTTATTCAAGGACCATAATCTGCCCATATTGCGCGTCGAAAGGATGACATTGTTGCCAGTGCTGCCATCGCTCTCTCTGTTCTCAATGCTGCCCTCGTTGTACTTGTCGTCACAGCTTTCAGTCTTCCTGGAATCCATGCTTCTAGGGGCTTCTAGCTCGAGAAAGCACAAATGGTTTTTGGAGGATCAATGCCAGGTTAGCCGTCCATTGTAGCGCAGGTGAGAATTAGAAGAATACAAGTCTGCCGAACACACCTAACTCCACCTTCCGCCCTTCCACCGCGAACTAAATACAAGTTCAGCTACAAGGAAGGCAAAGCTAAGAAGGAACCAGCACCAGCGGTTAGGGCATTCAAACATCAGCCATAATCCTGTCTCACTCCACTTTCCGCCCTTCCCCCGCGAAGTATACACAGGTCCAGCTACAAGAAAGGTGAGACTAAGAAAGAACCAGTGCATGGTGACAGGATGTGATTGGCGGAGTTTTCCAGCCTGCTGCAAACCAATTAAATAGATCCACACATAATCAAAATATTACCTCAAGAGAGCGAGGTGGCGCGAGAAGAGAGCAATGAGGGATTATGGCAGGCGCGAGAGCTGTGGCAGCAGGAATAAGTGAAGCGGATAAGACTTTAAGAGTAGTGCAAGAATAAAGGTAAGTCAAAAAGAGAGAGAGAGAGAGAGAGAGAGAGAGAGAGAGAGAGAGGGAAAGAGAGAGGGAGGGAGAGAGAGAGAGAGAGGGAGGGAGAGAGAGAGAGCTCTAAAGTTCTACTCCCCGGAGGATGGACTAAACTAGGTTCTTGAAAAGTTTCTTCATGAGTTCCTCGAGCCTGATATGACGACCATCAGGGGACTTGTTGACCAAGTCGTGGTACCTAGGTTTGCCAGGATAGCCACAAATGTAGACTATTTACCATTACTTGTTTACTGTCGCGACAACTTTTAACTCATATTAGCTTTGTCTTCTTTTTATGTTTCGCTGGCCCATCTGTCCTCTTCTTTCATCTATTTTGTTCCATCAAGTCCCATTACTTCCGCCATCTGTACGATTAACAAGTCCATGTATCTCTCCAACGAGAGATTTCTTGATACACTCAAAGATATTGCATGGAACCCGATTGTCCCGCTAGAGTTTGTCACTGGTTGCCAGGATCGGTCTGTTCGAACTTGGTGGATCGTAAAGAGCAAAGATGGTAGTGTAATGTCTGTGAACCTGGTTTGGAGCTCTAATATTGGAGTGCTTGGAGCGTTTGGCATGAAAATCGATGGTGTGGTTCGGCCTTGGTGCCGAAAGCCAGAAACTGTTGATGCAACGCGGCTTCGTCGACGGAAATTTGACTTCCGAAGAAAATGAAACGGACCTTGGCTCAGATAGCGTTGTGGAGGCTGCAGATGAAGGGAAGTTGGACGATGGATCCAGCGACGAGTAAGAGCTGGAGCTGGAGCTGGAGGATGGATCAGGCGCTGGGAAATAGTTTCGTGGCTGCCAACACAGCAACCTTGAATAAAAATTGTTTCGGGTGATCACTTCCAATATCGTCGATGATGGCGCGGGGGCCTGAATGACTGATGACTTTATCATTACCGAGGCTGATGCAACATTAGCGTATTGTATCCAGAGATCTCGGGCAAAGTGGAAAGAAACTTACTTACCCATGTGTTTCACGTTGACTGTGTTCATTATTTTTACAGACGTTGAATATCTCAGTGACATAAAGCATATGAAGTTAAGTAGAAATGGGTAGTCGGCAAAGAGTGTCTGCACAAGCGTTTCGGCTTAGAAATTTTCATGCATAGTACAGTACATAAATGACTTCTTAAGGCACCTTCTTCTTTTTATTACTTCAAAAGGGAGTTCATTTCCGCTTTTTCTTGAGAGTGTAGATACGGAGGGTGTGTGTTGCTTTGTTGAACTCTGCACAGATGTTGTCGAGGTCCAGGGGTTCGTTGGGCATATCGATCTCGGCGTGGTATTCCTTTCCTTGATTGATAGCTTCGCCTTGGCTCTTGGAGTGGATGATCAGCTTGTCGGGGAGGATTACATCCAATGTCACACCTTCCATGCTTGTCTGTTTTCATGCCGATTCAAGAATGGATGCACTGGTTAGTCTATGTTGCCTCACTCAGCCATAGATGAATGTTCCTGCGAAAGAAAATAAAAGGTTGTGATTTCGCTTACATGATTGGGCAAGTCGACCTCAACAATGATCCCGAGAGTTCCCTTTGGACAAGGCAATTGTCTGTTTCTGAGTGCGATATCATCCTTTCCTGGAGAGGGGACAACAATGCCACTGACTTCCTTGGCTGGTTTTGTTGTTGACACTTCCTGGGTCTTTGAGGGTGTAGCAGCAGTCGTAGTAGTTGGTGGCGTATACTGTGTCGTTCCTGAGATGTCGCCCATCTCCTGAATGGCTGGTGGCTTGGGCAAGATTATCGAACGCTTCTTGAGCTCGTCCTTTGATTTCATATTCGGCAGCTCAAAATCTGCTTGCACATCCAAAGCAACAGGTCATGCGTTAGTTTCTTGCTCGCGTTTGTTGTGGTTGTCCCGTACCAAGCAATAATATCCAGAGTAAATAATGCGAAACGTACTTCTGCTCAGCTCGACACGGCACTTTTCTTCGACCCACTCCATGGCCAGTTCCATGATGTATAACTTGTAGTCAAAGTCCTTCTCTGCGCGCTTGTATGGTTCCGAGTGAATGCATGCGTCAACAACCAGGTATGCTTTTGCGACTATCACATTGGAGAATAGCCTTTAGTTCAAGCCCGCATAGATATACATTCGCCAGGCAAAATGTGAGATGAAATAATTACCAGAGTCGCGGTGCTCCCGAGGTGAACTGACTTGAAAGGGTACCTGGTAGGTAACACCCTCCTCCGCTTGAATGGCCCTCCTGATCTCAGCTTCCGTAGCCTTTGATGGTTGTGGCATCAAGTCCGACGAACAGATGTTGATAAACACCGCTGTCTCTGCAGGGTAGACGACCGTCTTGTTCCCCAGAGGCACCTGGTTACTCTGTTTTGTTGTCTGAGTCTGAACCACGAACCCGGGAATGGGTGTGATCTCTGTCATGGCCTGACGGGGTCCCTGTGCTGCTGTGATATATGACTCTGCGAGGGCCATTGCTGCCTTGGGGTTCTTTTTGAACTCTTCTAGGAGGGCTTCCTCGTCAGCTAGGTCTCTTGTTGCATTGTTGGTGTCTTTTGAGGGGGGATCTGATGTGGATGTTGTTGTGTTGAGTAGGAATGAGGATCCCTTGGTAGGCTTGTCATCAAAGTCTAGGAATGACATTGCTTCCTGTTTCCTGTTTCCTGTTCTTGAACGTGTTAATGAGCAAGAAGGCAAGTAGAAAGTGACATCAGCACGGCAACGGCCTTTCTTCTATCCGTTCTTCGTCAGCGCAAAGCCACCAAATAACCGGCTGCGGTCAAATTGTTGGTTCGATTGTGCCATTGTGCTAAACAGGGACACAGGGACACAAGGACAAAGCACAAGGTGCCTGGCCCGACAAAGTGGACACTTTTCTCCAGCCAAGCCTTTCTTTTCTCTTTGTCTTTCCTCTCTCATCTCCATCCCTTTTTCCTCCTCCCCTCTCTGTCCTCTTCCTCTTTTCATCTCCCACACGAAAAACAGCCTTCACTGCACACTCACTCGTCTCCTTCCTCGTCAGCAGCAAGCCTCTTGTTCACGTTCTCTCTGTCTCTTACCCCTCTTCTCTCCTCCTTTCCCGCCTCGTGCACACACCACATCACCCCTTCCTCACATTCTCCTTCTGAATAAGTCCACCCAGCCAACCTCTTCGTCCTTCAACTCCCCCCCTCCTCTTCCTTACTCTCGCCTCCCACCAACACAAATCCCAACAAGCAGGACCATCACAATGTCCAGGAGATCCGTCTCCCTCGCCACAACAGGTTCATTTCAAGAATCAACACCAAGACTGACACGGTCATGGTTCAAAACCGCAGTGGCATTCTTCCCCTTCCTAACACTGGTCATCTCTGCGTGGCTCTATGCCTTCCACCTCGACAAACTTGCCAACCAGTCCATGGTCCGGTCCAAGGAATTGAACCCTCACAGTACAAAGAGTACTCTTAAACAGGACACTACGTCTCCCTCGGAACAGGATGGTGTTGTGATCGGAGATAGCAAGGATAATATCTTTTATTTCATCCAGGTAAGCTCTTGGTCAATACACAAAGGAAGAGAGAAAGGGACAGAGAGAGTGAGAACGAAAGAAGGAGGATCGGATAGAGCGAAAGAGAAAAAGAGAGAGTAAGGCAGGAGAAGATAGCACTCTGCCTTATCTCTCGGCTTTGCCACGTCGCCTTCTTCATTCTTTCCTTCCTTCCCCCTGAGCTCTCGACTTTATTTTGCAATTGGTCCAGAACAACAACAAACAAGTTTTGCGTGTGATCCATGTCCACTTTTAGTTTCTGGAAGAAAGGAAAGTCGACCCATGCTCAAGGGCAAAGGATATAAGGCAGTACTGACTATGATTCCATATACATTTGTTATTCCTTCTTTTTTGTAGGTGTCGGACTTACACATCAGCACTTTCAGGAAGGCGAGTACCGCCAACTTCTACACCTTTCTCTCAACCGCCCTCCCTCTCGTCGAACCTGCCTTTGTCGTCGTTACAGGAGACCTCACAGATGCCAAGGACAAGCAGTTGGTCGGATCAATGCAATATGTCAACGAGTGGGTCACCTACAGAGACGCCCTCGAGGAGTCTGGCGTGCTGACGAAACGGAACGGGACCTTTTGGCATGATCTCCGAGGCAACCACGACTGCTTCAACGTCCCCAGCTGGGACAGCAAGGAAAACATGTTTGCTGACATGTCTGCAAGCAAGTCGCCCGGATTCATGTTTGATGTCAGGACTGGGTATGGCAAATACGGATTCATTGGTATTGATGCCTGTCCCAAGCCAGGACCTGCTCGCCCCTACAACTTTTTTGGACTGTTTGAGACTCCCGATATGGATCATCTCTCGGAGAGGTTGACATTGAGCGAAGGCAACAACCACACCTTTGTCGTACGTTTACCACCCATCATTACTGCCCATCATCTTTTGACACGTTAATGTAGCAGGAATCGTCCCCTAACCAAGTCTTACTTATTGCCTTACCATGCGGCCAATTAGTTCTCCCACTATCCAGTTACGACGACCATGTTTGGAGAGACATCGCTTGGAGAGAGCTTTGCAGATCTTTCAAAGTCGTTCAGTGTCTACATGTGCGGTCACCTGCACAAATTGAAGTGGGGTAAGAGCCGCATAGGCTGAAAATCAGTCTTGATGCAACATTTCAATTTGGTTCAATTGACTAATGGACTAATAACAATGTCATTTTTCGTCGGTAGGTCTTGGAGATGCCCTTCAGTCATACCAGCCAACACACTTCTTGGAACTGGAGGTCGGAGATATGAAGCAGAACGGCTTGTACAGGATTATGGTTGTCGATCACGATATGATCTCCTTCACGGATGTCTCAATGCCCATGACAACCATCCCATCTGCCATCATGTCTCATAACAAAAACAAGCAGGAAGAGAACATTTACGAGTCTGAGCAACAGGAGCAGGAAGAGGGCTCAGAGGATCAGGGTGAGATGAAGGAGAGAAAGAGGCCAGCCCTAGGACCTCGCTTGCCCACAAACCCCATCATCGTTGTGTCAAACCCCAAGGATTCTCGCTACATGATTCCCAAGCACGAGCCTGTCAACAGGATCTCTACCAGCACACATATCCGCTTTATGGCATGGACTGATAGCCAAATCCCTGATGATGATCACCCTTTTGCTCGTGATGAGATCAAAGTTGAGATCAGGATCGACGGAATTCTGCACGATCGCCAAGCTCGCTTTGCAGGAACCAAGGCAGAAGACCAGACCGCCGAGGATGAGTTTCTTCCGCTCTATGTTGCTCCCTGGAACCCACAAGATTACCAGGATGATAAGGACCATGAGATTGAGATCAAGATAGTGGATCGCTTTGGTCGAGTTGGCAGCTCAAAGTCGGTCTTCAGGGTCGATGGCAAGCGATCAGAAATGAAAGGAGGCTTTGCCGAGTGGATCATGTGGGCCAACATTGCCCTCCTGGTAAGCTCTTCTACTTGTTCATGTTCTCATTGTTGTAGTATCGGGTGACTGCCAAGTTTATTTACTAACATGATATTTACTCATTTGTCTACTACCTACAGTTGAAGGCACTGTTCACAACAGGATATCTCTCGGTTACGTTGCTGTTGCTCATCTTGCCCAAGCTCTACTCGCTCTACCTCCAAACATCACCCCCACCAGAGTACACCCCTCTGCATAAGCAGGTTACCGACTCTACATCATCTCTTGCGGAACTGGACTCAACCACACCCCAGTTCAAGAACGGCTATGAGGCATGGATTGACAGGAAGAGTCGTCACTTGTACCGACTCTCTTCAACTCTTTCTTCATCGTCTTCAGGACACCGCTTCTGGAACCGCTTCGTCAACCATACCATTCACGCCCACATTCTCCGCTTCGTCCATTTTTCGACTCAGCCAATCCTGTTCTATTCGGCCTTGCTCTTCACGCTCATGCTGGTGACGATGCCACATTTCTGGGGTAACTTTGTCCCAGCTGCAGGGGAACAAGGACAGGGTTACTTCTACCTTCAAGGAATCTACCTGCCTCACGCCAACGGTCATCTCAGTGGCGGACTTGGAGCAGCCAGCTTGGACCCTGAGGGACCTGGGCGTGTTCTTAAACCCTTGAATGTTCTTTCAGGAGCCATGTCGTCCTTGACTGGTGGCAGGATCGGAACCACATTCAGTGGACGTGATGCAAAGCTGTATGATGGCGCAGGAGGCACATGGATCCCTATGGCCGATACATGGATGAGCACGATTTGGACGGTCGTCTATGATTTGGTCATCTTCCTGTACTACCTCACACTGTGCGCCACTCCTTCAGGATACCTCTACTCGCCATCAAATGCGCATCGTCTGCGACCCTACCATCGTACGTGGTACATCCGGTGCTTGATTTTTGGTATCTGGGTCTTCCGCTGCTGTTCGGTTCTCATGACCGCTGAGCTGTATGGACCTAGTGTCGTCTGGACAGGCATTGGAACCTGGTGGTTGGTTGTTGTAGGGTGGTTGATGTTTATGGTCGGTTGGAGCCGGTCGCGGATTGAGAGGGATATCTTGTTGAGGCGAGAAGACGAGGAACTGGAGGAGATGGAGGAGAACGGTGGCGATGTTGTGCAAGGCGGTGTTGCAGCGACCAAGATGGCAAGGGAGCTGTCGTCGTCTGTAGATGATGATGAGGAAGAGGCGTTGCTTCGAGATGATTCTTCAACGACGGGGTCTGAAGAGGGAACTGGAGGTCGCAAAGGCCGCCGGACGCCACGATACCGTAAAGTAGACGTAGAGCTTTAGAGCAACCAAAGTCTCCACTTTAGCATCATATATATCATTCTTCTTTCAATACCAACCGCATTTCATTAGACCCAGCCTGTAGTTTTATGACATTCCGGTGCTGACTGTTGGTGGTAACTTTGTGGACGTGGCTGCTTTGAGAACCTCCCGACTAAGGGTGGGAACAGCGCCGCTATCCGGTTGAAGCACTTGTCTCGGGCCTAGGCATTTGGAGATTCGACTGGATCTGCATTCTATCAAGAACTCAGAGCTCTTATGAATCTGGAGGTGTTGCACATGGAGCTAACGTCAAAGGAGATTTCGGTGGAGAACAACAACGGCACCTTGAGGATTGGAAACGACCCGATAACCAACATTCAGTGCAGGAGGATTGTTGACGATGACGACGACTGGACTGTCAACGACTATAGCCACCAAACCGTCTGGTACCCCAATATGTTGATGAAACATAACGCAGACGGCTCTTTTCTCGGCCTCATGTCACATGGAGATGTTGCTGTGGGAGTTTTGAAACCCCGGGCTCGAAGAGAGAGCGGGGGGAGAGTTGCCAGGAGATGGAAAGGCATTAGCTGGGGTCTTCTTCCTCCCTTCTGGAGGACCTGGTGTCGGCTCCAGGGGTTTGGGTTACTTCGTTGATGGCTTGATTTGACATGCTGTTACGTTGTTGGTGGTTGTAGGTGTCTCTTTTTTTTTATATGTATTTTTTCTTTTTGTGTTGTGGTCGCAGTTATGGTTGGTAAGAGTGGCAATGAGAAAGGGATAAGGTATTGTGTGACACTGGTTATAAAAAGAAAACGCTGGTGAACCCGTTATGCGCACGAAAGAGGGAAAAAACGTTACTTTCTATCGCGCACAGGCTTTCTTTTTGTTAGATGAGACTCTGCTAAAGGGGTGGTCGACAAAAACCACCACATCAGTACTAGTTGAAAAGGGTATCTGCGCCGGTTGTCTGGATTGGAGAGAGTTACGAGGTGCAGTACCTTTGCTTAAAGTCAAGCGAGGCAGAAAACAACAGATGTTCCCAGTCGACATGTCGCCTCCCCAAATCGTTTGGTCCCAGCAGCAGAGACCATGGATCCCTTCATGGATAGACAGTCATACTTTTGACACCATGCACATGAGCAGTCGCTTTGTTATTTTCGTTCGTGCAATCATTGACAGGCAAAAACAAGTAAAATTGGTATTGCCAACAAGAGAGAGAGATCACTTTTTTTTTTTTTTTGATGGCATGTTTACAGTGATCCATGTGATTCTATGTGATAGCCTGTGGTGGTTCGCAGACATGCATGCATGAATGTGGGCGCGCCCACAAAGTTTATTTCCACACAGATGGACAAGGCGGAAAGTATAAAAAAGGTTTGAGACTAAGAAAGCATCGTTGTGTTAATGAGCGCCTTGCTCACAGTCTTTCACTCTTTCCTTCTGTGACCTTCGTTCTTTTTGCTTTCCATCTTTTTGCTTCTATCATTTTCCTTTCTTCCGCTCTCTCCATTCTCCGCTCAACTCCACAGCTCCGCCATCTTTATTGCTTTCCTCGTCCCCGGTCATCTTCTCTTTCTTCTTTCCTCCCCTACAACCAAACCAAACCAACAAACAACAAGCAAGACGCTCCCTCCCAACATGGACAATGATGGCCCACTACGACAGAACTGTGACCCAAACCTCCCCGTGGCCCTCTGCATCCTCGCAAACACCTGCGGCTACATCTCCAACACCATCTGGTTCCTCGTCCTCCTCCCCCAACTCATCAAGAACTTTCGTCGTCAATCCACCACAGGACTCAGCTTTATCTGGGCGTCCTGCAACTTCACCGCCAGTCTGATCAACCTGTTCTTTATCCTCGATATTCAGGTCCCGTTGTTTACGACAATTAGTGGGTGGTATATGCCGATTCTGGAGGCGGGGATGCTGTTGCAGTTTGTGGCGTATTCGAAGGTTTCGAAGAGGAGGAAGGTTGCGTTGGCGGGAGTTTCGCTAATTGTGTATGCGATTGTTGTTGTGTTGGAGGTTATGGATGCTTTTGGAGAGGAGACGTCGTCGAAGATGGTATGGGGGTCAATTGTCTTGTGGTCCATCGAAACGTACTTCCAGGTCGTCCTCAACATGCGCCGTCGCTCCGTGTCTGGCCAATCGTACGTCTCCCTCGTCCTCTCTTTTATCGGCAAGACGACGGATGTGATTATGCAGTTCACGCTCCTGATGCCGACGCAGTATATCTACATGACTTATTTCTCCTCGACTCTCGCATATTTCAATTTTATGCAAATGATTGTATACACACAGCCGGCGAGGGTTTGGAGACCGGTGATTGCGGTGATGAGTGTGTTGTTGTGTGGATTTGTGGCGTTGTTGGTGTTGAGGACGTCGGTGGTTAGTATTTTGTGTCCGATTGGGGTGTTAGTATTGTTGGTGGGTGCGTTTGTGGGTGTGAGGCGGGAGAGGCAGAGGCTGCTGTTGTTGGAGGTTGGGCCTGAGCAGGATCACAAGTGAGAAATAATAAACGCTACTCATTCTTAGTTGTGATTACTTGTTTTCCGTTTGTGTTTATTGTACGGATGGAAGTAAACATGAGATCGGCGTGGTTGTTGTTTGTTTGTTGCTTGTTGATGGATAGGAGATGCATGAGATGTGGAATTGACCGAGGCAAGGAACGTGGGAACGAACAAAAAAGCTAGAGCGCCAACCTTCTCCTGACACGAGAGAAAAGGGAGAGGGTCCGTGGCTCGGCTCATTTCTTATTTGTTGCTGCTGTTTTGGTTCACCCCTCTTTCCCCTTTCCCTTCTCTTGGTCTCTATTCACCCCCCTCACACGCACCTCTTCATTCGCTCATACGTACTTCGTGCTTTCACTCTCCCTCGCTTCCCTTTTACACACAAGCATATACCCATTCTCTTGTTTATACCTCTCACCACCAACGAGGACATGGTTACAAACACAGGGATCCCAGAGATCATCCAGCAAATCGGGACACACCTCGACCCACCACATCTCTACACCGCCGTCCGTGTCTGTCGCTCCTGGAACCATGCCCTCGTTCCTTTTCTTTGGACCTCGATCGACGACTCTCTTTACTCTTGGGCCAGGATTTTGGACACTTTTATGGAAAGACGACGGATGGATTCGGATGATGTCAGTGGAGGCGACTGGGTGAGAGGTGTGTTTCTGAAGTATGGGCATCTGGTCCAGCATTTGCATGTACAGAGGAGGGAGGTTCTGGATGCTGTGTGTGTTACGCGGGCTTGTGTCGAGTTGAAGACGTTCAGGGTTAGGAAGGTCGAGCCAGTGAGGTGGCGGTTGCTGGAGCATGAGTGGATGTATGATCTGTCGGAGGAGGAGCAAGTTGAGATGGCAGAGATCCGGTGGAAGGATGCTATGGAGGGAGATGTCGATAGCTTGACATTTCGACATGCGTTCAACCCAAGGAGTTTGGATCTGTCAAAGACTACGTTGGCGCAGATGGAGGTCAACTGGGAGGTGACGAGGGAGTTCTGGATGCTGTTAAGGGAGAATCAGGGGCTGCAGGTCTTGAGACTGGATGAGAGTTTGAAGGAGTTTATATATGCGGTATCGGAAGAATACTTTTTGGAAACTTTGGCGTCGCTGAAGGATTTAAAAGATCTGGAGAACGATTTTATGCAGGTTGATTTTGCTGCTGTCCTGCAAGTAGTTCCAGACTTGAAACGATATGCCAGACTCACCAATCCTAGCGGTCCTCTCTCATTGACCCAGCCCGTCCGGAGGCTCACCCACGTCGAATTCAACAAACCAACCTCTTGTCAGGAACTACTCCAGTTTCTCAGGGACTCGCCCAATCTCGAGTCGCTTTCGATCCATTCTCTATGCAATGCACCCTTGTTCGACGCCAACGACGCCGAGGCTCTGATGGGCGATAGTCCTAGTCAACTCCAGAGGCTGCAGATCAAGGTGTTGATGGGCACTGATGTGTCACTTCTGGATAAGGTGCTTCCTTGGATACCGGATCTGAGGACTATACACTTGACACAGTTCTGCAGCAGCCATGCCCGTCCTTTTGTGGAGCATTGTTCGGCACTGACGACGATTGAGGGGAGCAATGTGGGGTCAATTGTTCGAGCCACTCCTGGACGATTGCAGGAGAACCATGAGACTGGAGCCCTGGAGAGGATGATTATGACCTGTCCGACTTTGAAGAAGATTGACTGGATCGGCAAGACGCTGCGCGAGAAGAGTTTGTGGGATTATGCCGGGGTCTGGCCAAGCTTGACCTACTTGCGCTGCCAGATCGGAGGGTTGAGGGTCCGTACGGCCAGGTATGAGAGAATCTGGAAGCATAACAAGGATTTTCACGGTCCCTTCCAGACCTTAAAGAAGAGCGTGCTCGAGGAACGAGAGTTGATCCGGCAAGAGCAACGGTTAGTCCTGAGTCGGATTGGATCCCTGCGCAATCTCAAGACACTGGATATTGGCGCCGATTTTCAGTTTCACGAGAACAAGAACATGAACACGACGTGGAGGAATGGAGGACAAGGTAGCAGTTGGGTTCATAAGGAGCGTCCCCAGATGCATGATTGTTTGCGACTGTCGTTAGAGATGGGACTTGATGAGCTTGCCGGGTTGAAGGATCTTGAAGTGTTTGGGTTTGAAGGGATCGAGCATGAGATCGGAGAGGCTGAGCTGCGGTGGATGAATAAGACGTGGAAAAAGTTGAGGGTAATGCGTGGATTGTGTGGGAGTGGAGAGTTGTTGTTGTGGGAGAAGATGAGGGAGGATTTCAGGAAGGAGCGGTTGTTGAATTTTATGAGGAGGTTGAGTCTTGATGTTGTCCATGAGCCTTCGAGTGTTTGTATCATGATGCCCCTGGCATAAGAACTACGCCGACCATAACTAATCTCATAAAAATGTTCAAAATAAATTAAAGGGACAATGTGCGTGTCACATAAGACCTCTGACATTCAGCTCGAAAGGGAAAAGTGATGTGAAAAGTGAAGTATGGCGATGAGGAAAGTAGAGTTGAAAGGACTGAAATATATAAGAAGAAACGAAAGAAAAAATTGAAAGTAAGAGGATGAGAGAAAACGATGAGCCTGGAGCAAATGACCTTTGACGACCGCCGGCAATCAGTTGCGGTATGGGACCATAAGCGAAGGCACCCCGCTAAAATATTCTACCTCGCATTCGACACAGGCAGTTCTCATTATTCCTCCCAGGCTCGAACTGTTTAGACTGTGATTCACATACGCGGTATGATTCCAGTGCCTTATCGACAGCGCAAGATCTCGGAAAGGCCTTCTCGTTGGAGTTCAGCCCTAAGTCAACGGCGAAAAGTTCACCGATACTGTCAACATTGGTGGATTGACAGTCACGACCCAGACCCTAGGAGTCGCGATGTCATACTAGGCATGGTGTTCCCGTCACTCAGCGCTTATCCTGCTATTCCGGCGGCAAATACATTGATACTCCAAGGCGTGGTGCATACCAGAGTGTTCTCGTTTAAACTGGCTGCCTCCGGTTCCAACCTTTACATGGGCGGCGCAAATGACGCATTGTACACCGGTGCCTTTACGTATACTCTTGTTACTAAACAAGGACATTGAAAAGCGAAGTTAGACTCGGTCGAGATCGGCGGAAAATCGATACTTTCTAACATTGTCCAAAAGCAAGGAGATGTCTAAGCAAGGATAAGCGTCGTCAAGCTGCAGTGACTGTGTTGGAACCTTCGTCGGGGATGCACCTTCAACCTTTGCTATAATCGGCACGTCCTTTTTGCAGAACGTGCACACATCGTTTGACATTGGAAACAGACGGATCGGTTTTTGATACCCTATTATAGAATCATCGACGTTCTTGCATTTAGAGGCAGTAACATTCATTGTCCGGTGGTTATCTTTGTGCTGTGTGTCGAGCGTGTCTCCTTGTCTCTGATAATTACCATCCGTCCTTTTTCTTCGCTACCCCTTAATAATAGCGTAGTCTTATTCTGGCATTAGTTGGTTTCGAGCGTGCGGATGTTTTGACAGGTCTCAAAATCTGCTCCATTTAATCCCATCGGAAACCTGCTCCAAAGGTTCAAAAAACCCAGTGCATAATTATCATTCAACACAGAAGTTAATAAAAAGGCAAACCCGCCCTCGCATTCACCCTCATTCTCATTCTCTCATTCACACACAAAACACATTACAACAATGAGTTCCATGAAACAGCTGGCGTACTGGAAGACATACTTCACTCCCAACCGCTACTCAAACGACCTCATCCCTGATCAGACCGGCAAAGTGGCGATTGTGACTGGTGCCAACACAGGACTCGGATACGCGACCATGGTCGCTTTGGCTAGTCACGGCACACATGTCTTTTTGGCTTGTCGTAGCGAGGAACGTGCCTTGCATGCGATCGAGAAGGCTACACAAGAGATCAAGGAAAAGTACCCCCAAGCTCCGGCCCCCAACCTTGAGTTTTTGGAATTGGATTTGAACGATATGAGCAAGTGTAAGAAGGCTGCGAACGAGTTCTTGAACAAGGGTCTGCCTTTGCACCTGCTTGTCAATAACTCGGGCATCATGACGACCCCCTTTGCCTTGAGTGCCGATGGCATCGAACAGCAGTTCGCTGTCAACCACATGGGGTAAGAGAACCAAGCGATTGTGTTTTTTGAACGCTAAAAATATGGCCTGCTAAACTGTTAGGTTGTTAATTGTCATCTCTTTCCTTCCTTCTTCTTCATAGACACTTTGTTTTCACGACGGCGTTGTTGGATCGGATCAAGGAGTCACAACCTGCGAGAATTGTCGTTTTGAGGTAACACTTGTGGAGATACACACATCGCACTCGTTTTAGGATGGATCCTTGCGTAACAATACCTCTATTCAACGTCGCACTAACTGTGCAATTGCTTCGTTCCACTCTTTTCCTTGGTACAGTTCTCATTCCCACGAAAGACCAGTCGAGGGCGGTATCGACTTTGACACCCTTAACGACGAGAAGATGTCCACTATTGTTTCTCGCTATGGTCGTTCCAAACTCGCCAACGTTCTCTTTGGCAAAGCACTCGCTCGTCGACTTGCCGATACGCAAGTTTATGTCAACATTGTCCACCCTGGTTTTGTGGACACAGAACTCACGCGCCACAATAAGGTCTTGTTTGGATCGGTGGTTTTAAGGATCCTTGAAGCTATAACGGCCGTAATGGCAATGACCCCAGAAGTCGGTGCGTTGACACAGTTATATGTCGCCACGAGTCCCGAGATTGAGAGCAAGGATATCCGAGGACGATATTTTGTTCCTATTGCGAATGAGATTCAGCCGAGTGCTTATGCTCTGGATGAGGCGTTGCAAGAGAAGTTGTGGGCGTTCTCGGAAGAGTTGGTTAAAGAGAAAGTTCGTGCGTAGGAAACCTAGCTGATTATACATAATATACTTCTATAGTTTCTATGACACTCCATGCCAATGCCCATGAAGGGATGAGCCTTCGACACGGGAATTAAGCGAGAGTGCCATAGTGTATTGGACTAATTGACACTATCTTGACTTAGCGAGAAATTTTTGGAGAACTTGAGCGGGCGTGTATTTGTCAATTTGCTAAATATTCAAGATCTGCCCCTGTTCTGGTCCATTTTGTACTACAATCTCACAACCACATTTCTTACCATAATAAAGTCTCTATCCTCATTTCTTGTCCAATACCATCCTCCGCGCCATTCACCTGCAAGTACGACAAAGTATTTATGCTCATGCCGCTAGTTTGTTTCCTCTATGCTTGGCTGTCTACCCGCCAAGTCTGTATCAGTCTCACATCCATGTTTTTTTTTAACCTCTTTTGGTTTCTTTCCACGCTAGCCTCCATTCTCCAAGTCAATTCATGCCGCAATCGATACATAAAGGACGCTATGAAGTTTACTCGAGACCGTCTATTTGTCTAGTCTGGGATTAGGTAAATTATTTATGGGTCGTGCGTCAACAGTAGCCATGCCCAGGGTCTTTCCCCCCCATGCCACCTTCCATTTCAACATTAAAGTTCATTTTTTCGGTTGTGCATTCGCAACACTAGGGGTGCGTTTGTCAAGTTGCTGGCCGGTTCCCATGTTGCATTCTCTCATGTGTAGCCTCCCCAGAGTACGAGGGACTCCTGGTTGTTGTGCCGCGTGCGATGATCGAGTATGGTCTCTGCCTCGAACTCTTCAACGCCATTGACGGTATCCGAGGAAAATCTGGCAGGTGTTCGTTATCCTCGTGCCCGACAAAAAACAAAAACACACAAAACACAAACGGAAAACACAAAGAGGAAACGCAAAAAGAAAACACAAACCAAAAAAAAACACGTGGCCAGTCTCTTTCAACCAGTCGAGGCAATTGACCCCACTAACACCGTCCGCCAGGAACCTACTCCCCAATTCCAAAGATGTGTTGCAACACCGCGTCACTTACCTCACAGGGGGATTCCCGAGTACCGGTCGCAGCGGCCACCATCCTTGCACAGTTTGTTTCGGTCGACTCTTTTTCCTGGCAGGTGGATGAGATCCATTGAGCAAACTGATGACGCTTTCCTCGGCTCACGACTGTTCAGCTTATGTGTGTATATCTCAGGCTGTGGGTCGATTCCGCATGCTGGGAATGGAATGATCAAACAGCGGTTAGAGAAAAAAAGGAGGTGGAGTGAGGATGTTGAACGAGGTTAGTGGTAAAGAAGGTGAAGTATGTGGGGTGCAAGACGAACGAAGAAGGGAAGGAAAAGGCGACGAGAGAAGTGAGAGAAAATCAGTGAAGGTGGGGGACCCGGTTCTGCTTACCTATTTCCTCATCCCGTTCTTTTCTGCAAGGCTATTTCCCCTATTTGGATTTATGTGTTGCATGAGTGCATCTGTTTGTGTATGTGTGCGCTATGGCCCACATGCATTGACAGACAAAAAAAAAGATATGCATGCAACATCAACACCCTCCTTCCCAACCAAACATAGCAAACAAAGTAAAAACAGACAAATAACGCAAACGAAACAAGCCCCTCCTTCTTCTCATTGTTTTATTTACACCGCTTCCGCTTATCTTCAGCCCTCCGTCGCTTCCATGCCTCGGCACCCCCCTTAACACCATGCATCTCCTCCAAATAATAACAATGCTCCCAAAGCGCCTTCTTCGTCGCTCGGTTAACACCCGCCCGAATCTGGACCAGACGAGGGAACCGCCTCACAAGTAAGGCGATGCTTTCGTCATCCCGGGGGAGAGTCTCGTCGATGTAGAAGGCCTTTATCACAGGTGGGGATACCACCACCTCGTCCCCACGTGTTGAGGGTCCGTTGGGAGAGAGTGTAATAGGGATGGATGCCATTGTTGTGCGCAGGTGTCCGACTGGTTCGACTGCTACGCCTTTTATCCAGAGTTCTTCTAGTCCTGGAAGGTGATGGAGGACTTTGAGAACATTGGTGAATAAGACGTATGTCCGCAGACCTAGGTGCCGTAGATTACGGTACTGTTCCTGCGCCGATAACACCATCAGCCCATCCATATTATAGATCCTCAACCGCTCCAATTTTGGAAACAACCGCAGTATAGTCCTGGCGTCCAACAGTGTCAGCTCCAGATCCAGATCCCGCAACTCCTTCAACGCCAACAGTTGTTCAAGAATATACTCCTTCGACAGGTCGTTCATGGCTCCGAGAGTTGGGAACCGCAAACGGACGAGACCGGGGTTTTGTTGGACGAGTGACCAGAACCGTTCGACGGTGATCTTGCGCCTCAGGTCCTCATTGACGATGCCGGTCCTGTAGATCCTCCGGTTGGAGACCCATGGGAGGTGCAGCCATTGGACAAGAGGAGTCGCTGTTTGATCTGTCGCGTACAAGACCGTTAACGGTGGGTGGGGTAGTGCAGCGATGACAGTCTTCAGATCCAAAGGCGTCACCTTACGATGATACATGACGGACCCAACAACCAACGACGTCAAATTTGTGCAGCCACTATTGGCAGCCACGGCCTCGAGGACGATGTTCCAAGTCGCTGTCAAGTGCCGGATATGATGTCCATGGCTGGCAATGGTTTCCCGAACCCTTGCCGCGATTTTGTCTCTTGGCAGATCATATTTACAGTCATGACGGCGGAAGAGCTCTTGCCAGGGCTTGGAGAGGGTGTCGACGGTGTGCCAGAGCGAAGGGGTGAAGCACTGGTTCCAGTGACGGCTGACGAGGATGCATGAGCAGATATCGGGACGTTCGAAGTGGTCTACGATGGGTTGAAGGAGTTCTGGTATGTAAATGAGGGCATTGATGGTGATGGTGCTGGCGGGTGTTGGGGGAGGAAGAGGGGTTGGGTGAAAGTCAGTCATGGTAATGATGGTTGGAAAAGGAAGTTGATTGTCAAGGAGGCGTATTAAAAAGAAAAAGAGGGTAAAAGAAAAGAAAAGACAGAGAGATGGAGCATGTGGATGAAAACAACAAAAATCATATCCACATCCTGCCTTTTTTTTTGCATTGGCATTGGCACTGATCTACGCTCTCCAACAACCATCCTCGCATTGATCTGCACTCTCCAACAACCATCCCCGCATTGACAAAAAGAAATAAAGAGTCCAAGAGATCCACATTTCCATGCACTGCACTGCGCTCTCTCCTTTCCTCTCTCTCTCTCTCTCTCTCTCTCTCTCTCTCTCTCTCTCCTCACCAACCGTAGATAACAAAATAGCATATTTATGCATCCAATCATTCAATGCATCAACTATCCTCTCGTTGCCCCCTCCTTTGCAAGACAGTCATCCAGGCCTCGATCGTCCGCCCATCACTGTGGATTTCCCTCAACCAGCAACATTTCTTCTCCAACGCCTTCTTGACCTCCTCCCGCACTACCGGAATCCAGAACCGATCCAGTCCTGGGAAAACCCCCACCAGCAGTGCAATCAACGCATCGTCCCGTATTGTCAATGGCCCATCTAGTCGTAACACCCGCACTTGTGGGAACAGCTCTGTTGCGGATACAGCGGCGTTCACAATACTATAGGCTGATGAGGGCGTGTTTGATACGATCTTCCACAACCACAACTCCTCCAACCCAGGCAAGTGCTTCAGCAGCACAAGCAGGCTAAGGAACTCGATATCGCGTTGATAACTCAAAACCCGTAGGGCTCCATACCTCCGCTGCAGAGACGTGAACCCTGTCAGCGCATACCCTCGCAGCTTCTCCACCCCGGGCACTGCTTCCAGAGCAACCTCAACATCCAACGCCATCCATTCCAGATCCAGTTCCTTCAAATTCCTCAGCCCGCCAAACGTCTCGGTGAGCAGACCTGTCGGCAGGTCTTTGATGGTCCCAGGGAAAGTGATCCGAACGAGTCCCGGGTTCTGTCGGATGAGACTGAAGAACTGTTCAATATCCCGTTGATGTCTCGCCTGCTCCTTATACTCGTAGATGTCCATGAACTCCGCCCATTTTCGGGTCGACCAAGTAACCGGAGGGTGGACCTCATCGAAAACATCAAAACCCATAACAACATCAACACCATGGCTACCAGTAGGTCCAGTCAGTACAGTCACCAAAGTGCGATGGTTATGCCACACCGCATCAACAGCCAACGAGACCAAACCCTTACACCCACTACTACTCAACGCCGCCGCTTCCAGGACCACATCCCAATGGACGTCAAAATGCCGGATATGATGCCCATACTTTTCAAGAATCGCCATAACCCACCGCTCGGTGTCGTTCCGTGATCGTTTCTTCCCCGAAGCGTCGTCGTTGATGATCTTGCACCAGGTCAGGGTATGGGTGTCAATGGCGTACCATAAGAGGGGGATGAAGGCTTCGTTCCAGGCGCGGTTGACTCGGACGCAGGCGTAGAGGTCTGATTGGTCGAGGTGGTGGCGGATGGATTCTACGAGTTCTGGGAGGTTGATGGCGATGGTAGTAAAGGATGAGTTGATGAAGGAGAGGTTGTGCTGCGACATATTTTTTTGTTGTTGTATGTGTTGTTGTTATTGTGAGTGGGTGATGAGAGAAAAAAAGATCGAAAGTAGAAAGGCGCGGTCGATATTAAAGGTGAAACATCGCTTCTGACAATCAGCCAGAATATGGCACACGCACGCACATACCACATACCACCTCGCGTGTACCCCTGAGAATTGTGACTACTTAGGCAAATGAATATCAACAAGTGCTTTGCCATGTGCGTTAACGAGAAGGATGGAAGTGAGTTGCACTGTGCTCCATGAGTTCTGGAAATGCAAAGAGCTTGCCGCTGGCGGTGTCCATATTGATTTTTGCTGGAGTTAATTCCGGCATGGCGGTGGTGAAGGTGGTGGTAAGAAAAATGTGACGAAGAACGGAAAGAAGAGGGAGGGTGTGTGTGAAGGAACGTCAATAGAAAAAAGAGAGCGCATTTCTTGTGCACCCAGCCCCTGAAGGCCTTATTTTTATGTGCAAGCATACAACATCTCTCTCTCTCTCTCTCTCTCTCTCTCTCTCTTCTCAAACAAAACAAAAAAAAATAAAACTCTTCAGTCGCATGCAAGAACAGTGTGCTTTGTACTATTCTCGACAACAAAGCAGAAAAGAGGAAACGCTATTACGTGCTTATCTTACGAACCAGCCCCGCATGCTTAACCTCCGGCCTCAACTTGCGCAGAAACCTCCTCAACTCAGCCTTCCTCACATCCACCTCAATCCTCGGCAAACCATCTTCTCTCTGCAATCCTTGAAGCACCTTCAACCGCGGCCAATGGCTCGCCATTCAGTCTAACTCGGGCCTGTCCAACTCGAAATCCACACCTTCGAACCCAAACACCTCCAACCGCGTCAATGTCAACAGTCGGTCCAGTCCTGACTCAAGTGATAGGTCCAGTGAGCCCTCAATCGGGCTTCCACAGTTGACATAGAGCTTCTCGTCAATGAAAAATTTTGGTAGAAACGAGGGGCTGCTTCGGGCCGCGTTCGGGTTCCTCTAAGCGTAGCCCAGATCCAGGATCTTCAGTCGTGTCAACCGAACCAAGTGCTCAAACACATTGATCTGGAGTACCTGAAGTTGCTCGTCTATGTTCTCAGTCGTCGTTAATATTCCTGCAGTAGCCACCGACGTTCTGTTGGTATACAGTCTCTCCAACCCGACCACCTGACACCGAAAGGTCTCCAACCTGTCTTCACAGGCAAAGGACTCCTTGAGCAGTAACTTGGCATCGATCCTGTGATGAATCGCATCAAAAACACGCAACCGTGGGCACCTTTGAAGGATCCGCAACAAGAAATTCCGGTGTTCTCTCAGGGACTGCCATAAATGGATGGCTCGGTATGATCCTGCTGCCTAAACACCTCCAGTTCTTGACACCGCAACACCAGTGCCTTTGCGATGGCCGTGAAAACTCGTTTCCTGATGTTGATCTCTTTGAGGTGAGGCAACCATTGAAAGATATTGTTGGCGATTCGTATGTCGGACCGAAAGGTGTTCTGAAACCTTAGACGTTGCAAGTTACTCAGTCAACCCTCCATAATCTTGTCCGCGTCCGGGCACAACGCACCAATAAAGAGTCCAAGTGTTCCGCATTCCAGGTCACGAAGGTTGGGGTGGTGATACAGGATGAGAAAAGGTCTCGCGACTTGAGTCCATGCCCGGGAAGGTTGTCGAAAGGGTTGGGCTGGAAAAGGCGACAGATGATCGGAAGGACGCAAGGGCAGGGTTGCGAGCCAAGATATGCTCAAAGTGTTCACTATGGACGTTATTCTCCAAGGACAACAAACCGTGTAATCCTGCCAGTGTCCTGTTAAGAAAGTCCGCGCTCCTGACACTCCCCCAGTCTCAACACACAAAGACCCAGGTTTTTCAGAACCAATATCCAGAACCGCTGCCCCGTCGTCTAATCCTGCTCTCGCCTCCTATCCGTCATCCGCCAAGCCTTCTTAGCTCGGAGTGCCACCTTGAACTCGGTAAACAGTAAGAATTCGTCGGGCAGAGGTTGCCGTCGTTCCTCCCTCGCTAGTGCCTGTTCCGTTTCCAGCCAGAAACAAGACCGCCTCCGATGAAGCACCTCGGTAGGTCACAGGGGGAGAAGATTGTTGTGGAGGATGAGAGACTGGAGTCGATTACACGTGTTACTGATACCCGCTGCATTAGGGTTGGATCCAGTGGATGGTCAAGTGCCGAATCAGATGTCCATGCTTGATGTGCAGATCCCCGAGCCAAGTCTCTTCCTTGTCGCTGATGGGGTGATGATCGTGATGTTGTTTTTGTTTAAGGATGAGAGGCCATGAGTGGAGACTGTCGTCGATGGATTCCCAGAGGTGAGGGAGGTGGGTGCGGTACCATGTGCTGCAGACTCGGACGCATGAGAGGAGGGAAGGTGGGTCGAGGAAGGGAGGAAGGAGGGAGTCCTTTGTCCTTGATGTCCTTGATGTCCTTGATGTCCTTGATGTCCTTGATGTCCTTGCTGCTATTGTTGTTGTTGCCATGTGCTTTGGGCGTAAGGGAGGAGGAAGAGTGAGTAAAAGGAGACAAGGGAAACAAGAGGGAGCAAAAGGAGGAGTAAGAGGAGGATGGAAAGGTGGAAAAGGAGAGAAAATGAAAATGAGACGGTCTAGAGAAAACGATACATTAAACAAAGACCTTCATTCGTCGGTGAGAAAGATAATTAGCCTTCTCTACCTGGCTATGTTGCCTCTTTCTTTTCGCAACTGCATCTCTTGGTGTCCAGAAAGAGGGCCGTTGGTAATACCGCTCCTTCATGCTCTCGGCTACATACAAACAATACAAACGGCAATAACGACCTCCTACGCTCGCTGATGCACAACATCAGGCCGCAACGAGACCATATACCCCCTCAGCTCATCCCTCCTCTGACCCGGCCTAGTACCTCTTAACATATCAACCTGTAACTCCCTCAAACACCTCAACCTCGGCCACTCCTCACTTATCCACTCCAACTCCCTCTCCCCCAATCCGACAGTTCACCCCTCAACCCCAAACACCTCCAACTCCTTCAACCCTTCCTCAACCCTGCATCCAGCGACAACTCTAATGTATTCGGGATGGGCCAGCCATACATAATGTACTGCTTCCCTCCTACAGTCTCCATCCGTGAGTGTCTGTCGCTGGCCAGGTTCACTTGTCAGTACTCGTATCCAGGTCCAGAACTCGTAGTCGAGTTAAGGAGTAACCTAGTTTCTCGAAGACTTTTGTTTGTGCGGTCTGGGAACGGCGAAATTTCCGAAAGTGTTCGAGTTCTCCTGTTGCCAGAGGCTCGGAAAGAGATATTCTTCATCGCATGATCGAGCCTATCATGCTGTTCGATTGCTAGTCTTGGCACTTTGACAATCTGTATCCGAAAGACTTCCAGACTCGTAGCGATCCAGGGGTGACTCAACAACCGTGGCTAAGGCAATATGCGCTACTCGGTCAGCAAGTACTAGATTACTGAGAAGTGGTATTCTAGTGTGCGGAGGTTGCTGGGTGTCCCGCCCATGATGATGTTGACACCCTTGTCCTTTACATTGTCCCAAGACAGACCAATCACACGCAGACACTCCAGTCCGGGTAATCGTTCCGGAATCGTGAAGAACCCCCGAGTGAGAATTATCCCGTAAAGTCGATGCTCCGTAACCTTAACGGCGTCATCCTAATAGTGCTGAACATCCTAGTCGATAGATGAAAAGTCGGTTCTGAAGATGAGAAATCGGTCCAAGAAATCTCCTACGTTGGCGATACCCGACTGATTTTCGAAATCGGTGAGTCGTCCAATGGGTGTCACCATCTCCCGACTGAGGCGATCCGTGCCAGGACGTTTAGACTCCTGTCCAGACGTAGCTTTGTAAGGTGCTGGCGTTTTGTTGGACGAGGAGCCAGAATCGTTGGACTGTGAGCCGGTCCTGACAATTCTGTGTTCTCGACCGGCCTCGAGCGAGCTCGACACAAACACGCCTTCGAACCGTGGGGATAGCAAAAGAGGATCTGCATTGGTGAGGGTGGTGACAGTTTCTGCTCATGTTCGGATGGCGGTATACGGCGCGACTTCAAAGACTTCAAAAGACAAGAGGCTGATGCATGCTCCGCCGAGGCGTGTTGCGTCAATTATGATAGGATGGTGTATCTGGAGGTATCGAATGTATTGCCCGTATTTGCGTAAAGTCCAAGCCAGCATATACTCTTTCTCGAATACTCTACAGTGTCGTTGTCGCTGTTGTCGTTGTCGCTGTTGTTGTTGCTGCTGTTGTTGTTGTTGTTGTTGGCTAGGAACTGTGGCCAAAAATAATGATCATCGTCAACAGTCTGCCAAAGCAAGGGTGAGAGATGTGCATTTCATCGCATGTTAACGAGGATGGATGAGTAGAAGCCGGGTGGGAGGAGATGGGATCAGACTCTGTCGAGGAGTTCTGAGATCGAGAAAATGCCTTGAGTTCATGGACATAATCGTTCGAACATATTGATCCTGTGAATTGGTGGAGAGAAAAGAGGAATGAGAAAAAAGAGGTGCGTCTCGGTCTATTTTCCTTCCATGTCGTCATTGGTCAATGCGCGCATAACTGTTGGCAGACCTTTGCCACCGCTCCCGCGCGCTTCTCTTCAGCCGTCACACCGACACCACTCTCAAGCCCATTTTATCATTACTCACACTCTTTGTCATTCTTTCTCTGCTTTCTTTGTTCAACTCTTTGTACTTTTAACTTCACTTCGCTTTCATCATTATCTCTTTCCTCTCCCTTCATTCTGACTCTTACTCCCACTCTCGCTGTCACCTCGCTTATTCACCCCTCAATCACTTTCACCTCTTGCGCAACAATGGTTCTCATGTGCAACAATTGCTAAATCACCATCACTGGCATTCCTGTTCTCGATTCATCGTCACCCACCACATCATTTGCAGGTAAGTGCTATCACCCCTACAATGATTCTATGATCCAGGTCCATGACGTGCTCTTCACTTTTGCCCGTGGTTGGGTTATAGGTGAACGGGTAAGTAAGTGCCATTATACGTTCCAACAGCAGTGGTCATAGCTGTGAACTGCGCCTTTGTACTCCTACCTGTATATTGGACTCTTCAACATAACCACAGTTCGGCGTGTTAGTTCATCCCATTGCCTTGGGTGGATGGCAAATATAACATGGTCCAGTTAGTCGCGTATCAGACTCTTGCTCTTGACCAGAAAGGGGCTGTCGCGATGATGTTGCACAAAAGTAGCTGCTATCGCTTTACCTTGCATAATGCTGTAACAAAGTGCCATTTCATGTCTCAGCAGCAGTATCTTTATTGTCGTCTGGCAATGTACTGTACTCTTTGTGCTGACACTCGACTAAGTCACAGTGTTTATCGCCCTGTACTTCAGCGCTGGTTCATTTTCTTTTGTTTCTACTTATTGGGCATTTACAAATCTGAGAAGAGTCGCTGCTAATTCACAAATGGTTTTCTCCAGCTGATTTAGATTATAACGACTCGAGCGAAATCGAGCGATCACTCGAATGACATGGATGATCGAGCGACTCAACCAGTGATACGTAACTAAACATCATCCGAACGAACGACAAAGAAAAATTTCGCATCACTCACTCGGCACTCGCTCGTTTTTTTTTCCGCCCACAGCACTGATTTAGAATGATTAATTGGCGCCAGTTTTTCCAGAACCGGGGCTTTACATCGAAACAGTGAGGCTCGGCGTCTTCGGAATGGCTTAAATTATTCAATCCGATGGAAAGAAGATGGAGGATGGGTATCGTGACAAACAGGAGATAGGAGGTTATTGGAAAAAGTTGGAGAACTTGGAGGTACTGAAACAGGATACTGCTGACTATTTAGCTTTATATAGAATTACCACTCTTACGTTTGACCTAACCGCCTTCTTTTTTTTTGCTGCATTTTAGGACTATGTCCAGGAGATCGAAGACTTCGTTTCCGAGGACAAGGTCGCAGTGGCCGCGAGACATTGTTCAGATATTGCTGCTCATACATGTGGATAGGCACAGCTTGTAAGGCGTGAGTCGAATAGTGAGTAGTTTTCATACTGACAACTCTCAACTAGAATTGATATCGGGAACAACAACGTTCTCCTCCAACCTATTGCATTCAAGAGTTCGACTCGACACTCAGAAAGGAGTGATTCCTTCGTCATTTGTATCGCCCACCCTCTCACAGCCGAGATTACCAAGTACTCCAAAATCGAAGTCCGAGCGTAAATCAAGTTTCTGTTGCACAACTCCTAGAGCCTTGGAAAGTGCTGATGGAGATTGTGCTGGCACTGGTAAGCCACGATAACCTTGCTTTTTGGCTTTGCGGTATGCTATTTCTCAACTATCCTTCTCTTGATCTCATACTTTTTTAGAACCACGGCCGAAGCGTTGGCATCTCCAGTGGAAGCGATTTACCACATCTCTCTACAGCCAGACAACAGCGAATGTCCAAGAGCGATAGGCGGCAGGCTCTCGCAAGGAAAGACGCAGGGCATTTTGCTTTCTAGCAAATTCAGTTTTAATATCTATCAATTATACGTCAAGACTCACGCAGTTTATCTCATCTTATTAGCGTGGCGCCCACCTGCACAGTCAATTTATCATGCGATAAGTCTTCAGGACTATTTAGAAGAGTTCTTGACAAGGGCTGCCAATGCCTATCACATACTGAAATTGGAGAAACGCACTAGGATATTATTGGACCCGCTTCAAAAGCTCCTTCCAAGCCACGATCCCCGCTGTCCTGGAGGAGGTGCGCATTATTAAAGGTCGATATCAGGAGCAGCGACTGGCAGGTGAAACCGTCCTTGAAAATTAGGAGGCTATCCTTGACATCGTGGAATATGTGTAAGTACAATTTTTCGTAAAAGGAAAGGAGGTTGATGTCTAAGCGCGATGAAGTACTAATATTCGACTTCAATAATGGTTGTCGAACTGTAGTTTGGTCCTCTTTTGGCCCGCATGCCTCTGAAGCTGACATCGTTGCCAAGTGGAACGCAATATTGTACATGCTGCTCATGGGGTCTGATGTGTTCATGCGCAGGCAAGCCCAACTTGAATGAGAAAAAAGAGAACAGAGAAGCGGAGCTGCGGAAGATAATCATTATTTCTGGTTCTTTTTGTTGAAAACGGCGAGTGTGTGTCTGATTCAACAAAAAGCGTTAAAGCGATCCTTGACGAAGAGGATGATGAACTTGGAATGTTTGGCCGCAAGGTGGATCTCATTTTTTATACCCATGGGCAGGAACTAGAAAATCTAGAGTTTGAGATTGCCGAGGCTAGTCAACTGGACATTGAGATTCAAGAACGCAAAAACACCAGTTTGAATTGCGCCAAAATGGAGAGTCAGCATGCTACCTGTGGAGTTAAGTTCACGGTCCTCATCCTTGAATCTCAAGGTAACTATCGTATGTAAAGTTACTAGTAAATGCTACCGTCTTCCTCTACTAACTGATTTGTATTAAATTTAATACAGGTTGGTATGGAAGCTTGTTCGCCCTTTACCCGATCGAGGATATCTTCATTTTCAAGTACCTTGGTTCGGTTGAGCTGCCTCGGTCATCAAGCGAGCTAAGTCGGCTAACGCGATTTTTACAAGGCGATACTCTTGATCTGCTCTACACCTTTGCTGTAAGTAATAATACTAACTGTGAACAGGATTAGCAGTATGCAGTACATTAACTCACGCGTCCCCTCGATCATTTAATGCTTCCGACTATAGGAACATGTTATTACAGTCACGGAGGAATTACGCCACAGTTAGGAGGAGAAGCAGGACTTGATTTCACAGAAACGTCGCATGAAGATATTCAACCGTCACTCCACTCCTTCCGCTCCGCCGCAAAAGAAACGACGAATATCCAGCATCGTTTCCCTAACCCCAACTAAACGCAAATAAAGAAATTCAGTACATACTAATTAAAATGTATTTTTCACCCAGCCCCAAAATCACCAGAATTTTGAACTACACATGAATCTTCATAGTACAACATTGTCAAGTTGCAAATCGCATAAGATTTATCCGGTCCTGTCGTTATGCATTTAGACAAGTTTGACTGTAGTTCGAGACGTGTTCAGAGAGCAGGGCAGAGGTAAAAATCACCTTCAGCTCAGGTACCGAACCAGTAAGCATCGCTGTGGGCTCACAAATCAGAACCTCGTGAGTTTAAATAGGGACATCACCCAACCGTTAAGCATTCGCGTGGACTTTCCCTCCCAAGTGCGGGTTTCCTCTGGATAGGGTTGTGCAGTGCTCCTACTGACCCGCAGAAATGCATCTTACATTCCTTGACAACAGAGGAAGAATTAATTAGTGCCTCGGCTAAGGTTGATGGAGCTGTTTGTTGATCTGAGTTTTCCTGATTAACAATGTTTACCTTTGCATTCAAGAGAGTTGAGTGTGAGCAAAGATGGAAAGAGAGAGCTTGAGCTCGAAAGTGAAGCGATGAAGGAGGAGGTCCACTCTCTAGCCAAACGACGACCAGCTTGCTGAAGTTCGGGAAGATTGCTAGATTCGAGAACAGGAACCACCTTATCTTTCCAGGTATACGAGACGTCTTGGCGATCATCACTTGCAGGGTCGAGAGCTGTCAGATACTTGATATGATCGAAATCCTGAGGCTGTTCTCCAGACAAGAAGTAGGCAGCATTGGGAAGTCCTCGAACGCGCTGGTGCTACAGGGGCGTCTTCGCATATTTTGTTGAGGAGCAGGACCCTAAGCGTAGTATAATAAAAACAAACATGCTGAGCGCTCGTTTTTCATTTCGATGTATATATTCTATATCATAAGAAAAACGATTCCCTGGTTGGGTATGCTCATCCTGACAGGGAACCTCTGCTATGGTCGCCTGGCAGGTGGACACCCTTCGAAACCCAAGGACGACATGGCTGCCTCTCATTCTAGCAGGATGACGATATGAGAGTCAGCTGAGAAAGCGCGCTAAATCAGCACCGTTTCCCCGGCGTCTAAACGATTCTACCAGGGCTGTACATAGAGAGGTTGGGCATGCTCATCCTGACAGGGAACCTCTGCTATGGTCGCCTGGCAGGTGGACACCCGTCGAAACCCAAGGACGACATGGCTGCCTCTCATTCTAGCAGGATGACGATATGAGAGTCAGCTGAGAAAGCGCGCTAAATCAGCACCGTTTCCCCGGCGTCCAAACGATTCTACCAATCAAATACAGTAACAATTGGGGTCTAATGAGAAAGGGCTTGCATCACCTGGACTGGACATGTTGTATGGAGTTAGGAGGATCAGGATGGGAGTGTTGATTGATGAATGTGGAGTTGCAAAGTGGTGAAAATGATTGATGAAAGGCAGAGGTCTGATGAAAGGGGCTGGCGAGAGAAGACAAGGCCGTGGGAGTGGTGGCAATACCGAAACAAAAGCTAATGATGAAATGGAAGATGAATAGGCAAGACCATGGAGAAGGCACACAGAAAACATTTGTGGTGATTTGGAGTGGCTTAGCTTCTGGTGGCCATTTCGCTATTTTACGCGCTCGCCTGCGAGTGTCTGAAAAAGCACGATACGAGCAGGTAGGCACTATGCCCTTTGGCCATTGGTAGCAATAGTAGTTTCTAGCCTTTGGAGAATAGTCATTGACATAAAACACCTTTCTTCCACGATACGAGCAGGTCTTGAGAGTTACTGTCTTTATTCGCGATATTGAGAGGGAACACATACACACACACAAACACACACACAAACACACACACACACACACACACACACACACACACACACACACACACACACACACACACATCACACACACCACACACATCACACACATCACACACATCACACACATCACACACATCACACACATCACACACATCACACACATCACACACATCACACACATCACACACATCACATCACACACATCACACACATATATGCATACATCCTTTTTCTCGTCTGCCGCTATTCGAGTTATGCCCGCTGACCCCGAAGATACTCCTTTGGATACAAGAGTTGCCGAGAGAAACTCCACTCTCCCTTCTCCCTCTCCCTCGACAAGTGACCCTGTTCAACCGGGCAACGACTCGGCCAGCCAAGGGCAACTCCCTCCAAGATCCCCACATTTTGTACATCATGTGACTAGAAAGGTACCATTGCCTTGCAACTTATATTGCCTGGGCCTATCATCTGTGCCAAGCGCTTACAGCCCAAACTCTTTGTGTTTCCCACAATACCTTCCAACCGGAAGGAATCGCCATCTTCTATTGTGGGCAGAACGAGTCAGATTTCCAGCAGGACCACACATCGCTCGTTTCTCCTGTTCACGCGTCCGCTCTCTTTTCTTTTTCATTTTTTGTTTGCACCCTGCCTGTCTTCTTCTTTTTACCACCACCGACAACAACACCATCACCATTCACCATGCCAGAGTCAGAGTCAACAACGATCAAGACCCCCATTGCCACCAGTATCATCAATGCATTACAGAACTGATCGAGCACAGTTCATTGTTGGCTGATATGCTTACCTCACAAACGCTATGACAAGCTTGGTCTATGCTGGCCAGAAGTTTCGCTCTCTCATCTTCGTCGACGTCAAACGTATTGGCCGATTCTGGTTCTGCTGCTTCTGAGGTCAGACCTGAGGGTGAGACCACTGTTGCTGTCGCAGGCTTAGAAGGACCTGACAGAGTGTCTACTTGAGTGATTTGATCCGCGATCTCGTCTTCATCCGGGTGGGTACTCTCGGTAGGTACCATCGTACGGGAATCGAGCACTATAGAACATACTACAACACTATTTAGCAACTATATATTCATAAGGTAGTTTTAGTCATTCTTTTAAATCAACTGATACTCACCACGCTTGCTCAAAGAGGAGTCGAAGGATAACGGCACGTCGTCACGGCTCTGCGTATTACTCTGCATGTCTGTAAGGTATTCCGAAGTAGAGATTGACTCGCATAGGGTTCCGATCCCTTGATCAAATGTGCCGCAGTTCTGATTGCCGAAGATTGAGTTTGGCGGTCGAGCCAGAACTGCTGCCCATCCCCATCATCACTCTTCCACGTCTCGAATTTTCCCAAGAGGTCGTTTTGACATCCTGTTGCAATTCGCTGTCCCGGATCAGCCGCATGTATTTACTGTGCGCCTCTCCCTTGTTGTTCAGTTTGAACTTACCGTAGAATGTATTCGGCGATTTGTCAACAGTTTTACGAATGCAAGAGATCTCGGATTGTGCAGTAAATATGTAGCGGTTAGACGCTTCAAACATAACATTATGCAAATCGGTTTCAAAGGGTAATTCCGCAAGAGAGTAACCCTGCGAAAAGACAACCAAACCACGTAGTTCTTCCAGCTATTGCAATGTCTCCCATGAGCTTGACTTGATAAAAAACCCACAACCCCTACACAGTTATTGTAGATTAAAATAATAACACACAGTACACATTTAGGCACTTTAGTTAGCAAATGTCAACAACATGTGCTCGTGATTAACATACCATAAACGTCAGCCATAAACACTGATATGTCTTTGACGCCGATGGCGGCGTATGCTTCTTGTAGACAACAGGCATGTCTCCCGTTCTTGCGATTCTGGACTGCGAGATCCCGTTCGCTTGAATCCTCGTTCTTGAATTCAATGCTAGATAGCTCGATGTCCTCGTACATGAAGACACAGTCAACCTTATGTCCCGTGTCACTGACATCACCATACTCCAGCGATTGCATGTCCCTCATGAGCGGGAGGCCACCAGAACTTTTTTCGCCATGCACACAGACATTTTTTCATGCTTCATGACCACAGCAACAACAACAACAACAACAACAACAACAACAACAACAACAAAAACGCTCCCACTTACGTATGAAACGTCACTTTGTCGGCGATGATATAGAAGATGAACATCCAAAGATGTAAGCAATCACTCTCGGAGGGAAGCTTTGAGCCGAAAGGTGGACGTTGAACAAAATTGCACCTAGGAAAGAGGCTACATGTCAGTGCTGTACTTTCACCAAGCGCACATGAGGGGGTACTTGTCTTGAGAGCAGTAGTTTCGTAGCAAGATCACTTACAACAGGATAAGAATCTCGATAGCCTTGTCTTCTATTACAGCCTGCTCCGGTGGAACTTTGCTGTTCGAATGTTGCATGCTGAGGAAGCTCCAGCAGTTGATGATTTTTTTCGAAGAGTACTCATTCCTCCTTCCTCTAAACACGCAACGTGGTCCTTCATAAAAGCTGTCGAGAGATGTTGATCGAAACCGGCTATAAAACTCGGGGATCTGGCTTGATCCTGTACGTCCTCATGGTCCGACTCCTCGAATTGCTCGCACACATTTGCGGACATTGTATCGCAGCCCTGTGGAGAAATACATGCTTCAGAATCAGCATGCAGGCATGCACAACCACGAACAACATATAAACAATCTCTTACTGTGCATCCTTTAGGAGTGTAATGTCATCTCCTACCAGACTTGCGCCATATACTCTTCCATTGACTCGACAGTATGTTGGAACAGCTGCGCATGGATGGGTTCCATCGACGGTTGCGGTGCTGGAAACCTGATATCCTTTTCACCGTTAATATATTATCAGCATTTTTGCGCGTTAGTAATTTATCAAACCCACCATCTTATCTGCACGGCCTTACAATATTTATCAGCTAAAGAGTTAATGCGCGCCATGGCTCTTCCATTGTGTAAGCGACTCGGCTCTTCTTCGTTGTGGCTGAGCTCGGTGTTCTTTGGACGGACGCTGGTGAAGTTGATGGGTCAGGATGAGCTGTTGCTTCAATTATGTAGATAGCAATGTCAGAGAAAACATCAAGGAAAATAACGCCTTTCGCTGTTCAAGAAATGGACATAAACCGGCCCTTCACAAGCAACAGAAATGTCGAATACTCACCACTGTCGACGGAGTTTGGGCTCGACACTGAGGTCGATTGAGAGAGATGGTGGAACGGGGGCCATGCCTCCATGCGTCCGAGCCAACAAGAGAGCTTGGACTACGTTCTATGGCAGGCAATGGTAATTTTCATGAAGCACTATAGATGTGAGATGGTAGTTGTCATACGCAACAAAATTTGAGAAAGCAATTACAACCTATACCTTTTAGTCGTTCGCCGACACATCGCAGGTAATCAAACCGGAAACAAGTTAGGTTTGCTTCTTGGTGTCGTTTCGAGTGTGATCAACGTGATCAACCTTTATAAAGAAAAAGAAAACTTGATGATATTATCGATACACCCTACATCAATTCTGTGAGCATCAGGCCAGACATACTTACGAGTTTCGCATCATGCTCCTCCTTCCTCTGCCTATCATTCCAGTATTTTTGACGTGTGCGCTTCGACTCGTTCCAGGCGGTGATAAGACGCTTATGCAGTGCCGAATCTCGCTATAGAACATGTGGAAGGATGATAACTTCCCACACAAAAGCGTCCTCCTGTCTTTGGTTCGAAGAGTAACAACAAAAGTCAAAGAAGTCGACGATGTCGTACTGATACAGCGAGTATTGCTCTAAGTAGACCTCACGAGGAAGCCTACCCATTGTATCTAAACGCAATTTCTCAAAAGATAAATAATGATAGTTAGTGAGGGTTTGATAGAGAAAATGATTCCGCGATTAGCCACACACTCTTCACCAGACAGTACTAAAGCTAAGGATGATGCCCCCAGACCAGTAGCTTTACCACTCTTATATCCATCTCGCCCAAGGTCAACCAGGGTTCCGAATACAAAAGCGATAATGGCGCGATAACCAAGACTGGAAAGAGGACTCAACCGGGCTGGTCCTCAGACGCCCGATCAACCCGGCAAAAGAGCATTGTCCTCCTTGCTTGGCCTTCAGCAGGAGTCAATGCCCCGCGTTATAATTATCCTATACGAATTCGATCGCACTACCATGAGCCTGTAAAAATATTAGGAACCTGACTCCACGAGAGGGCGGTCGGCGAGAGACAGTAGCAAACGTGAGGGAAGTGTGCGCTGGAAGGAGAAAGAGAGAAAAGAGGTAGATGAATAAGTAAGGATGTAAGGAGCGAAAAGAGAGGAGGAAAAGTTGCGGAAGGAGGTAAAAAAGGTATTGTGTAAGAAAGAATGCGAGAGCAAACGAAGGAGAGAGAGGGATGAAAAGGTTGTGGAAGTGGTGATGAAAAGTGCTTGACAAAAATGATCAATCTTTCGTGATATTGACGTTTTTGGAAATGCTCATTCACCAATGTTACTGATCGGTCCCCAGATATGATTCGTAACCTCAATCATCGCCACTTGCCCTTTTTTTTTTTTTTTTTTTTTTTTTTTTTTTTGCATGAACCGGCATTGGATCTTCGTCGGAATGGTAATACGTAAACGGAAAGTGCTTCTGTCATAAACAGTGTCTGCGGTGAGTGACAAGAGGTATTTGCATTCCTTAGTGAAAGCAGTGATATTGAGGATGGTCACCCAGCGGACGTTCAAGTGTTCGAATATGGTGACCATGGTCGCAAGAGTGTTCCGGAGCCACTGCTCTGTGTTCCCGTCTTGTGTCATGTCGTCCCAGATGATCCTGTCCCAACAGGCCATGCGATCATCGATTGCATTCCAGAACCATGGGGTGAGAGCATTGTTCCAGGTATGGCACACCTGTCTGCATGAGGCAAAATCCGGATGCGTGAGGTGCTGGAGAAAAAGGAGAAAGGGGAAAAGAAAAAGAAGGGCAGTTTCCGTGACTGCGTGGACGCATGGTCAAAAAGTAATCGGAAATCTGGTCGTAGAAGAAACTCCTCCTTTTTTGCCTCGCTCTGTCGCGCGTCTGTCTCCTCGAGTCAGACCACTGAAGTCCTTCAGGAACCACCTGGAACAAATCATGCCAATTGTGTGAGGGGTTACCCCTCTTGATGTGCCTTTAGTACACACTTCCATCCCGTTCATAACCATTTTTTGTGCTTCTCTTTCTCTTCTCTCTCTGCCCACACACGGATGTATCGGTGTCAACGTTGTTGTTTCCTTATTTTAGTTTTCACTCCGACCCTCCTTTTTGCGCATGCCCCATTGACCACCAAAAAGGAGAGAAACATGATGAGGATCGGCCTTTTTTGTCATTGCCGTTGTCTTGATGAGAAGAAATAACATGAGTCTTTCATACGGCCTTGTAGGTGGTAGGTGTAACACCACGACTACTGTAGTTCGCGCAAAGTCAAGGGAACATTTATTTCCAGAAAGCCACGGAACCGAGATGGAGAAGATAAAAGTAGGCTTTCTGGCGATAAGAATTCACGCGACGGATAGACAAACACGGCGCGTTTTGATTGATTCCTTAGATGGGAAGATTTGAAACAAGCACAATGTTATCAATAATCAATGGTATGACAGCAAGCATTGTCACTCACCAGGAAGGAGAGCCCCACTTTATTTCCTTTACATTTTCTTTCCCCTCTTTCTTTCCCCTCTTTCTTTCCACTTCCTACCCCTTTTCTTCCTTTTTTTTCTTTCATTCTTACTTACCTTAGCAATTTACTCCATACATGCCACACGCGTGCTTTTCTTTCTATCTTATTATCCCGGTTTTCCTCAAGGCCCTCTGCTCCCACCCACACATGCACATCCAACACTCGAGCCGTCATGGAAGAAGACATCTTCATCAATCAACCAACGCCCACAAACATGACCAACCCACCCCTCCCCACTACTTGCAGCGAGTTCGGGACAAGGAAGAGAGAAGAAATGGACGGAGGGACGAGTAGGTGAGCACCGACGATGGCATGAGGAACGAATACTAGAGAACTGTCTTTTAAAAGAAAAGTAACAATAAAACGAAGAAACTGACTATGGTTTTGGGTTTGCAATGTGGTGATTGCTTCCGGTTCTTTGTAAGAGAGGCCGCCATCAAGTGGGTATCTTTTTGGCCCACATCATCAACCGTTCACGGCACTAGTTTGTTGCGGTATAGATGCCACTCGAAAATAGGTTATTTTTGCTTTTTTATTCCCTTCAGGTCAAGAACTTTGTATTCTCGTCATCCTATGAAACCCGCTCTTCTTTGCTCACAACCACAAACTTCGTTAACCATCGTTGCCACTAAAAACGACAACTTGCAACAAGACGTCAGCTAATATGCTTGCGTCGCTCTAAGGTGTAGCCTCCGGAAAAGCACCTCTCTCGTTTGACGAGAAAAAAATGGCACTTCGATATTGGCAGCAAAAATAGGTGAAAAAGTACACTCAGTTTTGAACAATTGACAAAACATCATCTCTTCACGCATTTTTTTGCACAACGACAAACGACAAGGGAAATCACGGTGTTTATTTCCTGGGTTTGGAGCCAAACCAGAATTATAAAAAAAAAAAAAAAAAAAGCTAGGAGGCAGGCAGGCAGGCAGACAGGACACCTCTAGTGATCAATCAAAGCGCTCGATAAGGTACTGGAGATCATCAACCCCACCGCCAACATGCCAATGGACAACTCTCTTCCCGTCATACGCCATGACCGTCGGAATCGCCTCAATCCCCGCACCCCTCGCGACTTCGGGGAGCAACTCGATATCGACTGCGACAAATTCGATGCCTTCATGGTCCTGGGAGAAGGCCTCGAACTTGGGGACGAATCGGAGACAGGGTTCGGCGAGGGACTTTTGGAAGTGGACGACGATCTTGCGGCCGGAGGCGATGAGTGTTTGGAACTCGGTTAAGGATTTGATATCGCGGACCATTGCATAAAGTGAGGGTGAGGGTTAGGATTAGGGTGGTGTCTTGGTTGGTTGTGCGGGTGAAATATGTGTTTGGGGATTGAAGAAAAGGAGGGAAAGGGCCCTTGTAGAAACGCGTTCTGTGCAATTTATCCTATGTTTTTGTTAAAATTAAGGGGTCCTTCGGGGCCAAGAGTGGACTGGATGCCCAAACTTCTACTCGAGATCTCGACACAGACAACGTCCTTCCTCCCACGCTTGTTTCTTTCCTCACACATCAACCACCCAGGAACCTGGCATCGCTCGGAGATACAGAGGATCAGGAGACACCACACTTTCACCTACAAAAACGCCGTCAGACATATAGAAACATACAGCAATGTCTAGCAGGATCATCGCAAAAGCATCGGGAATCGCGTCCCGTCAAGCTTCCTCCTGTAGGTCCACTTTCTCGCAAATGCCGAGAACCAGCACTTTTCTTTCGCATTGGGGCCAAAGATGGAAGGGATGTGACATCTCTTCCCCGACTCGGCCGACCTTTTGTTCTCTTACAGCGACTAATCAGCAACCCACCTGTGACAACTTTTCCCTCTCTAACTCCGTTTGTCAGGCACGAAGACAGTGGTATCAGGACCTGCAGTACGGACCTATATCTCAGGAACACCTCTCACCACCTCACTATCGCGGACACATCCCTCAACAACACCCTTTACTTCCACAACCTCAACCTCCCTCCTCTCCTTGTCAACTCCCACCAAAACCAGAACCTCTCCATCAATCGAATCGATCCGCATCTTCTCGACCACCGCCCCAGCACTAAACGATAGCGGCCACCACTTTGACACCCACCGATTCGTCGAGAAACTGGAGCGGGAGGGTTTCACACGCCAGCAGTCTGAGGCTATCATGAATGCGCTGGATGAAGTTGTGACTGAGAGTATGGATAACTTGACCCGCAACATGGTTACCAAGGCTGACCAGGACAAGGTACTTTTAGCGGCCCCTGGCTAATTATTTGCTCATCCCATTTGTTGACCGCAAAACTGTTTCCTAATCCTTTGCTTGCAACTTTTTTTTTTTTTTTTTTTTTGGTAAAATGGAACAAAATAGACGGTGTATACGTATAAGGTAGACTTTGCAGCCCTAAAATCCGAACTCCAAATGCTGGAAAAGAACGACTTCTCCCTTACAAATACCAACAATGAACGCCTCGTCTCCGAGATTGAAAAACTCCGTCAACGACTCCGTGAAGAAGTCGCCCGAACCCAGGCTGGCGTCCGGTTGGATCTGAACCTGGAGAAGGGCCGGATTCGGGATGAGGCTGCAACTCAAGAGTTGAAGGTTCGCGCGACGGAGGAGAGGATTGAACAGGAAATTGCAGCGTTGAGGACTCAGATGGAGACGATTAAGTTGCAGACGTTGCAGTATATGATTGGAACTATTACTGGTGCTGGAGCCTTGATCCTTGGTAAGTTTGTTGCTTTTGGGAGTGTTTATTTTTTAACCGTGTGTAAGGACTTTGTGCTTGATACTGAGCACTGACACATTTCTTTTGTTGTTGTTGCGACGATAGCATATTTGCGCATGTTCAAGTAGCGGACAGGATGTACAGGAAAGAACAACCCCCACCTAGACTAGCCGACTATATACAGGAACCACAAAATATAAAAAAACGATATCAACAGCAAGCCATACCAGCAGCTTCAATTGCTCCGCAAAAAAAGAGAGCCTAAAAGCAACAACCCCTTTGGCTGGCTTGACGATCTAGTTACGATAACGGGCTTGAGCACGCACACACTCCTCGCGGATCCTGGTCAACTCATTCAACGACCACGTAAACTCATTGGACTCTGTTGGAGTTGTAGCTGGAGCTGGTATGGTAACTGGAGCTAGAGCGACTACTGACAGGTCGCGCAATGTCTGCGCAGCATCGGTCACGGGCTGTGAATCGATCAAATCCATGATCCAGGAGACGAACTCGAGGTCCAGTTGGCGGCATTGGTGTCCTTGCTTTGGTCCCTCGTGAACGATCTGCGAAACGAGGAATTCAGTTGATACAAAAAAAGTATCAGTAAGAGGGAAGGGGGAAATGGATGCGAGGAGGGGATGAAAAGAAAGAAAAAAACAAGACGGTATAACGTGCCATCCTCATGAGCGTCAGAATATCGGACACGGCGCGTCCCAACTGCGACATGACCTGCTTATCCTCCTTCGTATCTTCATATTCACCCTGCTGCCCCTGGACCCCTGAACGATCAAAAGGTATTATAGCCGACGCCGGAGTCACTGCTCCTCTCTCTGCCCGTGATGCCCGCTTCCGAATCCAATCAATAAATCCCTTAGCAGCCACATCCCACCTCCGCCATAGACTGTTCAGGAGCTCCTTATGGCCTTGATACCTGAGTCGTGATCGGATCCATGAATGAGTAGAACTCTCCTGTGGTGCTGGGTACACGATCAACTCAAGTCTTTTCGATGACTTTGCAGTGGCTTTGGAGGCTGTTGTCGCTGTTGAGGATGATGACGGTGATGGTTTCTGGTGGAAGCATGTCAGAAGCGTTTTCATGTACACCCGCAAAGTCCTCCAAACCATACTATCGTCCGCCTACACGTTCATATCCAAATCAACGTAGAATAAATAGTGAGTTAAGGAATTAATAACGAGACTTTCAACCTTCTGAGAGAAAGAAGCCGAAGAAAGAAAAAAAAGGGGCAACTCACCTCACGAAGCAAAGACTCGCAAAGCCCATCAAGCAACATCCCCAACCATGCCACCAAACCCTCAACAGTCACACCCTCCGACCCAAGCCCCGATCCCAAACATTCATTCAACGTCTTTGTCATCCAAGAGACAAGCGCAAACGCCAATACCCTTGGGTCCGACGCCGGCTGAGGCTGATAGGCTACATAACGGCCTTTCACCAATTCGTCCATCAACTCCAGACAGATATGTACCATCAACGGCCGGTTTTCTTCGATAGTCAGGGGGACTGAGCTTGGAAACCGAGTGTGGATATTGTGGAGGAGGAGTATTACTTCGACGGCGCAGTCAGCTACACAGCTCCATGTTTCCTGCCAGTCGACTCCATGTTGGTTCATCGTGTTTGAGAGGGCGGTCTCTGGTGAAGGGAGGAAGAGGCGGTCCATGAGGTCGTGCACGGCCTCCCAAAGCGATGTCAACAAGTCCGACTGATCCTCCAAGATATACTCTACGACCGTTAGTCAGTCACAAAACGATTAGCAACACATCAGCACCGTTTCTCAAAGAAAAAACAGTCTTTTGAACAATAAAATAAATGAGGTGTGCGAAACTCACCATCGTCAACATCGAGTTGAATTGATAGTACGCGGATGTTAGACCACATAGTTTTGAAGAACCTCGTCAACTGATGCTGCCCCTGCCAGACAGTACCGGCCTGGCACTGCTCCACCTGAAAGAGCAGCTTGCCTATCACTAAGTTTCGCAAAGAAAAGCAAAAACAAGATGATCAGCCACGCCGTTATCATGTACGAAATGTCATGGCATTGCGGAGATATTTTTTCACAGATCTAGAGTTCTTCTTACCTCGCTTCAGGTTCTGATATCCTTCCCACTCTATCAAGGGCTCTTTCCTGTCGCAGGGTTTGAGCAGCGGTACAACAATATCAAGCATTTCCCAAAGGTAGTTCAACACTATCATATATGTTGGAACAAGGAGCAATGAAGATCGCGTGTAAGTATCTCAACAACCTGAGGTCAGCAAGATAAGAGAAGCCTAGTCGGCCCAACTCTCCATCCCGGTTCGCTCGCACTTGCCTGCTTCAACAGCTTTACCGCTCACACAAAGAGTTATCGCAACATCAATAACCTCCTCAAGGACTCGAAACTGAAACTCTTTTGCTGCATCATCTTCTTGACCAGCTGTCGCAGAAGGGAGAAACCCGGCAAAGGACTTGATAATACTGCAGACGACACAGAGGATGCGCCAACGAGGGTCGACTTGGCTCGCTTCCATGGGGGTCGATTCGAGAAGTTGACATATATCGCGAAAAATCGTCTAATTGAAATGAAAAGTCAAAATGAGGTACGAGTATATTAATTGTAAGGGATAGTACCTTATGGAACCAAACTATTGGGAGCAATGATGAAACAAGCCAATATCTCCACCTTGATTGAGCAAAGTGCGAGTGGGTACTTCAAGAGCAATTGGGCCATGTGCTCCATCTTGCCGCCATTGTTCAACAATCGTCGTCGTCCTAAGCCTGCCGTTGCTTTCAGAGAAAACTCCTTTTCTAGAAGCATAAACATCTACCGACCACAAATATGATCGTTATCAGATAAGAAGTCAAGTAACACATAAGCAACCACCTTCAAGTGCTCAAAAAGAAAATCAACAGATCAGTTACCATTCGAAGAAGAGTGGGCGGAGGATCCTTGGCGATACAATCCTTCAGAGAACTACCGTCATGACTCCAGAACCACACCAAGACCTCCCCGACATGCAATTTCAACATTGCGCGTGACAGCGATCCCTCCTCGGCGCTTTGAACAGAAAATTGTAGCCCGTCCAAGATCGTCGCAAGGCTGAACGGCCGTCGCTCGTTTCCTTCCGGGTCAATTGCTTGATCAAGTGTCTAGGAGTAGAACCACACAAAAAACCAAGCTCGTTAATTGGTAGCTCAATTCAGATCTCGATATGGCTGTTTGGTACCCAAAAAAAAAACTAGGCAAAGTTCACTGCGCAAAGGCCTACCACATAAACATATGTCAGCTCGATCCAGCTAGCGCCATAAAGATGGTCAAGAGACTTTTCGTTGCCCAAAAGTATCGGGATGGACTCCCACACTGCCTTGTTTCCACTAAACGCGGCGCCATGGGGAAAGGTACTTTTCATTCAGTCCAACAGCTGTTCGCTTCAAGCACAGACCCTGCATCGAAAGAGAGGGTGAGATGAATAGCTCACCTTGGACACTTGTGAAATCGAAGCTGCAAGTAATAGAAAGCAATCCCCCATCGTTGGCAAGCTACTCGGCATTCTTCTTCTTGTTCAGTCCCCTGGTTGCCGGCTCCAAGATAACTGTGCATGTCATGCACTACTTTGAAGATATCAAAGAACACAGAAAGCGTTAGTATTTTCGACAGATATGGTAGACCATTTTTTGCGCCAAATATCGAAAATCACATACTATGGAAGGTAGTCAAGACATGAAGGCCCGGAAGAGTGTCACCGGCCAAGATCGTACGCGTGGAATTATCATCTAGTACGGACTCGGAAAAGATCCCACCCAGACACAACAAGCGCGCTACGAACTGTTCGCAGGTCGCTGCAACCATGTCAGAGCTCGTAGCTTGCAGTGACCTGATTGTTCGCTCGATGATGTCCGAGGAGACTACGCGATCGAGATGTAGTAAAAATAAACCAGCGGTTAGCATGTCGAGATCGTTAGGCAGCATTACAGCCCGAAAAATATCCTCAGCGCAGACGTACGCAATCCCGAGAGAAGTTGGTCTTGAATGGCAGGCACTAGATTAACATGCTCGAGCGTCCTAAAGATCTGGAATAACGTCAATAGGCCCGCGACCAAGTGTACCACATCTTCATCGCACTCGGGTGACTAGATCGAATATCATGTTAATCAGTCAGCGTATGTCAGTACAAGAGACCAAACTATACCGTCAACAGGGAAAAACAACGCGAGAGTTAGGAACATACCAGGTGCATGGGCAGCAGAGCCTCATCAAAGATGCGAACTACAAGGTAGAAAAGACCTGTGAACTCCAGCAGATGAGTCTCGCTGCTCTGGTTCTCGCAAATGATGATTAATGTCCGCAGGAGAGAGGCTATAACAATCTCGACTATTGCCACAAAAAAAAGGAAATGCGTCACCATAGTAAGAGCAGGGGTCGTTGGTCTATGCCATCCATCCTTTTTGCCACCAAATCTAACAACATCCGATTTTTTGTATGTACGTCTGGGGGGTGGTATTTACCTTGCAGCAAGATACGAATACTCTCTTCGTCTCCCTGGGACCTGCCCACTTCCTCGTGTTGTTGTCGCATCTCACGGAAAAGTATCCACAACGGTTCCAAGACTTGAGAGACAATCGACCGAAACAAGATCCCAAGCTCCGACACTGAATCTGCCATCATCCAAGAATCCCGTCTTGGTCTCGTCCAGGCATGGTAGGCAGCAAGTGTGATTCTGTTGATAGTATCCAATCGGTGTGTCAGCGCAACTACCATGTCGTCGTACATCCCAGTCGACTCTATGATTTGGGCTAAATGCATCTCGTCAGAGCAAAATGAGAATGTCAGAAAAATGGTGGCAAAAAAAAGGAACAAAAGTAGCTGCAGGTGCCAATAAGCAAGCAGAAAATATGAGCTTGCCATAGAGTGAAGAAAACACTTGGTCAAAGAACACCTGGAGTGTGGGTCGAGCGTCATTGTTCCCAAGGGTCCAAATAGCGTCAGAGATCGTGTCGAACGAGAGGTCCTCCTGGACGAGTCCGTTAGTCTCACCGGACAAAGCTGGTGCAGGTAAAAGTCGAGACCGTTGAACGGATCCCAGTTTGGATAACAGTGCATCGAGCGCCATTATTGCTTGTTCGGGAGTCATCGTGGGTATGGATGGTCAAGGGAGGAGCAAGAGAAAAGAGTTGAGAGGCATTCATGTCACATGTAGTCATGGGTAGATTAAATTACAGTCACACAAAGAGTTTATTTTGATCACCGTTCGCGCGCGCCGAACTGGGGATTGCTCTGTGCCCCAGACTTGTACCCTCGTGGCTCGTTACTACTACTACTACTGCTTCCTTCGCCGTGATTATAACTGAGGGCGCTGATAGAGTTGACTCGACTTGGCACTGTAGAATTTGTGCCGCTGTTAGCATTGACGCTAGTTGAGATGAACGTGTGTGATGGCGTCGGCGAAGGAACAAGGACGTAAGGCTGGTAAGGATGAGCGGCATAGATTGGTGGTGAATTAGGTGGAATCATAGGTGCTTGTTGGTGCTGGTGTTGCTGAGAGTAATAAAGATTCGCTGCTGAAGTCATAGTCGACGATCCAACATTAGGGATATTTTTGGAATCCTGGGGGTATTCGGTGGTGACATTTCTGAAAGGGTCATGGCCGCCGGCTGCAGGCGCGGTGTAGATGCTTGCGGCTTGATAGGGTTGAGTCTGCTGTCGGTATTGAGACGCTTGCTGCTGTTGTCGCTGTTGTTGGATTTGCTGCTGTTCCTGCTGGAGCTCCATGAGGCGGCGATGCAACTCTAATTCCTCTTGTTGAGTATGAAGTTGCACTCGAAGCTGCTGCAATTCCTCATCATTCCTGGTGGTCTCGTCAGGGTATGTTACACCACGGTTACGATCTGGATCATCGTCGTCTCCCCGAGTGTTCAACAGCGAAGCGCCATGAGGATGCTTCCTCCGTCTTTGGACGAAATAGCCTACAAGAACTGCCGCCACGATGAAAACCAATCCGCCGATAGATACGCCAACAATAAGACCAAGGCTTGATTTTCCACTCCTGTCGCTCGAGTCCGTTCCAGAGGGGTTGATTGGGCCGTCAGATGGCTGGGGTAGTCCTGCAAATGATTTCGGAGCGGTATAGTGATCTGTCCAAGTCATTGCGTCGATGTCGAAAATAAGGGCATTCAAACCCACCAACTTCTGCTTCTCGTCCTGACCTCCCCACACCAGGAGTTGGTTTCCGACGATGGTGCAAGCCACGTATACACGAAACAATCCTGGTGGTCCTGCTTTCCATGCGCCCGTTACTACGTTGTAGACATAGATGTCGTTGGCAAATATCAACCCTTGAATGCGCCCACCATATACCACAATCAATGTGCCATCGTCGTCTATGTACACGTTAAGGTTGGGAAATGTGATGTTAGATCGAGTAGGATATCTGACACTGCCACTTTGTTTGTTATTACTGTTGCTGTTGCTGTTGATGTTATGTGTGTGTTGTCTCAGAGTACACCGCCCACTTACTAGAGGCCATGCAATGATCGGAGCGCATGGGTGGTGGGGGTCCAATCGTTGCCTACCGTGCGAGATTGTGAGATATGTTAGTGACGTTAGACATAGTTCAGGGAGGGGGAAGCAAACAGTCGTCGCACAAAAAAAAACTTACAACGGTGGAGAGGGTATTTGTGTTAGGATCAAACTCGGTGAGGACGTTGTCCGTAGCAATGCGGTTGAGGGCAGCATTGTATCCACCAAAGTACATGATGGATTTTCTGGACTTTACCCAGACGTTGGCATAATATGCACGAGACTTCAAGATGTCCACGGGCAGCTGAAAGGCAGTGGTGATGGTATCGGATTTAAAATCGTAAACTGACATGGTGTCTCGATTCCCAGTGAAACCTCCAGCCATGTAGACCAATCCCGTATCTGGATCTGTCACAGCCCCGATCCCCTGCAGAGATGCATGGTCAGGGTTGATCTGGGAGGGCGACCAGGTGTTGGATGCAATGTTGTAGCGCATCGCAAAGGTTGGGCTGAAGCGGAAGGCGATCAGGGTCTGTCCGTCAGCTGATGTCACAGCTGGGAAGATGTACTGTTGGGGACCCTTTGCGAGTTGGTGCCAGACGGGTTGAGTTGCTGGCCAAGAAACGGCCAGGTCGAGGTACATGAACTGGGGGATGGAGGTGAAGTTATGTTCGACCCCTACAGAGTCTCCACTGAGGATGTAGAACCGGGTGGGTGTCCTTGCAGTCCCTGGGCTGCGAATGGGAACGGGGAAGAAGGGAGGACCGGTTTGGGCTGAGCTTAGGCTTAAACTTGACAGGAAAGCAATGAGGGAGTATGCAAGTAGTGCGAGATTCGTTGTTTTCCTTGGGACACAAGTACGAGTGGACCATCGTCGTCCCCTTGGAGTATTGTTGTCCTCTGTGTCCATTGTTGAATTGTGATTAGATGAGAGAGAGGTGAAAGTGATGAGAGAGGGGAGGAAGAGGAATGAGTTGTTAGATGAGCACAGAGCGAGAGCGAAGGGAAGGAAAAGTGAGGAGGAAAGCGGTCGAAGAGAAAGAAGAGAAAGAAGACGTGAGCACGGTGAAGGTGAGCAAAGCAAAGCAAAGCATATATGTTTTTTTTCTTCCTTTCCGCGCTCTCATGTTTTCTGTTTTGTGTTTTAGCCCTTTGTGGCAGTGCAGAAACCATATCAACAAGGAAAACTGGAACCGGCAAGCCAGGCACAAGCAACAACCATTATCAACTTGATCGATGATAAAGGGGCTATGTTTTGTCATTTCAATTGCACTCATCTTCGCCAGCAAAGCTGTCAACAAACCTTGCCCAACCTTCGATCCCTTGTGGGTGATCAAACAAATATCCACTCGGTGGTGGTTGTTGATTCTTTATCAAAAAGGTCAAAGGTGACAGGACAGACAAGAGAAAAGCGAGAGATGGGGCTGAACCCATACATTAAACAAACCTATTTCTGAGCAATTGACTGGCTGTGTGTTTGCTGGTTGTAGTATTTGTGGTTTCTTCACATACGCATACATATCCGATGGCTCATCAATGGGCAACCCTCTATCCCGCAACCCTGCCGCATGTATACACATGAACAGAAAGGCTAGCTCGAATTCACCAGGCTATCCATTCGAGCAGCAAGAGGAGTGAAAGAGGGGGGTTTTTTTTTCGTCAACAGCGACTGGTTTTTATAGTTGATCAAAAATTATTACACCTCAGTGAAACAGATAAGGTCATCAGTGATGGTGCCTGGATGAGGATCGATCTTCTCTTGATGGCGAAGGAGAGGGGCCCCATTATATTTGAATTGCCTGGATGCCATTAACAGCCTTCTCGATACTAATATCACCGTTCCTCGTCTTTCATTTTCTTTCGCTTATTCTCGACCAGTAGATACAAAACAAAAAAAAGGTCGTGCACTGTTTTTATTTGCTCAAGCCGTCGCGCGATCAGACGAGGAAGACTGAAGTTTCGGTCGGACAACCTCACTCTTGCCCCAGGCCTTCATCGTCTTGTGCAGCTGTTCGTTCTTGTCATAGTTGCAATGCATGTAGAACGACATTGCCTTGAGACGCGGGAACGATTTTATGATCCACTTGACATCCTCCTCTTCCATGACCTGCCCAGGGATAAACCAGAGCTCCTCCAATTGACGCAGCTTGTCCAGTTGAGTCATGCCAGCAGACAATTGAAGACGAAGCGCTCGCATATCGGGGGGTTGGAGTGGTCCTGCCACGATGCGGGAGACCTGAAGTACCGTCAGACTTCGTAACATGGACAGACGATCAAACACGGCCATCTGCTGGGCCTTGAACTCGTCAGACGTGACGTCCTTGGACACACCCATGTCAATAAATAGCATGAGGGTCTTGAGTCGAGGTGAGCATAGCCAGACTGGGTCCTGAAGGATATCGTCGGCACAGAGGCGGTCAGCTGAAAAGTACTCGAGCGTCGGTATGGAGTAGAGGAGGTGCTGGATCATTGGACTCGTCAGGGACTCGCACGCACGAAGGTCAATCTCCCGAATCGTCAAAAAATGGCGTCCCATTGCCGCCAGTGCAACAGGACCAAAGCCGGTCTTGGTAGTCCGCCAGCTCTCCAGTCGAGGCATGAACTTGACAAGTCCAGCCAGATCCTCGTCCTTCATAATGTCCCCAAAAAGATCCAGAGAATGCAGATTCGGCCAGGCTCCAGCTGCAAGGCTGCAGGTCACTTGTTGGATGGGGAACGTGATTTTAAACCCTGATCTGCGCCAGTAGAAGGATGTTATGTTGGGGCACAACTTCATGAAGAGGAGTTGCCTTTCCGGTTCGGCGTTATGGATCTTATGCAGGCGTAGATCCTGGACTATCTTCAGCTCTGGCCCAGAGGTGTAGGGAAAGGTTGCATCAGGCAAGGTGATCTCGAGTAGGTAAAGAACAGAGACCCTCGTGCAGGCGAGAAGGAACGGCTGTAGATTTTCCGGTGATACTTTCATTTTGAGCAGTTTGAGGGTTTGCAGACGTGAGCAGCGACCGATAGCCTCCCACATCAATGTCGAAGGCTCAAATTCAGACGCATCCAGCTCCAGTTCCTGCAATGATGATGAGTGCTCCCGAATCATCTTTGGCACATCTGCCATCGCTGACTATTTATATTAAGACAAGGATCAAAAGGTAAGTCAATTTGGACAGATCGACTCAATGGGCAAAGTAAGGCCAAAGGCATGAAAATATAACCTTCTTTCCTTAGTCTTAGAACCCATCGAGACAAATAAAACAAAACGAGGCAAACATACCATGGACCAGAAGCGTGATCGGGTATGAATATGGAGCTGACTGAGGTTGACACATCCTTTGAGCGTAAAATAAGTAGAGTTGCCTCTGCAGGCCGCGGCCCTAAGGGACTTTATCAACCGCGCGTACTTCTGGAGGGTTTGAACTGTTGGTGAGATGCAAGACTCAGGGATGTGAACGTCCGCCCAGAGGAGAGGATGGAAGGAGGCGTGCCATTCCTTGGAAACTCGGGCGCAGCAGGCAAGACCCTTTGAGGTGAGGAAGTGACTGATGCGTGTCCTGATCTCTGGCAGGTCGAGGGGATGTACTGACTTGGGTGAATGTGTTACTGTTGTTATTGATGATGGTGGCGAGCGGAGTGAGTCTGGTTGGTTGTCATCGAGGTCTCGTTGGTGTTGGGACAACATCGTTGTTTAGGAGAAAAGAAGTAAGTGAAGAGAATAAGAGGTGTGTGTGTGTGTGTGTGATGGAAGTACAAGGACAAGGAGTGAAGAAGAGAGCAATGGGAAAGGGATGCCCCACAATGGCTGTTGGCTGGGGACAGGCACAGTCAAAAAGAATAGAAAAAGTCAAAAGGTGAAAAAGAAGGTTAAAGAAGAGTGAGGGTGAGTTTGATGGTGATCTTGGAAAGCGACGGTGTGGATGTAAGAGAGAATAACAATAAAAAAGAGAGAGAGAAAGAGAGTGATGTGCGACGCTTGTCTCTTTGTTCTCCCTTCTTTTCTCAACTCTTCGTGTCATCCGCACACCTTTATTTCACCTCCACAACTCCCTCTCACTCTCCGCTCTCCTTTCTCCTCCTTTCTTGGCTCTTTCTTGTCTCATTCCTTCTTTCTCTCTTGCATTCAACTCAGCTCGACTCCTTCTTGACTGTAAACTCATGGAGAAACGCAAGCAACCACCAACACCGACAGCAAACGACACCCCATCCAAACGACTGCGACCCTTTCAGCAGGAACAGCATGATACCCACCACTTTCACTATGACACCTCCATGTCCACAACCCACTCCTATCACACAAGTCATCTCTTCACCCCCTGGCTCCCCTTGGTAACAAAAATCGGCCTCGTTGTTTTATTTTATCAGTCTGAACCCTTTTTTCCATGTGTTCCGTGGACAAAAACGCATGTAAAACCGCGCAGCTCACTAGAAATTCATCTCCCGTCAATTAATAGATCTCTCGTCCACAAGATACCTTCCGAACAACCCCACCTGTCGCGTTTACAAGAACCACTGTACCCAATACCCCGACACGGCTACAGGGTCACACAGCCGCAGTCTACACCTGCGCATTCAGTCCCTCTGGCAGGAGCATCGCCTCCGCTGGAGCCGACAAAAGCATTTGTACAGCACCATGCCCTCAATGTGGTTTCCTACTCTTGGCTTCTCGAAATTTTGTTGCTAACCCCCTTCTTCTCGCTTCGATGTTCGATGTTTTTTAGACCTTTGGAACACAAACGGAGGCGGGGACCATTATGGGATCATCCGAGGACGACATCTGGGTTCTATCTTGGACATCCATTGGTCGCGATCAGAAAAGTATGTTTGTTTACGCTTCCAAAGTATATGGCAGCGTTTTGTGGCATGTTCAAGAATTATGGCAACAAGAATGTATGGGGGAAAGAGGACGTCGCAAGCAAACGTAGGCTGACTTATTCCCACTGAACCAATTGATTTTTTTTGTATGCGCATTAGCATGTTGGTGACTGCATGCGCAGATGGGACATGCGGTGCATTTGATGCGCAGACTGGAGAGCGGATATCGACCTTCAAGGGACACACAGCCAGTGTAACATGCTGTACACCAACGCAAACTGGACCAGAACTTACAGCCAGTGGATCCATTGACGGTTCAGTCAAGGTACATTATACGGACATTTGTATGTGGATACTGTGCGCTGCGAAAATACAAAATGCTACCGCAGTAGCTGATCGAACATGGTCATTTGATCCCATCACGGGCTGATAGATATGGGATCACCGTGCACCAGGGATCGCAGTAAACTTCACCCCACTGCTGCACCAGTTCCCACCAGTCTCATCAATCGCATTCGCGGATACCAACGACATTTTGTTTTCAGCAGGGTCAGGTCACGAGATCATGGCCTGGGATCGTCGAGTCATGCGCGTTGTCTACACATTATCAGGACATATGGGCGCAATAACAGGGATACAACTATCACCAGACGGGACACGACTCTTGTCCAGTTCAATTGACAATACTGTTCGACTATGGAACCTTGGTCCCTATTCAGACCCTTCAAAGCGATTACAGCGGGTGTTCCAGGGGGTGGCAATGCAAGGAATGGAGGAGCACTGGAGTCGTCCCGCTTGGTCGAGCGATGGCCTCTTGGTCAGCTCTGGGGCTGATAATGGGAATGTGATGATCTGGGATACCCAATCAGGTCATGTAATGCAGACTCTGTCCGACCATCATGACTGTGTGAACCAGGTCGATTTCCATCCAAGAGAACGTATCGGTAAAGCACTACCTCAAATTGTCCATAGTAAATAATTGTGGACATGTCGTTTTTTGTTGGATGAGCTGATAACCAAGCACCGAACTTTTTTTTTCTGGTTTGTCTTATGGCATTGCGATAGTGGTCTCGAGCAGCGCGGACAAAACTCTCGCCCTGAGATCCCTGTGACATCTGTAAGATATGAACCAGTCGAATAAAAGTTTTGGCACGGAAGACCACTTTTCAGATTGATAACGAAATGATTGAACAAAGTCGCTGTCTTTAAGTTTAATATATGATCGTCATAAACAATAATTTACTCTGCATTTCAAACATCCACACAGGAGGAGCGCTCCCACACCCTCCTCATACCGATCATGCCCACCCATTGTGAATTGAAAGGAAAGAATAAAAAAAAAATGTAGGAAAGTGTAGTGGACACTAGAGGAAGAACCCAACCATAAGAGTTGCCTGTCGTGTCCAAGTTTTCCATTTGTTAATCATCATCTACAATCATACTTTCTTGCTTTTGGTCCGCACATGTCATCCAGGAAGGATCATTACTCGAGCTCATAGGGTTTCTGCGTTGCTTCGAAGGAAAAAGAAGGGTACAGTGAATGATAAATATTTGATATGAAAAAGAGAGTGCCCACATTGCCCACCAGAGTACAAGTTTAAAGCCCCACCTCGACCATTATGAAAAAGAGTAAAAAAAAGTTGGGCTTTAACTCCACAACCCAAAACACCCAACTGCTTTAGCGGCTCTAATGAAGAAAGTAACAGAGGCCCGAAGGACTCTGTCTGCGAATACTGGCCCACGAAGTCCAAATATTTCCCCCGACATTAAAAAAGGCGAGCCGGACAATTGAGCAAATGGAATGCAAAGACAAAAGACCGCAACAAACAAACAAGAAGAAAGGGTCAGAGATGAGTCCCTGTACTCCGAAGAAACCCAACCTGTTGCTTTTTACTCCACTGCTTTATCGTTTTCACAAACCCCCTGCGTGCGACAGGAACAACCGACAAAGGGTATACAAAATATCCACGAGAACATGCTAGGCCAGAGTTTGAAAAGGGGATAACAATAAAAAGAGGCAACAATCAAAAGTTTTTTGGGACGCAATGTCCCGCCATCTGCTTGTAGATGTCTTTGTCCCAGTAAATATAACAACAAAACTTGACAAAGAACACCCCCACCTCCTTCACCTCCAATACAAGACCTGACAAGAGAAAACACGCCCTACACCAATCCAAGACGCGAGATATAAACACCTCGAAAACGACTTCCTCGAAAAAGAGAAAAAGAAAAGGTGAAAAAGTAAAACCTCCGGGCACCATTCCAAGGAACCACGTTTGTCTGCATGGCCCACTAACGGGGCGGAATGAAGACGGTCCAGCAAGGAATGATGTTTCCCACCTTCTCCTTCATCTTTATACGCCGAAAGCTTCTTCTCAATGACTGTTGTCTCGAAAGCTGTAGGGAAGTTATCCCTGACAAAACTGCCAGGCCTGAAAGGAGAATAAAGGACTGAAAAGACCAATACGATTTGTAATAAAAGAGAATGGTGGACGGGCAAGGAACTGTATCGAGGGATACTATTCAAGGGACCACGATTGTCCCGCATGACCCACTATAGAGGTGGAGCAGAACGGTCCAGCATGAATAGAGGAAAGTGTCCACCTTCGTTCACTCCCAGAACTGAAGGGTATTCCAAGCACAGCTTCAGGTCCAAGCAGACAGCAGATGGATTTAGGGTTTTTTGTAGGATGGTGGAGTTCGTTGCCCTTTATATCAGTTGACCAGCACGCGTGAGGGAGTACTGGAAAGAGGGACAATAACAAAGCAATGAGAGTAAGAGACGAGGAAGGAAAAAAGAAAGAGCGAGAAGAGAGAGAAAGAAGGAACGAAAGATGGCAGTTCAAGAAAGCAGACATCGTGATGCCGCATAAAGACGTGTTGTAGAAAACAAACACAATGAACAACAGGGGTCACTCTCACGAGAAAGAAAAAGAAGCAAAGCAGAAACCAGGCCGTTTGTTGCTTTCTCTGATGAAGAAAGACGGGTGTGTGTGCTCGAGTTACCTTTGGAGACGCGACAAAGAGATGTGTATGTTGTGTTTGTGGGATGAACAATGAGAACAAGACGCGCTCCTTGGTTGTTGTCGTTGTTTGAAGCCAAGAACTCGCACGTGATTTTTCTCAGCCACCAGTCCAACGCGGGGTAAGTAGCGCCACCAATTTTCACTGTCGCGGAAATGGAGGAAAGGACCAGAATGAGGCCACAGTTGGGACAATACGAAGTCGACTCCCGCACAGGCACCATTACTCTCTGTCCCTGACCGTGCTTCTTATTCAACGGTGACAAAAGGCAAAACGAGTATAGTTAACCACGCTCTTTTCCCCCTCTATGTCTTTCGCGAGTGGATTTATATCTCCTTCCTTTGCTCAATTGCTTTGGCACCCAGTTTATTTTGTGTTCGAACTACGGCAAAACCTCCCTTGGATGGAATAACCTTCAAAAAAATGCTGGATGAGAATTCATAA